CAGTCCTTCTTTCAAAAGTGAAATGATTAAAATGGGTTTATACATAACACAGACTTTATACGAATAATGATTAGGAGTTGTGTCTTGTGAGAAATATTTTTGAAACAATCCATAAGTGCTATTTGACTACCTTGCTTGCCTATTCAAATTAACCCTTACCCTATAACCTATACATTTTACACGACCATATATATACAAAACACAGAATTACTTTTTCTATATATATCAACAACAGTGTGAAATTACGTGGAAGAACCAATATTATTAAACTTGACACAATTTCACTGCAGGATTTTTGCGTAAATGTATTGCGTGTGACTTATTTATGAGAACGCCTTGTACCTAGCGAAGTTTATCAAATAAGAAAGACGGTGCAACCACATTTAACAAACAACGAACGTGATTCATTGCAAGCCAAAACCCCATGCAATTGAGTTAAGGATACTTATGATCGCCCTTAAAAACCACATGGAATATATGAATCATGATTGTAATTAACACAATATATTCTGTGAGTGGTACGTGCAGCATTTCTCCATATGCGGGCAAGAAATTTGTTTCACCTTTTCAATTTGTTTAAAAAGTTTGCACAATCCCATAAATGTAATAGATCCAAATTATTCTACATATGTCTCACGAGTCACGACTCAAGGCTTAATCTTAGGACTCAGATTTATTTACATTGCAAAGATATTTGTCATTGAATTCCATTCTTACGATCATGGTGACAAGCACGTCTCAAATGTCAGCAGCCCTGCTGCACCTCCTGAAGATTTAAGCTCATGTAATTACCGATTCGATCTGTCGCAAGTTTAATAAGATTTATCCTCAGTTATCTAAGACTCCACAAATGATCTTGCCTGGATGCTTCTAGCAGGCTTGCTTCTGCTCTCCGTATGAATTGAAACACATGCATGCGCACTTGGAAGTCTAGACACTTTATTATCATACAGACATCTGCTATTTAGGGTTATATTGACATTGACCTAAAATTACAGTAATATTACCCCAGGATATAATTGTTCTTTGTCTAGTTCAGTCAGACTGGCACTCATTTGAGGACTCGGGGTCACACGTTTGCAGCCAGTTAAGAGCCTGTTTATTACTCGGCTTTGAACGAAATTCCTGCACAATTGAACAATACCTCTGCATGATTTGGTTAAATCATCAAATTCATCGTAGCTATCGAGCAAGCAAAGTATAGATTAGAAGTTTATTTTTCTGGGATAGTTAGGCTGACACTGCTCGTCTATCAACACCTGCGATATTTTTCCTATCTGCCCAGATTGTGCAGCAAACATTTTTTATTCATTCAGCCAGAGTGCATTCATGCCTACGTCAAAAATAGCTGCAAGAACTGTATTCCAGAAGCACTGAAGTAAATCAATTACGTGCAAAAAAAAACTGGTCTCTTGACCTTGCTTTTTAACAGGGAATTGTGATCATACGCACGACCAAATATGGCACAATTGCATGCTGGTATACGTGCAGCTGTGCACCTACGAAGGCGTATATAAAAATCTCATATACCTTGGACTAGAATATCCGTTGGTCTTTTAACGAAATGTCTATATACCTATGATACCAAATAGGAACACTTTAAGGTCTTTGAGGATTGTTTATTCGCCTAAATTTGCTATAAATTTTACACAGAGGTTATTTCGAATGCAGCCTTCCACATGAACTTGATATATTGTCCTGCGTGTGTTATACGATGTACTTACTGTACCATTACCTGGTACTCTTCAACTAAAACTTGTTTGAGACTCATGAAAATGCAAGTATGCTCTCTGTTACCATGTATATTATTACCATGCACGTATTTTTTCCTTATGAGGAGAGTAAACGCTGAAATATGATAAAAACGCATGCACTAGGATTAAAATATGTTGCGTTATTAATGGTATTTATTATTACGCTGATATCAAGGCTAGTAATTATCCCATCTGCATGCATGTGAAAAATTATCGTAGGAAATATGATAAGTTTATATTTAGCTGCCATTAAGTTCAGTTGTAGCAATATGAGTTTCGCAATACCACCATATTTCTACAAATAACAAACTTCACATTCTTCATTATACTTGTACAATTGCGCATGCACGCATGTAGATCCATCTCAAAAACTAGTTACAGTTCTCACAAGATAAAAATGCAAAAATATCTCAAAGCTATTTTGTGAAATCGCCCCAGGACGTGCAATATTCCCCTCCCGTCTTTGATGCGTTCAACCCGAGGGCAAGTATGCAGCAGTGCCCAGTGTGTTTGACTGCAGGATGTCATTATTCAGACGAGTAAAGTTCTCTTCTCTCATTTGTATTGGAATACTAAGTTGCAGCTTCTGGTTTTGTGAAATGAAACCATAAAGACGTTGATGAAAAAACAAGCAAGCGATGAAAAGAGTTGACCGTAAGGCTAAAGTAAACACCAGGTTTTGAAAATGTCATTAAATTATACAACACGGATATTGCAAATATATATTATATATTATAGTCTGAACCATGCAAACCATCTTAAACACGGCAACGTGAACGGCGTGATTTGTTTGTATTCAGCACATGCATTTATGGATATTTAGCAAACGTGCGTGCAGACAATGTGAGTCGGTTTTCTTTAATGAAATTGTTACTGTTCAGTTGTTTTGGACAGTTAGATTAATTTTAATTAGGAAATCGTATCCACACCTTGATGTACGCTAAAACTACCTGCACGCAAAATATTCAGGGCACAAAGATCACATCATAGAATAACATGTATAACATCTGTAATGTACCCGCGAAATCAACAGCCATTGTTTCATTATATATTTGTATAAAATAAAAGCTATAAGCCCTCTTATATATACTTTGAAAATTCGTGAGAATATCTAGCATGTTTTTCAAATAAAAACCTAAATCGCAGGTGTAAATATAATTAATATATTAAGCGATATAAATACAAAAAGATTTGAAAAGAATTCAACACAATCAGGTTAATGTAAGTGTAAGACGAATGATCACAAAAAAACAATTGTTTGTATTATGAGCTTGCAGTGTTTACAAACATCATTTTATGTCCATGATAATCGCTGTGTTTTTGTTTTAACATGGAATAGCGTGAAAAATTAAAAATACTTGAAGAGCTTGGCTGTTTACTTGTAACAAAGATTATGCATATTTACATGAGTGGGTGTCTAGAAGTGAACAGTTTTTGCTGATAGAATGAAATTATGAAAATTAATTGTGCTCGTAAACAATCCCTAGCTATAGACATACAACAGTAAAAATAAACTACAAGTATCTTTGGGATGGAACATGCAGAGGTTCGATCAGAACAAACCATGACAATATATCATGTACAATCTGAACATATCTGTAACATAGACGGTGGTAATTTATTCAAAAAATAAATTCCCGGTATTGAGGTGATCTTCATGGCTCAAAACAAAATGTCATCAACTAGAGATGTTGTCATGAAATTTTTAACTTTGAATACATAGCTAACATGCAGTATTGTTGTTGGGTAGTTTAGCCACAACACGCTGGATCATCAGGTTAAAAACATATTCCACACCGCATCAGGCTCTTAAATAATACATTGTCCAACAATATTAGACAATCAGGAGTCTAGGACTAACGAACTTCGCTATGAAACTTATGAACACTGACGCAATATAATCCTAATAACAATGTAACAATTGTACGTCAGTCTTTACAAGAAAGAATCTGAATAATATCGTCTCTAAGAAGGTATCAAAATATAGCTTAATGTAAGGGGTCTATCGTAATCTACAAAACTGGCACACTGTATAAACATGCATGCATTCCTCAAATCAAAGATTCAAGAACTAAACTGAATGAACTGGTCTTTGTGTATACATGAGCTCACGCTAACCCAACTTGTTCTATAACCTCAGGCTGTTCTCTCTGGCTTGGGACTAAACATGATATGAACTTTAATTATATACTTGATGTTTACTTTACCACTGAAAGTACGATATTAATTGGGATTGGTTTGTGGTAAAGAATGTGCGGTTTTGGTGCAGACGCGCCGAAAAGAACAACCGGTGATAGCCAATGACTTTATATATATGCATGCTTTGTGTAAAACATTGTGGCTGAAAAAATTTGGTATGAAGCCAAACGGAAGACCATTGCAATGATTGCATTTACACGTTGCCAATCGGCACAGTCACGAGTGAATAGCAGCATTGCCTGGCGTGGTTGGAAAACCTAATAGTGATAGTTGAATCGCTCAACCTGTGGTTGAACAAATCAGCCTTGTCACTGTTCGTGCGATCCCGAGGTTGATCGAGATTTTGTGTTGGGTAGTGGAAGATAAATTCGACATAAAAGAAGCCCTTATGTGAGTACAATAGACAATAGCAAGAACTGCATTGACGTTTGAAAGAACTGCTGCAGTTTTGTTCCCCTTCTTTGGTACATTTTAACCATAATCATTAGTGATTAAACAAGATATATAAACGTAAATCGCTCAAGAGACGGATAGACACGTGATTTAAGGCATTCGTTTCCCATTTTATAACGGTTAACTAAAGAAATATACGACATTACAGTGTTTAGCGCCATTACTATATAGTCACATGAGGAGCGTTGTTTGTCTGTTCTTCATGAAGCTAATATGATCCAGAGTTAAGTTAAGAAGGCTGTAAACTGATTTACGTTAAGTAGGCGGTGTTAAATCGAGGTCAGAGTCGATATAAAATGTTGATTAATACCACTTATACACATTCTTCTCAATACTGTATGTGCATTCAAATTAACTCTTACAATATATAATAAACATTCGTTTCTCCATCGTTTTCACATGCATGTACAAGTACATGGCCTTGTACTGTACACAATAATACAAGTTACAAGTACAGAGGTTAATAACCACATTCAGAATACTCAAATCTTGTTTTCACCCGTTCCTTGCCTTTGTTCGTAATATGAGACTTAAATATACGCTGTACATGCTTTTCTATTCGCCCAGTTGTGGGTGAATGTACGTTACACTTACTGCTTTTATATCGTTTTGCCTGAAAAGGGGCAAATGCCAAACCATGTGGATTTTTGAGTCGAAACCCAGCCATTTGATAATTTATGTGGTCTATAGTTATCTGCATTCAAAGGAAGGAAGGAACCTGGGGATGTTTATTCAAAAAGGAAGTTGTTTCCTTATGAAACTATGAAAGCAATTATTCTTTGATATGATCATGTCTGAACTTGTATAATTGCCAAGTTCTCTCGACCTATACGAAACGGCACCAAGATCCTACCAAGCTTAAAATGTCGTATACGAGTTAAATATATTAGAAATTGTATACATAAAAAAATCAGAAATCGAAGTCTAGACATCTCAAGCCTATATCCAGGTTAAGAGTATAGCTATAGCCTATAGATATTTAATTTAACACATGTGACATGTACACTAAGATGACCTTGTTCCTTCAGCTGAGGCTGAGCTGAAGCTTGTGAGCTCTTGGTTTATAGTCTTATATAAATGAAATCTATCGTCTTATTACTGGATTAACTACACTAGCTAATATTTCATTAACATGAAGCAGTTGATCACATTAGTGTAAATGTATGTCATCCTATAAATGTACATATTTGAATCCGCATACTATTCATTGCCATGGATATTGTCTTCCCACACAAAACACATGCATGCGCTTCCTTACATGTCTGTATATTGTGAAGTTTGTTTACTTCTCAACTCAGCACAGCGAGATGCTTCTCGACCCACGTAATTTAACGTCCTCGCCTCACAATTTCAGATATCAAAACAATCAAAACAATATATCAGTGAAAACTATGCGTAGGCAGTAAATATTTTTATCCTAAAAGGAAACTTATCGATATGAAAGCAGTGCCCGGCAGTGGGTGATAAAAAAAACTACGGTATGCTCTTAGACTTAGCAACAGTAGAAAACACGGAATATAAAGCATACAATTTAAAGTTTGCTTGACGAATTGGGAATTTCACCCATAGGCATATGACAGTAAATTACGCAATAAGTTGTTTGCCCACTTAAATTTTACGATGTAACCTATGGCTATATATGTAGATACATAATATAAGTTGTGTATGTATATACACCGTGATATATCTTATCACGTGAATACGACGAATCGTATGTAGGTGTTTTATTTACAATGAAAATTAAACCAACGAAAATTATAGCATTATAGTAAACAGAATTATATTAACATGATGTAACGTCATGCAGGGACAATGCATTTAATACATGCAACGATTACAAAATCTCAGGTAATCTCATTGTGAGTGAATGATTACGTAAAGGGTAACATTATTATATAAAAGCTTATTCATCCAGTGACTCTTGTAAAAACATGAACGGACAAGTTATGTAAAAAGGTCTTGTGATACCCGTGCAGTACAGGGCAAACAAAGTTGAATTAAAACCAAAGGCAAAGCCAACAACATCCTTTCATATAAAGCTAAGTTAGTAAGTACAAAACGAGTATATTCTTTTATTTCTTCGTGTCAATAAATCTTATTTTTCACTTATTCTGGGACAAATACTTTTTATATTAAGTTATAGTTATAAACATAATGATGCAATTCTATACATATGAGGCTAACCTTTGAATCAATAGAATACGTATATGATCTGGTGACTCGACAAATGGTTTTATGAATTAGTTTCTTATTTCTTAGTTTAGTTTAAAGCTGTTTAGTAATTTAGAATATTAAATAAAACGACTTTCTTTTCTCGCGTTAAGCTAAAAGCAAAAGCAAAAAGCCATGAATCAGTCCTTGAATGCATCGTGCAGTAATATAAGACGCCATTCTTTAAAACACTTCTTCTTTCCTCAAACTATTATACTCATTGAATGGTGTATTCAAATATAATAGCATACAAGAATTTTAGCAATGAAAATTTTTGGTTTCGGAAGTACTAACTCACCAGAAACAAACTATTTCCTTTAATCAATCAATTATTATACCTTTTGGCTTTTGTTCATGCACACAGACGAAAAAATTCCGCACACTATACGAGGCCTAAAATACGTTAAATACCTAACAAAATTTTAGTAGATCAACTCGTTACCCTGATAAGAGTTACAATAATCAAATATACGATTGGATAAGATTAATTGTTATGCTCCTGATATCTTGCAGGCACAAGGAAGAGCTTAATCATGGCAGTATCACTATTTAGGATACAAAAAAGCAGTATAAGTTAAAAAGACCTTAAACTGCGCTTGTCATTGCACTGTATGATATCCAATATATAAGGATGTACCACATAAACCCCACAGGAACCTTTCAGACTGCGGTTTCAATATACAGAGGTCGATCAGCCTGCGAAAAATATACAGCTCTAAAATGAGTAGACCATATTTCAAACAGGAAAATTGAAGCCAGGTTTTTTCGTGTTTTGCCTCCAGACACGCGTGGAGCTCCGTTTGTTATCATGATATACAACTGATTCATGTAAGTGCACAGCCTCGAAGCCAATAAACGCAGCGTAGGACATTGGATCCCAAAATTCGGCTATCGATATTGGAATTAAGGTTTAGCGTTCCAATCATATCTATTTCAATGATACACGATGACTATACAGTGTTTAAACGTCAGGTTAAAAATACTTTTTACTGGGAATATTTTTTATGCTTGAAGCAACAAAAATTTGTATTAAATTACGAGAAAAATATGTTTTGTAAGAACGTTACCGCTTATGTAGAAAAATTATACACTGCAGTTTGCATTAACATGCCAAAAATAGTCTTTATTCGAACCACAAATAAGGAAACAAGGACGTTCAGTAATTCTGGATATTTCTGCCTTATACATAAGTGTCTGCCTTACATGTGTTAAGAAATGAGCCGTAACTAAACCTGCTCATTAATTTACTGAGTCACTATTTTCGTCATCCTCCACTTTTGGCTGTTTGGGAAAACGTCAATAAACTTTGTGTCAATTTCTTTTTATGTATAAAATACAGTAGGACTGTTAACATGAACCATAATCAGCGTTGTGACGTCTGAGATGAATTTTGCTGGGTCAGCATTACGTGTGATAAAAATAAGACATGCAGCATTAGGGTATATAAGAAAACGCTCTACAGCAATTTCCCAGCACACGGTAATCAGTCGGAGACAAGTCCTTAACATATCAAGTAAGTAAAAATAGTCACTATATTTATGCAGTGGACGGAAGATTTATAACGCTTTATGATCAATATAATAACAGTTTTTCACGAGTTTACTACACCAAGTAATTTCTTTAATTAAAAAGGCAAAGTTATAAAAGAGCGTGGCTGTGTCAAAGAACAAACTATGCTAGAAATTCGGAGTACTGTTGTTAGTTGTTACATTCTTGTGTGAACTATGGAAATAACGATATTTCCTGTACAACTCCCAATGCATTTTTCTTTTTCTTCAAATTCCAAATGAGCACAACACGATAATTTACTCGCATCTAATGTGCCATTTTAGATATACGATATATGATACGCGTTGCTCGCAGTCAATTTACATATAGACTATAGAGCGCTAAATGGATGCTACATGCTTTGTTTCAATGCTTCACGAAATAATTCTGCATGTATAGAACCTAGCTATATAAAAGTCAATCAATGACACAAGGGGTAGAATAAATTCAGATATTTTAAATATCTAAGACTAAGACTAATTCATGACTGTCAGTGTCAGCATGATTTTACTTGAGTACGATTCAATACAGCAAATTCTATTGATTGCGTTTTACTATTATCGTGGGCAGGACGAAACAAATTGTTCTACAGAACATTCACACAATGTTGTTGTGAATGATGAATCATGTTTGAAACACCAGTTGCTAAGACTATAGAATTTTGTGAATGCTATCGGTGGCCCACAATGACGTATATATTAAGCTTTGATGCAGCGCATCAAAACAAATTGCAACATAACAAACAGTACGTCAAACGATTACAATTGCTAAACAGTCATATTAGGCAAGTACAATCACCGAATGACGTAGAGTTTGTGTAATTGTTATTCAAAACCTAAGTGCTTTCAATATATTTATGTTAATAACTATTATTGCACAATCCTAAGAGAATAAATGATACTGCGCCCAAATTTAACACAAAAGGTGTTCAGAAAAGCAAAAGTGATGTTGCATGTTTCACGCAGTGTTTGAGGGGTTTCTAGCATCAGTGACCCTGTCAGTATATTGTCGTCTTTAACGAGTTCAGTGAAGGTGGCATTAAGATATAGGGCTGCAACTTCTTGGGAGAAAAATAGACGTAATGTAAACATTGACAATGCGAAAGGTTCTCAGAGGTTCGAGAGAACAGACTCGTCATACCAAGTTTTTAAGAGTTATCCCTTGACGTTAACATTTGTTACAAAAAAAAAGAATTGAAAAATCTCATGGTTTTAAACTGTACCACGTCAAATGAAAACTTTGACCAAGCTTTCCTGTACCACCTTTATTTTATGTAATGATCAACGATATTATGATCAACTAAAAGACGACTTGAAGTAAGAACCAAATCATATACAACACGCCTTTATACTAACACAAGAAGTAACGAAAGTAAAGCTTTAATGCACTTTTAAAGCAGGATAGCTTCATACGATCTAGTCACAGATGGATGAGCTACATGCACTATTACATGCACTATTATTAATATTCACGATTACAATTGAGGAAGCTTTAGCTTGACAGCGTTCTGCGTAACAATAGTAGCGTTTAACGAATGAATGTATTTGGAAACTGAAAAATATACATTAATCATCTGGTGACAGAATTTGGTGATCGACAGCAAATAAAGATGACAGAATAACTTTATTTAGGCAAAGGAGGGGAAAGAGAGACGAGCACTCTTACATGATCGATATCCTCAGTATAGCATTAACTCCTATTGTGTCGTTGAGTCATATGTAAATACGTTACAGCGCGACAATTACAATCGCGTTAATTATTCAGCATATCCACAGTTGCATATCTAATCATCGAGAGCTAGATTGTTCTCAGGGAGCACTTGAGTTCCAATCATAGCATTGGACTGAAATTCTATATTTAAAGATAATTCCAGAACATTTCTCGTGCATACACAACCACTTGTCAAGATCGTGTTGACAGTAGCTATAAGAATAAATCCAAAGCCAAGGGCGTACTATAAAGACATAATTACGTATCTAGACTCCAATCTTCTGTCAATAAAGCCAAAGGGTATATAAATACATTGGGCAACAATCGTTGCCGCTTAAATCACAGAAGAAGAACCTACATGCTAAAACGTTCAACCAGAGTTCTGATAATTTTCCATTCTTAAAATCATGATTGAGGAGGTTCGTTCCGCGGTTATAGTAAGGTATGAAATTTTGACCTAGTCAATTTTTTTAAAATTCATTGCACATTTTCTTGCCCTTCGCTGTACAAATATTAAGATATGTAGCTTACAATAAATACAGATAGAATTAATGTACAAAGTGTTCTGTCTATTTTAAAACATCAAAAATTACGCAAACTTGATTCATATATAGCAGTTCTGAACCTCGGTTCTGGCATGCCAGGGACGATTACACAATGTATGACTACCTTGCAACATTGTGTTACCCAGGATAAGTTGATACATCTAGCAGTAATGCCAGACTGAACACCGATCCTTGTATATTACAGTTATTATATCGCCGTGTTTTGAAATCGTTTGGACTTAATTTAGAAGGGGATCAATGGCAAATACCAACAGTATTGAAGACATTTGATCCTAGATATGTTATATTGTTTACTTTTTAGTATAATTTTAAAACAGTATATAAAGCATACATGCATTTAACTATCCTGATAAGTAAATTTGAGCTCATCTAGAGAGAGGAGACTTCATCTGATCGTCACAGGATAATATCCAGACGAGCAGATGATGCATTTCTCTTAAACAAGTTTCGACACGAATTTATCTGAACAGATCGATTCGTGCGACTCCATATAAAACCAAATCATCATGGTCGAATATATGCATGCAAAATTAATACGATTTGTCGGCGTTTCATGAAATCGCGTCCAATTTCATCACATGTATAGTGTTAGCAATAATGTCCACCACCGAAAAATTGGCTGAAAATTTCTGCTTCTTTAAAGTAACATGCTAGGAGACTTGCAAACAAAAACAATAGTCATATAGTGTTCGTTAAAATAGTGTGCATTAAAGCATGTCTATATAACATAAAGGCTATTTGTGACTGATTCCACAGGGCCCCTTTCATCTTAATTGCGTTATATGGAAAACAGATGTTTTAAGTCTATGGTTTTAAAAGCTGTTGACATTAAGTCTAGACTATATATTGCATGCAATGCTTCTAGCAGAATATAAGCAATATCTGAAATACAGTAACATAAGTGTCTATGTAAAAAAGTTGACATGAATGCATGCACGAACAGCCTGACGTATTGTCATGTATATTTGGAGAAGAGCCATTAGAATATAATACTTTGGTTGTCTAGACATTAATGCCTTTTGCACTTCCAAAGCTTTTGCATATATGCAACATATATCAATCAAATGGTTGCATTAGGTAAAATATAAAAATCACATGAAAAACACAAGTGAAATTTCCTTTGAGACAATACCTTCCACCGCTTAGATGTTGTTTGATATCGACACAAGCTTTTTTGATGAACTAAGTATTTCACATGACTCCTGTACCAAAGTCTAAATTCATAGCTTATAAATGTCTGCGACAGGAGGAAGTCATCGCAAGTTCTCACCTCATGAAGACATGAAAAAAAAGTAATAATTTGCGAAAGTGTCGTCTGAAGACTGCATGGTATAAGCCTAAAGATAAAAATACGAATATTGACTTTGTAGGATTGGTTTCCTTCCATAGCATACGTGCTTGAACCATGCAAAATTCATTTTCCGCATTGCCATGATTTGAGAAAGATTCTTGACTGATTCTTCACCTGCTTAGGCGCAAGGAAGGTGAATCATACATGCACTTTGGAACATTCAATTGCAATCAACGTTTATGATATATTAAAGACTCGACTTTGCAGCCCTTTCACAGGACAAGTGTGTTTGCTTGTGCTGAAATTAAACAAACTAAAATTTCGTCATGAATTTCATCTTGCAAGCCAATATAATATATAAACATATTACATGTGTCGCATTAAGGCTTAAATTTTAAATTTAAAGACCGGCGGAAGAACTTGAGGTATTTATATGCAGTTATAAAATCCTTATAGAATAGACAATATAATAACTTTAGGGTGATTTCGATTTGTGTTTAGTAAATGTTATGAAGTCCTGTTATGGTTCTTCAGCAGTAATTGCGGCTAAGATATTTACCCAGCATGAGGTGGATTGTGGTTAGAAACATTCATAGGTCCCTGTGTAGGAATTTAGATCGTATTGAATGATAAAAATAATCATATCTAATCTATAATGGTTATAATTAATGAAACATTGAACAATGGCGGTCATCTGGATGTTGGTAGAAAGACCAAGGGGAAATAAATAGAGGCTCACTTTATAACATAGCGACTTTAATGGGAGGAAAAGCAGAAATATCCTATTGTAGTTTGCATAACAAGTGAATTAAAAACTTCTAGTGTTAGAATGTTCTTGCATTATATCAATTAAACGTCGCGATAGGCGTCAACATTTCGCTAGATTTACAGTCAGTAAGTACTTGGCGAAAGGATAGGTGTTTAAAAACCTGAAATATGAATCGAACTAAAACTATTCGGAGGAAAATAATTACCCAAGAACATCCGCAATATTTAAGTCACACGAAAAATGGATTTTCCCAAGGGCAGGGAATATTTCTCTCAATAACTCATGGGGGTTCATCAAACCGAACATATAACCCGCAGTCATTATTACCCATATATAGTATGTTTACGGAGTATTTCCTTAACTTAAGTGCGCAGTTCCGAAATAAGCTAGACTCTGTCTATAAAAACACCTTTGTTTTCGCTCGTTATACCTTTCATACGAGGCAATGCAGTTTTTTGCTTCTCCAGGTATTTTACGGTAAATTTTTAAAATAGCACTTTCAAGTCACAAAGGTTGTATGTACAGTAATGTTGTATTGTTATAATGCTATTCGAAAAGGTGAATTTCTGATAAGAATTCAGCCAATAACGGTCATATAACGATGCTGCGCCGTATCCGCGCCAAAGGTATATGTATATAAGGTATATTTTAATGTCGCAGATGATGTTTACTTATTCGTTCAGTTGTGCTTACACAATTCATCTTAGTAATACCAAATTCTGGGTATAATTATGTTCATTAGTGCCCACGAGGTCATGGGAAAATTTGTGTAGCCAAATGTATTGTACAATATTACAATATTCAAATACATTCAAATTTATGTGGGAATATTTGGCGCGTCCCTCCTTAATCTTTTGGAAGCGTACCTAATAGCTCGCAGCAAAAAATAACACAAACAAACAGTGCCACGTCTTAGAAAAGATGGTTCGAGCAATACATTTTAGTGGGGGGCAAAAACGCAATTATAAATAGCGAGTTATATTCTTGTTATCCCCCCCACTGAACCATTAACAATACAATAATTGGCGAAATGTTCTACTGCATTCTGCTGTTATATTGACCGTCCAAAGTGATTTGAGGGCAACTGACTTCGAACGTTATATAAAGTGCTTCAGTGATCTGTCTTTTAACATGATGAGCTATCATTCTCAAGGCATTCGTGTGTTAAGGTATTATAATTGTATTCTTAAAGCTGGCGTTTTTCTTTGAGGCTGCTACAAGGTTATCGGTTCTTTAAAATTAAGTTGGCAATAGTGCATTGAACTCGAGTGGGGGGTATAAAATATTGTCAATGGTATATAGCAACGAAAGTACTTATTTACACTATGTAAAGAGATTATGGCTACAGTAATCTTTTAATCAAACTGCATGGGTGTTAACTTTTTAGTTCTGAAAGATGCTTAAGAACATTTTTCTGCGTGTGTGTATATCCGTGGTTATCTAGATTAACTAACAAAAACACATTTTGCGGTTTCACTGTTTCACAAAATCTCCATAAAGAGTTTCCTGATTCAGTATTTGCTCTATTTTTCACGCAAGGCAATCATTGAACTGATTGAAGCTATTTGTTCAAATTGAACGAAGTATTTTGATGACTGCACATACAGTTGATTGAGATGGTTTCTGATTCATTATTACGATTGTTCAGAGAAGACTGCATGTGTGTTCAAAATGCTATCTTTTGCGGTAAAGAAATAGGTTATCACGCGCTAAAAACGTGAATTCTTTCCTGTTCACGGTGATGTTAGTCGTTAGCTTAGAACTATAGTTAGATTAGAAGATTAGCATAACTCATGTAGCTAAACGTAACGAAATTCCTGGACGATATGCATGCATGTGTTGATTTGCAGAGTAACTTTTTTCAGTCGAAGAACCCTGTTGAAATGCAATATCGCTATATTCGACTATGTCTTTCACGCAAGCATGGAACAATCACACCCATGTCAACTATGAGTGTGGGAATATATAATCTTAACAGATTTTACGACAAAGAAAACATTGAGGATAGAGTAAAGATGATAAAAAAACCCCGGCAGTGGGTGTTTTAAGCGATATGTTGCTTTCCGTATATGCAATGCAAGGATTAACACTTACCTCAAAATCTCCTGAAATCTCTCAAAACATTCTTCTCCATGTGAATATTTTTTTCTGAAGGATGTCACTCTCTGTAATGAAAACAAAAAATGCTATTTCTTTTCATCACACTGCCGAACGCTATTGGCAAAACAAAGTTTTTCATTTAGGCATCGGTATCATAATCATGCAAGCTACAAAGTCGCGTAATTCAAACAAGTTTTAAACGTCTTAGGAACGGGCCTTAAATGATCATTTGAATTATCATTATTATTATTATTTGGAACGGGCTTTAAACTATAATGAATATTCTAGATCACCAGCCGTGAGAATAATTACAGACGAAAATTCTAAATAAATTAATTGAGGGTTTCTTATTTTAGTATGAATAACGATACAAAGGAAAATGACGACAGCGGTCCACCGTCGCCTAGCGACCCCGCATACCATCGTACGCCGAAGTGTGCCCGATGTCGTAACCATGGCGCCGTGGCGTGGCTCAAAGGACACAAACCTTATTGCAGATGGAAGGATTGTACTTGCTCAAAGTGTTTACTGGTTGCTGAGCGACAGCGAATCACAGCCGCGCGTGTAGCCTTATTGCGTCAGCAGCGAAAAAACCGTGCAAGGAAGACTTCGGGTGAAATGGGGTACCGCATGGATAATCAAGACTATGAAAGACAAACGGTTCTTCAAAGACATCCGTACATTGTCTCTCCCAGTGCAGCCTTAACCAGCACAAATGCGAGTAGTAAGTTGATTTTATTGTATTAATCATTATTAAGGCTAGAGAATTTAAGAAAGATTTTGTAAGAGGAATCTCGGTGAGATAGCTTGTTGGTGATCAATGTTTAAGTGCATCGTACATTTCCCGCAAATCTTAGAGTTTAAGAAACGCAGACGGTGGGAGCCAAGCCTTGGTTCTGCTGCAAAAACATATTCATGTTCAAGTTTAGCGGTTCTCGTGGACAACCCAACAAACCTATGAAACTCGTGTAAAATTAACAAGATCCATGATGTAGGCTTTCAATTCCTAGGCTTTCAAAAATAATTCCTAATCTTCTGTGCTTTCTGCCTTCAGATTCTCCAGAACGCGAGGAACCCACGTCATCGGATGACAAAATAAACGACTACGTCGAAGCTATGCCCAGTCCCACGAACGAGCCCGTGATAAAACAGGAAAAACCAGATCACGATGACCTGGAACAGAGCAGTTATTTGGAGCACGTCAGAGGTCGGCTGTGCCCGTCGCCGAACGGAAAACGTCCGAGAAGCGAAGACTCCGGAGTATGTCTAAGCCCCACAAGCCTCGCCAGGATGTCCGAAGCGAACGGTTTAAACTCGCCAAACAAACGGATACGACCGGATCCGATGACAGTTTTATGTAAATCCTTCCCGACACACAACAGGAACGTTCTCGAGACGATATACCGGGGATGTGGCCGCAACGTTGTTCAGGCTATCGAGTTCATTCTTGAGAACCAACCCCCGTGTCCCCCTCTACCCATGATAACAGGACCACCTTCAAATTTCCTCGCCGACTCACGGAGGGAGAATCTCCTATCGGCGTTTCGCCCTCCTGAAACGGTCCGATCTGAACAAGATTCCGAAAGCGTTCCTAGAAGACCTGAACTACCTCATACAACCTTTTATCTCACCCCAAGAGATAGAATGGCACCGAACATCCAGCTAACATCTAGGGTGTACCCGGTCGATCCCAGCCCTCTACCACTCACACGTCCCCGAGACACAGCAAGCCCAAGTGATGATGAAGAGAACGAAGAGGAATCCCAGAAATATTGCACAAACTGCGGACGAAAAATCCAACTCATTGACAATTTTTGCGGTTCCTGTGGTCACAGGTTATGCAGACCCTAAGACTGGGGGCTAAGGTTATGCCATCTTTTTCACTATTCCGATGTATGTAATTTACGGGTATTTCCGAAAAGGCTTCTAGGTGCTATATCGTCTTTTGACGGATGTTAACGGGTAAATGCGAGTCGCCAAAATCATAGCTCTTTTAGACTTTTACTTATTTTGCTCGTTCACATCTGTCAGAAGAAGATTGCTCCTAAAATATTTGCAATAATTTCAAATGTTAAACAGGCCTTGAATTGGATAAATTGTCTTCCAATTCACATTTTTGCAAAGTACTATTGGTCTCATAATGTAGGCATAAAAGTTGATAATATAGACAATACAATATCTACAATATTTGACCAATATGAGATGCACTACTGATTCTGAAAATAGTTAAAATACATTTATGTTGTTTTGTAAATGTTGTGAAATATAACTTAGGAGAGCCAGCATTTTAGTGCAATACAACATAAATCTTTAATAAGATTAGGTTAAAAAGTAGTCTTTTTCAACTGTAATATCATAATATTATCAATTTCCCATAACTTATGTCTTGCAAGTATTGTCCATTAAATATAATACTAGATTGTAGTGTATTGGCCACATGACATAAATATGAGAAAATGTAAATATTATAACTACTGTTGAGTCTTGCCATATTTGAAAAACTTAGTGGATTTAGTATTTATTATAAGGATATAAGTCATTGGTCAATAAGTCAACCTTATATATCAAATTATAGAGAACTTGATTTCACAAATGACCAACTTTGACTTGCGTATGCATATAACTGGATTTGCAAGATAATTACTGTAGTTGACTTCTCAAAAGATTCATTAATATACAAATTTATATATTTTTAATGTATTAGAATTTAAGGTATTTTAAAACATAGTTAGGGGGTTATTTAGATTTGAAATATAATTTCATATTATTGTATTATAATCTTTTTCACCACAGGAATGCTGTAGAGTTATTTTTGAAATAAAAATGTTTTGTCACTCTACTTGAGCCATTAGGAAATAGTTCTCTCTTGTGAATAACTGTCAGTTCTCATGGGATTGGGGGGGGGGAGGAAAAGGGGCAATTTCGATAAATAACTTTCAGGTTATACCCATAAGAGGGCTTACATGACTACAAAAATACACAGCTGCAATGAAACAGCATAATGCTGGGCAATAAATGTTTTATTTTAATTTGAATGTACCTGTCAATTATATTAAGTAACATTTTACACAAAAGTCACTCATGTCCTTCACTTATTTCATCTCAATTATTTCACTTTTTTATGATCTGTATAACATCCTCATCATTCATGACATGGCTGATCCCAACACGTTGAGGACTATATTTTGTACTTGTTCCCCAAACCAGAGCATATTTAAATGCATCTACTATGCTTCTATGAATTGTGTGACAAACATGTTCAACTGTTGCTCCCTGTCGGAGAATCAAACAATCTTCAAAATCAGGAGGTGATCCCTTCTTTTTGGTATAGATTCGAAGCAATGCAAGGTATTCCCAAATCTGCTCAAGCAGATAATCCAGATTCAATTCTAGACCACAGCTAATGACAACGCTATGGGGAAGGTGCGCAATACGATCAACTTCCTCCAGTGATACACAATCAATCTTATTATAAACATACAAGCATGGAAGGTATACACGATTGCCAACAACAACATCAATTAGCTCATCAACGCCACAATCCTCTCGAAAGAGAACCTCAGCATTGAAAATCTTGTACTCGTGCAGAATGGTTTGGACAACTTTCTCGTTAATCCGAGTCAAGGTACATGTTGCATTAAAAGCAATTCCTCCACCTTTTTTCTGCTTGAAATAAATGTTTGGTCTCTTGCAGTTCAGGCGAATAGCGCAGGTCTGAAGCTCTTTCTCCAACAAAACTTTCTGAATATCACCTTTGGTTGCATCTAACATCATAATGATCATATCGGCGGTCCGTGCCACTGCAATAACCTGTCGACCACGACCCTTGCCTTGGGAAGCTCCTTCAATGATACCAGGTAAATCTAATAGTTGAATATTTGCTCCATTGTGTTCAATCACACCAGGAATACAGGTCAGTGTTGTGAACTCATATGACGCTGATTCACTTTCGGTTGCTGTAACCTTGTTAAGGAGTGTTGACTTGCCGACTGAGGGAAAGCCAATAAGTGCCACCCTAGCATCGCCAGATTTCATAACATCAAAACCTTCGCCTGGTTTGGAAGATTTTGAGGTAGGCTCTAAAAGTTGTGCCCTGTATTTGGCCAATTTTGCTTTTAGAGTTCCCAGATGATATTCTGTCGCCTTGTTCTTCTGTGTACGAGCTATTTCTCTCTCAATCTCGGCTATTTTCTCTAAGATTCCCATTCTAAAGCTGAGAGTTTAACCACAGTACAAGACCTTACAACTTCAAATGCTTCGTTGTCGTTGAAGAAACGAAAAAACGGAAGACGAAAAAAATGGCGACTTTTCGTCGCCGGAAATACTTATGCGAGCACCTTAAAAAATATTATCAATATTTATACAATATTTTTTTATGAAATTTACCTACCAAAACAGTTTTTCGTTCCTTGAATGTATTAGCATTTTTATGAGATATCATTTAAAATCATTACTTTCCATTTTCGTGCTAAAAATTGGTTTTTAAAAGGCAAATTTCGACCATTGCTTCGACATTGTGTCGTTTTTTAAAAATACGCTTGACTGTGGCTACAAAATTCCGGATAATTTTGTCGCCGGTGTCACAGTCACCCATTTCAAATGTAGGAAGATTAGACGAAGGTAATAAATTAATATGTTGATGGTTTAGAAAAGAAAAACTGCTTAGTTGTTGTTATTTTTCATAATTTATATCCTTTTGACATCGAAATTATTTGTTTCTTTAAAGTGGTAAAAGATGGTAGTGTATAAAGTGGAGTCCTAAGAATGCGTGTATGGGGATGCTATCGTAATGTTTATTGAGAAGTCTTTTCTATATTTCCTTAGCATCATCAGAAATAAAATCGTTGCAAAAATTGAAAAAGAAGCTGCTAGTCCAATGTCCGCTACGCAGAGGTTTGTATTTTCATATTCTGGGTGACCTATGCAAGCCTTTGCTTATAGTTGCTTAGCAACGCCGTGTAATCAAGATGGCGGAAGAATCAGTCCACTGAAATCAGTCTTTGAAGGATTTTAATCAATTTCGATCGATTTACTGCGCGACGATGTCGGATGAGAGCGATAAAAAATCACCAAGAGCTCCAGAGGTTGTTAAAGTATTTGTGAAATCATGTACAAACTTGGTAAGATATGTACAAAACGTGAAAAAATACCGTCGTATGATATACAGTATATGCGTCAATTTGTTTCCACAATGTGCGTCCCTTGGTTTCTATTGGACGATGTGATTGCGGAGTAACTTATGATAACTTGATTAGTCTCTAACGTTATTTTATCTCATATTTTTTATATTTTGTGTTTCTTTTTAATATGTTTCATGTACAAACTGTGGCCTTTAATGTATCGCCTTTTGCAGGAAGGAAGCTTTATACTCACCAGTTATCACCCTTATCTTAGTACTTTAAACTACTGCTTTCAGTTGTCCGTATTCAGCTTAAGAATAAAAGCTGGTTAAACAAAATTCCCTATTTATTAATACTGCTTAATGCAGTGGATTATAAAAGAGACCCATAGGGAAAGTCTTACAACTTTTTTGCATTGTATTTAAAACCAGAGGGGAACAAAAAGTGAATCATTGACATCGCTAGTGAGAGTGGAGTATGGGCAAACATCGCTGGGAGAGTCCAGTAAGATTGAAACAACCAAAGAGACGAAAATTGCTGATTACAATTTTACCACATCATTCGAGTGCTCGTTTGATGAGCCATATTCATTTGATGGTATTTGTCAAAAGCCTGTAGTAGGTATGCGTTACTGTAGATATTTCATACTGAGTCATACATACTGACTTGTATGCTTCAAGAATTAACGCCCTGTTACATGGCGCAATTGTGCTCAGATATGCCTACCATGTAATATTGATCCAACTAACACAAGATAGGTTTAATACTTTTCAATGGAGGCCGGACTGTAAGTCACGTAGCCTGATAATATTTCAGTGTTCATTGACTGTGAAAACAATGAATTTCTAAAGAAGTGAATAATGATAATAACTTCAAATTGCATAGCATGGCTAACTAAATAGTGAGTTGGTCTGGCTATCAACTACTGGGTATTGTCATGGACTATATTAAGTGCAATGTTTGAAGAAGTTTTGGGTTAAAACTGCATGCATTAATTTCTCTTTTAAGTGATAATTGCTGAAGTATTGCCGAAAGATAAAAAAGCGAAGGAAGAGAAAACTTTAATTCTTGGACAATGCTGTGTTGATTTGCTTCCTCTCCTGAAAGGTAAGGTCTATAATTTTGTTGCATTTGTTTTTGAACAGAAAAAGAAAGGAGATTCAATCACTTAATTTACAGCTAACAAATAACAGCTTCATGGTAATTTTCTCTGTTTAATGCCAGGTATTTTTTTCATATATAGGGTCAAAAGAGTTTACTGTGATACAACCAGTTACCTCACCCACTGTCTCGCCAGTTTCGGACCCTTCAAATGCCGATATAGACCAGGTACATGGATGTCAAAGATTCTTGAGTCATTTTGTACAGATTTTAGCTATAGATTGCTTGACAATAATTTTTTTATGCTCAATAAATTCCACAGCCAGAACTTGAAATAACTGTTTCAGTCAATGAACCATTACTGGCACCCCATGAGCTCAATGGAAGGTAGGACCCAAAATTGAAACTGAAGTTCTACAACTGAAGATTTACGAGTTATTACTCAATGGTACTTGACTGTTCATGTCTTCTGGTTTCAGCAATTTATTCACATTTCAAATGGACAGTGCGTATTCCGTGCCGGAGTCCTGGCAAGGTGGAGGACAATCATTTACTTACACAATCACTCTGCCAGTTCCAATTACGTCACAGGTATAGCTAAAATGACAGTTAAGATCCTTACAAAGACCAGCTTGCAGGGAATTTTAGTTTCTATCATGGAATAGCTAATATGATTTTTAAAATTTGCAGAAAGAAAACACGGTGGTTATTCCTAATGGTTTACTGAGACCGCCTGGAGAGAAGGTGAAGTATTTTGTTGTTTCATTTAGATTTCAAGTCAAAAACAAGCAAGTCACCAAACTGAATGTACAATATATGTCACTCTATTTCTTGGATTAATGCAAGTTTATAGATTTCAGTAATGTTCAACTCATATATGCTTCATGCTTGCATGATGAGACCTAGAAATTACGTTAAACTTTAGGAGGCAAACCAAAAGCGAAAATGGAGTATTGGGCCTGCATCATCTGGTATGGATTTATTCATTCAAGAAAGGTTTGTTCTACATCATATATTCTGATTAAGTGAAATTACATCTGCATAGATCCAGTAAAAGTATGGTTATGATGTGTGTCAAGCTACCAGTACATACTATTTTATTTTTATTGCATAATTTAGTTATGTTGGTGAAAGTTTCACTGAAGAGGAACACGGTGACTTACAAGATATGAACGTACATACATTTACACTTTCTTTAATCTCTTTGTACAAGGCCTGCATCGATCTTTTAAATCCACACTTGGTATAAGCTTATTCCAGATTTTCCTTTTAGGATTTAATCTTCAGACGTCAAGCTCAGGTAGAAAAACCACGCGTTACTTGGAACTCTGAAAGAAGATGTTTCCTCTCTGCTGAAGCAGCGCTAAGGTATGAAACCTGCTGAGCCACTGACTATTAACTCGAACACTAGAGCAATATATGCTATGTCTTTTCTGGAAAGGTTACTGCCACTCTTTTTCAGCAAGCAAAAACGAGCATTTTCACCCAAGATAATATTCTATCATTATCTCCTTGCAGTCTGCAGGAAAAGATCGCACACAATCGTATTTGGCCGGTAGAGATCATGAGACTCCCCATGCCGTCTCTCGCCAAAGGCAAAGGAAAGCAAGCAGCCAACGACGACGATCAGAACATCACGTTTCATGGAGTAGCTTACGTAAATATGGCGCCATTGCTCTACCCGGGAATTAGGAAGATCCAAGGGGCATATTTGGTGAAGCCTTACATTGATAGCGAGGTTTTGGAGAAGACGAAAAGAAGAGGAAATCTAATGGAAGAGGCCGCTCAGATTTCAAGTGGCGTGAATCGTATGGTGACACCATCCGTACCAGCGAAATTGGCTGCCAGCAAAACTGGTGCTAAAGATACGAAGCCTAAGGTTAGTGTTTCGTTGTGAACTAGGGGTGGATGGGTGTGGCTGTGCATGGTACTGATGTGCATGAGGAGATATTGTTTAGTGTGCTGTAATAGAAAAAGGTATGGTTTGGTTCTCTATGGTTGTATGGGGGTATGGTGACATGGTCTAGTGTGCTATGGTGAGATGTGATGTGGTGAGGTGATGTGGCATGTTATGATATGATATGGTGAGTATGGTTTACCAGCTTTAGTGAGGTGTAATATAATATCGTATGATATGTAATGACGTGTTTACATGCTCATAATATTGTATGCACATGATTCTCCATCATATCTTCTCAATATTAGCCGTCCATGTCAACACTAAAAGCTGAACCGACATCAGAAGGAGAGGTGACAGATGCTGAAGGCCAGGTACAAAACATATGATCCATTTTCACTAATCACAATGCTTGTATTTGCGTTCTTTGCGAGACAATTCACATCTGTCCGACATTTACAGCAATACATTGAATCAAGGACATTTGTAACAATGAAGATAGAACTGGACAAGCCTTTGGTGCCTAAAAAACCTGCATCATCTCTTGCCAGAAAGTAAGAACCATGCGCCAAGTATGAATTGATACGTGTAGAAATCTTCATCAATGAGAAAAACTTACATTCAACTTTATGAATTTAGAGTTGCCGAAATTATACCTCCACGGCCGGTGTTTTCAAAAAAAACAGGAGGTGCCAAAAAGGTGAGAGATGCAACACAACTTGTGGAAGAGTTATAAATTTGTATGGAAATTGGGTTATCGTTTAGTGAAATATTTATTTCAATGATCGGTTTAGGCTTTGGACGATTACCATTCTCAGATTCTTAATGTCGCCAATCTGTTGCTGGATGAATTCAGGTATGAATTCAGCTGCTGAGAACAACAGCATAGCAAATATATGCTTGTATATAACCGTGCGTTAATATGCCTTGTGATATTCTTGTTTTGGGGATGCTTTTGATAAGGTATCTAAACGGAGCTGATATGGAGAACGGTTCTCTTGGTCAATCTCATGAAGACATGGAGGCAAGGTAGAAACACGTCATTTACACCTTTGTCTAGTTTGAGGCAAATTGGCAGACGCTTTTTATGGGCAAAATACGCGAGGCTAAGGCACTGCAATTCTTAATTTTCCCATGAATATATATGTGAGTGCTAAGCGTTATTAATAAGGCTTTAAAAATATTTAAATATCGCTTGAAACGCGACAGTAAAATGCAGCGCCTATAGGTATGGTAAAGTGTTGCGGACTTTTCTATACTATTCCATCATTTCCATGATGCCAAGTTCAGTCGATACGATGCGAAGTATATGCGTGTGTTATTCAATGGTGAGAAATTTTTATGTGCATTATATATATGAGCTTTCCTTTCACGCAGGAGAAAGGCTTTTCTATATGAACTGAACACGTCAGGAAAGTATTTTGCATTCAAGGAACAGATGAAGGTAAGAACGACTGGGCAGCTACTTTGCTTTACTGTATACCACAGTGTATATCCTGACCCTAAATCCCGCCAATATTTTGATCTAGAATGCTGTGATAAAAATAGTTCGTGAAAAGTATTTCCATACCTCATCCTTCACGGATCAGGAGAAGCTCCAAGCTTTTCTTAGCGATCTTTACGTTTTTCTTGTCGATGAAATGCACAAAGGACTAAACAAGGTGATACATAAGGTTGAATTTAGAAAAACAAATTTTGCATAAGAAATTTGCATTTGAATAATGTGGTTATTTATTGAGTTCGATTGCATGCTATTTCAGGCTATATCAGTTGACGAAGAAGCACAAGTTCCTGCATCAATGGTGGACAATGATATGTTGAAACATTTTGCTAAAGAAGCAGAGGTATTCGCAAGCAGCATTTTACTTTAGCAGTGCAATGCATCATAGGACAAGAAATTAATGCATTGCGTCTTGATGTTGTTATAGGTAAACCAGAACTACGAACTTGCAGCGAAATATTATCAAGAGGTTAGTTCAGTTTTTGTCATGACCAATGTCACGATAACTTCTTAAGAATTATGTTTCTCAATTGGATCTTTTCCTATAAGCAGGAAAGAGATATTTACAAGTATTTTATTATAACTTTGATATATTAATTCATGCAGAGATTGGCAAGAAATAAGAACGATCCAGATTACTGGTTTGATTACGGAACACATTGTTTGCTTATTGGAGACATTTCAAAGGTATACGCAAAATCTTCGTAAAGATTTCTGATTTCTTTTAAATATCGATTTAATAATTCCTGTTTGTTTCTTCCAGGCAGATGAATGCTTCAGAGAGGTCATTGCAATAAACCAGAAACATTTTAAAGGGTAAGAGTCGCTTTATATGTCACGCGTGGAATTTTATTATAAATGAAATGGACGCTATTAAAAGTCGATTTTTCCATTGAAGTCTTTTGATGAACGGTTGTGTGTCATTGATGCAAGAGAAATACGAAGAAGCGGAGACTTTCTTTGAAGCAGCGACGTGTGAGGATGAAAAGAGTATACTTGCGTGGACCACGTTAGGTGGGTGTTGAACAGGATTTTCTGTCAGAAGATTTGAAAACCAATTGTCCATCTTAATATAACGCTGGCGGTATACAGTGTTGAGCATCCCTCTATGAAACGACTGCGTCCTTCCGATCCACACCCATAATTACTGATTCCTAATCTCTTTTTACTTCCTGTTTTTTCTCTTTATGTGTTCTTCATTGCTCTTCTTTCCGGGCGAATACACGTCCACATTTAGGTCTTTACTACGATAGTTTTCAGAATGACATCGGAGCTGAAAGAGCATTCCTTGAAGCGACGCGAGCAAATGCGGCTTCCATTCCAAAGAAAGTTCTGCCACCGTCCTTGCAAGGTGAGCAGAATGCCGCAGAAAGAAAGGACTCTGGTGAGTAGAACAAGATTGATATAAGTGACAGCCCGCTGCTATCTTGAAGAGCCCGTAGAGGGCGACAAGAAATCGTAGTCCTACTGCACGGATAAATCTTGGGAATTAATCTTCAATATAATTCATCCAGATACATCCGTATCAAGAAAGGGAAGCACTTCAGAAATGCCTGAAACCACGACTCAAAAACACCGTGGTTCCTTTATCAAATCACAGAAGAACACGTCAGCAGAACACACCGCCGTTGATATGATTTCCAACGAGTCCTCTGCAGATGTGGACGATAAAGTATCAACTGGACCGTCACCACCTCCTGCGCCACCGATCAGCATATTTCTTCAGACAGCGGACTTTCTTTTGAATGTGAACGTTTTGGTGGTAAGGGTCTATAAATTTTGCCCGTAACTGGAGTCGTATAGGTTCTTAGGCAACAGTTGAGAACTGATGAGGCTATGTAGGCTACAAGAGCTGTTGGATAAATGTGGTATGATCAATAGTATAGTTAATCTTTGTATCAATCTTTATGACTGTGTTTTAGCTCGCAGAGGGTGCATTGGCTCATGAACTTGTGAGTAATGGGCCGTCAGCTCTGTATCACACCTTGTTGGCACGATTTCATATTCAAAATGAAAATTTCAATGAAGCTGAGGAGAACCTGAACGAAGCACTGAAACTTGACCATCAGGTAAGTGGGAATGTCGTGGAATGGTATATCACTTTGTTGTCAGTAGATCACCTCTATGAGAACAGTCGGCCGTTGTTGTTGTGCACGCCTTTCCCCCTTCTTCGGGTAAGAATCATGAGAAAACACACATGCACGAACTCACACCAATTCCATCCTTTAGAGCTCAAACGCATGGTCACTGCTTGGCCACGTGAACTACTTCACCCAGAGAATGAAAGAAGCACGTGAATGTTACGAAAGAACGGTGGCATACGTAGACGAGCCCACGGACATCCATAGCGTACTTCTACGATTGGCAACAATATACTTGAAGGAAGGACAGGTATAATGAGACTTTCATTGGTACAAGCCATTATAAAGGATCGATCCAATTTGCCAATATTTAACAATAGAATAGATAGCTTTAAAATGAAACAGGTCAGGACTCGTGTTTAGATGTTCTCCTTGTTGTAACTTCGGATATATTTGATTCTCTTCTTTAGTTTGACAAAGCAAAAGAACAGTTTCTTTTAGCTTGTAAACGCAATCCATCGCCTGTTTCATGGCTTGGAGTCGGGGTATCTTGCTACGAGGTACTAATAATCGTAAGATCGTACCTTATGCAGCGTTTTCATCGGTTCCATTCCCACTTACAGAACTTTGAACCATCGTCGAAATGTATCTTGTTTTTTACGGATATTTTGGCCGCAGGGTCCCTATAGATACACCACAACTAAATTGGGTACCTTGCCTTGTGCTTGGCATCCTAAATCCTGTTTCAAAAGATTAAAGTACAAGGCATATTAATAAAATGTTATTGTTTTGCAGTTGGGATCATTGAAAGAAGCAGAAGACGCTTTGTCTGAAGCGAATATTCTCAACAATACGGATGCTGAGGTTTGGGCGTACCTCTCTCTCGTGTGTTTAAAGGTGAGACAATATCTAAACTCATAATCCTAACTCTACTAAACGCGCTCTTCGGACATCACAATCTTTAATTCATTTTAAATTTTAATTCTTTAGACAGGAAGGCAATTAGAGGCAGAGCAATCATTCAAATATGCCATCAAAGTAAGATTTCTTGCAAAATATTAACTGTAGTTTGGTAAACTTAAATGAAACGCTACGACGTCTTTTTTGCAGTTAAACCTTCAAAATGAAGAACTTTTGAGTCAGTTACATTCCATGCAAGAACGTGTTGGATTTGGAAACCCAATTGCCATTTAGTTAAAAAACGTGTTTGTAGAAATTGTATTTATCCTTGTTACATGTAAATAAATAAGATATGTTTTGCCTGTTAGAAGTTGAGACTGTAATTTTACCGATCATTAAATATTGATTAAAACAGAAAATGTTGTCTTCGTTTTCATATGCATGTAGAATTATCTTCCTAATGTTTCTATTTATTTCAACTTCAATATATCCAGCTTTATACGACAGCTTTTAAACAACATTTCTTTCTTTTTGTATTTTTAAGTGGGTTAAAGTAGCCTCAATGTCTAATCATATACGAAGCATGAATAACGTATATCCGTTTAATTATTCATTTGTGCACCTGCCTGTGGCAATACAAGCAGTTATTGGGCCTAATATCAGTCATCGGTTATATATATATGGCTTTTGTTTGCGTCTATAATCGAAACATAAATATATTTCCTTATCATTTATTAGTTGTTTGGAGCTGAATTCTTCTAGTTTTAGTGAAACAACGTAAAATGAAGTAGAAAGTTCTGTTATCTATAAACAAAATTTGTGCTTTGGGTAAGTTGAAAATGTATACTTGTAAGGTGTTTAAAATAACGCTTTTCACATTGTTCCTAAAATTATTCTGGATTTAAACGATGTTTGAAAATAGAAAGTCATGCACGCTTTTAGCATACCTTTTTAATGTCCAAATTGAACTAAAACGAAAAATAGTAATTTAGGATTAGGACAAAGGCGAATGTTTTAGTCTCTATCTTTATAGCAATTTATAATTTGGGTTATAGCTTAATAGTCTTAATGTATTACTACCACATTATTCTGTTTAAACGAGGCGGTAAAAAAGCTGCCACACGCGACACGCTTTGAGGTTGATAATTTCCTTGTTGGGTCGAGACTTTTTTGTTTTCGTGCGCTTTTCCCCAACCATTTCCCTGGAATGAGATCTTTATCAACAAATACGATAACGTGTGTGATGTTTCTTGCCACAGATGGCAAGGAAACAAAACCTCACAACAAAATTTGGTCAGCCTACTGTGATGACAGTTTGTTAGAGAGCTATACGTGAGACAGCCCCAGGGGCAGGCGTAGAAAAATTATAGGCTAAACTGATTGAAAGAGAATGGTAAGCACAACTCGATATTTTAAACTGAACTCCAGGGTAATCAATGCTTTAACATAAGAAAGAAAATATTGAACGAAGAAGATAAACGAAAATTCTGCCGAAAAAGTTCGGCCTATCCGTTTGTTGTTTCCCAGAAACGCGAAGCCTTAACTCATTATGTCTTTTGTCTCCATCAAAGTAACTTTATCTGACTTTATTTTCTGTAGCACGAATGGATATCATCTCTGTCGAGGTCACTTATCCCACATTACCCCAACCACCCCTCACTAGCCCGCCACGTACCCCAATTGCAACACCGATCGCTCGTCCACCGGCTTTTGCGAGCTACCAAGAAGAAAGCCAGCAAGGAATTGTGGGGTGTTATGACATTAACGAGCTTAGAGAGAGACTTGAACTGTTTGGAATTTCGAACGAGATGCGGACAGCGTTTCCCCGGAGACGGAAAACGGCGGTGCGTAGAGACTTTAGTACAAAGCGGACATCCATGTTAACATGTGATGCGCAATACTCCAATAAGAACCTGAGTCCGATGTCACGTGAACACTCCCGCAAATTGTTTCCAATTCATTCCTCCGCCACACGAAGCTGCTATATTGATTTCAGCGGAAACTTCCGTGACACATTGCGGGCACAGTCAGTGAAAATGAAGACCAAGGATTCGGCGCCTGCGGTAAATCTAAATGTGAGTCAGCAGATAAAACCAAAGACGCCACAAACACCGAAGCGTAAGAAAGATTTGAGGCGAAAGAAAAAACGAGATTCTGTCTCTGAACCAGTGGAAATGAAGGAAGGACTTCTTGTCATTTCCAATGGAAAAGTTGTAGATTACCGTAAAGACGTGAGACGATCGAAAAATCTTAAGGAAGACGAGCGAAAGAGATTGCGGAATGAAATGCGCGAACATTTGAGTGTCGTGCGTTCCTTTGACGATATTATTAAAGAATTTGACATAACAAAAATGCAACTGGAGCAAATGAAGACAATGTAAAATGCGCCATCAATTTTAAGCCGGTTTCAGAATGAACGTTTAAAGTGTTCATACTTCTTACGAATTCTTTAATCTTATAATCAAAATCTTTAAGTCAGAAGTGCAATACATCAGGGATGTACAATATATTAATTTAATTTTTTTTCATCCTAATAATTCCTGTTACAGGCTTTGATATCTTTGTTTAAATATTTGTTAAAAGTGTTTATACACTTTATAAATAGTCATATATATACAGTGGTATATTTAACTGAATTTTATATTAAAATTCACTGCTTTTTGTCGTTACAGGATCAACTTTTATGATACAAATTTATGTACATACTGTATTTTATAAATGATCATATTTACAGCAATCTGCTGGTCTTGTTTAAATTGACTGGAATATAGTTTAACGTATGTATGCGAACACTGTTTGAACTTTGAAGATTTCATTTAGCCAGATTGCTAAGCTAAAATTAGTAATCTGGCTTCACATGCAGAAATCTATGCCAAAAATGCGGTCTACTCTCTACGTAATAATCAATGCTCACCGCGTGACATGTGCACAATGGACTTTCTCACATTAGACAAACATTCAGCGGCAGCGTCTTGTATCTTTTCGTTACTTGATGCCAGCAGATTCATCAGGATCTAAATCAAAACAAGAGAAGACTGAGAAGTGATTCACTATAGTTTATCCTTCCAACCAGGGGGATCATATCGCGATATCCTCCTATATTAACTATGTTCCAACTCAAAAGATAACATTTGTCAAGAATTGTCTCGCGGCTCGCGGAAAATGATCTTGTGCCAAGCTTACTTTAGGCGTATTGTTGTTTCTCAGGAACTCACAGTTCTCAAAGTCATGTGAGAGTTTGTTTAATGCTGAGATGGACACACAGTGGACGTGCTCATCAAAGTCGTCTCCAAGCCCCTCGATCAAGTATGGTATACATTGTGAGAGAACATTTCGCTCTCGTGAGGATTCACAGCACCTGGTCAATATGATATGAAATAAAAATAACAGAGTCTTTAGGATGAGTGATCAGACATATGTCGGTGAACTGGAATGCTGACGCCTCCTTGTTCTGTCTGTACTACCAATTTAACAGACAAACAGACGCCTTCTAATCTTAAGTATATTCATATGTTATAACCACTGTATCACACCCACCTTGAAATAAGACTTGTAACGAAGTATCTTAATATCTTGCTTTTCTAAAAGATAATGTTAGGAAGATTATAACGAAACTGACTTTGCCAGTAGTCTCAGAAGGAATTATATCACCTAAAGCCTCAGTCCCTGGTTGTTCAGACATTCGTCATTTACGAACAAGTTCTTTGGATTATCTCAGAAACTATTGTTGTGTCCGGGGAAGAGAATGGCTCGCCGCTTGCGTTATGTTATTTAAAGAGAATATCATTAATCATCTCATACCGATTCACGTAATCTAAGAAGGACTGGAATTAAATCATAATCTACCAAGATGGAACGATTCTCCGCGTCTTTTGCGATGCTCACTGCAGCTTCACACAGACATATCAAAACCTAAAACAATATAGGAGACTGTGAAGCCTGGCTTTCATTCATCACCGACAATCGGCGATGTTATTATGAAAATACCAGAAGAGAAAGACTGGTATTCAAGTAAAGGACTATACCACATACTTTGTATCTTTTCAGTTCCGTAGCGGATAATAACGACATAAGAAGTTCTATTCCTCCGACAATTGAGCGTACAGCATTCGCTGACTCCTGTGAGCGAACGAAAGAACCAAAAACAATAAGCACAAGAATACGAAAATCACTAAAGCGCAGCTGGGGGAAACAAAACATTCAGGCTTGAGGCAGGCAGGAAGAGACGGCATGCCATTGGAACAAGCAATGTAATGTTTTCTCACCTCAGGTTCCACACAAACAGACGCCAAGGCTGCGGCGCTACTTGCAACAATCTAAATTTGAAATTAAAATCTAATAAAAATTTAAACAGTTTCATGAGAATTGCACAGATCTCTATATACCTCCTGGTCGGGATTCTTTAACAAAGACCACAGTAACCGTAGACCATCAAGTTGTAAGATTTTTCTAAATACAAAAAAAGGAATGGTAATTACAGTAAAATATCCATAAACCTGTCCTTTTCAGCCCTATGACGTAACCATTACTGGAGTGATTCGAGACAAGAAGTAGGGATATGCAGTGGAACCATGTATAAATCCATAAATGTCAATCATTTGACCCACCTTCTCAGAGCATTATTACGAGCGCATACTCCAAGCGAACGTGCGCCGTACAACAACATCGCGGGTTCCGTTAGCGACATGAAACCGATCAGAAGGTTTATAACTTCATGATTGCTGATGGCCTCCAGGTAAGCATCATTCCATAGCAGTTCTGCTAACAAACCTAGTGCAGAACCTTTAACCTACGAAATACAGTGACAACTGAGGTATTAAGGGGACAACAGTTGATAGCTATGTCGCATGCATCAGCTGGCTGATATAAACTAACCTGTGTGTTTTTATCAGACTGGAGTATATTTGAAACGAGAGGGAAAATTTCGTGAGCTTCAAACCTGAAAAAAAAATACAGTTTTGATATTTCCACTCGTACCAGGAAAGTCGTCCAGTATCGCAACCTAGTTCGTAGCCAGATATTTCTCTTATCTCTGGCTCTGGTTACAAGTTTAATGAGACTCCGGTCAGGTATCATAGGCTTTCATCTCGGCTCATTATCAGCCACTGACACGATATGCAACGTGATTGTAATATCACGATATGCAACGTGATTGTAATATCACGATATGCAAACAATTAGCGCTCGTGAAACAATTAGCGCTCAAGGTAAAATAAAGAAAAAGAAACAAAAGAAACACATACTTTTCCCTGTATTCCTTATTCAAAGAACACCTCCAGATTATACCAGGAAGTAAAGTTAACATTTCCTCGTTATTTCTTTGACAATGTTGTTTAAAAAGCTTCACTATTCGTTGTACGTTGTTTGCTTTCAACAATGTCCTCTGCGTCCTCTCATCACCAGCACACTATACGATAAAAAGCATCGAGCTAAATTCAAAGAGAAAGTCTTTAAAGAAGCAGATAATTTCTCACCTTGAAAAGAATCTTGATAGAAAGGACTTCAGTTCGTTCACTTCCCTCTATTTTCGCTATCACTTTCTCTATAAAATTTTCTTTTTCCAATTCAATACGAAAGTATTCCTTTTAAAAAAAATTAGGATTACGTTAGTTTAGCTTAGATTATACTTCACACTCTCCGGTCGAAATGTATGGAATACGTATGGTATATGACATACCCAACCACAAGTATTCCATACATTTCTCCCTTTCGTACGTATAAATGGTATAATCCTAATTTTCCTTATTTTTAGGCATTGAAGAAACTCACCACACTTGCACACTCTTCAACAATTCCTAGCAAAGGTACTACGAGTTCCTCATCTTGGGTTTCCACCAAACGGGAAAAGACATTCAATGATTCTGATATAATCTTGACATCTTTATCTCTGATCGAGAGGCAACAACTCCACAGAGCATTACAAACACTGCGAAATAATTCCAGCCTATCATCTTGCACCAAGTTGAACTTCGGTACACAAACTTTAAATACCGACATCTACAGAAAATTTTAAATATTTTCTCAACCTGAGGACACAATACAATTCATAACTGATTACACATTAGAGGACAAAGTCAACCAATAATCAGATTTTACTTAGAGGAGAAAGTTTTGGATCGAACACATTGTAAAAATATATTACCAGCTTCTCTATAATGTTTATTTTATTTGCAGCCGCACGAACGTTCCTGTGTTTGGCCAGAGACGAGAGAACATCACACGCCAAAGACACAATAACTTTGTCATCCTCGCTGAGAACTGACACAAGCTGTTGAATGCCTAGAATAAAATATTAGAGACGGACTTCTGAAATATTGGACGTAGCTTCGGAAGTGTACGTGATTGTTGTAAGTGAGAATCACATTATTTTAGGCACAGCAAACGTGAAAAAATAAGAGGTCGAAATCAAGTCATATACAATATCGCGCACGGCATGACTTACCGTTTCTCCTTAAAATGATGTTGGATGTTTTTGGGGAACTTGACAAATACAAAAGGACCTTTAATGCAGCGACCTGTTTTGATAAATAAAATATTCTCTTAGTTTTAGCAGAATTGAGTGCAAATAAAGCTAGTTTAGTTCGTTTTTCACATGCAAGCGTGGACTGGATTCCGCCTACACACAACCATTGTTGGCCTATTCAGATGCACGTTAATGATGTTTCAGTTTTACGTCGAACACGTCATCATGACGATAACACTCGACTACAAAAACTTTCCAGTAACATCCATATTAGGCGATATCGGCCCAAAAGATCACCGCGTGGGAAGACGTCTTAAATATCAAAGTTATTTTGCTTGCTTACCCTGCATCGACGGTTATCAGTATCGAGGATATTAAGGAATAAAGTGATGCCGTGAAGATGACGAATTATTTCACTAAATGAAGGTTTTTGTATATCAAGATCCTTGAGAGCACAAAGTGCCAGGACTGTAGCTGTCGGGTTACCGATCTGAAAGAGAATACAGAAATTGATAATATAGTGATGACGAGTGTTTGCATGGTGATATTGATAGTGGTGGTAACAGGGGGTGAACATTGTGGGATAGTGTGATAGTTGTAGTGGTGGTGTTGTCAATAGTTGTGGTAGTAATCATGGTGATGACGGCGGTAATTAACAGTGGTAGCAACGATGATTTTGATGATGATGGTGACATGCAGGGGGTGATCATAGCGCGATGGTGTGATGGTGATGGTGGTGACGGTGATAGTTGTGATATATAACAGTAATGATGTGAGAATGATAATGTCAATAGTGTTGTAATAATGATAGAGCTGCCTCGGATGAAGACAGAGATGTGGTTACTGTAAACTATCCAAACTTACCCTAACAAAACGCATAATTTTTCTTATTTCCCAATAGTCTGTATGTACAAGAACTTCTTTCTGCAAAAAGAAATACTTCAACAATGAGCACCTTTAACAACATTGTCAAACAATGACAAAGAGACCTTACCTTGCTTAAAGATATATCCTGCTCATTTTCAGATTCTGCCGTGTGATCGTAAAAAACTTTTCATCAGTGAGAACGCGCTCTCTGAGTGGATCAAAAGGGGTTTCCCAGTAACTGAAAAACAACACGCTTGTTTTGAGTGCGATTGGATATCAGAAGATCAAATTCGATATCTTCCCAGCTCCCATTGACAATACTTGTTAATATAATTCTATTGTTCAAGAAATATAGTTGATGTGTTTAAAGAGAGAATTGTACAAAACCCCCCAATACAGAGTATCATTTTTTGTTTATTCAATCTTACAATGAATGAATGACTGATTTGATGAACTCAGGTAAAATTGGAACAAATCTGTACGGAAAAGACTTCATCTATTCACTTCCTGCATGAGATCTATATATACTATACAAAAGTTTAATGAAATTGTCGATATGACGCCTTACAGTTCCTGAGAAGAACCATGGTTATCTGGGGAACCGTTAACAAACGAAAAGGGAGGGTGACAGACAGACGGCGCAAACGATTTTATCTTTTTTTGTATAACGTAACTGTTGTTCACTGACGTCAGTGAATATCAAACCGCACTTTATAATTACAATATGACAGTGTGTCAGAGGTTTGTGGGGTTGTTGTGCAATTCCTCGACCAAATTGTATTAAACTTTAATTTAACGTTTAATTTCATAAAATAACGATCGAGATTTATCCAACTTCATATTTGATTTAAAACTGTGAAATCCTGAATGATGTGCGCGTATTAATTTGTGAGCTTTAGGCTGCCTTAATTAAACACGTCCACTTGCAAGCGATCAGCGATGTTTGTATATGATGCTAGAGACGCTATATATCATAATGGCTGAAATAACTGACTTTAATACCTTCGACCATTTGCGAACCGTTCACCTCCTAAAGAGTCTAGTGTTACTTTATGAGGAGATGAGGTGAAATACATGAACAATACCTGGCGACAGGCAAAGACGGCGTAGTAATAACGACAAGAATGCAAATGAAATGACAAAGAGTTATTCACTATCGAGCGAGTACGAAAGAAATCAAATGAAATGGTTCTTTGAAAATATCCTTTGAGATTTCAACAAACATGAATAGCTATGATATATACGGCGTATCATCCGAAAGGATAAAAGAGATATGATTGTATTTTAATAGAACAATTATGCAAAAAATAAAAGCAAAAAGTGTCTTATTTGACGTTCATGCGAAGTTTCAAATTGGGATATCTAAATAAGCAAAATGACACAATCAAACAATTGATGCTACTCACGCTGAAGAAATCTTCAACTTCTCCATTCCAAGGTTTTGCAGATCTTCAAAGCACTTTTTCCTAAAAACAAATTAAGCAAGCTTCAATATACGTCCAATATAAGCAGCATAGACTTTAATAGAACCCTCCATAGCAACAAATGAACATTATACAAATGTTCAATATGATAAGACCGAACAAAGAGATGATATCGCATGTATGTTACGAACGAATGCAAATAATCTCACCACCTTAATTGTGTTTCCGCAAAATCATATAACAGATGAAGCCGGAAAGCTGTTGCGCCAAATTTTCAATCCTTTTTTACTCCACACGATTAAGAGTCTCTTTTTCATGTACGAGTGTATTTATCAGTTTGCTTGTGGAGGAAGAGAGATATTGGAAAATTCTTTATAAACATGTATTTATTGACACAGCACAGGTGATTCTCGTAAGTGCATAATATGAATACAAATGGCCTATGCAGCTATGACGAACGGTTTTGGAACTTTTGTTCGTAACTATTGAAGATTATATTATGACTTTCACACATGTACAGGTTTAAAAGACAAATAGGCAACTTCTAGAGCACAATTTCGTGTTTAAAGTTAATATTGTTCTACCTTTGTTCATGTTACGAAAAATATCTGTCAAAAACCCCGGCATTGTTTCATTCATTTATCATATATCTACTCTCAGTTAGTATGAATACGGTCAATTCTTCAAAAACTTAATTTGGGTAAATTAAGGTAAGTATTATATTGGAACCTTTGGCTTGCCCATGCAGGAGGTTTTAATCAGACTAAGTTGAAATACCGGCGGCCACTTATAGAACTACTACAACCCGGTCGAGGAATTGATCGGCTTAGAAAGTCTAGTATAAGACTACGTTTGGCAGAATTCTTGACTTGTACAGTATAGTATGTCGTAAGGTGAAAATAATATTTACCTGTTCCTGTCGACTCCCATTCTAACTCTTTCTGAGCGCAGCCCTATTGCAGTCGATGGAAGTTTGCTTTGGCGTACTGACTGAAGAGAAATAAAAAAAATGCTCGTTAAAAAATAAAACATGGCATATAGTAATATATCTGAATGACCCCTGGAGACTAATTTGTATTTCTTTAATTACAAGCTTGTAAAAGCGACTAAGAGACACAAGTTATCGCATCATTTAATCTCTAAGAGAAGAAAGAAAAAGGAATACTTGGATATAAGGAAACTTAGTAATACATGCACGCAAGGTATTGTGAAACTTATCAGTTATTAATGAGATTTGTTTGCAACACACAGCAGTCACAACTGCGCGTGAATATTCGATGTTAAATTATTTTATAAAATTGCCTCGTCTTTGCAATTCATGTGTTTTGAAGCCCTCGTTGCACTGAATTTTTTTACACTTCAGATGTTTCCAATCACTTGCGATCGTATTGTTCGATACAGGCTTCAGTCAGTGCTTTTGTTACAGGTCGAAGAGGTTACTGATTTCATCTGCGCACGAGAATCGCGTGGGCGGTTGTTTCTAAAACTGAAAGCAGACTAGAGCATTGCTCAATCGAACTCCAGGCTAAAATCTATACGACCCACGTTACTTACTCGTTCTTTAACGTTTCTATTGATCGCAGCAAAGGAGGATGAACGTCTGAAACTGTCTGTAATCAAGGGTAGTTTTAGATTAAGTGAAGGAGATCTTGCGGTTGTACGAAGGTTTTTTGAAGGAAGTGAGTTGATGAGTGTTCCAACAGATAATATTTTCTTTTTCAACTCCGTCGGTGATCTTTTTTCATCACTGGAGCTTGTTAATTCAATAATTTCTTCCTCAACTAAGTTATCTTGCTCATGCAAACGTTGTGTAAATATCTCTGGTGAAGAAGATCCGAGATTACTTTTCCCGTTTAGCTCTTCAGTATAGGCGGTAAGATCCTTCTCAATCAGCTTATAGCATTCAGGCCTGTGCAAAACAAATATTGGATAGATTTGTATAAAAATATTCCAGCTAGCTACATAAACATGAGAGTTATGCACTTTGCAGACCAGACCACTGGGAAGAAATTGAAACTGAATCTAGACTTTTGCATGCATATATAATAAAGATTTAAACAGATTGCGGAAATTTATCGTTGTTGCTTACAGCTGCATATGCAACTCAAAATTACTTATCTGACTTAACATTAAAATCCCTGATAAATTACGACTTGTAAAACTATGCTGTCTATACAGTTAGTAGAAAACTCGACTAATAAAACTGGGATTTTGGAGTTACCGGATAATAATAAATATTTGCCTACAAAGTGAAGAGTTTAAATGAAGCCAAGAGTTTGGTCCAGCATGCATCGGTTCATTGAGGTTGAAATTAATGTTAACAAAAAAGAGCAGGAATATGACAGGATGATGCATGGAAAGAGAAACGGTGTAACATACGGGAGTGGCAATTAACTTTCGGTTTTTTAAAAATTTTACACTTTTCCAACAATAGATAATTGTTTCTAATACATATATTAGTATTCATATGAAGTGAAACCCCGCGGGTTTCAGATGAATAGTATCATTCATGCAATTACTCACATCTTCCCACTTTGTAATCCTAACGCGATATCCGTGGCGATTTTAACAAGTTCCGAGTCACTCTTTTGAAGATTTTCGACGCCTTCCACCTTCTTTTCCCTTAGAAGTCTGACCGCTTCTCTGGCGTGTTGTCTTTCCATCTAAGAACAGAAATGTCAAAATGATATGCTAGCTTAATTCGAAAATAATTTATCATCCACAAAAATTCTAGAAATAGTATTATAGGATTACAAGTAATACTACAAAGCTTAGCTCGACCAAACTTACTTTGAGGACTCACAGGCCGACTAATTTTAGCGGCAAGCAGTTGTTGACGGAGTTGATGACGACAGTTGTGACTGCAAACAGAAAATGGCGAATTTTAATTAAATATGTGCTCTAGAGACAAAACGCAATTATCATAAATGAACGTATGCTAGCAAAGTTTTATTAAAATTGGGCAATGAAAACTGTTGAAATAGCAGAATTGAAATATTTTTAGTATTAATTTTGAAATATCAATTGCAAGTTGACTGTGAATTCTGGTATTTAAGGTCTTTAAAACATTTAAATCTTGCTTGTGACTGTAAACGTGTGATAGGTTTTTCGAGAGAATTTGTTTAAGTAATTGTAAGTAATTTTTGTTGAGACGTAAGAACTGTTTGCAACATGTTTTTAAATATAGTCCTACTCAGTTTGACGTACATCGTCTAAACGTTTCGCGTCTAATTCCTCCTGTTGCAGCCGAAAACGTGCTTTAATTTCAAATTAGACAAACGCACTTTTCATGATGACGCTGTTTCCAAACAAATTTTTCTTTCAGTGCGTTAAGACGAACACGAGAATGGATAAACTAATGCGTTTACATGCATTTAAAATGGCCTATAAGAAGCCTCAGACCAGAATAAATCAATGTGAGCGACAGTAATCTATCATGCCTGAACGTACAAATAATTTACTCAGCCGCACTTAATATAAACCCATTTCTAATTTGATTCATTGAATTGTCTTAAAATTATGTGCGTTTAAGCTCATCTTTTACTTGTTTTAAAATTTCTAAATTAATCTTCCACTATATGACAGGAGGGGTTTACTTTTAAAAGCATGAAAGAAGATGCTATGCAGACGTATTAAGGAAAAAATATTTTCTCATTGTGGTCGCCGCAGCTGAATCTACAAGCGCTTTATGAAGCTTATTCTTTGTCTGCATAGAATGAAAGCATCATGAATGTGTGTAATTAAAATCTGGGAAAGCAAAGAGGCGGAATATTGCAACACAAACAATTTAATTTTTTAGTGTTATTTTCTCACATTTCGAAACATTAATGAGTGAGCCCCGTGAATCGCTTCATTTATTTGAATATCGGCAAAACTGTGGACTTGTGAAATTAGTGGTGATTGTGATCATCGTGGTTTTTTTTCTGTAATGACATGCAGTATTTTTATGGTGCTATAAAAGGTGTGTTTATGAATAAAAGGCGTTTGTAACATTGTGATTGTTTGTTATATAGACACCTCCCGAATTTCTTCTAGGACAATAAAAACCATCCCACAAACAAAAGATTACATTGTTCGCCTCGTTTCCAAGGTATTGTTCTGTGTTAACTCCATGCAGCAAATTCAGGAAGTGTCTATTCGTGTTATAATGACGAGGATGCTCGTCATGATGGCGGAATTTAGTAAGACGAAGGTATTGGTAATAATTCCATCATCGGTAAAAACACGAATTGAATACTTGAGATTAATTTAGGATTGGTCTTAGATTAGGGTCACGGTTGATTATGGTTAACTGTGATCCTAAATCAGACACTAATCCTAACCTAATCTCAGGATTAAATTATTGCATTTAGTATCATATTGATGCTCGAAATGGTGCGGTGTTGTACACGTCATGGTGACAGTGGCAAATTTGATTATAAAAGTGTCGCCACAAATAAATGGAATGTCAAAATTTATTATTGTCAAATCGGAATTTACACACTTTTTACACTTGTCCCAAGACGAAGTCGAGAATTACTATCATTGATTCCTAGTGATTATAGTTATTGAAATCAAGGTTATATTCAAAATCAGTCACATGAAATAAGGCAGTCCAGTAGTTAGTGGTAAAATCGCGTTTGCGTTCTCGTGGGGTTCGCGCGTGTACACAAGTCGTGTATACACGCGCGAGCTCCACGAGAACGAAAGCGCTGCCTATGGCTGTGAAATATTCAGAAACAAAATTGTCTTATTAATTAAAAAGCTGAAGGAGATAATGATTGAAAGGCTTTCATATACATCATTACTACAACATTTGGCAGCGATACGCAAGACTTTTTTGTTTAGTATTGTCCATTGAGCATTCAGCAAAGAATTGCGTTATTTCGCCAACGTAATAAAAATCTGCGTTATTTCGCCAACGTAATAGAAAATCCGCCAACGAAGCAATTTTTTAATCATTATCTTGTCGCTAGGCGAAAAAAATCATCACCACAGCATGACATAGCTGTATCTACTATTGCATCTATTTTAAACTAGTTTGTTGATGAATCATGATTTTTTGCAAGATTGTAACCGAAGTGCGCTGATGCAAAACAACTGAACTGAAGTGTGCTATTGATTTGAGCATATTACGCTAAATAACTAAATTTAAATTGACCCCTGCCGCAGTTCGACTTGCCCATCTCTAAGCATTTATAAAGCAACTAGCCTCCCCTCTTGGAAACATAAAATGAACGTATATACATATATATATATTTACTCTTGTAACCGAAAACGCTGGTTCTTTGGACACGCGAAACAAGAACGGACTTTCAAGAATATGACATGGCTAACAACGAAACGACGTTTTCTCAAATTTCAACAATGAACCCATGAAATTGAGATTGGGTGAAATAACAGGCCGTTTCTCCTTCACCAGCTTGTAAGCTTCGTTTAACGTCATTTTCTCGTGTTTCATTAGAAATGCAATGACAACAGTTGCAGATCTCGAAATTCCAGCCTGACAGTGAACTAAGACACCGAATCCTTTTTCACGACCTTCGTCTACGAAAGAAAGAAGAAAACTCGTTATTTTTATGCGTATGAAAACCAGTTAAACGTTAATTTATCAATCAAAATTTGCAACAGAAAATCTCTTTCTTTCTTACCAATGAATCTTAAAGCATCTTCAAAATGTATTCCTATATCCTCTTGGCTAGAATCATTCACTGAAATTTGTTTATAAATGAGATCGGAACGATGTTGAAAATAATTTGGATGGTCCTTGGTGACATTTAGGATATACCTAATTCTCAACTTATCAATAAGTCCTTCGTTAGATGCACTAATTTTATTTCCAATGAATAACCCGGGTATGATTTCAGATATAGGAGGACCATTAGGAATGCTGATGGTAGATTTCTTTTCCTCTGGTTCGGTTGTAAGTTTATTGGTTGCACCAACCAATGTTTCATATTCTGTTCGCTCTCGCTTTGTTTCACAAAGGTTGTGGTGCTTTAGCACAAATTCCTTTAGCCCACCTGCAACCCCGAAAAAAAATATTTATGATCAGCATAAAAAGGTACAAGGTCATTAATATTTACATTTACAGTTTATTATTCACTAAATAGTCTGAATGACAATGCTTTTACTTAAAACAATCGCTTTGGTTTTTAATCAGAACCTATAATTTTACACCTTGCTGCACATTGTCAATTTCAGTCATTTCATTTCTTTGCAATGAAAATTTCTCCCAAAACTTATATAATTCATGAAAGTACATTGCTTTTACTGATCCAAGCCGTTTTACAGAGTCGGCATTTTGAAAGTAAACAGGCAATGACTTGCACTTCGGTATAATCCAATACCACAGATAAATTTCCTGCATTTCTATTGGGCGATAAATTTGCTATTTATGCTAATGTAACAACAACAATGATGTCATTGAAAATTTGTTCGTTTGAAAATGACCTAAAATAGATTTTCTATTGCAAGGTAGATAAGTGTTTTAACTGTATTATACAAGTTACCATTTGATTAAACAAACAAGTAAGTTGAACGAAGTAATTAAACTACAAACCTTGTAAAATCAACGTATTTGTTCCTTCGTTGAGTAGAGTTCGTGTAACTAAACTTATTGGTTTTGAGGAAGAACTAACTTCTGAGGTATCACAAGCACTATCATATACAACAACTGGCCTATTCGTAGTTTTGGCTTGTAAAAATCGTTCTTTGCCTTGGTCCGATGAAATAAGATCGTGTAGTTTAACTTTCCCCTGCGTCAGACGCCTTTTTACAATTCCCGTGCAATTTAAATGAAGCGCTCCAGTAATATGTCTTGAACTATAGTCCATAAAGGATTGACAATCAATGAGTACCAGATCATCTGTTTTCCCAGAATCTCCTGCTATAAGTTTTGAAAGTTCGCATGGTAAAATAGATTTGATATTTGAAAAAAAGCAGCCAGAACGTTCGCCCGCTTTTCCGCTATTTGCTCGGCTGCTATTCCCATTGGATGACCCGTCTGCCTTTCTATTCATATTTCTACATGTAGTCGTCGTTCCAGTGCTGAATTCTGGTACAAAACGTTGCTCAAAAATAGTCACCATTAAGATTTAACACAAGGATTCTACCAATGTTAAATCTATAAAACTTGAATGTCTTTGTTTACACGCAAGCCAACAGACAGAGATAAATGAAATATACACTATAATTGAAGTCCAAAAATACGTGGAAATCACTCAGGTTTGAATGAATAAATCAACACAAACTACTTCTTGATCTTTTAGGTCTTATGTTCTGATGTTTCGGAACGTGAAATGAACAGAAATGAAGAAAAAATCCGACTTTCTCTTGCGAATAAAAGGCGTCCATTTCGCAACTTGCAACGTGCTAAATAAAAACCATTACATCATCAACAGCCAATGAAATTGTTCGATGATGTTTCAAAGAGCATCGTGATTATTCGACATGACGTCGCATATCGTCGGTCACGATCTCTTGTGACGTCACTACGTAGTATGGCGACAACTTCCTTATAAAGATATTGTTACATTTGAATTATATAATTAACCAATCTAAATTTCCAGTTTTCAACAACAAATTGGAAACTTATCGAGCTTTCTTAACGAGCTTTAAAATGAGAATAAGCTAGTAATATTTTTCTTTTTCAAAAAGGCAGTAAACTCGGAAATTTTATTAGAGAATAATTTACATAATATTCTATCGTGATCACTGCTGCGTCATCTCCATGGCAACCGGTTAGCAACAAAATTCCAAAACAAAGATGGCGACCTTTATACGTCTTCAGCTGGCAAGCTCGTCAATAAAAGACGAATTGTTTAGAAAACTAAGGTGCGATTGTTAAAATACTTCTAGACTATGATTCGTTTTGTGCATCCGTAATTATAGACCAGGAAATATAATCTTCTAATATGCATTCGAGGAGCCTTGAAGGCTTTGAAGTAGACGGACACAAAAAGTTCTTTGTTTTGGACTTTTAATGTGTATTCCGGGGTTTTTCTCTGTAGGGAAGCAGAGCGAAACAGGAAGACAGAGTACGACTCAGCAGTTCGAATTCAGAGCTGGTTCAGAGGAATCAAAGTTAGATCATATTTGAGGTAGTAACTGACTAACTGTATATTACGTTGTAATGTTGAAATGATATCTTTGAATATATGATAACTAGTCTGGTCAGTATGTACCTGGATCCCAGGCTTTCGTACACAAGATCAATAGAATGGCAATAACAAAAAACCTTTGCCATGGGAAGCCTGATTTGTCCGTGATGAAATATGGTAAATATCCCAGGAATGTAGTGGTACTTCAAGTGATCAACTCAATTAAGTCATGTCTTATCAATATTTAATTTCTATGGGAACCAATGTCTTCAAGTAATCTTGAAGTATGTCCAATTTTGGAATTGTCTTATGACGTAGCATTTAGATCTAGACTAGAACATGGAAGTAATGATCGTAAGAAATGCTTGCCAGGAAACTCAATTATGAAAGATACTTTTGTAACCACGTATTTGCTAGATATGCAAAGAATCATTCTGACAGTGTCATTTTTCAATAATGAGGAATTTATAACTTTTAACTAAGAATTAAAGACAAACTTTTGATTTTTAGATTTTTACATCATTGTGCCACTGTTATTCAAAGACACTACAGAGGTCATTTGGATAGAATATGGCATCAAAAAATTGTTCAAAATGCAGTTGTTCAAATGCGAGAAAGATATTACAACTCCATGGCAACAAAGGTAGAATGATGTGTTCTTTCCATTTAAAACTATTACAGAGATTATTATAGGCCTCACCCATTGTTTTCTTAGAAAGTCTATACCTAATTATTTGTGCATTTATATTTATAGATTCAAAAATTGTGGAGAGGTAAGTTTTTTATTTTTTTAAACTTAAGAGTGAGGTAACACTGTGTATGTATGTACTGTACTATGTATGTATAAATTGATATGCCAATAAACTCACTTCTAAGAATAAAACTTCAACTTTACAAACAATCCTCATTTCAAAAATTGCTCAATTGTAGGCTATCACACTAGAAAATATGTCCATAACTATTACAGCAGAAAACGGTATCTGGAAGGACTTAAAACAAAAAATTCAATTGTCAGGTATGGCTGCTACTATGCCCTAGCCTGCGCACAGACAGACGTAATAATGTACACATAAAATATGTGTACATTATGTCTGTGCGCAGGCTACTATTGCTAGGCTACTATTGAATTCTAACTATGCCCATGCATGGCCTGGTATATTCAATATGCCAATGGATCGATATGACCAGCATAGTATATCCACACAGAAATGAAAGGAAATAGCAATGTAATTAAACTTAAATCTTTCATAGGAAAGAGTTAGAGGTGTGGAGAATAAGTTTAGAAAGAGAAAAAGAAATTAAAAGACAAAAAGAAGAGGAGGTATTTAAATTTTAAATACATTCAAGACCAAGCGTCGATATTTTGCAAAGGTGTTCATGTAACTAATAACCTCAACATTATTTTTTTCACCAATTTAAGGCAACCAGTGAAGCATACAACAAACGACATCACTATCTTCTCAGTACCGCTCAAATTCCTGGAATTTATAGTGCTCGATTCAACCCAGAGTTGGCCACAAAGGAAGTGGAGATAAAATCTGCCAGGCGGCAGGATCGGGTTCGAAAACATAAGACTTTCTCAGGAAGTACAACAGCAAGATGTGCTAATTCTGAGTCTGTGTTACCTCCTATTGGAAAGGCTGCACAGGTGAGGTTTATACTATGTCATGAAACGGATTTAGAATGGACTTGGAGCTCCACATAGATTGAATTCTAGTTTCGACTTCTAAGGTTCTAAATCCCACATTTTGGATTCCAGTTTCCATCGTTTAGATTCCAGTTTCCATCCTTTGGATTCTGGATTCCACATTTTGAATTCTGAATTTCATACCAGTAATTCCGGGTAATAAAAAACTGAAAGGTCAACGATGTATTTTTATAGGGACCATTCAGAACTCAAGAGGAAGCTTTACATCAACGTCATCGCCCATTAAACCCAACCTTACGAGTACAAACTGCGTATACGTCAGTTGAGGAAAGCAGGTGTGGGAACACTTTATGCATAGCAGTAAACACTGATCTCGCTACAACAATGAGTTAATATGAATGCCTGTCACAATGATATTGCCGTCACTTTTCTGCCATAATAACAGTTGAGATATCTCCAGTCAAAGTGATTTCTTTTTTTGTTTAATCGGTCACGAATTCAATGTGATTAAATCGAGAGGGTCAAAACATCCCCCTGTGACTGTGTGCCGTTAACGACAAATTACAATTATCTACGCGTTAACATGCATTGTTATAGAACTTACTGTATATACTACCATACTACTGTATAGGCATAGCGCATTTAAAGAAATCCTTATATGGTTACGCTGGCGCAGTAATAATGGGAAAAACGAACTATCAGTAACCGTAATCGGTAAATAATCGGTCATTTTTCGTGGACTGGCCGTTATATTTTGAGTTCTAAAAACGCAGAACGAAATGACTGGAGACTAGATTAGGTGCCATCTCTAAATTTGCCATATATGCAAGTTTATACCCCGGTTTCGTCCTATAGAACCACACACAAAACTGACAAAAGTCTGGACGTGCGTCCTAGTTACCACGATTTGACTAAAAACTCACTGGCGAGTCGGCTTTCAATAAGCGCTTGTTAGTTGACGTTGTCATGGTTGAGAAATTAATGCAACTAATGCAAATTTCTTTCTTTCATATTTATTTCTATTAGGACAAAAATGAAAGCAGATGAGTGGATAGCTAGGGTGGTTGAGAAACCGTAAGTATTCAGTATTGTGATCAATACTGTGTGATCATTTGGTTTAAAATTTTATCCTCTCTCTCTCACCTGTGCTTTCAGCTTTCGACCTTTCACTCATCGCGAGAGAGGTTACAATCCATTGCTTCATACAAAATCGACTTTTGGAAGGTTTGTACTTGAGAAATTTCCAGTTAGTACATCATATTCTGTACAGCAAATGGCATTCTGTCTCATAGACCTGACTGTAAGAGGATACAAAATGCTACAGGTGGTAATATTTTAATTTCCCAGCGACTAGCTATTGGGTCTTCAATATTTCTTTTGAACTGTTTACAGCTTGCCTTACGGCACGAAACATTTCCGGGAGGAGGAACTCGACAAACACGTTTCTCAAGAGGTATATTCTGTTGTTAGATACCGTGTGAATACGATTAGATGGCACCCTGCCATCCCCCCAAAAGAAACTCACCCCCCCCCCCTCCAAATAAAAAACTAACTGAAAATCTTGTTTTTCTTTCTTCAGAAGTTCCGCACCGTCGTCTCGCCTATTCCAGTATTTGAACAGTTTGGGAAAACGTACTGACGAGTTCACTTGATAACAAGATTGTCTGAATTGAATGGATTTTAATTTTGTTAAGTTCATTCAAACAATTCAAACACAACAAAAACTTTTGAACACCGTTGAACTGGGTACGAGTTCATGCGAGTTTCTCGTGCACGAAGTTTGTTTATAAATGTTATGTAAACCATGGCTGGACCATTTCAAAAGAAAATATACCTATATAGACTGTAAAAACACATATACTACGCCTGCTACTCTTGCATGCTTCCGGTTTGCTATGATTGGCAAGCAAAAATTAGATCAATTTCTTTGCTGCAGGTGACTGGGACAAAAGCATACCCCCTTCACCTTTGCTACAGGTGACTGGGACGAGATAACTGCCCCCGCTTCTTCCCGCCATTTTGTATCATTCATACTATTCTCAACTATATAGATTTTGTTGAAGTTTTTCTTAACATTCATTTAGAAATGCATTTAAATTGTTTCGAGAACGGTCGAAGCGAACATGAAACAAGTTTAACAAGAAGGGTCGGTAAGAAGCGATAAAATAAAGGTGAAAATCCCGCTCAAACTCGACCAAGGAAACGTTTCGAAAATACCGCTTTGGGACGAAAATTACAGAACCAAAAATTAAGAGAGTAGTGAAATTATACTTGCAGCGTCTTTCAAAAGCTTTCAACGGCTTGAAACAGCTTCATTTGAACCTTGAAAGGAGATTAAAGATGGGCTAAATAACCAAGAATATCCTTCTTCTAGCCACAAGAGTTAAAAATGCCCCAAGAGGGAAGAAGTGAATTTTCGCGCTCTTATCTGTGATTGGTTAAAATTTTTAACGTGTAGATCTGTGTGATAGGTTAAAAATCCTCGAAAGCTGGTCTTTAATTGGTCAAAAACTTCAAAGTTTTTCTTTGATTGGTCAAAATTCCCGATTGAGTTTCAATTAGAACCAATGAAAACATAATGGGCAATTTATCAGAAGATGATCTATATGAAAAGATATGCTGAAGTGTCGTAGATTTGTGTCATCTTTTATTAACCTGTTTGACACTCACTGCTAATTTTCAAAGGAATTTCTCCTGAAAACAACTAATACACAAATCGACAAATTTATTAGAATTGTTTTGTGATAAATACAACGACACTTTTATACATTTACAAACATTTTACGTTAAGAACAAAGGTCATTTCATTAAGAAATTTCAGTTTTATTAAATATTGTTAATTTTACTTCATGTTATATATAATATATTGATTTCTTCAGTTAAATTCACATAGTATATTGCAAACGTAGAAAAATTAGTAAAGTACTAAAACCAATTCTCAGAAGACCCAACCTACTAATTTCTCCGACCCTATCGCTTCGTGTTCATGTTTCACCATGAAGAATGTTTCTCCTGGGGGGGGGGGGGGGGTGCGGCTGCCCCACCCCTGCCCGTACGGCATGGTCTAAGCCTCGTACTTTTTTAATGGCATGGTGTAGAAAACAAGAAATCGAGGCCACAGGATCGAAGGAAAAAAGGTGAATGTCTAAAAATCCAACTAGTCCCACAACTAATCCAGCATTTTGGGATGCTTCTTATTAAAAACAGCGTGAGATTATCGTTTAAAATTCGATGAACTGGCCATCTTGTGGATTTAAAACACAGCATCCTGTTGTAAACGATTATTTGGATCACCAGGCTTTAAAATGTCCTAATCGACTTGAGAAAAAAGAGGATCTGCATGCTGGAGGTGTAGAAAGGAGACTGGATGCCAGTCAATATTAACCAATCCGATTCTATCGCTTGCGTCGACGTCAGCCCATATCAACCAATAAGTTACTGGCATTTAAATTCTCGGAAACTATTACTCGCTATGATATACTCACGAGCTATCGCTTGCCTCGCTGCTCGCAACAGACAGAGGTTTCATTATACAGGCTTTGCTCGCTAGTTCTAGTAGTGCATCAGCACCAACTATATCATCATCTTGATTCCCACCATTGGGTCGTGCAGTTTTTTCACCATAACCACTATCTTCCAGTGCATCTTTCTTGATCAACGTCTCCATAGCCTCGTTCTCATGATCCTCATCTTCTGTATCTGAACGATCAAATTCGTATTCACTATCCATCGAGGAACTTGGTGAAATCCTGTCTGATATTCTTCTTTGTTTTCCTTTGCTAAAACAATGGAAGAAATGCGTTGTGTTTTTAAAAGGTGTATACGTAATGTCCAGTCGGTTTGCGCAACGGTTCCGTTTTAAAACAATGCGGAACCTGCTAATGGTACAGTTGCTTAAGTTCCCACGTTTCAACTTATTATTTCGACCAATATTGTGTAAAATATGCAGACAACGTGTCACATTTTAAGAAAAACAGCAGTTCAATTTGTTTAGAACGTTTGTTTACATTAAGTCTGGACATTACCTTTAAAGCAGTACGTGTAAAACACGTTGCCACTTAACAGGTTATGTCACACAAAAATGCGCCATTATAGAACATTAAACGATTAGTGTCAAACAGCCAAGAATCGCACACGGTAATACTTCTGAATATCACACATCCCTATGACTATGTATGTGGACCAGTCAACATTCCTATCATTTTAGTCTTAAAATTACGTTTAATTGACATGTCATTCTGACCAAAGGGAGACCAAATGGTTACAAGTACATTTTAAACGGTAACCGCTTAATGGGACGTTGAATATATTCTCGACCTTAACTAGGCCTTAGTAATAGCATGTGCTGTATCAAATCTTAATAATATGCTTTATATATCAGTTCTCCAGTAATTAGTAGTTACAACCACACTACGCCACGCCAGATAATAGGTCAAAAGGAAATGGTGAGTGGAAAAGGAATTTTGATAAACAAGAAATGCTTTGTCTAAAGATGATTACTTGATTTTAAGTGTTGAACATTCTAATCTAGGGCTAGTTGTAAGAGGCCTGGATAACTCTATCTAAGTGATTTTATTAATCGCTTTAAAAACTGGAGATAAAATAACAGGAGTGTAAGGAATCAACAAAGAAATTACAAACTTACCTTTGTCTTTGAGCTTTTTCTAATGAGGCTGCAACAGAGAGCAGATCAGAAAAGGAACTTTTATATCCCTTTTTTAATTTTGTTTTTGATGGATTTCTATCAATATCAGATGCTCCACCCATCAAACACATTGTTGCAGCAGCTTCAGCCTCTGCTTCTGGATCAACATTTGGAGTATGTCTACCACTTTGTGTTATACCTATAATAAAATTATTTCAATACACCATTCAGCCTCATACCCTGGTACTTTTTTGAATGTTTCAGCTACTATATGTGGATCAGTATTTGCTACAACACGTGGGTTGTGCAATTAGGAAAAAGACTCTATCTCAACCTACTTTGTAGAAGTTGTGATTCCAAAGCTTTAGTGGCAGATCCATTGGAACTCTGTGGTGATGGAGGTGGTGTGGTCCACTGGCCGCCGTATGGATGAAATGATGGTGTTTTCCTTAAAGCTTGCATAAGATTTGGTCTATACTCTGGATCAACGCACCAAAGTGAACCTTTACCCATAGCCTGGAAACAAATTACATTAAATCTTGATAAATATGTCATCAGGGTAGGCATGAAACAAGGCCTCAAAGTCCACAGGTACCTATTCCAATGATTCCACATACCTGCCCCTTGTCCTTGTCAACCTTCTTAAAACATTTGTTTAATGACAAATTATGTCGCACTGAATTTTTCCATCCTAATGGTGCATTCCGAAAATATGGGAATCTTTCTGTTATCCAGTTGTAAATGTCTTTAACAGGTAATTTTTTATTGCTTGAATCTTCAATTGCCATAAAAATTAATGAAGAAAATGAATAGGGTGGTTTCCTTGGAGTGTTTTTTGCATTTGGTAAGTTCATTTTTGGTGAGCTTGCGTGTTTGGGTCCACCTCCATTTATTTGAGTGCCTGGTATAAATGTTAGGTCCATATCTTGCAGAGGTGGCAAGCAGCCACGTTTTGCTCCATTGTGAATTCCTTTCAGTAAGTTATTATTTTGTAACCAATTCAGGTTTGTTAAATCTAAGTCCAGTGGTTTCTTGTCATTTGACATTACACCAAAGCAACTTTTGCTCAAGTTCATTTTAACCTTTGCTAACTCTGTTGGGTTACTCAAAACGGTGTTGCTTGCAGATTTGCTTAGTTTTATTGAAGGCGGTCTTTCGACACAAGTTTGTGGCTTTTCCATTTTTTTTGTGAGTTTCCGACTTTATAAAGTCCTACAGTGAGAAATGAAGAAGTCAAGAACCTTGGTAATACCCTACTTGAAATATCTTTGTTGTTTTATGCGTATAGGGGTGTCCATTATAAGTAGATTTGTTAAAGATATGTTCTGAGGAAGCCCATTCATCTAGATTAGCAGCAGAGACAAGCAAGTCACCTAGTTGCTAACTTCCAGATGAAATGTCAAGGTTGCTATTTTTTTAGTTATCTAAACAGTAGACAATACATCTTTCTTTTATTCACCCAAATGAGGCTAAAATGCACATTCACATCACTTAAAATGCTTTTTTTTCAAAGAAAGTGTTGGTTTGAACATTATGTAATACCTATTAAACGTATCCTGTAAAACTACATTTGCCAGTAACTCCATCTTGACAATTACAAATCCCAATTATTTAATCAATGACTTCCTGAATTTTAATTTAGAAAAACAATGGGAAAACATAACAACAAAAGGTGTATTGAAAACTGAACAATGTATTTGGTATCTTTCTCCCCTGCACGCTATCATATTAAATCGCTCGCATCATTTCTGAAATTACTATCTTCCTGAGATAACATGTAGCTAATTATCATGACTTTAAAAACCTGTAACCCCATGTTACGGTAATTTGATATATTCACCAAAAAAACTCCCTCTAACATTACACAAACCTCACAATTGAGAGAAAAATCTTTTTTAAAAAGTTTCAATATGTCGTATTAACAAGCGAGAATGAAAGGTAGACAACAGAGAATACGGCTCTCAACAAAGGCCAAAGCGTTTAAAAATGGCATAATTAAAAATTCATTCCCTTTGTGGGTTTTGCTCCTACAAACAGCGTGAAAATTATTTCTTTTAAATGCAAAGCTGATTAACTGACGTTAAATACGGCTCGGCCATTAAAACCCCCTTTAAAGAAAATAATTTCCTAATTTTCGAAAGCTATTCAACAACTGCTTTGAAACGAAAACGAGCGTCGGTACTTGACGTGCATCAATGCTTGCAAATTCCTTCCTGCAAACTAGTTGAAGAATGAGGTCTTGTGAACGTAGGATTATAGCCATTAATTTTACATTCGCTGTGCTGTGGAGCTGTTCTTCTTAAATGGCTTACTTTCATAAAAATTCTTAACACGTAATGAATGCAGTCGACAAACTGAAGACATGTAAAATAATATGTTTGCCTATACTCCAGCATGTCCATGTAGAAACACTAAATTTGCTTTAATTTCAAAAGTTCATAAAGACGCTTCCAGGGTAGTCAAAACAACAGCACAGCTTCATGCCAGTTATAAATCTCGGCAATTGCTTTGAAAATAATTGTACAGTGGAATTATAGTTTATGTTGTTATGCCAACTACGATTTTAAGGCCAAAATTAGCTAGCACAAACACGCTGTTTCCTCGTCAGCTTTCGCCGAGATTTCAACAACAATACGTGTTGTATTGTTCTAAGAAAGACAGAATATTCCACAGATTTCTTAAAGTTGCAAATTACTGCGGTGTAAAATTGTTCTCAGTTTTTCAGAACGCCTACAGTGGGATGAAATTCATAATAAACTACGCCGCATCGAAGACTCCATTTGACAACTGTTTTAATATATTTACGGCGAAACGAAATTAAGGACTAGTTATAATATTATAAGGAGTTGGTATCTTTTAACGCTTCCTTTTTAGGCGAAGGCATAGTAACATGTTTTGAGGCAAATGTTCAGGAGGAATGTAGGAGCTTCATCAAGTCGCAAAACGTGCTAAGCGTTTTGTTATCAAAGATCAACGCTGCGGTTCGCGGGTCAAAGCGCGCTTTTGGGCAACGCGTTTGCTCATCGTCCAAGCCATATACAAAAACTTACTTTTTCAGGTTATCTGAATAACTGCCACAACAGATACACGTCCAAACGATCCCACACAGGCGAAGAGTTGCTGCCTACAACAAATGGAGACAAAAGAATATTTAACTTGTACCATTGTCGATTGATACTTCATAATTTGAGAACACAGATCATATGGCTTGTGAATAAATGACGACACTCGTAAAAGGTATGATATTTTGCTTTCAAATACCACAAGGTGCCAGAGTACTTACACATTATTGCTGCCGCAAGAAAATGCTATTCTTCATGGAAAAACAAGCGAGCTACCAGCGAGGAAAGCCAATGAATTGGGCTTAAAATGTTTCAACAGTTTTCAAATCCAAAGACATATTATCGAAAGTGATAAGTGTGGACGGCCGCGTGTGTATTCGAAATTCCACGCGCGAGTCCAGATATACGAGGTTACTATGGGCACGGGAAGCGCAGTTCGACCAATCAGCGCGCAAGAGCCGATTGTCGTTAAGGACAACCGACTTCGAAGCGACTTGAATGATGAATTTATTTACCCTGACGAATGGTTCGTTTTCCTTATGTGGAGGAAACAAACGAACCAGAACGGGCAAGTCTTCTAGCCATCAAATCTTAAATCAACAACAAGCAAACTCTGCCACCTTGTTTGACAAATATTACCCCAAACTAAAACAAGGTGTTCACCTTCAGAAGTTACTTTGAAAACAGCTCCCCAATGAAAAGTAGCAAATGTCTTGCGTGAGGACTTCCGAACAATGAGCGTACGAATTCAAATACCAAACTGTTTTGCACGCTTCTAACGAAAGCGAAGAGGTGTTTTATATTATTTCGAACATGTTTTATAGGTTATGTTCGGGCTTGAAAATTCGTCTGTCGCAATGCGAATGATTCTCTGATCAAGAAGTCAAGAACGGAACACAAAGAAGAAATTTTGCGTGTTTGAGCAACAAAATCCGTCACACGCAATCACATATATGTATCGTCTGTTAGTGAAACTCATTTTTGTATCCACTGCTAGGAATTCGTGCTTTTTAAGATCAATTTTGCAATGAGAGAATTACGAATTGGGTAAATATTGACTGTTGCGCGACTATTAAACATTAATAAGCAATATTTGAACAGGATTACGTTTTATAGACCACGAGCTGTCTCGTATAGCCCTTTCAGCGAATGTTTCAAAATTTGAAACTTTGTTTTAAATATAGTGTTACAAAATTCCATTACCCGGCTCAAATTTTTGCGTCATTAGTTAACTAACACCGATGAAAATGAGCTCTAATTGTATTTTAGAAACAGCTGGGTCGCAAGCTGTTGGAATTGATGCTAATGGGGTCCGCGTTCCGTTATAATTAGCCCGCCATTCATTTACTAGCATCGTCAAGACTCGCCTTAAATTGATCTCAATTTCTAACAAAAATTCCGAGTTAAAATGTCGAATTGACTACAAAACGTACCTTTCAGGAATAGGTTTACTTTTTGAGGAGAAAGAATTAGAGAAAGTGGTTTCCAATGAGATGAAATGTGCCTTCAAGTCACCACGTCGCTTTTACAGTTCGCCTTTCTTCTCCGTGACGTCTCACTGAGTGCAGTCACGGCAACACAGCCTGTTCATATGACTACGTATACACTGTAGATTTCGCTTCACTGATTTCAGAACATTTGCATAGAGAACAAGCGGTGTTTATAACATATCAAAAGTCAATAAGGAAATATCTACAGTATGAGATTCAACGATTAGTTTACAGCAAAAAGATAAAAGCCGGCTTAAGATGTTCACTACCCAAACATCTCAAAGTCTCGTAGCAAAGCCCCCACTATCAGTGGTAAACATCAAATACAATATACACTTAAAATGCAAAAGTTTGTCATTAATAGTACAGGTGTTCGCAATTACATCTAAACAACGAAAGGGAATCCTTCAGGTAAAAATAAACACGATCGCTTTTTGGGAACGTACCGAGCAAGGATAATGAAGTTGAATGACGAAGTCGTTACATAAAAAGAAGCACTGATTTGAATATTTTAAAATACTCTTTTATAACGGAAGTAGTTATTTTTCAAGGATAATTACCAACAAAGTTCAACTTGAAGAAATAGGCAAGCGTGTTCTAATTAATTCGTTGATGAACTGTTAATTGAGACAATTACGACACACCAATTATATTGCTTTGTTAGTAATTAAAAAAAACAATGCGTTTGGCAATTACGCCTTGAAGGTTTACATGGAAAATATTTTATACATTTACAAGCGAATATATCTTTTACACGTGAATTGTTACATAATTTGTGTTATTGTATATGATATATTAAACAAGTTGTAATGACCTCAGACTTGTATCGTAAATTTAAGCCAGGGCTAGCCAATTTTCGACCCATTTTTAAAGTGCTCGCACTAAATACTTTTCTTAAAACCTCTGAACATCTTTTTTCCCAATTCTGCTAAACATATATGACTACTGAAAATAAAACTGACGTATCCGTCATCATACCCCTCAGTTACACCGTGGTTACCCCAAGTATCCGGTATGTCTAGCATTTGAATGCTTGACTCACTTTAAAAGGACAATGAAAATTTAAAGTATTCCAAGGCAAAAAAACTGCATCCGTTTTTTCGGTTTCGCTTTTCAACTCGAAAGTCCAATATAAGGCTTTCTTTATGACTAAAATATATATTTTCCATCTTCCTTCAACAAATAAATTCTATTTCGTATGGCCAGTGCCTATGATTTGAGCTGATGAACTGAAAAAACTTGGACAGATTCAATTGGGCAAATATAGTCATATAGTGTTAAGACAGTTTACAATTGTGACATCTTTAGTTCAACAGCATCAAGAATTAGCGTATGCGGAAGTTATGCAGAACTTGACGTTTGACGTTTTCCGTGTATTTCCTGCGGGTCGAACGACGGGATGAATTAATGATAATCTTCTCTAAGTGAATGGTATCTCGAAAAATTGTAGCAAATGTCCGAGTTGTGTCAATGAGTGAAGATAGTTTAGGGGGAGACCGAGACGCCACGACATTAATAAGAGTTTATGGCGTTAATCCGCGCGAATAAAGATGAAACACGTCCGATTCCTGACCGGTCCTATTTTAATTCATGATGCATATTAATATCAGCCCGAAGATGAATTAGTTTTCCGCCTATTGATTAGCAGACTAAAGTGTTTGCCAAATATATTTACACAAAACACGTGCAAGTCTTGCTTTGCTTTTTATTAATTTAATCTTGTCGTGTTTCGACATGTGTTTAAAAACAAGTGTGCTTTCAACACGAGCGTTTTTCCTTCAGCGAGTCAACAAAGCTGTTGTTGAGAGCAGAAAATAACAAACTTTCTAAATCGCTAATTGTTGTGTACACATTAACAATTAATGTTTATAAATTAACATCCAGCCATATGGGTGATACGGAGGGGCAGCTGGAACAAGTCTGTTTTGCCTGGAGTTTTTATGAGGCCCATTTACACTTGCGATGTTAAATGTGATTTTCTTCTTTTGGTAGATGTGAACGAGTGAATTAGTTACGAATGCTCTGATGTACAAGAGCTCTTATTTGAACATCCGTAACTAATTCACTCGTTCACATCTATCAAAAGACGAAAAGGTTGTGATGATGTATGCTTGTTTTGCCAGACAAAATTATCTTTCTAGGGAAATTAGGGGTAGGCATCACACCTTTGAACGATGGACTTCACTCATTTCAACTGAAAAACGTCCATACTAAAGATACGTTCGAATTTTAACACGGTAATATCTTTGGGATAAGTGCCGTGGTTTGCACGTTCACGATTAAAAATGGGTCAGGATTACGTTCAAGATTAGTATTAATCGTGGTTAGGATTAGGATTATCACTGAACCCGAATTAATCAAATCAGAACTAGAGTGCTATGATTATTGTTAAATTCAAAATTCGGAATATATATTAGCGCCATTATTATTACAGTTCGAATTTTAGGACACTGGGGTTTAGACTGAAGCCAAATATAGTCGGTTTATAGAAAATTTAAATTTCTAAATTAGAATTCACACGATTATACCGTCTTTGTACTTAAAATTGTTAAAGCAATTACTTTATATGCCCTGGTGAGATAAAACACCAGTTGCTAGGCATTTGAGTTACTCAAAGTTTTGAATTGGATAGCAACGTATGTAGCAACGATATAAACACAAACACTAAACAATACTGTCTAGACGTGTAATAACATACCAACTGATTTACAGGCACAAAGATTAGATAGTACATTTTAACTGCAAGATTATATACACATGTTTTTATTTGTGCATAGAAATTGTTATTTTCTTCAACAGTTTTTACGTTGGTAATAAGGATAATTCGCACACTTCACCTCTCCACCTTCCAGATGAGGGAAGAAAAGTTGAACTTTGAGGTAAATGAGAAAAAATAAACCATTTACATGGAGACAAGACTGTAATCAATAGTTAAAGTGGTGTCATTTCCAAGAAAATTGTGATAGTGTGGGAAGTGTTAGGAATACGATATGTCTCTGATTGATGGCTTAACATCTGTCATCGTTGTATCATGTTACTGGTCAATATGGCCACCAATCACCCTCATGGATAAGCCAGTTACCCTCATGGATAAGCCAGTTGCCCTCATGGATAAGCCAGTTATCCTTGCGGATACCTAATTATCCTCGTGGTTATCCAGTTACAGTACTGTATCTCCTCACAGATAAACCTGGTAATTCTCACCTAGTTATCCTCAGAGATATACAGTTATCCTCGTGAAAACACAGCTATCCTCGTTAATACACAGTTATCCTCTACTGTCCCGCACAGCTATCCTCTTAAATATACAGTTATTCCCGTGGATGCACGGTTACCCATATGATATCAAAACGCGCATTAACAGTTCAGCCATGAAAATGGAGTCTCATGGCACCCTGTTGATAGTACCTCTAACGGTAACCACATGTTTATGTACGCTATCGATCAAACGGACCAGCAGACAACAGCAAATTCCTCCAAGTAAAATGCAGACAGTGTACTGGGGTAACTTTTGTTGGAAACGAAGCTAATTCCGTCATTTGTACTGTACAGCCCGAGTTATCCATCCTGAGTAAATAACAATATCACCATGACTCACGGGCAGGTATCACCCAACCCCTCCCCCCCTGACCACTTTGGTATAGATAATTCCTAGAAATACCACATCAACTTACCCTAACATTAAATCGTCCTCGTCATCTTTATTGCAAGCATTCTGAGCACTCCATAGCTTCACACAGCAGTCTGAACCGCCTGATTGAAAGAATGAACGCTTAGTTTCGGGTAATATTTAAAAAAATAGCAAGCCAGGTGAAGGAAACTCACCCGATGCTAAAATATGACCATCTCTGCTGAACCTCAGCGAGTGCACGGTGTCTGTGTGACCATTAAATTCTGCAGTAGGACGAGCTTCGGGAATATCCCACAGGATAATTTTCTTATCAACACCTGAAAAACAGGTTTTTCATCAAGATATAATTTATAATTATCATATTCATCTCTAATGCAATACTAAAGGGGACGACGAATGTAGTCGGGATTTTCTCTAATCAGAGGCCGGTTGTATCAAGCCCGTTTAGCTTAAACGGTGGTTAAGTAAAAATGAAACAACACTCTTACAACTCTCTCGAATGAGTCAACTTGAATATTATGCACTGAATATGTAGTTGTAAACAGTATCTTTGTATTAAGGTTAAAAACATTTAGTTTGCTTGTTGAATAAAACGGTAGACTTGCTTTCTATTTTGAACTTAACCACCGTTCAATGGAATAGTTTATTAGTTCAGTGCCAATGTCAAGAAAATACCTACCTGAAGAGGCTAAATAACGACCATCCGGACTGAAATCTAACGAGTGAATCGCACCCTACAAGAAAAGATTGAAATTGTCATGATGTGTGTCCTTGATGGTAATCGAGTTAACCAGCTGGTGCCAGAGATCACGGAATGGTATTTGAATCGACTAGCTAGTGCCTAAATTTACTTGCTCGTGACAGAGATCACTGGCTGGTATCAGTGATTTTACTGGCTAGTACAAGAGTACCATTTGCTGGTACCAGAGTTAACTGGTACCAGAGTTAACTTGCTGGTAACATCACATGCTGGTACCAGAGTTCACTCTCTGGTATAGTAACAGAGTTCACTGGATAGAATCAGAATTCACCGGCTGGTACCACAGAGTCCGCTAGCTAGTACCAGAATTTACTGATTGGTACAGGATAAAACCAATCTTAACGTAACCCACCTTGTGTCCAGTGAGCACACGAACACATTGACCAGAGGTAATATCCCACAATCTCACTGTCCGGTCGCATGACCCAGTAGCGATGTAATTACAGTTCGGATGAAAGCGTAATGTCTAATGAAAAACAGAAGAGTTTTACAACCACGTTATCTTTCTACTACAGGCAGTAGTTTAGGACAGGCTAACGTAATAGCTAGGTCAGAGCACTGTGGTTAGAGTGAAGCCATTAAAATAGAACTCACATTAACGTCAGAGTAATGTCCAGCAAATATTCGCAGTGGATGAGGGTTCTCTGTTGTCCATAATCTCGCAGTTCGATCGTGAGAACAAGATGCGAAGTAGAGTCCTTTAGGACTGAAATGGGAGAGAAATATTTATCAGAGAAATACTTTAAGTTTTCTTCTGTTGTAACACTGGATCAATAAAGGACGATCCTTATTGGAATTCAACGAAGAACAGTTTAAAAGAACAGTTTGGATAAATGACGGAATAATCCTTGCTAGATTTCTGAGAAGAAGACTTTTGAACTGATGCAGGAATACATATACATTAAAGTGCAGATAAAGATAGCTTTTTCAAACGTACCTAAACTGAACATCCCACACAGGATAGTTATGGCCCTTATAACACACAATATTCGTATATGTGAATAAACTCCATAATCTGACGGTTTTATCCTCGGACGATGTGAGAAGTAGTGAATTATCATAGTTGAAACTTGCGCCATAAATCGGTCCGCTATGACCTATGAGTGTCTTCGACTCTGCTGCAGTTTTATCATCCAGTATTCGTTCAAACACATCCTCTACAATAAGGCAAACATTGAAAATATCAATTTCATGGTTTATCTTTTAGAAGATTCTAAAATATTGGTAAAGGTGGAGGGGATGTGAAATGGGGTGCACCCCCTCTACCCTATACCCGTTTAACCAGCTGGATTTCATCCCCCATAGCCCAGGCCAGAAGGGCTTCACCTAGCTCCTACAGCCAATACACGAAGCACTTGAAGAGAAACTGTTTCTTTCATTGTACCTGCATCTTTATCTATCCTTGCCAATTCGACAGCTGGTTTCAAAGCACGTAATTTCCTCGGCGTGAGCGTCCAAATGCGAAGTGAACTGTTTTCAAAACCGCCGCAAATAAGATTGGAGTCATCGGAAAATGTTATTGTGTTCAGCCTGAAAAAATATATAAAATACAATTTATTATTTTAAAACCCCTAACAAACAACCTCCAACAGTAAAAGTCTTGAAGGATGACCCGTTCAGCATCTCTTACCCTTGATGGGCATTCAAAAAGGTGTACAAACAAACTGACGGCAATGTTTCACTATCAACATTCAACATCTTCGCAGTCTCTTTGAGCATTGTGGCTTTTAGAACTTTCTCACGATCTTTTCTGAAATAGAAGGATTATCATTGAGGGTTTACATATATAATATATATAATGTCAAGCATATATTTAATGGGCAGAATCTTGGCAAGGTAAAGGATGAAGAACTTACAAATCTGGGAAAGGAATTCTGTCAAGTTTCGGTGCATCAGGGTTAAACTCTTTCTTCTTTTTTCCTACAAGTATTAAAACTTATACTTCAATCTTTTTATTCAATTAAGCTATAGACTTAAACTTACACTTGTTTGCGGTCCTACTAAATACCGCCCGGGAGCAGCTGAGAGCTCCCCGGAGTACGCAAGGGTGAATAAATCTATGTGTGATCCCTTTTGAAGATTTTTGACTTCTTTTTTTCAACAAAAACAATGTTAAAAGTGATTCTCAACCAGCCCCGGCAACGAAAACAATTGAAGGGCCGCCCACGAAGGAAACTATATGAGCACTCCCGGACGGTATTTAGTAGGACCCATCAGCTTGTGCAGCAGCAATCATAAATACACTGAATCCTACAAGCAATGCGCAAGTAAGCAACAGAGAACATTGCTTGTGGGAGAAGGTAGCTTTGTATAATATGTACCCTACCTTGACCTCCCTCTTTCTTTGTTTTCTTTTTCTATATTCCAAGAGATGAATATAAAGCAATGAGTAAATAGTTCAAAATTTGTGAATCACATACAGGATGGATATGTCAGGACATGAGTTGTTTTAAGGAGTTCTGTGGCAAACACTCACCTTCGGTTTGTCTTTCTCTTGATCTTCATTCTCGGGATCATCTTCTGGCAAGACCACACCAAGGTCTGGCTCTTGTGCAATACCATGTAACACTTTCCCTTTATTTGCTGGTAAAAATGAAGTGAATATAATGACTACCCGCCCCACAAGACAAACATAAACTCTTGAAGCACATACCTTCATTTGTTGGCTCTCCAACAATGGCACCCGCTGCAGAGGACACTGCATCTTTACTGCGTGGACGACCATCGAAGACTGTGAAAAAAGCACCAGAAGTAGGTTGAAATAAAGGATGTCATTTTTATGTGTTCTTTAGAAGTTGCATAAATATCTCACCATCAAACTGGAGATGTTGTTGGATCAAATTTAAAACAAGATTATTTTGACTTTCCTGAAAATAAAATTGTCCTGAGTTACTGTGCTAGGAATGTGGACAACCCATTAATTGCAGGTTTGATTGGAAGCAATTTTGGCTATTCTGATGTCAAATGTAAAACAAGAGACATGAATGGAAATATATGCTTGAAAAGTGTACTCTACCTGGAGCTTCTTTTTCAAGGCCTGATACGACTCTCGAGACAACTTGATCACAAATTTATTACTCCTGAGATTGACAGAAGCAGAACAAATACATACTGAGCAATTTTTTTTAGATCAGCAGATTGATCAATTATATAGTACGTACCTAAGCGTAAGCATCAAGTCATTTACTTCAACATGCTCTTTGTGAGTGACTGATGAGAGTTTCATAATATCTTCCTGGTAGTAATCCTCCTGGCTATCACGAAACTTTGTTATAAACGATTTAGCTGCAACAAACACAATGATAATAGTGTAAAGCCGAAATTTCATCCTACAATAGGGTCTAAATAAAGTCTAGATAACTCTAAATATCAACCTAAAGTCCCAATAGAGTCTAAACTTCATCTTTAGATTTTAATACAGTATAGATAAAGTCTAAAGTTTAACTTAAGGTCTAAATAAATCTATATAAAGTATTTAGTTCTTCTTGCACTAGTCTTAATAGAGTCTAGATAAAGTCCAAATGTCATCTTAGGTGCAAAGAAAGATGCCAATCAACATTATCATATATTAATCATTTGAACCTCAACACCTTGGTTGAGTTTTCAAACTACAACTATTCCATACCTTTCTCCTCATGACCTTGGTAAATTAAGTCCAGATACATATGAACAAATAATGGATACAAGATTGTGCCAAGTTCAGGCTAAAATTTCAAATAAATCTAATTATTTTATATATGAAAAAGAATGCACAATTCACTGTATTTTGTGTTCTATAGAGCAAGAAAACACAAAAATTTGCCAAACCTTGTAAACATCGAGTGACTTTTCAATGTACTCCTGGATGCTGTGAAATAAAATATAAATAACATTTTAGCAGACAAAATACTGTTTAACCCCTATTCAAATAGATTAAATTTCTTTATTGAAAATGCCAATTTGATGCAGCCAGAGCTGCAGCTAGACTGGCTTAATTGGGGGAGAGGTGTTAATTCATATATTCATGTTTACATGTCATAGGGACAATATACCAAACAAAATAAATCAGTCTGGCATAGGACAAATATATGAATATATCCCTCTCCCCTCCCAGCTATAAAGCTTCTAGCTACAGCCGTAGGCTATTAAATAAAATAATTGTGAATCAAATAATACCGCACCTAGCATAATATACTTCATACTTTGTAGGATCTCCTTCACTGAAATAAGAAAACATATGATATGATATTATTGCCCATATGTAGCTAATGATTTAATCAAGTTACCATTCAGCAAGATTCAGTGGTCATGCATACCCAGTGTGGAAAGTATGTATAGAACAAGCAAGATATCAGAAATGCAATTTTGATGTCTTCTATATATTTCCTAGTACATTTTTCAAATCTCAATTGGAAAGTTTGCATACTTTTTCGAGTAAGGGTTGTACCAAGTTACAAATACCAGAGACCTACAACCATGCAAGTTACTGGTCAAAAATATTCAGTCCTTATACCAGAGTAACCAGACCATCAGGTAATCCTGCATCTGACATAGGGACCGAAGGCAAAATTAAGCTATATATTATTTAATAACTATTCACAATATTGGACATATATTTGAAGCACTTTACCTGCTGTATTCTGACAATGCACTACTGATATCTTTTCCAGCAACACTGCTCTCTTCAATACCTTAATATTTAAATTTATATGACATCTTAGGATATTCAAAAATAACCACAGTGAAGTGACGATGTATTTTAGCAACTGCCAAGATTTCTGGTCGTGTTTCTAACCTGCACACGACACTTCACGTCTTAAAGCTTCTTCTGTGCCCTATATTATGAATCACAACGCCATGGCATATAAGTGAACAAATCATGATCAAAACCGGCAAAAAATTTTAACGAATTCACACTTCAAATGCTTTTTATTGTTTACCTTCAAATTCTGCTTTTTCAAATACTGTAAAACTGCAAGTAAGGTTTGTTTATCAGCATCTGACTGTTCCTTTTGTTGCATGTTTGCACCAGAATTTGCCGCCATATTGGAAATATTCGAGTGCCTCGGACCCCAAGACAAGTGTTCTCACATTTTCCGACTCATGAGCTGTTGATGTGTTAGCGCTAGGGTTAGCGCCAGGTTAGCGCTAGGGTTAGGGTTAGCGCTAGGGTTAGTGTTAGGGTTAGCGCTAGGGTTAGCGCCAGGTTAGCGCTAGGGTTAGGGTTAGCAATAGGTTAGCGCTAGGGTTAGGGTTAGGGTTAGCGCTAGGGTTAGTGTTAGGGTAACGGTTAGGGTTAGGATGTCAAATTTTACCTCGTAACCAAAGCATGGTTACATTGTTTAATGTTTGTATATGAGCACCAAACATATATGAAACTTTACATAGAACATGCATTTGACCATGAAAACAGCGTGGTTATCCATATCAAAATATTTGACATCATAACCAAAGCATAGTTGCAACCGGGGAATTAATTTAATTAAAAAGAATTAAATTTACTCAGTCTTTCAAGTATGCGTGTCTTATTTATTATTATTATTAATTTTGCTAAAAATTTTCTTTAAAGTCATAATGAAAAAGGCTTCACCCGGGATTCGAACCATAGACTCACCATTTGCGAGACGATTGTCTTCACCACTAGACCGTCAGCTCTTCAGGTTGATGACTGTCTTTTATAGTTTTATTATATTTACTAAATCTCTTCTTTAAAGTCATAATGAAAAATATTTCACCCTTGCAGGATTTGAACCATAGACTTACCACTTCTGAGACAATTATCTTCACCACTAGACCATCGGCGCTTGATTCGCAGCCATGCAGGATTCGAACCATACACTGATCACTTGCGAGACCATCGCCTTCACCACTAGACCATCAGCGCTTGAGGTTGATGACTGTGTTTTATTGTTTTAAATAAAGTCATTTCTTTAAAGTCATAATAAAAAATATTTCACCCACGCTGGACTTGAACCATAGACTTACCACTTGCCAGACCGTTATCTTCACCACTAGACCATCAGCGCTTGAGGTTGATGACTGTCTTTTATTATTTCAACTGAATCTTTTTTTAGGTCATAAATGAAAAATATTTCAGCCATGCAGGATTCGAACCATACACTTAATTACCACTTGCGAGACCATCGTCTTCACCACTAGACCATCAGCGCTTGAGGTTGATGACTGTCTTTTATTATTTCAACTGAATCTTTTTTTAAGTCATAAATGAAAAATATTTCAGCCATGCAGGATTCGAACCATACACTGATCACTTGCGAGACCATCGTCTTCACCACTAGACCATCAGCGCTTGAGGTTCATGATTGTCTTTTATTGTTTTAAATAAATCATTTCTTTAAAGTCATAATGAAAAAGGCTTCATCCGGAATTCGAACCATAGACTCACCATTTGCGTGCCGATTGTCTTCACCACTAGACCATCAGCTCTTCAGGTTGATGACTGACTTTTATTATTTTTACTAAATCATTTCTTTAAAGTCATAAATGAAAAATATTTTAGCCATGCAGGATTCGAACCATACACTTACCACTTGCGAGACCATCGTCTTCACCACTAGACCATCAGCGCTTGAGGTTCATGATTGTCTTTTATTGTTTTAAATAAATAATTTCTTTCAAAGTCATAATGAAAAAGTCTTCACCCGGGATTCGAACCATAGAATCACCATTTGCGAAACCATTGTCTTCACCACTAGACCGTCAGCGCTTGAGGTTGATAACTGTCTTTTATTGTTTTAAATAAAGTCATTTCTTTAAAGTCATAATAAAAAATATTTCACCCACGCTGGACTTGAACCATAGACTTACCACTTGCCAGACCGTTATCTTCACCACTAGACCATCAGTGCTTGAGGTTGATGACTGTCTTTTATTACTTTTATTGAATTTTTTTTTATTAGAAGCTTTAGAAAAGATTTAGATAAAATAAAAAAATCATGTCCCCACACTCAGGAGCTGATGGCAATGATTTCCGGATTTGTAAAATATATTTGAAAAGATTAAATGATTTTATTCTGGTAAACAAATATGCAACAAAAATGTATGTACAATACAAATTACAAAAAATAATGTTCATCACGTTCTACCAAATTTATATTTATTCTGAGTTTCTAGAAATGTTTGTGCCTCTGGAGGAATGTTGATGGGCAGTTCTTCCAGTTCTGTATGCTGTACACCCATACTAACACCTTCGGGACAATTTCTTTGAATATATTCCAGGAAAACATCTGATGTTGTGCCAGTTAACTCTTTAAACTAAATGTAAAGAAAAATATTCGTATTATCAACATCCTGAATGATCCTCTATGGATCACTTTGTTCACACAAGTCTTAGATCTTAGATCACATGTTACAAATTTTTATTACCTGAATGAGTAGCCTATGTGTTCGTATCTCATATTGGACCCTGTGTTTCTTGTAAATGTGAGGAGATTTCAATATTGTGTACCGTTCAATATTTCTTGGCAAAGCAATCCTAAAAATGGTTTCAAGTTGTAATTTTTCTTACACAGGTTTTCCAGGTACATTTCAATGATATTGGAACTAGAACTAAAAGAACAACATACTGATTTGTTTTTATTTTCAAACATGCAGCAGCTTTTGTTATGAACTGTGAGTAGCTGTCTAAGACTGCTTCATCATTGCCTTTTATTTCAATGCTCACTTCTGAGAACAGCCTTTCTTTATTCTTGAAAACAGAAGCAATATATGCACCATGTGTTAACAGAATATCAGGAAACCCCAGTCAGGGCTGCAAGAAACTGACTCAAACTTCTACTGTATACCCAACATTCTGTGCCGTGTATGTTAGAATAAATATATGCAAAAAATCAGATTGTGTGAAATTACTTTATTACCTCGTCAAAAGTAGATAAAGTTTGCATATTTCCCATAGACCTTTAAAAAATTTGCATATATTCAGTGACGATAGGTGAAGTATATAGACATCAACTATTTTATAAAACATTGATAACTCACCAATGGCCTGGTCTTGTAAGCAAACATCTTGATCTCTAGTATAATAAAATTCGTTACAAAATACTTTACTATTGAAAGCAAGACCCAGATTTGGAAACCTTGGAGTTTCCATTGGGGAAAAAATGCTATTTTCTTAGATTCGCTCTGAAATTAATAAAGAGCGTTCCTGTATAACATAACTTACGGAAAACAGTAAACATACCTCGCATCCTTTGCGTAAAATTGAGCTAGAACTTGCTCGGATATATTGCATTACGACCGCCATATTTGAATCACGCACCTCGTGACGAGAAACGTCACGCGCGGGAAGATGAATTTTGGTAAATTTAGACTGATTTGGAACACATGTACATATTACAGTATTACAGAAATTCTAGAACAAATTTTTGGAATTTTCTGAACAAAATACGGAACGAAGCCGGCGAGAATCGTGCAATAATTTCGAAGTTGTAGAATTGATCCTGAACGACCATGATCATTTGAATTTTTCTTTTTGGAGACCGTCACAAAAAACCTTTTTTCAATGCATTCAAGCGTTGATTTTAAATCAGGAGAATGAAAATACGAATAATTTATTTGCAATCTAACGAAAAAGATTTGCATTCTCAAGGGGCTGTTACACTATATAACTTTCCTTACAACTTGCAATGAAATTCTAATTTTAAGAGAGTGTTCGAAATTCTAAGAAAACGTTAGCAGATCGTAGACATATTGGGATTTGACAATTTTAAATGCATCAGGAGTAGAATGCAAGGAAAGTTGCATGGATAGTGTAACACCCACTGAGTGGTGGTACGTAACACCGCCTTCAAATTGACTTCAAAGTCAAGGTTCCGTCTTGGGGTTGCTGTTGGCAAACATGATGACGTCAGCCCATGTGATAAACCATCCCAGAATTCAGTGGGTGATCTCTTTGAAGTTCGCATAGTATGGCGGTGAGTTGATCTTCTCGCCACGTGTGAGAATTTTCATCTATTTTTCACATTAGATTGCCTTAAAACTTATTCTGAACAACACGAATGCATTCTCTGCGTTCAGATCTGTCACTTAAGCCCTTCAACTATACAATATACCCCTTTCGAGCGAGAATATTGACCACGAAACCACTCGCTTTTCGGTCAAATATTTTCCACTTGCGATCCATTTACAAATGATTCTCGAATTTTAGTTCAATTTTTTGGTTGATATCTGTCTGATATTCCTAATTGCATACATTTAAATACATTTGAGTTTTATTTTGCTATTTTTATATAGTTTGGGTGTTAGGAATTGCATTTTTTAAATAATAGAAATTGGTACATTTCTATCAGTGGAAATTTTTAATATGAATACGTGTTTTAAGGTTTATATTTACCTCATTTTTTCGAGGTTATATTTGATAACAGAAAGTTAGTATTTTAGTCATGTAATATGAAAATGACAATTTACAAACAGTGTTTTTGAGATTTTTTTCTTAGGGGGGGAGCCTTAATTGTAAGATTGGGTGTAAAATGATTCTTAGATTGGGTGATAAGTCTAACATAATCACTAGGAAGCTAGAACAGCAACTAAAAATGTGGCTTGTTTCTAATTTCCAGGATGACACCAAAAAAGAAGAAAGGCAAAATCCAATGAAGGAACTAAGAATCCAGAAGCTGTGCCTGAACATTTGTGTTGGCGAAAGCGGTGACAGGCTAACACGAGCTGCAAAGGTGTTGGAACAGCTAACTGGACAGGCCCCGGTCTTCTCAAAAGGTGAAGCAGAGATTAATCTCACAATGGGCTGGAAAAGAGTCACATTTTCTAGTTGTATTTTGTGTTTTTGTAGCACGTTATACGGTGCGATCTTTTGGCATTCGAAGGAATGAAAAGATTGCCTGTCATTGTACAGTCCGTGGACCCAAAGCTGAGGAGATCCTCGAGAAGGGCTTGAAGGTAATGGAATAAAATACATTGATGATTCATAGTTTCATATAGCCATGAGAATGTAGGAGAAATGTGTTGAAAGAGGAACAACTCTTTTCTAGGTCAAGGAATATGAGTTGCGGAAAGAAAACTTTTCTGCAACTGGCAATTTTGGGTTCGGTATCCAAGAACACATTGATCTTGGTATCAAGTATGACCCAAGTATTGGAATCTATGGCATGGATTTCTATATAGTGTTGGGACGTCCTGGTTTCCGAATCTCGCATCGCCGCCAGCGTAAAAGCAGGGTTGGTTTCAAACACCGGGTGACCAAAGATGATGCCATGAAGTGGTTCCAACAGAAGGTCAATATTGACTTATTGTTGCTTTGAGACTAGTTAAAATTTCAACACAAATTTGGCCAATTTCCCTGTCAGCAACTAAAAGTCTTGTGTGTAGGCAGAGTAATCTTCTGTTGTAAAGTTCTACAAAAATATCTCTTATTTCTTTTTAGTATGATGGGATCCTTTTGCCTGGAAAGAAGTAATTTCTTTATAATTTACAAGTTTGTTGTCCATGAAATCTGCTATTAAAAACATCAAGAAATATGTTTTTAGTGTTGCTTTATTTGTGTGTAATTCTGTTTGAAATTTGTTTTGGACTTTTGTGGTACCCCAGAATGTCATTCCCCAGACATGTTGTATTAGCAATTCAGTTACCACTAAAACAACTTGTGTCTATTTCTGCAGAAAAAAAGCCTTTTTATACTCGAAGGTACAGGAAAATTTTTGAGCTATCTGTAAACAAATGGCTGTATGAACACAATACTTTAACAATTTCAGACATGATTTTTTAATGACATACATATGTATATAAGCACAGCAAATAGCATTACAACAACCAAGAATATATATATGTATATATTTAAAAGTTAACAGGAAGACAAATGTTTCAGGATTCTTGCAAAGGCCAATATAGCATCATTCTATTAGTGTTTAAAGGTTCCTGAATATGGCTTTAGAAAACACTGTTTGTGATTTTCGAGCTTCACTTTTTGCGTTTGTTCTCCTGTGAAACAAAATTTTAGATTAGCTTTTATAGTAAACAAATGAATTCCAGTACAAAGCATTATCAATGATGGCTTTTACTGTGTAAAATTTGATATTACAGTAGAGACACTACCTTGTTTTGTGCAAGAATCACCATAATTCTCCTGAAAACTGCAATAAAATCGATGAACAAATCGAGACAGTGCCTGTGAAAGAAAATACAAAGATATTGCAGTTTCGAAATGTTGAAAAAATATTCAGCATTTAAACAAATTTAAACAATTGTCTAAATGTAAATTTGGAATTATTTCGGTTAAAGCTGCCTCTGTATTACTCACCAAACATAATCTTTGTCACCACGGCGGAACTTCTCCACAATCAGTTGGGTGTCGTACAGAATGAATGCACTGAACACAACCAGGCCAAGATAAAGGTGAACCTGAATTATGGTTAAATTAGAATTGGTGGCAAGCTTTGGTAATTATGGTGGCTAATAGCACAATATTGTATGGTGATTTTGTTGCAATATGGTAGATGTGGTATATCTATGGTAAATTCACCTGGTAGAGAAAATAGGAACGCATGAAAAGGTTAAGAATGGAGCTGACCAACAGGATTGTCAACCCAGATCCAAGCAAACCTATAAAAATAAATGTAAACCATTACCCATTTTCACCTTTATTGGTTGTATCTAGACAGGCTAGATAGCTAAAGAAACACTTGGCATTCTCACCTCCCATGTAAAGATAGCTGCGTTCTTCAGCCAACAATGCGCTCAGTGAGAAACACACAAAGATTAAAGTTGTGAAGAAGAATGCTGTTGGTACAATGCTAAACACAGAAGAGCAGTTAAAACACATAGCCTTATAATAAATTTGCTAAATTTGGATGGATATAAACCACAAGGAATACCTTGAATCAATTTGGGTTACTCCCTCCATGATTGGCCCCAATCCAAGACCTGAAAATGGAGAAAGTAATTAAGTAAATACCCAGTCAATGAAGCAGGAAATACTGGATAATTGTGGTAAATTACCTGTACAGAAAGCAAAGCTCATCAAAATCCCTAAAAATAGATATAAACCATTGGTGAATGTAATTAAATTGCAAAATAATTTAGATTTTTAAAAATAAGTATGTGAAAAACATTGCTATGTGGAGTGGCAGCCACTAGAGATGATTTCATGCATACCAATTCGTTTTGTCTGATTCTTGCCATTGTAAGGAGTGACCAGAAGCAATAAGAGAAGACCAATTCCAGCAATGGCAGAGAGAAAACCACCCTATTAAATAATGTAGGATATCTTGATATATTATTCATAAAAAATTTGATTGATTGGATAGCACAAATTACTGGTTATTTGAAGAAAATATGTTCTGGGTAATAAAGAGTGTTTGAAAGCATGCAAAACATACCTTCAAGAATTGGGTGAACATGTGCACAGCCCCTCCTGCTGCAGCAGCGAACATGGACATCGCCAAAACAGAATAGACATTTTTCAAATGTTTTTTGGTTGGGACATCCCTGAAACCCAAAGAGAATTACTTGAAACTAACATTGATGTTTGCAGCTCAGGAAAATATCTACGCCATTCCTAAATCTAAAATCTAGTCTGTGCAGTCAGCATTTGAAAGCTATTTTGAGGAATTAAAGTTTCATATTAAAGCTATGATAGCCTATGGGGGGTTGATATCACGATCGCATTTATAAATGTTTGCAGGTGTTCAAATACAGTAATAATGTAATATTGAACTTTACAGATGAAGCATAACTTAGATATATATGTTCGACCTCTTTCTTTTTAAGCCTTTATACTTAATAGTTATTTAACACCACTATCTCCTGTGAATTGAGCATACATTTACCACAAAACGCAGCAAGCGTATCGGTGAAATAAAAATGTACATATTTTATATTTTTTATATTACAATAATCGGTTTTTGCAACGCAAGGCAATTTTAAAAATTAACTACACTTATTCATATAAACGGCGATTTCCTATATATTGTAGCATTATTTTCTATATTACCAAGCCTGAACAAAATCAATACTTGCATGGGTTAAAAAAACATACTTCATTACTACCCATAATTTTTGATGAGGATTCCAAAAAAATATAAACAAACCAAATATCGCTCCCATATATGAACGGTTTTTGCTTTGCACGCATTACTTACAGCTTTGAGAAGTCTGTCAACGTTTCAAGGTTAAATCCTCGATTCCTGGTCAATCTTTCCATCATAAATCAATCAAATATAAACGCTTTCTTTCCTGTGTTTGTTAGGTAATAGCTTTCGTAACAACGTATTTGAAATTGTTTCGATTTCAGAATTGGGAGAAGATGCTCGTGGCCGAGACATTAAATCGAAGTAAGAGTCTGGACACTAATGATGTGCTTCATTTTAATTGGTTCATAATGACGTCAGTTGATACGCCAGTAATTACATCATCATCGTTTGCATTTTAATTTTTAACTGACCTGGTCCCATGGATAGTTAAAAGAGTGATTTTATTACCCATGTTGGTACCGCTCAGGCGAAATAACTGCCGCATAAACAAATATTTATTTTTTCAATTTTTTTTTATTATTATTGTCGTAAAAATACCAAAAAACCCGAAACTATTCACAGATCCATGTCTATTCTAATATGTTTAATAGTTTTTTGACTGTAAAATTGAAGTCTGCAAGGATAGCTCTAATAATGTTATAAATTAATAGTGTTTTACTTGTAAATTTATATTGTGACAAAGCTTATAAAATTAAAATTAAAATTAAAAAAAAAAAAATTATTCGATTCCTGAGCTCATAGCAGATGACGCCACGCCCAACACGCTACTGCCACGCCTGTGATTGAATTATTTGTATTCTCTATCCCCCCCTGATACTTACCCTAAATAATATTATCAACAGGTCTTTTCCGGGGGAAGAAATCGTAAAATGGACGACCTCTTCTCCAGTCATAATTTTAAAATTTGTTTAGTATTTTTATAATATTTCTAATGTATCGAATTTTTTCGAAAATTTACATATTTGGAGGAAATAGAAGTAGATATATTGTTGTAAGTATTTAATACACCTTTTCTATTTGAGCTATAAACTTCTACGTATTTTTATACAGCTTAATTAAACGATACTTTCACCTGACAAACACTAATATTTTGACAGTTTTATAGGACGGATGTGTGTGTATTATTTATGATGTTCTTGTTATGGTTTAAATGTTTCAAATGAGAGAACTGTAAACGATGTTCATTTTTATTTTTGTATCAAGTTGAAAATGGATCTTAAATCCAGATTTTCATGGATATTTTTTTCTCCATTTTGAATGTTATCTTGCTTATGATAACACTGGCAGAGTTTGACAGCTGATTTCGATTTTCAGCAAACTTTTTGGGTTGCCACGTTGGCAAAAACTAAAATCCAAGCGAGACAAGAAGGAGCTAAGTTATATAATTATACAAAATTGTTCATAAAAGTTCTCCTGAAATCACAAAAATATTATTTTACAATTTATGTAAACAGTTTGATTGCAAACCACTAGCTCTTGAGTCTTGCAGCAAGATGAATGTGAGTTATGTAATTTACAGCCTGTCAATATGCTGGAAAACATAGCGCAAACTCATTGTGGTTCAAACATAATTTAATGATAACATAGTTGACTGTATTTTTTTTTGCAGGCTAGAATGTCAGATTTGAAACTTCTTGTAGTTTCTGGACCAAGTGGTTCTGGAAAATCAACACTATTGAAAAAACTACTTAAGGAATATCCAAATAAATGTGGATTTTCTGTTTCTCGTAAGTGTGCCTTATAATTTTATCGTGTGGTAGGGTAAATTAAGCAAGTTGTCCTAAGCATGTATTAAGATGTATGTATAAAGAGTATAATATGTGTTGTGATTTTTAATCACAAAGACCTAATATGCTATGTGTTATCTGTTAAGACACAACTAGAAATCCTAGACCAGGCGAAACTAATGGAAAAGGTAAAATGATGAATCCATTTACTTAGACATTGCCATGCAAGCCAGCTAAAGTAATTGCTAAATGTATGATATAGTAGCATGCGCTCTTAGATATGCATGAGAGAAACCTAATTGGTTCGGCCAAACTCAATCCATAAACATTTTTGTACCCAACAGATTACCATTTCTGCAAACGAGATTTCATGGAAGAAATGATTAAGAATGGTGAATTTCTGGAACATGCAGAATATTCAGGAAACCTGTATGGAACAAGGTACAAAAGCTTTCTTAAGTACATCAAGAAATATATCTAGGAATTTATTAAATGATTGTTTCTTTTATTTCTAGTAAAAAGGCTGTGAAGGATGTTCAAGATCAAGGCAAAATTTGTATTTTAGATGTTGATAGGCAGGTAAAGGAGTGTGCAACAAAATCTTGTCCAATGAGAGCCATTTCGGGAATTTCTATTTAATCTCAAATAACTACTTTGTCGAATGCTAGCTACAAATGTTCAGTTCATCCCCTTCTTGGAATTGCATTTTTAGGGTGTATTAAATGTAAAGAGCACAGATATGGAGAGTCACTTCTTATTTATTAAACCACCTTCCATGCAAGAACTGGTGAGATATAATTATATTTTAGGGAACTTGAACATGATCATTGCTCCCCTCACTGGGCCCACTAATACACCATAGAATTATGCAAGGGTTCTAAGTCCAGGGAAAAATGCTTTATGCAGAAGATTGTGATGGTATTTCTGAATAGCGATCATGTGTCACATTCTTAGTTGTTTTATCAAACAGGAAAAAAGGTTGAGAAATCGTAAAACTGAAACAGAAGACACTCTTCAGAGACGACTAAATATTGCGAAAGCTGACTTAGAATATGGTATGATTATTCACCAACATTCTGACAGTCTGACCTAATCATTTTTAACAATGTTTATATTTTTACCAAAACTTCTATTTTAGCTGCAAAGCCCGATTCATATGATTCTATTGTGGTAAACGATGTCTTAGAGGAATCTTATATAGAATTTAAGGAAATCATTAAAAAGGTGCCATTATTGTTTTTCATGTTCACTTGTTTTTAATATCAAATTAACAATTATTATTGGTTTCAATTAATATACATATTATTTTTTAGGCTATTTGTCAGCTTGATTGACCTTTTTTACAACTGATTGGGAGGTGTATATACAAGTTCATACGCAAGTTATAGTGCATCTGTGGATTTTAAATTTATTCATATTACTATATTTAATAACTTAACTCTTCATTGAGAAATAAGTAGTAATAAGTATGTTGTCGTCTGTTAGACTGTGACAACACAATATTTATACCATAAGTGCCTAGAATATTTGTATATTTCTGACTGTTCCTTTAATTTCTGGGCCAGGATCTATATAGTTTCACCAGCTGAATGTTCTCAGGGAACAGAGCTCTTTGACTGAATGGAAATTTTCGACGCTAATCAAGCTATCATATGATAGCCATGTATTTACAATGTAAAACCTAATGAAAGTTGTCTGCCATTCAATAAAAATCTCCCAGAGAGACAGTAAACTTTACCATATATTTGTCAAAATCTTTAATTTACACAATCTAATGGGTAACCGATGGTCTAGTGGTAAAGATAATTGTCTCACAAGTGGAGAGTCAATGCTTTGAATCCTGAGTGAAATATTTTTCATTATGACTTTAAAGAAATGATTTAGTTGAAACAATAAAAGACAGTCATCAACCTCAAGCGCTGATGGTCAAGTGGTGAAGGTAATTGTCTTGCAAGTGGTAAGTCTATGGTTCAAATCCTGCATGGGTGAAATATTTTTCATTATGACTTTAAAGAATTGATTTAGTTAAAACAATAAAAGACAGTCACCAACCTCAAGTGCTGATGGAATAGTGGTGAAGATAATTGTCTCGGAAGTGGTAAGTCTCCGGTGCGAATCCAGTATGGATGAAATATTTTTCATTCTGACTTTAAAGAAATGACTTTATTTAAAACAATAAAAGACATTCTGCAACCTCAAGCGCTGATGGTCTAGTGGTGAAGATAATGGTCTCACAAGTGGTAAGTCTATGGTTCGAATCCTGGGTGAAATATTTTTCATTATGACTTTAAAGAAATGATTTAGTAAAAATAATAAAAAACACTCATCAACATGAAGAGCAGATGGTCTAGTGGTGGAGACAATCGTCTTGCAAATGGTGAGTCTATGGTTCGAATCCTGGGTGAAATATTTTTCATTATGACTTTAAAGAAATGATTTAGTAAAATTAATGAAAGACAGTCATCAACCTGAAGATCTGATGGTCTAGTGGTGAAGACAATCGTCTCGCAAATGGTGAGTCTATGGTTCGAATCCTGGGTGAAATATTTTTCATTATGACTTTAAAGAAATGATTTAGTAAAATTAATGAAAGACAGTCATCAACATGAAGGGCTGATGGTCTAGTGGTGAAGACAATCGTCTCGCAAATGGTGAGTCTATGGTTCGAATCTCGGGTGAAGCCTTTTTCATTGACTTTAAAGAAATGATTTAGTTAAAACAATAAAAGACAGTCAGCAACCTCAAGCGCTGATGGTCTAGTGGTGAAGACAATGGTCTCGCAAGTGGTAAGTGTTTGGTTCGAATCCTGCATGGGTGAAATATTTTTCTTCAGTGTATGACTTAAAAAAAAGATTCAGTTGAAATAATAAAAGACAATCATCAACCTCAAGCGCTGATGGTCTAGTGGTGAAAATAATTGTCTCGCAAGTGGTAAGTCTATGGTTCGAATCCTTCATGGGTGAAATATTTTTCTTAATGACTTTAAAGAAATGATTTAGTAAAAATAATAAAAGACAGTTATCAACCTCAAGCGCTGATGGTCTAGTGGTGAAGAAAATGGTCTCGCATGTGTTAAGTCCATGGTTCGAATCCTTCATGGGTGAAATATTTTTCATTATGACTTTAAAGAAATGATTTAGTAAAAGTAATAAATGACAGTCATCAACCTCAAGCGCTGATGGACTAGTGGTGAAGATAATGGTCTCGCAAGTGGTAAGTCTATGGTTCGAATCCTGCAAGGGTGAAATATTTTTCATTTATGACTTTAAAAAAAGATTCAGTTGAAATAATAAAAGACAGTCTTCAACCTCAAGCGCTGATGGTCTAGTGGTGAAGATAATGGTCTCGCAAGTGGTAAGTCTATCGTTCGAATCCTGCCAGGGTGATATATATTTTTCATTATGACTTTAAAGAAAATTTTTAGCGAAATTAATAATAATAATAAATAAGATACGCATACTTGAAAGACTGAGTAAATTTAATTCTTTTTAATTAAATTAATTCCCCGGTTGCAACCATGGTTTGGTTATGATGTCAAATATTTTGATTTGGATAACCACGCTGTTTTCATGGTCAAATGCATGTTCTATGTAAAGTTTCATATATGTTTGGTGCTCATATACAAACATTAAACAATGTAACCATGCTTTGGTTACGAGGTAATATTTGACATCCTAACCCTAACCGTTACCCTAACCCTAACACTAACCCTAGCGCTAACCCTAGCCCTAACCGTTACCCTAACCCTAACACTAACCCTAGCGCTAACCGTAGCGCAAACCCTAACCCTAGCCCTAACCTGGCGCTAACCCTCGGCCCTGACCATGCTTTGATTACGATGTCAAATATTTTTGCGCTTATGGATAACTATTAACCATGCTGATTTAATTGTCAAATCACTCAAATGCATGTTCCATGTAAATGTTCTGGACTTCTGGTGCTCATATACAAACATTAAACAATATAACTATGCTTTGGTTATGATGTCAAATATTTTGATATGAATAACCACGCTGGTTTAATTGTCAAATGTATGTTCTATGTAAAGTTTCATATATCAGGACTGGCGCTCATATACAAACATTAAACAATATAACCATGCTTTGGTTACGATGTCAAATATTTTGATATGGATAACCGCGCTGTTTACATGACTTTCTGGTCTGTTTTACATGACTTTAAAGAAATGATTTATTCTAAATAATAAAATACAGCCATCAACCTCAAGCGCTCATAGTCTAGTGGTGAAGATAATGGTCTCGCAAGTGCTAAGTCTAAGGTTCGAATCCTTAGGCTTCAAGGCATTAGGCAATACATTTTATAAGATGTCACATAGAGTATCCCGGGTATATCGCAGGCTCTACAAAATAATTTTGTGGTGAGTGAAAGTAAAAAATAGAACTTTGTGGCCATTTGGATCGATTTTTGATTTCATTTTAACACATGATAGCGCTTTAGGGAGATTCTTTATGTTTCTTTATGTAGTAGACTGCATTTGTGAATCTAATTTTTGCGATACTTGTCGTTACCACTGCCAACATGTCAGGTAAGAAATATTTGATGATTCATTGAATTTCATTCAGTGCTGTTTGAAATCTACATTTTATTGTGTTTGTCTTTTTCTTTTGCATATATTAAAAGTTTATAGTTGTTCTGGTGATATAATATTATATAGAATCTGCAGTATTTTCAAACTTTGTAGCTGAAATGTTAAGGCTGCTCATTTCTGTATGAACCAGAGGGAATAATATAGCTTTTCTATTTCAGCGTTGGCACCTAGTAAGGCAAGTAAGAAAAACCAAAAGCGTGCAGAGAAACGAGCCAGAGAGAGAGCTCAAAAATTGAAAGAAGATGGGGTTATTGATCGTCTTATCCAAGAAAACAATGGTCCTGTGGGTGAAATGAAAAACAAGACCCAGTTGGGAAACCTAGTTGAGGAAGAATTAAGGTGAGGAGAATACATCTTTTCTGCTTTTTTCATACTGAGTATTCACAAATGAACCCCCTTCACTAGCTGAGTGAAGCTAGTTTGACTGCTTAGTTCCATTGATTAATTTATTACAAATTAATTAATTAATTAATTTAATTATTCTCAAAATGTGTACTTAGTGTTTGTGTTGATTGAATTGTAATGACAAAGAATAAGTTGGAATGCTGTCTATATATGTGCAAACTATATGACATTAATAATATTCATGCAAATTATGTATTGGAGCTACACAATTGACCCTCCAATAATGTTTGATGTTGTTTCTTTGTCCAATTCCTCCCAAGCAAGTCCTAATTGCCAACATCTTCATTCGACTTCGGCAACATCAGTATCATACGATGAGAAATCAAAGTGTGTAATTTGGCTAGGCATTGTTTCATTCTCTTCACTATGGTTTGATATTGGTGGGGTACCTTGATCATCCTCTGCCCTTTCAGAGCTGCTTGATCTTTCTTTATTTTCCACTTCGTCATCATTTGTGGCTAGTTTCTTCACTTTTGAGTCATTGCTATGTTGCGTACATTTCCCTTTACCTTTGCCTTTATTTCGTCTACATGTGACATCATCTAAAATACATTATTTTAATTCCATGTAAGAAATAGCAAATAACCCACCAGTAGTAGCTGATATGGTAGCACAAGAAATTAAAGTTATCAACCTTTACCTTTCTTTTGTTCACTTTTATTTAATAATGCATCCGTCTCATTTATTTTTTTAGAGGAGTCGTGATTTATTTTTACTGCAGCAGAGGAACACCCTTCTAAAGACATAGTAATCAAACAAATTAAAAGAGTAGCAGGTAAATAAATTATCAAAATTTTTATATTGTATAAAGTTCATTTGATCCCCTCTTTTGTGTGTTGATCTCAAATTTTACTCTTAAAAAAAAGTACATTTTGAAGTTCAAAAGGGATTATTATAATTGATAATTAAATATTATATACAGAACCTTGCATATGACTTTTGCGTCTTGAGTCTTTTGGGACAGTAGGAACCTGGATAAACCCATCCATTTGCCCACTGTGATGCTTTTGATTTTTCTTGATGCTTTGAACACAGTTAATACTTTGAATAATCAACTTTGTTAGGCCTCCGTTTTGTAGCTCTTCCTTTTTTGTCTTTATGGGTACAAAAATACACATGTCTTCGTATTTGGTTACAAGTGGTTCGTTTAGAATGTCAAGCAGTGTTCTGTAAAGAAGTTTAACTTGATCCCCACGCTCTTTTTCCGTGACAGCTTTAGGTCGTTCATATTTACTCATGCTATGTATAGTCTGCAATGGTTGCATAACATATTTTATAACGTATGTGTGTTTAGAGTTATCAGTATCTGTTAATTCGTAAACAGGAAACCTGAATTTACCCTGGACGATATCAGTCACTTTCCTAATCTTGTTGTCGTGTTCTTCCAGATTTTGAACTACATTACAATTATGAGTTAAAAGCAAGATCATTTTATTTAAATTTAAACGCACTTTTTCTCCTTCATCTTGTACAGGTTTGTTATTATCAGTAAAAAGTTCATTAAATATTGGCAAAGCTTTATCCAGATAGTTCAAATAGTAAGACCATGCAAGTCCGTTAGCAACATATGTTTCTTTTTCCTCGAGAATTGTAGATATTTGGACTTCAGACTGTGTGTTAAGATTTAACAAGTGCATAACGAGAGGCCCTATGCCAATCCCACTCAAGATAATCATTATATGTTTATTTTCGAATGACGTTTCGCTTTTCGATGTCACAACAGGAATTGTGATAACAGTAAGAATCACAACAGTAGCAACTGCCGGCCATGAGATCCCATTAAAACAAGCTCTTATCATTCGGAATGGTTTTCCCTTATAACGGCTTTTAAGGTGAAATATTTCTTCAAAGATGAGAGAGAAGCGACCACAAAAAATGCCAACCACAATGGACAATAATCCTAGAGCTAGATTAAAGAAAACTGCTAAGTTCATCTCTTTCTTTTCTTCCCTTGTGTAGCAAATAACTGATCCATTTTTTATATTAGCCAGCATAGTAGCTGATATAACGTTGTTCTCTTTATACTGGGTTATTGTAATTTTGCTGAAAGCGAAATAGAGGATTACTCCAGCGGAGATCGAACATATAAAAAGCGAAGCTGCCCACGAACGCCACCATTTACGCTTCTTTGGTATCCGATCCAAATTACACCAATCCGCATTATCCGTTTTGTTAGCAGAATTCTGTTCTTTGGTCATGTTGACAATGACTGATATCGTATTTGGTACAATTATTTGGTACGGTAATGACTGATATCACAATTATTTATAGAGTTCACACCGGCAAAATTAGTTTTAACTGAGTGAGGTGATGCAATCCATGATACAATAGTTTAGTTTCGTTTTCTTGCAATCATATTTCTTCAGCAGCAATTACAGCCGGAAGCCTCCCGGGATGAAAAAATGTTCGTGGTAACCTGTTTTTCTATGCTTCAATAATCTCATCAGCTGCGTGGCTACAATCAAACATACTTGGTGCATACGTGCAATTTTTACTTCTTCATCTTTTCTCATTTGCCTTAGCAAGAACGAATCAACCAATTATGCAAACGCGATGCACATCCAGTCCAGTTGCGAAACCTTTCCTCTCTTTCACCACTCACTCTTATAGGGGGATTTATTTATATATTCGTGTTCGACATTATTTATTTATTTTCAAATTGATTTGTTTTTACAGTCACTGAACATGAATTTATCATACAAACTGTAGTTTTCTTGTGCCTGGCGTTGATGAAGTAGTTTCCTGGTATTCATTATTCACTAGTAGTGTATAATTGTGGTGGTATATAGTATACTAGTAATCTAGTATTGTAGTAGTGTATATACGCTCTTTTCAGGGTCTCATTATGACTGGGCTGTCCATAACGATCTACTATGGTCCATGGTAAATAAAACAAAGCACAAGTTCATAACTCTTGAGATTGTGGTGACTTGGAAAAGGGCTTGGCATATTTTGTTTTGGAGCCGACTTTACTCTCCCTCTTAGTTTGTAAGTTACCTACATATGTAGTAAGTTACCCAACACCCGCATAGGCGGGGAAAGTATTGCACGCCTTTTTATCTTTTAAAAATTGACTTAATATTACTGGAAAACTAGACAGAAATTTAAAAGTCCTACCATGAGTCCTACCAATGATCTACCATGCCTAAGTGAACAAAACACAAGTCAAGCTCATAACTCTTCTGAAATTCGACACATTGGTTTCAAAACAATGTCAATGAAATGAAGGAAATTGGGTTTATATACAGGGTTTAAAGATTGGATAAATAATGCCTTAAATAGACCTTTCTTATAATAACGTCAAAGGCAAGACTAACGAGCCAACCACCGTTCATTTAATACCATGCTTTCTGAGAAATATAAGCAGGATTATAAGTTTTGAATAGACAATACATTTTATCAAAAGTCGCATAAAGTATCCCGGGTTTATCGCAGGCTCTACAAAATCATTTTGTGAAAATCCACTCGTAGTTCTTTAAAAAGTAGAACTTTGTGGCGATTTGGATCGATTTTTGATTTCATTTTAACACATGGTGGCACTTTAGGGGGATTATTTATGTAGTAGACTGGATTCCTGAATCTAATTTTAGTGATACTTGTCATAATACTACTGCCAATATGTCAGGTAAGAAATATTTGATGATTCATTGAATTTCAATTATTTAATTCAGTGGTGTTTGAAATCTACATTTTATTGTGTTTGTCTTTTTCTTTTGCATATATTAAAAGTTTATAGTTGGTCTGGTGATATAATATTATCTAGAATCTGCAGTATTTTCAAACTTTGTAACAGAAATGTTGTAGCTGCTCATTTCTGTATGGACCAGAGGGAATAATATAGCTTTTCTATTTCAGCATTGGCACCTAGTAAGGCAAGTAAGAAAAACCAAAAGCGTGCAGAGAAACGAGCCAGAGAGAGAGCTCAAAAATTGAAAGAAGATGGGGTTATTGATCGTCTTATCCAAGAAAACGATGGTCCTGTGGATGAGATAAAAGAAAAACAAGATCCTGTTGGGAAACTCAAAGCTCAGTTGCAGGATGCAAAAGACAATAAAGTGAAGTTTCTTTCATTTTTTTTACAATTCAGTCTACTTCGTTCTTGAGCACAAAATAATTCAGACACTCAGGTATTTGAAATATCTTTTAACCATATTAACATTTCTAGCTGTTGAATTACTCACAGTTTTCATGTATAAAATTATAAGTTGTGTCATATTCTGAGTTTTTGATGATGAAGTGAGGAGTCTGAATTCTTTTGCGCTCAAGAGCCTATTGGATCTTCCTAAAGTTACGTACTTAATTATGATACAGCGTGTATAATAACCGTCAGTCGCCTTAGGGACAGGTCATAAAGTGAAAAGGGTGGACAATTCTCAAGGGATAGGCCACCAAAAATGCAGATGACCATGTAATTTTATATGGTTTTCCCAGCCCACCTATTTTCTTCTTTATGATAGTTCCCTCATCAACCATGTGCAAATAATTGATTAATCTCAGGAGGTGCACAAAATAAACTGTAAATGTTATATTTATATATGTTTAAAGTAACTAACTTCTATTTTGATTATTGTTGTGTTTAAGGATCACAAATTAGCAGCCAAACTACGAAAGGACTTGTGGATGATGCAAGATCAAATGGCTGGATGTATTCCGTGAGTGTATAATTTGAATATTATAGCAGCATTATAATGCTTTCCTTCATTTTTGGAGGTATTTGAGTTCTTTAAACTCAAAATTTTCTCTTCTTTCTGGACAGGGGGTGTTACTCTTACTCTTTGAAAATTTTCCCCATTTCCAGCAATAGTATATTTCTGGAAAGAGAATACGTCCGGGACTAGAACTAGTAGAAATAAAAATTTTAGCAGCGAAATATAATGTTAAAAAGTGCGGAAAATATGGCCTTGCAAAGGTCAAATATTAGTCTACAGTATACAAAGTCTTTCTGGTGATGTAAATGATGAGAAAAGTTTAAAATATTTGTTTTAAATGTTCATTGAGATACAAAACAATAAACACAGTGCACAGCTTTTGCATAACCTAATAAAATTACGATTGTTCTTTTAACACTAGTGCTTTCTATGTATAGATTTGATTATTGTTATGTATTTATTGTATTTAATGCATTTTATGGTCAATTCCTGCTATGTTTTTTTCTTTGGCTTCCATTCATTTTAAAATCTAGCCTTTTTATAGCACTGACTGCTCTTGTTTTATGCCTGTCATATCTTCGTTGGCCTCCAATACACATCCACCTGCAGTATCATCCATTCCAGAACTATAGCTTCTGTTGTTTGCACTGTTCGCCATAACTCCAACTCTTTGACTCACTGGCTCTGATTCACCTTCATTCAATGTATAGTATGTATCATCTTCTGATGAATCGTGATCCTCGCAAGTTTTAAGGTCTTGTAGCTCTATTTGATTGGATGCTTCACTTTTATATTTTCTTCTCAATTCTTCCCCCTTCTTGTTTTTACCCTTATCTTGGACAACGTTGGACGAGCTGCTTGTTTTCTTCATTACACCCATAGTGTGGACTGTAGCCCTGTGAGTCACTGGCTCTGAGTGATCTCCATCCAATGAATATTCATATGTATCGGATGAATGATGATTCTCAGCAGCTTTGAGAGCCTCCATTTCTGTTTGATGGGATGTCTCACCTTTATATTCTCTCAATTCTTTGCCTTTCTTTTCCTTTCTGTCTTTAGCCTCATTGAATTGCTTGGACAAGCAACTTTCCTTAGCTTCTATAAACCCAGGGGCACCATCAACTTGCGTACTTCCCGAATGTTGAACAACCCTCATGATACACTTCACAAGTCCTCCATTTTCTAAATTCTCCAAACGTTTTGCTGTAATGGGAGCGAGTAAGCACATTCCTTTAAAGGCTTGGTTCGGTGGGTCCTCCAGAATATCAAACAGTGTTCGACACAGCAATTCTACTTCCTTCTCACAAGTCTCTTTCTTTACCGCACGGACGTCTTCCAGTAGTCTCATTTCTCTCAAAGTTCTTAAAGGATACTTTACGTATTGTATGGCGAAATACTTTTTATTGTTGTCTTCGGTTGTCAGGCAATAAATTGGAAAATGGAAAGGGTCTTGATCGTTTCCAGTGTCAGGCAATCTTTCAATTTTTTGGTCGAGTTGATTCAAATCTCTCATGTTACAATCATGAGGTATGAGCAAGATCAATTTTTTTAAGGAGAGTTGTCTACGATAGTTGTTTATGGCTTGCGTAAAATTCGGAAGTGCCTGGCTGAGGTAGTTAAAATAATAGGACCATGCCAGTCCATTGGCTACATACATCTCTCTTTTCTCGAGGATCGTGGAAATATGAACCTCAGATTGTGTGTTTAGATTTAGCAAGTGCATAATTAGTGGACCCACACCGACTCCACTGAAAACATACACAACGTACCTGAGTTCAAACGAAGGATTTGAGGCGATAAGAATGACAACAATTACAGCGGCAAGGAGCATTAAAGCGATGACTGGAAGCCAAGAGATACCACTGAAGCAAGCTTTGAACATCTTCTTATAACTTCCGCCGTAGCGCTCTTGCACATGAAATCTTTCTTCAGCCGCAAGCGATAAGCGATCGACCAGTGTACCAAGAACGACGCCGAATAAACTCAACGCTGTTGATAACAAGGCTGGAAACGATTGGATTTCTTCTCTGATATAGCATTCATTTGTTGCATTAGTGTTGCACTGTGTCGCATCAAGCTTGTACACAATTTCTTTTCCTTTAGCGATACAGAACGCGAGTACTAATAGAGCTGTAATCGCACATATTAATATCGATACTTTTCTGGCCCGGTTCTTTCGTTTCTTTGGAACGAATTTGTAATCTGAGTTGTCTATGACAGTGATATCTGGGATACAAATTTTGGTGGTTGGTGAAGACTCGTTTTCTGTTGTTGCTGCTCCCATGTCAACGGTGTACTGTAGAACCTCTTTGAATGATCACTTTAATTTGTCTTCCTGTTTTTCTTGGTATTAGTCATTTCCTGTTCCGCAATCAAGTCTGGTTCTCAAATGTTACCGACGTTCGCCGCCGATGACTATTGTCGGTTATCTCTGATGAGTGAAGTGCTTTTGAATAAATTCTCTTCGTCACCGGCCACAAATATGAGACCGATCAGTTGAAATTATCTGGCTGTATCTGAACTCAAGTGGCGATGCCACTAAAGGCCGGCGCACACTAGAGCTATGTGCTTAGCAAAAAGTCATTCGTGGCCATTAGCGTAAGCCAGTTGCTCTCGTGTACGGGCGACTTTTCCAGTGACTTTCGTCATTCGTGCCAAAAGTCACCGGAAAAGTCGCCCGCACACGAGGGCAACTGGCTTACGCCGATGGCCACGAATGACTTTTTGCTAAGCACATAGCTCTAGTGTGCGCCGGCCTTAAGGAATGCGGAAAACGCCAATGGAAAAAAAGGCGTTGGCAAACTCATTAATAAACAACGAAGTGAAACAAAGACATGCAATTAAATCTGTTTTTCCCGTCCTCAAAACAATCCAGTTTCGTATATTCCAACGTATATGATGATGGCATTTTATTCTTCGTAGACCTGGTGAGATTGCAGAACACGAGGAGGAACCTACACCAGCCATTGCTGAGGATGAAAACACACCTGAAAAACAATCTGAGAAGAAATTGCGAGGGTTAAAGAAGAAATTGCAACAAATTGAAAAATTGAAATCCAAACAGGATGAAGGAGAAGTGCTAGAAGATCTTCAGGTAAATATAAAGCGATAAAATCGGTGATAATCATTCTTCTTTGAGGACTGTGTTAGCCTGTTAGGGGAAGGATATTATATATGTGGTCGAACTTGGGGTCTTAGATAACTAACTGAGTCGTAATACAAGCAGACGTTTTCTTTCTTCACAACCCAGCCGTCTACCTTGTTTTATGTATAATAAAAATAATAGATGCCTATTATTTCTTTTCTAAATGTCATGTAGATTGCTAAGATCCAGAGCGAGGAAGTGGTTTTGAAGGAGATAGATGAACTACAGGAACGTCTGGAACAGGTCGGAGTAACATTGGATAGCTAGGAATGCGGAGTGAAATTTTATAGATTCTAACAGGATTCATGAACAGCTATCATGTTTCCAGGCGCTGTCGCAAATTTTTGGAATCATTCCTAGCGAAAACTGATCGTAGTTTGTCACTACGAGAAGATGGCTGACAAACAATGTTTGTTTTCCTCGTTTTTCTGCATTCCGAAACATAGCAACCGTCTTCCGGTCAACCGCATTTCTTCCAGTTTGAGCATCTCTAAGAAAATACGATTGGAAGGCAATGAATGTTTGTATGCCTTCAGATAAACATAACTGAAAGTTTTCCATCTTGTTTGCTAAAAAATATTTCCTGGATTTTCCACCTTTGGAGAAGATAGCTAAGAAACGATTTTCTCTGTTTTCTGATTAGCTTCCTTATAAAAACATTTGCAATGAAAAATAAAACCATATTGTCTGGGAGAACTAGTGGTTACTAAATAAAGATATGTTTTGGAGTATCCTGGTTGTGTTTTGACTATGCCGGATTAATTAACCAGAGAGGTATATGTGGTAGTTATTTTCCTCAATAAACTCTCGTGGTTTGTGTCTGAACTACCTGAAAAAGATATCTCAAACGTGTTGGTTCAGTGTAGGTAGTATTCTACAATAAGCTGTCGTGGTTTGTGTCTGAACTACCTGAAAAAGATATCTCAAACGTGTTGGTTCAGTGTAGGTAGTATTCTACGATAAGCTGTCGTGGTTTGTGTCTGAACTACCTGAAAAAGATATCTCAAACGTGGTGATCTAGTGTAGGTAGTATTCTACAATAAACTCTCGTGGTTTGTGTCTGAACTACCTGAAAAAGATATCTCAAACGTGGTGGTCTAGTGTAGGTAGTATTCTACAATAAACTCTCGTGGTTTGTGTCTGAACTACCTGAAAAAGATATCTCAAACGTGGTGATCTAGTGTAGGTAGTATTCTACAATAAACTCTCGTGGTTTGTGTCTAAACTACCTGAAAAAGATATCTCAAACGTTGTGGTCCAGTGAAGGTAGTATTCTAATAATAAGCTTTCATGGTTTGTGTTTTAAATTACAATCAAGGAATATCATTTTGCAACCCCACAACGCTTCGCGATGAAATGTGCTGAAATATAATTATTAATACCAATATCACGTAATTCTCGACTCTCCCCCTGTCTTCTTAGAAATATAGCGCCGTTTCCGGGGGGGAAATAAACTGGTCTCTTTGTTCCCTTGTACTTTTTATGCCCAAAGGGGGGATGACAAGCAATAAAGCCACAAAGAAGTCCGGAAAGGTAAAAACGGAAACCGCTCCTTGCTTTTATTGACGTCCAACGGAAATATGATGTCGGAAAAGGCTTTATGCGGAAACGGATTTTCCTAATCACAGGATATGAAAGAATAAAACGATCTTTACCATGCGAAATTTTATACTTACTAAAGAAGCTCGCAATGGCAGGCATATGCGAAATTGCAACGCAAATTAAGTTTGTTCGCTTTTTATCGTCAGATTCATTGTAAAATTGAAGACACAAACGATAAAGTAACGAAACTACAAGAGCCAACCACCGAAAGAGTCAACTACTCAGCATATCGTGTTGTTTATAAAACTGTGACATCTCCCTTTTGAAACGTGACTACAATTAAAAGGTATATATCCCTTACGATTTACCAGTTTTTCTTTTATATATTTAGTAGTTTCTAAGTATACTTCTCTTCGTTTATTATCTGTTGTGTCCTGAAATCCTGTGTATATTGTTTACAAATGACATTTTTTATATGCCTTCACGTGTTTTACAAATTAGCAACATGCGACTGTCTCTATTGTGTTGAAATATATTGTTTACTATAAATATGCTGCTATTTTTTTCGTCTGTTCAATATATACGAGGTGAACGGTAAATATGGTTAACCAGGGTATTTGCCTGTGTCTTAGGTAACTATTTACTTTTGAAATGGATAAATTTATGTTCTGACAAGTGAAAGAATCTGGTCTCAGATAAAATGCCAAATACTGTAGTATCACCGCGTTGCCAAACGTTGGTGTCACGTTATTAAAATAAACTTTGAATCTTTCCAGATTGGATAACAATTGGCAGTATCATCATTTTTTTTTTAATAACTGTTCTTTATTTTAGACTAAGAAAGACAATTTAACTATGTCAAGGAAAAAATCTGCAAAACGCAAAGTAAAGTCTTCAGAAGCACAATCAAGAGGGCACCAACATTCAGCAAGTGTAAATGACGCACAGGTACCATCTGATGGATTCCTACCAGGCGACTCAAGTATTCTTTCCGAACAAGTGGAGCAAGATATCTCTGTTCATAGTACAACCTCTGAAACGAACCAGCAAAATTTGTTGATGCCCAGACTTTGGATACAGAATGAAGAAACGCATTCAGATAGCATTTTGCATTCACAAGTGCAGATTAAAACTGAACCTAAAGATTTTGAATTAGAGCATCTGCAAAATCAAATCAAAACACAAGGCAAAGAATTACCAGATTCTGATCCGTCAAATACCTCCTCCATACCTGCTAAAATAAAGCGTGAAAGGTTGTCATTGGATAGTTCCATATCTTCCAAGACCAACCATGAGTATCCAACAATGGACCTTGGATCACATTTACAGCAATCTTTAAATTCCATACCATCGGGTCCTGAACTCACATGGTCACAATTATTGGAGGCAAAAAATCTCCCAAAAGTACATATACCAAAGGATGATTCACTTAAGAAAGGTCAGCATGATTCTGGCTCAGATATGGTGTTGTATTCAACTGACGATAATGACGAAAACAAATCATTACATGTGGGTGTTGATGAAGGTTTAACTGAAAAGAATCAAAGTGTGGCATCTAGAAAACAAAAGATTACCAGAGAAGGCTTACCAGGTTCTGGAACAGGTTTAAATTGGGATGAAAAGAGTCTGGAGCTTTCCAAGAAATCAGTTATACCTCTTGAAATTAGACGAATTTTGACTTCAAAATATGGTGCTGCAAAACGTCATGATGAAGGTCACTCAGGAAGCATTGTGCCAAACTTCAACAAGTCAAGATCCAGATTTACCCATTCTAAAAAGTCTGGCATTACCGATTCTGAGGATGAAGCCCTGAATAGAATCAAAGCTGCAAAGTCCACTGACTTGTTTAAAAAAAGCAAAAAAGGGAATCATAGTCATGCTACAGCTTCACAAAGCCAGAAACCTGCTCATCCCAAAAGCAAATCAGTCTCACCTTCAGAATATCAAACTGGTCTGAAATCTGTCCCAGGAAAGGCGGCAAGTAGACGCCGGTTTAGTTCATCAACATACGAAGGTAGACTACCAGCTCGAAATCTTGAAAATCACACTGGTAAATTGCAAAGCCATGGGTTGGTTGACCTTGGCTCTCACTATGTGAGTCTCTTACAGAAAGATAGTCCACCCCCTAACCCACCTACTGGCAGAAACTCAAGTTCACCACCATTAGAAGGAGTTGACACTGGTTTGGGTAAAGACCATAGCAATACAAGTGACATTGACAAAGGTGTGGTAGACAGGCTAAAACGAACTCAATTGCCTTGTAATAAACTAAGGCTGTATAATTCCCAAGGGTCGACAGTTGGGGTTGAAAGATTGCCATTTAATTACACTGAGAAGTCCAGGAAAGATACAGTTCAACACACAAGTGGTAAGAATGCAAACAAGAATGCACCATTGAATGATAATGGACATGCATCTCTACTAGATTCATTCAATTCTGATGAGACTGCAGTTGATCTGGAGAGGACAAGTCATTTTAGACAGATGAGAGTTTCGCCTGCAAGAAGTTCATCCAGGTAAGCTTGTCTTGGTGGGAAAATATGGGTAACTCACTAAGATTATTACTGTAATATGATGCGGTTGGTTGTAACTATTAGGATGCAATTTGATTACTACGAACAAACTCAGATGCAGAATAGGCAAGGGTTCTCCTTGAGTTTCTACTGTGCATCAAATATTGAATCAGTCTTTTAGGGATAGTTTTAGATACAGAAATACAGATTGTTGACAGCGCCTTGTGAAAATTTCTGATTATATCTTTGACTAATATGTACAATTATGTAGATCGCCTCCTGGTTCTATTGCCAGTGGTACTGGACCAATGATTGACCTCAACTCAAGCACAACCCAGCTCAGCGACCTTGCTCCTCATGTGCGTAGAAAAAGTCCCTTTGCTTCGTCTCATTTGAACGAAATTCCAAAAGAAGGGATGATCCTTCCTAGAAGCTCTTCCAGGTCTCCAATCAGGACTGAAAGATCAGGAAATACTCCTCCAGGCATTAAGCAATCCATGATAGACCTCGGAAGTGGTCAACAGTTCCCTAACTACTTGGAGAAAGCAAAACACGCTGTTTCAAGGGGTTCTTCAAAATCTCCCGTGATGATTGATCGAAGAAACACCAGTTCCCCAAATGGCTCGATGATGGTACGTGGTGGTTATAAAAAAGATGGTAACCTCATGAAGAATCCTCTGCCGAGAAATCGTTCAAAATCACCAGTTTTACCAAGTCTAGCAACGAGTGATGGTCGTCCTGAAGCAATGGTAGAAATTCCTGGTGGGTGTTGTTCGCCTCCCCCAGACTCTCGCCTGGCCAACGAGAAGATGATTGATCTTGGTGCTACAAATCGTCTACACGAGCGTAGAGGAGCTCCTCGGATGAAACCTTTGGATGCAATGATAGATCTTAATAGCGTAGATAATCCAGCATCGCCATCCAGTCCAAGTTTTGGTACTCTTCCATTCTCCAGCTTTCCAAGCCAGGTGTATAGACCACCCCACCGATCACGATATTCCTACAAATCAAAAGCGTATCGTTCTCGACCGCAAGGTTCCCCTGGGTTGCTCCCATCTCCTGGGGTTGTCGCATCCCCCGGGCTAGTAGCATCCCCGGGATTAGTCGCATCCCCCGGGTTTAGCCCCAGGATACCATTTGGCCCGCGATTTCGTTACCCACCTAACACTAGATACCGTGCACCTGCATCGCCAATGATTGAACTGGGAAGTTTCGGAAAAGGAAACGAGTTTTCGGGGAAGGTTCCAACTCGGTCATCAGAGATGCCACCACAGCCATTCTTAGGGCAATCCTCCCGAGACATTCCCAAACGAAGACATTCCCAGGATTCTCAGAATTTGAATGAGCCCGCGAAGAAACCACGTGTTGCTTCTCCCGATCAGCGGCGTGAGGAAAAGAAGCCCGAAGGAAATAGTGTAAGACTGAATGTAAACGATCTTCTCTCTTTGGAGCGGGAAGAACAAAAGTACATCCAGGATCTAAGTATGGTTCAGTCGGAGGTGACGAAAGTTCGATTCAAGATGCAACGAATGCAACAAGATTTAGAGAAATTGCAGTCTTCTGAGATGGAAATTAAACAACGTATTGATCATGTCCGGTCAAAGCGTGTTAAGATTCTCAAGGAAGCGCAAAGCCACGATGAAGGGACTCCTGATGGCTATGAAGGTACAGCAAGGAGTAGTAATGTTGATAAGACATGTTCCCAGACGGGTAATGATGGTATGGGTACACGAAGGGGTAATGAGGGTGTTTCAGGTACTCAAAGGAGTATTGAATGTGATATGGGTAAACAGAGGGATAATGAAGATGGTGATAAATCGTACAATCGAGGTGACCCACGGTTTGAGAAGTACAATGATGTAATAGACAAAGTTCCAGAAGCTCAGAGAAGTAGCACACGTGATTTTACGGAAGGAAACGCCTTGAATGAGAGGAGAGACACGAGGAAGTGCATTTCAGGTAAAGATTCTTGCAAAAACGATGAAATCACCTCCAGCCATCGTGGATCAACAAGATATGGAAATATTCCAGACGATCATGATGTTGCTCCTTCTGAAATCATTCTGCGAAATGATAGCTTGTCTTCCAACACCAGTGACCCTCACCATCCCGCGATATCAGCACATACTTCGAGTGTCCAGCATTACCCCGTGGCATCGTCAAGTGGCAGTGGTGCGAACCAAACCAGGCATAAACCCACAACACAACGGCGTGTTGGTTGGGACAGATCCTCACAGGCCCCCAGAACGGAACTCTTGACAGAAATTGAGACATTCGAAAGTTCGGACGGATCCACCATCACTTTAAATAGCGATGGAACTTTGGTGCTCAGAAAGAGCCAAGCCGGTCAGCTGGCAAGGAAGCGGTGCAGTTCAAATACACTTGAGGATCTTTCTACCGATTTTAATGCAAGAAACGCGGATGATGGTAAAAATATTTCAAATAAGACGAAGCAGTTTTTGGGCTGCCTTGAGATAACAAGTACTACTGATGATCCAATGATTAATGATTCTGATGGACCAAAAGAGGTAGTGTAAACTCGGGCTACTCAGCTATAATAGGTAGCGGTGTGAGGTGGGGTGTGATTAAAGGGTTGGGGGGTACATCCCTAGAGAATATACGGTAATATATACCAATTGTTCTTTGTAGGTCTTGGCAGAGAAGGAGAGAGAGAATCTGGCTAGGAAGTTGAGGTGAGGAGCAAATTTGATTCGGATTTTGAAAAGGAAATTTAAAGAAATGAAAGTGTATTCTGATATTTTTAGATGCGATCAAGATAGGATAAGCAGTACCGTACCCAGCTTGGAAAATGAAAAAGGTAATGATTTTAGCCTCTCCGTTTTTTCTAAAACCATTTGAGCGAAGCCCGCTCGAAGCTCAAGTACACAAAAGAATTGAAAACACCATTAACGGATCTTTCGGTCTGTTTTCTATTTAAGGACTAGCCTTTTAAGCTAAACACGATTCGTTTAATCGGTCTTTCTGTGGGTTATAATCTGAATGTATAAAATAGTGCATTATAGCGATCTTATAAATGATTTTCTAGATGCTGTGGGTTCAACAGGCGAGGTGGATTTTGTGGGACACACGGATGCAGTATGTGCTATACTGGTAAGCAGTATCCTATGGCTACTGAATTATCAACGAATTATGAACGAATGATCAGAGCGAGATAATCGAGTTACACTATGAAAGCTTCTTGAAATATTTTTATATACAATAGGTTTAGAAGATGACTAAAATCTTGAAGCAGTTTGATTGTAATAACTTGCGAGAGCCGAGGCTTACGATGTAACGTTTCCTGTTTCTCTTTTAACAGCCCCACAATGGGAAGTTGTTCAGCGCTTCGGCAGATCGAACTGTCAAAGCTTTTGATTTAAAGGTGAGCTTTGATATGTGTCAATGCCTGTGTCACCATTGTTTTCAACTCATGAGGTCGATCTCTCATTTATATTTAGACTGGAGAATGTATGAAGACTTATGAAGGTCACGATTTGGCGGTCAACTGCCTTGAGGTAATTTGCAGTTAATATTATATAAACAACAAAATATTGAGTCCACAATTGAAGATGCTGAAACATTTGCCTTGGAGCAGTAAAAATTGATGAGAAAATACTCGCTACTTGTTACATTCCAGATATCCACCGACGATGAAAAGGTGGAAAGATTGTTCACTGGAGCTAACGACCTCTCAGTTAGAGCTTACAACATCAAGGTAGATAAACCGCGATTATGTGACTATTTTCAACCAAAAATGAAGATTTTTCAACATCACACATCCATGTTCTTCGTTTCCTTTTAGTCTGGTGTCTGTACGCACAAGTTTAGTTTTCGTGGTAGAGTAATGTGTCTTCATGTCGCCTTTGGAAAGTTGTTTGTTGGTCTTAGTTCTGGTTTCGTTGCTGTCATAGACTTGAAGGTATTTATATAATAGATTTTGTCGATTTCTATGTAAATCAGTTCTAAACTGTACTTATATTCTATTCTAGACGAACGAGTGTATTGATCAATTTAATTGCCATGAACCAAGTAGAATAAGCTGTTTATCATCTGCAACAGAGGGACAACGCTCCCTACTTTGTACAGGGTCATTTGACTCGACTATTACGATTCGAGACGAGAGTGTAAGTTGTTTGTCGTGAACTAGCCTTCGACTAGAGTGTGTGTGCCATACCATACAGGACTTATCATGGACTTATCACTGTTGTATATAATTCACAATCAAATGTGTTTTAACAACTGCCTAAATAGACAAAACATTTTTCGACGTTTCGACCAGAGGGCCTTCGTCAGGAACATGAATCATATTTACTGTCAGTAACATGACGTAACCTTCAAATTCTCTCCAATAGTCCGGTCTTCTACTGCGTCATATCAAAGACCACAAACTGACCGTGCTGTGTATGCAAGTGCTTGAAAACATTCTGTACAGCGGATCAGCGGATACCGTCGTACAGTCACATAACATCAATACCGGGGAGCTGGTGCGATCCTATACCGGTCATACCATGAGTGTCAGCGGTATTCAGGCATCAGGAGGAGTCTTAGTGACGTCATCACTTGATAAGATTATTCGATGCTTTGATATTAAGGTACGTTCGTTGATTTGTAGTCCGGTAACGCTTACCAGTCCAGAGAATATCATCTCGTATTGATCCCAGTGTTACCACTAGTGGACTCTGGTTACTACAGGAGGAAACCTGAACTAAACTAACTTTATTTATACTGGATTGCTCTATCAGTTCTAAACTGTTCTTCCAAGAGGTCCAGTAAGGATGATCTCTTATTGATCCAGTGTTACTACAGGAGGAAACCTAAACTAAACTAACTTTATTTATACTGGATTGCTCTATCAGTTCTAAACTGTTCTTCCAAGAGGTCCAGTAAGGATCATCTCTTATTGATCCAGTGTTACTACAGGAGGAAACCTAAACTAAACTAACTTTATTTATACTGGATAGCTCTATCAGTTCTAAACTGTTCTTCCTAGAGGTCCAGTAAGGATCATAGGTTTACATGTTTAGAGAAAAGTTAAACTAACTCTACTGACTTGGTGTCATTTTTCTAGTCTGGTGATTTATTGCAGTTGTATGGAAACACAGACATGATATTCTCTCTATCCGTGTTTGGAGACATGGTAAGTTCGAGCGTTCGTCGTCAATCTCGCTTCTGTCACCAAACGAATTGACAAAACATGTTCTCTATCTATAGATATACACTGGTTGCCGTCACGGGCGTGTCTCAGGGATTAAGTTGGATCTACGAAAATACCATTGTTGTAAAGTATGTGAAATTCATCGTAAAATTCTCATGAAACCAGGGCAATTAGAGGTCTTCTCAGTTCTCCTCTAAAACTAGTTTATACGTCGCATTTTGATCATGTTGACTGCACAATTCCAGTGGATAAGATGATAAACCTGAATAAAGCCGGTTTTCCACTAGCGATATTTTTCGCGCGAAGCGACTTTATTCCTTTGTATTTGAGCAATTTGTTCCAGATGGTTGCAGTTGATAGCTCTGAAACAAAAATAAAATGTCGCTTCGCGCGAAAAATATCGCTAGTGGAAAACCGGCTTAAGGCCTGTTTCTCAATATTACGTTGGCGATTTCGCTGATCAGCGGAATGTGCTACTAGTTTATAGTTTCCAAATTAACCAATGTGTGACAATGATGTACAGTCAATCTTGGCCCAGTTTAAACTAAAATAAATCTTGTTTGCCTCTTGATTCAGTGGGGTAATTGCTCTCTGAACTTCGGATTGCTGAAACATTTGAAACAACACGTGCAAGGTAATTGGCTGTTGATGTGTTGAAAGATTATCCTATGTGAGTGAGTATGGTCCTCACACAAATGTGTTGTTTGATCATTCTTTGCAGATCATATCAATCAAATTGTTGACTTTAAAAGTTGTTTCTGGGATGAATGTGCTCATAACTTCCCACGAGGGAAACAACTGGATGTAAGTATTTCAAGACCTTAGTTATCTTTACGTTAATAGCACAAAATATACCAACGAACTCTAGGTCCTATCCTGCTTAATTCTTACACATGTTAGTAACTATGTTATATTATGCACTACAAGTTTTCTAAACTGCACCACTTTCTTTTGTTACCCAGGTTATTCAAGCAGCCACAGAACATATACTAAGTCATGTCCCAAATGCTACAGATTGAGGCAGTTCCCTGGATCAACTGAGGTATCTTGAACGTTGTGTGACACAAACATAGGAGACAGGAAATTGCATTGGGTTATTTATTGACCAGTTTCTAAATTGCATTATTTGTACATTAGAAATATTTATATTCTTCATTACTTGGAAAGAAAGTAAAGAAAATAGGACAAGTTGTGTGTGAATGTTGTGTGAACCACATTGGGTTTAAGCATGCATATTAATACTTTAAGGAACCTGCATGGACCCTTTTCCCTGTCCATATGCGAATTTGCAAAAGTTCTGTTTGTGCAAAATGGAGGAATAATGTTGAGCATCATACGTGCAGTAGTTACAACTATTTTTTGAAAGAAGATGCTTTTAAATTACAAATCATATGAAAGTGGGGCAGCTAGTGCCTGTTTTAACAAAAGGAATTAGAGGAGATTTTCATTAGGAAATGATATGATTCCATAATGGATGCCAGAGATATTTTCTATGGTAACATGCCAACAATGCTCTGTGTCTTTTCCACACCACACCTCCCCATATTTGTTATCTTCCATCCACTCAATGTGGCCTAATTATGTCCACCACCGCTGCCTCCTGGCATTCCACCTGCTCCTTGAAATTGTCTCATCATGCTTTGTAAACCTTGCATACCACCTGGAAATGAAGAAAGGTTTGTAAGCAGCTGTGGTGTCGAGACAGACATGACTGGGCATGCTCCTCTGATAGTGATGTCAGTGAATTGAAGGGTAAAACAACATGACAGAGTTATGAACATACCCATTTGTTGCAGGACTCTGGGGTCCATCATCCTTGCCATTTGTTGATTTAGTCTTTGGAACTGAGAAGGATTTATGTTTCTCGACATATCACCACCTTAGAGAAACATATTAAAACATTGTAGATCTTGATTAACCCAAATTCAAAAGAAGAAGAAGTGTGAGGCATCACATCAGATGAAATATTCCATAAAACTGACCTTTAAACAATCCTTTGATTCCTCCCATCTTTTTAACCATCGCAGCAAACTTATTGTACTGAGACAACAGTTCATCAACTTCACGAACCGAGGTTCCTGACCCACGAGCAACTCTTGCCACTCGACCTCGTTCCCGTGAAAACAACTTTGATCCTTGAAGACTATCCAGTTCTGGAATTGACAGAAATTAAAGGATGTTGGTTGCATATTGTTTCATGAATATATATCAAATTGGTATTGGTGTCCAAATAGTAACCTTGGTCGTTCATGCTGTCCATGATTGTCATGAGCTTCTTTAGCCTAGCCATGGATTCTTGTTCATTTCCTTTCGTCATGAAATCACTACCAAAACCAGGTATCATTCCCTAAAAGAATACCACAGAAGTCAAGTGATTAGGATTAAGATATTCACATTCTAATAACATGCTTCAAACAATGTACCATAATCTGGTTGAAGGGTCCCATTTTCATAATATTTTGAAACTGTTCATACATGTCTCTTAGTGTGAACTGACCTAAAAAGTGAAAATGTTTTTACATTGATTTAGTTTAGTAGTATAGTTTACCATTTCAAAAAATCTAAGACAATATCTTACCATGTTTTAGTTTTCCTATCAATTCTTCATTTTCTTCTAACTTCAGTTCATTCACCTTATCAATAAGGCCTTCAATATCACCCATACCTGACAAAGGACAGGAAAGCATGTTGAATTAAAACTGCAAAACAAACTGCTGGTAATCATAGCAGGTTGCTATATCAGTTCACAAACCTAATAATTTGCTGATAAATGGCCTTGTCTTGAAAGGCTCAAAGTCGTCAATATGTTCTCCAGTGCCAATGAAAATTATTGGACTTTTTGTGGCAGCAACTCTGAATTGATTTGGAGGTAAAGGAAGAATCAAAGATGAGCCTACATAGTATTCAATACAAAATGGAATTACAATTGTGTAGATTACTTACGCACTCAATGCTCCACCACCTTTAGCATGGCCATCTAACTTTGTCACAATAACTGAAGCAACATCTACTTTTTCTTTAAATGCCCTAGCCTAGGATGAAAGAGATTTGTATCTTGTACATAAAATGACAATGGAATTTAGGCTTTGTTGAAATTATACCAGATTTGTCTGGAGAATTTATGTGGTTAGCTGTGCTTAGTGTGTTACAATCCAGCAAAGAAAACATTGAATGAAAAATTACCTGCGATTCACAAGCTTGACCAATGGTGGCATCCATAACAAAAATAATATTATCAGGATCCTGTGATAAACAAATTAAAATTAGGAACCATGAAGCTAGTGACTTACTAGCATTTCTGCCATTGAGGTAGGTACTTTAACAACTCACTATTGCATTAGAAACTTGTAACATTTCTTCAAATAACGATTCTTCTTGCTTATGACGACCACTAAAGACAAGGTATGGTCATAAATTAGAGGGAAGATCTTAACTCAATATGTAGGACACTGATGACAAAAGTTGAGATGAATGTAATAATCCTACCTTGTGTCAACAATTATAATTTCAAATTTTTCAGATTTAAATTTATCCACCCCATCTTGGGCAATGATGACAGGGTCCATTTCTGTATAGCTAAAAATTATGATTATTATTTGAATGATTATCTACACATACTTCATGAAATATATGCATGATTGTACATACCTCCCGTAGAAAGGAATCCTAGCTTTCGTTGCATTCTGTTTCAACTGATCAAACGCTCCTGTTTCATAAGAAAAGATTAGCAACATTGGACAAAAATACTGAATGGTTATGGATAAAAAGAAGTGAGAAATAAACAAACCTGCTCTAAATGTGTCAGCACATGTTAAACATGTCTTCCAACCTTTTCTTTGGTAGTGATAAGCTAACTGTGAAGAACAAATATAATATCTTAATGAATAACTGGAGGTTGACAGGATCTGATATATACCTACAATGTTCATGATATTCCTACCTTAGTACACGTTGTGGTCTTTCCACTTCCTTGTAGACCAACAAACATGATTATATTTGGTTTTCCTTTTTGTGGTTGCCATGTCTTTACCCCAGGATCCACAAGCTAGGTGAGAATGATAAAATATATTCCATGGTTTGTAGTTCTGTTTGTGAAACTTTGTTTACATCTATTGATGTGTTCATTTGCTGGTCGCCGCAAGTTGATTCATCAAACATACTTTGCAGAGTTCTTGGAATACAGCATGCTGTATCATCCTTCGTTTGTTCAGCCCTGCAGCCATGTCTTCAAAATCAATGGCTGATCTAAACGGAGAAAATATAGTAGAATGGCAAGAGGTTAGTTTTGTGAGGCAAGGCTTAGTCACAGGATGAAAGACAGGATCAACCCTGGTATCATTTAATACCAGCTACATCCTTGATGTACATATAAAACATTCGTATTTACGATCAACTTACTTCACATTTTCTCTCAACTTCTTAACCAACTGAACGTTCACATCAGCCTCAAGCAAAGCCTTGCATACTTCTTTCAATAAGGAATTTAATACCTAAGATTCAATGATCATAACTTATCATCAATCAAGAGACTAAACCACTGACTAAACATTGTCTAAAATCTAAATCATATAGAATACATCAAAATATGTTGAGTAGAGTTAGTTTTGTCTCCACGACTATAATGAATCATATAACTTTTCACAGAGCATTTGCGATTGATAATACTTCTATTAAACAAATATAAACCCTTACCTCTTCGTTTATAATTGTAGCGTTGCTCAATGATCGTAGAGCTTCAGTTATTTTACGTCCTAAATCGGCTAAAACCATATCGGAATCGCGAAATAAACGACGGTTATGAATCCACTGTGTTTATTATTATCATATAAACTTGGTTTCTGCTGTATTTGAATGAAAAACAGCAAGTAAACCACAAAACTTCACCAATCTCTTTTATTTAAAAGGACACGTAAGATCGGCCATGTTGTCACCCGATTCGGATTTTCCTGACGCGGAAGATTGTCTGTCGTAAAAAATGTCTTTTGTCTTTATTTTTAGCGCACCGTTTCTTCAGAACTGAATCAGATTTAGCCAATCAGAGCCGAGGAAATCTAACCAATTGTAAATCTGATAAACTAACCAATGATAATTCAGCATATAAACTTGTTGCCTAGTTTTGCCCGATTGGAACATTTTCGGATTTTTTTCAAAATATGGACATATTTGTATGTTTAGTGATTTGTATAAATTTGCATGTCAAAGGTTTTTGAGTAGACACTTCAGGTGGTTCTCTCTGCAGGAGAAATTAATAAAATATATTTGTTTTCGCTGTGAATTTCCACAAAACGAAAGTAATGATTACTTCGATCCAGTTTGAATCAGGTCCTTGATTCTGTCTAGGCGATTTTCAGCTGGCCAGTTCAGCTGTAAAAAGTTAGACTGTCAGATTGAAATTACTTTTTACCGGTTTTAATTTATGATCGTCTGCACTCTGCAATATGCATTACAGACAGCAGTCTGGACGCAGGGCATTTCATTCCATTTACGGATACGAAGCGATACACATTGATTACTTTACAATATAGTGAGAAAAATAATAAACAATGTCCTTTCAACGTCAGTACTATGTAAGAAAATATTGTAGAATGTAGCTACAATTCAGTCTAAACTTGAATCCTATAATACATTACGATTCTTTAATTTACTGTTCGATTGAATTTGTTTATATCTTGTATTCTTGTCACTATCGTATTCTATACGTCAGCTTCAGAAGAAATTTTCATAACAATAGTTATTAGCAAGTAATTAATATTTTCCAAGCCGTGTGAAGACAAAAGCACCCCGTGATTTCAGTCCACTTGAAGTGATATTAATTGCGTGTTATCGTAATGTTCATTTATCATTCACTACAGCTTATCTTGAACACTGAGGTGTCACGACAACTCCTAGCCAACGATTAAAATGTTTTCTCTGCTGTTCGCTGAACCAATTCGAAGCAAAACAAGTTGCAACGAGCATGTGTACGTCTTGAGTGTAGCCAGGGTAGTTGTAATAGAAATCATAGCAGCGTTTAGCGGCGGTGAAGATGCGGTTCCTGTCGATGTAAAACGGTTTTTCCAGCAAATATCTTGATATCAGTCGAGCTAATAGCGAGATGCTTTGTGGAGAATAACCGTAATTATAATCCGGATCCCAGTCTTGATCAAATGCATTCTGTTCACCTTCTCTTGTGTTAAAATCGTTCCTAATTTCCCGCAATTCCCGTTCGACTTTCCGAACTTCATCTTGAGAAATCTTCAACGCTTTTTTGGTTCGTTTCAAATCCGCTTCTAACGAGGCAACGGTCTTGGATAGTTCCTCCACCACAGAATTCTTCGGTTTTCTGTCACCTTTAGTTAAACTTTTGACGCTTTTACAGTTTGCATGATGTTCAGGAACTTCGAATTTCTTCACTTGCTCTCCACAACCGTAACATTTCACTGAAGCGTATTCGCAGTGACGAACATGACCGGCGATGCTGTCTAATTTCATAACCATTTTGCAACCGTTTTCCGCATTTTCGCAGCTCGTATGAAGGTTCCCAACGATTCCTCGCACGGCTAAGACAGGGATGAGGTCAAAAACTAAAGTTGTCGTTCGACAAGTTGGACAAGTATCGGTCTCTGATCGATCAAGCCACGTCTCTAAACATTGTTGACAAAAACTATGGCCACACGGTGTTATGACTGCGTCTTTCAAAACGTTCGCACAAATACCACAAATTAAATTCGGGTCTATATTGCTTACAAAACGTTGAATAGCGTAACCCATCCTTGAACTAGCGCGATACACTGTAGAATCGATAGGACTTCGTACGTCTATTTAAGGTAGCCGGCAATTTGAACTAATTTAACATGTACCTTTAATAAGTGACGTCATAAACACACTGATCTTAATGTTTCTTTGTTTCAAAATATCTCATTATGATCGATAATGCTTTGAAATCACGCAATGAACTAATTTTCATGTAAATTTGCGGCATTATACTGCGCTCAAAAGCATTCCTGTATAGTCGAAGTACTGTTTAAAAGTATGTTTCTTATCTGAAGCACATAAGTTGTGTTTGATAGCTATGAATTTATAGAACAACGAACTTCAAATTTGCATTTGAATGTACACGACACATTGTCATCTCTTTCTATTATCATTCCGAACACAAATATCACCTGCATTGCTCAGAGAACAAGCAAAATTAATCAAAATATAGAACGGGTAATTATACTTTACCCATAAAACACACACACATTTGTAAGCCAATGATGAAAATTGAAAGATAACTACCGTTTTAGTAAACATATATAACATAAAATGTAAATCATTATTAAACTTAGTGATTTTCAATAACGAAACTCACAAATACAGTAATCTGTTTTCCTAAATAGTAGAGGATTTTTGAATGTTTTTTTTAGCTATAAGTCGTAAATGGGGTAAAATTCAGCCAGACGTAACTTTGCTGATAGGATTACCATGAAGTTCTGCATGGACAAATTGAAAATGTATTTGATGATTTTTGTTATTGACTCTCATCTCCATCCTGACTAGTCGAATTCACTGATTTGGCTAAGTTATATTATAAGACGTAAGCTGCGTTTTTTAACTGGGCTGCTGTAAAATACAACTGCTTAATTTAAGCCTTTAAATAAGTATAATTCTTTGCTGTTTCTCCAGCTGACGGACTTTCGGTAGTCGTTGCGAGGTTCGTGTACTTTAGGTATAAAATGTCGTATAAAAAGTGTTGTTCAGTTGTTTACCTTGGCGTGTTTTTAAGTGTTCGATCTGCAAATATTGTTCTTGTGAATTTGTATTGTTTTAAAATTTAAAGCTTGCCCAAATATAGCTTATAGTTTGTTAGTCACAGTGTATCTTAAATCTTTATGTTTTTTGAGCAATTTTATCCACTGAATTAAAATCACCTGCCATGTAATAAGGCCATTAATTAAGCTTCTCAAAACGCGAGAGGTTGTGTCGAAAGGAAGGTTATTTAATATCATTGCAGATGTTTTTACTGAAATCTAATGCAATATTGGATGCTTGATAAAATACTATTTTTTCGCAAGATTTTTTCATAGAGCTCAAATTTTTACGGCTGTATTCACAACAGGTTGCATAGTTATTACATGCGATGCCTGTCACTATAGGATTTCGTCCTTCATCAAAAATACCGTTTGCTTATTAATATTCTTCATAAATCTATCCTAAATATGAACAGCCTTTGATTTATAATGTCCAACATCCCAAGATGAGAATCACTGAATCCCAAAATCAAACTTTTCCGAAACAATTTGAGATTCTTCTTACGTGCAAACACTATAGACATAAAATATCTTGTGAAGAAACGCAATTAAATGAACGTTTGGCAACTATATAGTTGCATTATCTATCTATCTATATCTATTTTTGCCACAAACGGTATACACATATCGTACTTGGCTACTTGCTAATCGTATAATGTTTGCAAACTAAAAAAAGGGATATTTCACGCTTTATGATCGTGTCAAATATGCCACCTGCCGGTCACGCGTTGTAATCAATAATGACAATAAACTTCAGTTCTTCATGAAAATTTACCGAGGAATTCATTTCGTTAGAAATGTGAGAACTGTAGTTCTGGTTCTGACGAATTCAAAATGACTTCATTAAAGCAAGGTACGTTTAAAATAATTTGCTGGTGTGATACCATTTTATCCCTGTGTAATTTTGTTAAATAAGCCCGGCTAGAGGAAAATCAGTTGTTCATAGTGGGATATGATATGGAATTAGGATTGTTTATAAGGATATCATGGCATCAAACGTTAATTCAAACGTGTTTGTCAAAGGAAAGTGAAATTTTGAATTAGCAGTGGATAGAAGTGTCGTGTAATTTGGACTGTACTGTACAAGAATTGTATTATCTCTCCTGTTAATCTCATTCATTCTCTGTTTTTCCAGCATGAAAGATTTTAGCAAGTATTATCACGATGTGATTTGAAGTTACGATGCGAATGAATGGCCTTTACATACTTGTGACATTCGTTGTTACTGTGAACAGTGTTCTTGTTTCTAAAGCCAGTGTTGAAGAAAGAAACATTCGGCAAACCAGATCTTCTGGTAAACGAGACAATGGGTTGAAAAATGCTGAAGTTTTGTATCATGGATCAAAAGGCAAACGACACAGCTCACCACTGGCTAAAAACAATTTTAAAAAACACAGAAACGATGACAACCATTTAGCAGAAGAACATGGACACAAAGAAAAGCTTGCTGCACGGAAGAAGGGAGAAAGAAAGTCAAAGCATCGTACAGGGGTGCAAAAAACATCGCACAGAACACGTACACAAGATTCAGATGACATTTTATCAAAAATCAAAAAGGAATATACTTCAAAACACTCTCGTAAATCAATAAACAAGGAAGGGGATATTTTTAAGAATGATAAACGGTTCAAGGATAATAATCGGGGCAAGGAGATACAAATCAAAGAAGCTGGTGGGGGATCAGATACGAAGGAAGACAGATGGAAAAATAAGAAGGAAAATGCTGCCTCTGAGGATGAAAAAGAGTTTCCTATTTTACACAAGATACTGTATGATAAGATGAAGGATAAAATCAAGAGCAAGCTGGGAATGAAGAAGAAAGATGATGATGGTAAAAGTGGGGAAAAGGAAGCAACCTCGAGCAATGATCACAGTGTTTCGAATTCAAACAAAAAAATGCCTGAAACAACAGCAAGCAAAGATAGTGAGACATCTGATAAGAAAGATGATAAAAAGATGAAGAAAAAACATCGTAAATATAACGATGATGTTCATCAAAAAAAGAAAAAGAAACATCGTAAATATAACGACGATGATGCCTCGAAATTCCTCAACGAAACAGAAATGAGAGCACTTCGCGATGCTCTGCTTCTTCATCCCTTTAATATTTGGAAGTTTAAAGATCGTTTCAATTCAATGTCTGATCTTGGTATCCACGAAGCTTTGCTTCAAGATGTCGTTGAAAACAGATGGAATAGACGACTGAAACATAAACTATTTAAAGTGTTTAAAGGCGAGAATATTCATATGGCTGTTATAGGAGGATCAAATACCGCTGGAGGGGGGATACAACAGGATGAAGGGAGAACAGACGGGATATTCTTTCGAGTTATCTTAGACTGGTGGCAAAAGACGATAACTCCACTAACTGGTTCCCATCTGAAAACTCGTCAGATTGCAATGGGTGGCACAGGAAGTGATTTCTTTCAATATTGCCATCGTTCGTATGTTCAGAAGGACGTTGACTTAATCTTGCTTGAGATGTCAGTAAATGATCTTCATGAATTACCGAACAATGTTAATTTGAGCCTTCCTATCGAGCAGCTCACCCGACAACTCTTGGAATATCCGACTGAGCCTGCGTTGTTATACGTCAACCTGCTCAGTGGTCGTTCCTATTACCAAGGCTGCACGAATCTCGAGGATTTTGGCCAGCGGCTGTTGTCGGATGCTTACGAAGTCACTACTTTCAGTTGGCGCGATGCTGTTTGTCCTGTGATTGATGGAAAATTCCGCGTTCCTTTGAAAGGCTGCACCGTTATCTGTAAGGATGGTCACCATATCAATCAACTCGGACATGCGCACATTTCCCTTATGGTTATCAATCTATTTCGTGATCTCCTATTGGATAATATGGATCACGTGCACGAGCTTTCCCGGCTGGTGTTCCACGATGAAGTGATCTTGCCCAAACCTGTCTTTATTGCCCGACAAAGCAAGGTTATCACTGACCCAGTATGCTGGACTACAGTCACTCCGAACTACAAAAGAAAAATTATAACAAACGGCATGGAAGTTGGAGTGATGGAAAATTACGGTTTTGACTATGTTCATGATAAAGCTATTGGCGGTGGACATTGCCACACGGCAGAAGCATGCCGCGCAGATGCGTATAGCGGATGGACGGGACAAGATGTCGGCGCCAGCTTGACTCTCTCGTTTACAGTCCCCCCGCTTGGTCATAAACGGCGGATCCAAAGTCGCTCAGTCGTCTTCGCGACGCGGACATGTTGGAAATGCGGAGTCGCGGAAGTATGGCTTGATGATGACGTCGTGAATAGACGACAGATAAGAGCGCAAAGTCAGTACGCACAGACATTATCACAGATCATAGCATTAAGAGTAAACCCCGGCGATCACACGATGAGCGTGAAAGTTGTTCATCCAGGGCTCTTTACCGCAGTGGGGGTGATGCTGGGGCCACCCGATGGCCCTTATTAGGCGGCGGTGGATAGGGGGAGTGGCGATTGCACTACTCTAGAAAGACAACATTATTATCAAAATATTAGTTCTAAATGTAATTTCAGATCTTGTCTGAATGGAACTCCAACATTAATGAGTCTAGTTAAGAAATTTTTGTAAATAGCCAGTAGAACTCTTACGAGTTTTAATGCATGAATATAAAAAACTTTAAAGTTTTTTTATCCTATCTTTTTCCTACCATATAATGTACAGGTCAAACACGCAAGCATAGTTCTTATTTTGATTAGCGCATTAATTAATTAGCATTTTATGCGTATTAGCTTGTTCGCTTTGCTTAGCAATCAAAGTGACGTAATACAAATAAACTTTAATGTGCATTGAGTGAACTATTCGCAACCAAATGCCTAAAGTCTGATATGCGGTTTTTCTATTTTTTATTGATCACTTCTTATTTGAGAATCACTGTGGGTAAGCTCTCAATTATTTTGTTGTTGTTGTTGTTGTTGTTGTTGTTGTTGTTGTTGTTGTTGTTGTTGTTGTTGTTGTTGTTGTTGCTGCTGCTGTTAGAAAGGTTGGAACTTAAAAACGGGCAATTTCAGAGCGATTGAAAAACTAAAATCTGGTGGATATCGCTATCCAGATGTCGTACAAACGATTGAGGTGGTCTCGCGGCCGTGTATTTTAAGGCGGGTTTTTGGTTGAATTTTCAAAGACAACTTTTATACAATTAACTGTATATACCAAAACAAAAATATTTTGTATTAATCATCATGATTGATGTTTTCATAGCTGTGGGTAACTGCACATATGATTGTCCCTCGAATTCGTATTGTGGAAAGACAGAGTCTGGAAACAACACTTGTATTTGTAGAGACGGTTATACTAATAAACATAAGAAGGATCCCTTGGAATGTACTGGTATGAAAGATTTATAATACTTGCAGGGATGTGTGTCCGGAAACAAAACTTCCAGCCTCCCTCTGAGCGTAAATATAATAATTTACGTTTCGAGGGAGGCTGGAAGCTTCGTAAATTCCGCACTCACTAAACCTGCCAGAACAATGCAGAAATTTGTGTTTTTGAAGTTTCGACACTCAGTAGCGTAGCCAGCCTGACGATTTGTCCCGCTATGCTAATATTTTGGTGTTCATTGACTGTAAAAACAATAAATTTCTAAAGAAATGAATAATTATAATAACTCGAAATTTACATAGCGGGACAAAATCGTCAGGCTGGCTACGCCACTGTCGACACTAAAATGTAATCAATGGTTCACAAATCACAATTGTGCATTTCTGTATCGTTATCAAAAAGAAAGCTATTGAATAACATATTTGAGAGCTCATCATACACATCTGATAGCCTATGTGATAGCTGAAAGGTTTCATGAGTGTGAAGGTGCAGGTATTTGATACAAACGTGCAAACGTACGTGATACTCAGTCATTTTCTGCCGGAATCATAGTTTAGCAAACAGATGAAATGTGGGTACTTATTCTCTTATTTTTTCAGATGTAGCTTAGCATCAAATGTGTTATAACAACTGCCTAAAATAGACAAAACATTTCTCGACGTTTTAACCTGAGGGTCTTCGTCAGGAAAGTTAGTATGACTCACTCTATACTAACTCTTCTGACGAAGACCCTCAGGTCGAAACGTCGAGAAGTGTTTTTGTATATTTTAGGCAGTTGTTATACCACATTTGATGCTAAGTTATTTGAAAACGCTGCCACGCTGCTCCCTGGTTATATTTTTCAGATGTAGACGAATGTTTCATAATTGACTATGACAAATATAACATCGAGAGGGATTTCTATGAGTACGGGAGTAAGAAGATCGACATGGGTACGTTTTCATTCGACGTAAAAGAAATGTGCTTTTACAGAAACGCTGAATGTATCAACACCCCAGGCAGTTATCAATGTCTTTGCAAGAAAGGATATTTTCACCATGAAAAAAGGGCAACTTGTATGGAAGGTGGGCTAAATAGTTTTATATTATGAATGAAAGTAGTTCGAGAGTGAAGCAAATTAGCAAGGTTCAGATATGAATGATTGAATGGAATTAGTTTGTTAAAATTAGCTATTATTGCCTGACCTTTGAAATCTCAAGACGGGAAGAAACGAAGAAGTTTTAAAATGTACTTCAATAATTTAGTTTTGCTTAGAATGTTTTGTGTTGCATGTAGAGTTATCATACATGCATATACAGTAATCATCAGATTTTTCCTTGCATGTGATCATTACTTTCGTATATTCATCATTATGAACGATATTTTCACAGCTAATAATTGCAATTTACCACCTCACGACTGCCACCGGAATGCTCACTGTAAAAGCCACAAGAGTGGGTATACTTGTACTTGTAACAAAGGTTACACTGGAGATGGAAAAGTTAGTTGCACGGGTATGAAATGAAAAACGTAGCTAACTATCCAACTATGAAACGTTTTTTGGAGGAAGAAAAATGTTGAATGACTTGAATCAGTTTGTACATTTCCTTCTTGCATCAATATGCACTGGTCATGACTATAAATAATAATGTGGCTTCAGTTTTTTTATGGGACGCCATTGAATTTGATCTCAGTAACTTCACAGTTTGAATGAAGTCGATTTGTTCACAGATATAGACGAATGCAAAGTCCCTGGTGTGTGTCGACCTCCCAAGAAACACTGCGAGAATATACCGGGATCATATACATGCAATGCATGTGAAAAAGGATACAGTAATTTGGGTGTTAAGTGTACAGGTATGCGGAGTTGCAAAAAGTTTTTAACCTCAATTCTCCAAGACGATTTCAAGCAATATGCATATGAAAAGCTTTAAGACAATGTGATATTTTTTCAGTTAGAAAACTCTTTACTCTTTTCCTACTTTCTCATTCTTCCTTTTTCTTCCTCACCCTTTCTCATTCTTCGACATCCTCTCTCATCCTTCCTCATCCTTCCTCTCCCTTTCCCATCCTTCCTCGCTCTTTCTCAACCTTCCTCATGCATCCTCTCTCATCCTCTCTCATCCTTCCTCATCCTTTCTCGTCCTTCCTCATCCTTTCTCATCTTCCTCATCCTTCCTCATCCTTCCTCATCTTTCTTCATCCTTCCTCATCCTCATTCCGCAATCTTCTCCAGACTCTGAAGGTAGATATTAAATATTCTCTATGGTGGTAACATACATGTGACTGAGCTTGTTTTTGTGAATTTTAGCAAATCAACAAATGTATACAATTTTATTTTCAGACATAAACGAATGCGAATATTACATCCAACCTAATTCAGGAGAATCAAAATCAAAATTAATGATTATTCAAAGTTATGCCCGAGTAACGCTGCCAAAATGCAGTAAACGTGCTTATTGCATAAACACTCCAGGCAGCTATCACTGCCTTTGTAAGAAAGGATATTTTCTTTCCGACAACGGTAAAGACTGTGTGAAAGGTAAGCCGATTAGTTGTTTGGGTCTGTGGGCAGCAGTCGGCATTTACCATTGTCGATTATCATTGGCTAATGAAGAGTCTTCCTCGCTAGGCTATAGCTACATCGTCGAATGTGGACGACACACGGACACAGAACAACACATTGCGACGTAGCTAGATACTTATAGCATCAAATGTGGTATAAAAACTGCCTAAAATAGACAAAACACTTCTCGACGTTTCGACCTGAGAGCCTTCGTCAGGAGAGTTAGTACCACTTAGTATTAACTCTCCTGACGAAGGCCCTCAGGTCGAAACGTCGAGAAGTGTTTTGTCTATTTTAGGCAGTTGTTATACCACATTTGATGCTAAGTTGTTTGAAGACGCTGCCACGCTGCTCCCTGGTTATATTGGAACGTAGCTAGATACTTATGTAGAATGTTTCTATTTACAGTACTCTCTCATACAGGGCTCTTAAAAGTTATCAAACACATATATATAAATTTGCAGGATATATTAAATTTACAGAATATATCTAATTATAAAATTACATGCATTGGTAAAAATAATCGTACGTCCAATCAAGTTACATAAAGTTGATTTAAAGATAGTGAACTGTGGAGATTTTTATTTTATCATTCTACTCAATCTGCTCGTTATAAATCTCCATGCATGAATGCTAAATAACCTAAATGACTACTCTTTCTCTCTATATAAAGTGCTTCAAACCAAACAAATAATGATTATACAATTGCGAGTTTAATTAACCCTTTGTAACTCATTCTTTTTTTAGTTGTCAAAAGTTGCAACAACACACCAATGCTATGCTCCGGTTGGATGGAAGAGTGCGTCGATGGAAACGAACCAGGAGAATTCAAATGTCAATGCCAGGACGGATTTGAGATTTCTGAACGTGGTGGTTGTGTTGGTACTAAACGGTTTCTCGTATTATTATCATGGGATTTTGTTCATTTTTAATGCATACATTCTTTTTTGGCAACTTGTTTCGTTTTTATAGATAAAAATGAATGTGTGAATGGTGAAAATAACTGCCATCAGGAAGCGACATGTCATAACAGTGTCGGTAGTTACTCCTGTGTTTGCAGAGGGGGATTCAAACAATTTAAGAACGGGAGACTGGTGTTTAGATGAGAAAGCGGTACCAGGCAAGTCTCGTGTATGCTTGCATGTCCGCAAGTCAAGCGTCTGTTCAGAATCTTGTAGTTGTAGTATTGCCAATATCAATCATGTCATTTTGTTTTTTAGAAGAGAAAACTAGTCTACCGGCAATTATTATTGCGTCTTCCATTCTTCTTGTGATATCGTTCTCTCTTTTGGTATTTTGCTTATGTCTATACGCGAGGTGATTACATTATATTTAGGCTATATGATAGCATATATTTATGTGTTGCTCAGTTGCTGTGATATTCTAAGAAATCTATCATATTGTGACCAATGCATGAGTTTTGCAGCCAAGTTGTCACGTATATCCAATGATTAACCTTACCTTAGCTATATAGCAAACGGCTTTGTTTATATATACTTCTTGAATTATGGTTAGAGCGCTTCGAAGTGAGAAGAATGTGGTTGAAAACAAGCCCCTTATAAAAGACAAATCCTGGAGAAGCTGGCTGTCCGCCATCATGCCTGCTGAAGATGTTGACGTGGACAGGTAATGATAATGCGTATAGATTCTAACCTCACTCAATGTTGATTTTTGTACTGTTTTATACCGGCTTGTTAGATTTCAAACGAATCAATCAGCTTTGACTGTTTGGTCAGACAGCGATGATGGATACGATCCGTGAATTTCTCTTGGCTTATAACACTAGCTCTTTAAATTGTCAAAATAATACTGATGTAATACAATGTTTTATTATGAAATAAGAAATGTTAATTCTTCTATGTAACGAACGATGGAAATGGGATAAAGATTCCTGTATTGGTTTTACATTTGGGATAAACGGCTGATCAAGAATTGCATTATAATTTAGTAATACATTCGTATATATATGCACTTTATATTTCTTATCACCACGGTCGAATATATTATGTACTGGTATCACCGTCCTTCTGCCTTCGCCATTTTTTTCATCACTTTAATGAACCGACATTATGTACAATTGTGTGACACCCTTACTTCCAATCATTTTTTATCCTGCATTCGCCAAACAAGTATGTTTTTAATCAAGTTTTAGTAAAATTCAAATGTGTACACTGAAGATGCCATCGGGCGGTCGGTGATATGAGATTTCTGTTCAACAAAAGCGTTCACTGGTCAACCACGCAACCTGCAAGATTTGGCTTGTTCGAGATAAAAACACGAAAAAAACATTTACATTTCGCGCGCCTAATTACGTTGACGTAGACAAAGGAATTCCGCGCTGCGTCGCGTTCTGTTCCATTAAGTCGAGTCAGACAAGAATGTGGCTCAATTTATGTTTTTTTCTGTTGGCAAGTGCTTGTTTACTTATAGCAGGTAAGGTTGCTGGTATTTGTGCTGTTGCTGCAGTTGTTGTTGTCATTGTTGCTGTTTTTGTCATTACTGTTTTTGAGGTTGGCATTGTTGTTATTGTCATCATTGTTGTTGTTGACGTTGTTGTTGTTGTTGTTCTATCATTGACATTCTTCTCCTTGTTGTTATCATAATATCGTTATTGTTGCGGATGTAATAGTGTTGTCCTCATCGGCATTGCTAACTTTAGTTCTGTTCTTGCTTTTTTTTTTGGACTGTTCAGGACGCCAAAAAGAAACAAGCTGGCGACAATGCAAACACCTTAATGCTGATATTAAAGAATTTCATATCTTGAATTGTAAAAACATGAAATTAAGGGCTGTACCGAAAGACCTGTTTAAGACGCCTGTTAATTTAATGTAAGTATTTGAGGAGTCTTTGAGCATATGTGTACGCAAAACTTATAATAAATTTCCTGATCACTGCATGAACATGTGTATATTTAATACGATTTTTGAAGTATGCTTTCCGAAAATCCTTACAATTGCACCTGCAAAAATATGGAGTGGTTTTTAAAGAAGCTTCATCGTCGAGATATCAAAAAACGTGTCATCGATCATAAAAGAATGATATGTACACGTCCAAAAAGACTTAGATTCAAGAGGATATATAACCTTAAAGTTTCCGATGTGTGTTTTGAACGAGGTACGTTGAAGAAGCTAGCTGTTAATGAAATCGTTTTTGCAAATCCTCAGCTTTTTTTTAGCTTCAACAAAGATGTTGCCAGATGAATTCTTGTACATAAGACTGTTTAGCCAACAAAATGCCCGTAGTCAACTCCCGTTCAAGATGATATTTGGTGCCTAATTGAGGTGCTAGTCTTGATGTTTTGTGTTGATATTTTTCAGGCCAAGCAAAAGATGAATGTGCGTTAAAACTCCATAAATGTCACAAATACGCCCAATGCTCAGACCGCAAATTTGGATACGTTTGCACCTGTCGACCTGGCTTTACTGGAAATGGGAGATATTGCATCGGTATGGATGTAAAAAATAGATAAATACTCTCGGTGGATTATAGTTATGGCTAGATGTGAACAATAAGAGATAAAGTAGAATCCTAAAACCTTTTTTAGATATCAATGAATGTAAAGTTGCCAAATCGCCATGTCCTACACATGCAAAGTGTAAGAATAGTTTGGGATCATATTCCTGTGTTTGTAATCCAGGATTTATTATGAAAGGATCAAAATGTACAGGTACGAGAATTGCTAGAGTAAATATAGTTAGAACAGCACTTATGTGGGATTCCCCTGATGATACAGCGTCCACCGCTAATGCACTTTAGTACAATATATGTCAACTTTAGTACAATTAACGTCAAAGTATTAAACTTTACATGCAGCGGACCCTTTTGGGGAAAACCTTGTATAGGCTAAATGGAGATGATGGATCAAAAGTAATTTTATAGCTTTTTACAGGATCCTAAAGTTCTAAATCTTTTTTTAGATGTAGACGAATGTGACGTTTCGCAACCGCCATGTCAATTTGCAAATGCAAAGTGTAAGAATAGTTTGGGATCATATTCCTGTGTTTGTAATCAAGGCTTTATCTTGGAAAAGTCAAAATGTACAGGTACGAAAATTAGCTTGAATGAAGCTGAAAAAGCACTCGTCCTTTCACCAAAGTAAGCTTTACAACGGGCTTTTTAAATTGGGCGAAACTTTGTAAAGTGGTGGAGATATTGGGTCTTGTAAAGATTTTCGTGGTTTCTAAAGAATCCTGAACTTTTATAGATATAAATGAATGTAGACTTCCCAAACCGCCATGTCATGAACATGCAAAATGTAGGAATAGTTTTGGTTCATATTCGTGTGTTTGCAAGCGAGGCTTTATCTTGAAGAAATCAAAATGTCAAGGTAGGAGAATTGCTACAATGGATAGTTAGAACAGCACTTATGCATGTCAGAACAGCGATTATGCAGGAAGTCCCTGATGCTATGTCTGCAACGCAAGGTTTCACTTTAATGCAACACATTCCCTTTACATTAAAGTGAAGCGTGCTTGTATAAAGACATTGTGGTAGCTGGTAAATCTGACTTTTTTTCAAGACATTGACGAATGTCGTGCTGGAACCGCTGCGTGTGATGCTCGTGCTGATTGTATAAATACACCAGGAAGATTCAAATGTGTATGTAAAGAAGGATATTATGGCCAGAGGGGGAAAAATTGCGTTAAAAAAGGCAAGTCCATTACCCTTAGTTGTTATACATTCGACCATGGTCCTGTATACAATATTCCGGCCATATTCGACCATGGTCATATTCGCCGGAAAATGGCAAATACGACCATGGTCATATTCGCCGTAAAATGGCAAATACGACCATGGTCATATTTGCCGGAAAATGGCAAATACGACCATGGTCATATTCGCCGGAAAATGGCAAATACGACCATGGTCATATTCGCCGGAAAATGGCAAATACGACCGTGGTCATATTCGCCGGAAAATGGCAAATACGACCATGGTCATATTCGCCGGAAAATGGCAAATACGCGACCATGGTCATATTCGCCGGAAAATGGCAAATACGACCATGGTCATATTCGCCGGAAAATGGCAAATACGACCATGGTCATATTCGCCGGAAAATGGCAAATACGACCATGGTCATATTCGCCGGAAAATGGCAAATACGACCATGGTCATATTCGCCGGAAAATGGCAAATACGACCATGGTCATATTCGCCGGAAAATGGCAAATACGACCATGGTCATATTCGCCGGAAAATGGCAAATACGACCATGGTCATATTCGCCGGAAAATGGCAAATACGACCATGGTCATATTCGCCGGAAAATGGCAAATACGACCATGGTCATATTCGCCGGAAAATGGCAAATACGACCATGGTCATATTCGCCGGAAAATGGCAAATACGACCATGGTCATATTCGCCGGAAAATGGCAAATACGACCATGGTCATATTCGCCGGAAAATGGCAAATACGACCATGGTCATATTCGCCGGAAAATGGCAAATACGACCATGGTCATATTCGCCGGAAAATGGCAAATACGACCATGGTCATATTCGCCGGAAAATGGCAAATACGACCATGGTCATATTCGCCGGAAAATGGCAAATACGACCATGGTCATATTCGCCGGAAAATGGCAAATACGACCGTGGTCATATTCGCCGGAAAATGGCAAATACGACCGTGGTCATATTCGCCGGAAAATGGCAAATACGACCATGGTCATATTCGCCGGAAAATGGCAAATACGACCATGGTCATATTCGCCGGAAAATGGCAAATACGACCATGGTCATATTCGCCGGAAAATGGCAAATACGACCATGGTCATATTCGCCGGAAAATGGCAAATACGACCAAGGTCATATTCGCCGTAAAATGGCAAATACGACCATGGTCATATTCGCCGGAAAATGGCAAATACGACCATGGTCATATTCGCCGGAAAATGGCAAATACGACCGTGGTCATATTCGCCGGAAAATGGCAAATACGACCTGGTCATATTCGCCGGAAAATGGCAAATACGACCATGGTCATATTCGCCGGAAAATGGCAAATACGACCATGGTCATATTCGCCGGAAAATGGCAAATACGACCATGGTCATATTCGCCGGAAAATGGCAAATACGACCATGGTCATATTCGCCGGAAAATGGCAAATACGACCATGGTCATATTCGCCGGAAAATGGCAAATACGACCATGGTCATATTCGCCGGAAAATGACAAATACGACCATGGTCATATTCGCCGTAAAATGGCAAATACGACCATGGTCATATTCGCCGGAAAATGGCAAATACGACCATGGTCATATGCTCCGGAAAATGGCAAATACGACCATGGTCATATTCGCCGGAAAATGGCAAATACGACCATGGTCATATTCGCCGGAAAATGGCAAATACGACCATGGTCATATTCGCCGGAAAATGGCAAATACGACCATGGTCATATTCGCCGGAAAATGGCAAATACGACCGTGGTCATATTCGCCGGAAAATGGCAAATACGACCATGGTCATATTCGCCGGAAAATGGCAAATACGACCATGGTCATATTCGCCGGAAAATGGCAAATACGACCATGGTCATATTCGCCGGAAAATGGCAAATACGACCGGTCATATTCGCCGGAAAATGGCAAATACGACCATGGTCATATTCGCCGGAAAATGGCAAATACGACCATGGTCATATTCGCCGGAAAATGGCAAATACGACCATGGTCATATTCGGAAAATGGCAAATACGACATGATCATATGCTCCGGAAAATGGCAAATACGACCATGGTCATATTCGCCGGAAAATGGTCATATGCCATTTTCCGGCGAACTCGACCATGCTCGTAATTACCATTTTCCGGCGAACTCGACCATGGTCCGGCGAACTCGAGAATTTGCCATTCGACCATGGTCGAGTCGGCCGGAAAATGGCGAATTCAACCTAGAAAATAGCGTATGGTATTTCGATCGACCATAGTATTTCGGGTTGACTGAACATAAGATTATACCATTTTTGTAAAATTTATATACATCCTCGGTTATGTGGTATTTTTAAAATAGATATAGCTTTGAGAAGCTGTAGCGATACACCTGGACCATGTTCCGGATTGATGGAAGAGTGCATTGATGGCGACAAACCAGGCGAATTTACCTGCCATTGCAAAGCTGGATTTAAAAGTTCTATTTATGGTCATTGTGAAGGTACAGCGCGCCAGACATCAGTTACGGCCAGTCTGTACGCACAATCCAATTTTGTTGGATCCTTTTCACTTCTGACGTATGAAATATAGTCAGTTATTGATAAAGCAGTACTGTATTGCTTCAGTGGAATTCCTGCTCATATACATTGCAAAATAACAAACTATAAAACATCCGTCAGAAGTGAATTGGATTCAACAAAATTGGATCGTGTGAACAGTCCTTTTTTGTCGTAAATTTTTGCCTCACTTTAAAACTTCCCTAACGAGGCCCCTTATGTCGAAACGTCGAAAAGTTTTTTGTCTATATTTTAGGCATTTGTTATACCACTCATTTCATGTTATGTTATTTACGAATGCAAGTTTGATAAATGCGTATGATTCGTCTTTACAGATATTGACGAATGTGAGACCGAAATTGAACCATGTGACCCAATAGCTGACTGTGTCAATACACCGGGGTCTTACAAGTGCGTTTGTCCAAAAGCTGGATATTTAAACGCTGGTCGAACTTGCCTTGGTCAGTGGTGATTTCTTTTTATCAAGAATTTCATTCAAATAACCTTTCGTTTAACGTCGAAGGCACTAACAGCAAGAAACATTTGAGCTGTTTCTTTCAGAAAAGAGGTCTTATTGGATTTTTTTTGACCTTCTCAGACATAAATGAATGCGAGAATGGTAAACATGACTGTCATCAAGATGCAATATGCAAAAACAATCCTGGAAGTTTTTCGTGCGAGTGTGCAACTGGATTTAAACAATTTAGGAATGGTAGACTCTGTCTGAAAGAGGAAGAGGAAGAAGAAGGTAGGGTGGGGTGTGGAGGAGAGAGTGTGACTATCTTAACTTTGGGCGGGGGGGGAGGTCTGTAATAACAATTCTGTAATATCTTCATGGTCGTTATGTCTCCTGTAACGCCCTCTATAGATTTTGTTTTGTATTTTAGAATCTAACGTGGCTCTAGTGGTTATCATTTTGCTTATTGTCATCATTCTTGGCATTGCAGCGCTAGCATTTTTTTTATACGTGAGGTGAGAGACTGTGATATCACTGCTGCTCTTGTCTTTTGCTAAATTTTAAAGTTTCTATAAAATGCTCATTTAAAGGGACCATAGAATAATCAGTATTTCGTAGCTAATTTAATTTTTGCGAGTTCATCTTCCAGAAGAATGCAGAGCCGAAAAAAAGCGATTGAAAAGAAGCCTCTGATAAAAGAAACACCGAAGGCAAACTGGTTATCAAATTTCATGTTTCCTAAAACTAACGTAAACAGGTACATGGAGGAGTATATTTGTGATTTCTGCCAGTTGTACAACGTATAGAAAATAAAATTTCTCGTCAATTTCTTTTTCAGTCTTCCTACGAATGAATCAGCTCTCACGCTCTGGTCAGACAGCGATGAGGGGTGAATTGATTTTACGTGTTTACCTCTTTTCGTCTGAAAATGTTTGAAAATGGAATGACTTCTTTTTTTTAATGTCAGGACTATAATACAATGTACTGAATGGTGGATGACTAGTTTGTTTTCTTGTACGAACGAGGATAGGACATGAACGGGATTTACAAAAATAGGCTGGCAGTGTGTAGTTCTTTGAAACGGGAGCTGTGACATTTACGTCTTAGTGGTTCTTGACTCACTAGAATGAGGCCAGATCTCCCTCGCTTACCAATCAAAAGGGAAGCATTCTAACTAAAAATGATCGAAAAAGCTCAACCCGTACTAGTTCCTACCAATTTTCATCATCTTTTTCCATGACGCGCGCTTCTAATCTAATAATTGCACTGAAAAATCACATGCATGCTTCCTGCAAGCTTGTAAATGAGAAGTGATTACAATGACGTAACACAAACAGATTAGAACACAGTAACGTGCGAAGCGCTTTGAAAGCAGCGGTTAGACCGATGTGGATGCTAGGCATTTTTCTGCTCTGGACTGTCGGTTTAAATTTAACAGGTGAGTTTTTTTATGTTTGTTGTTGTTTTCTGCTGTTTGTTGTCTTTCATGTTGTTGTTTTTGTTGACGTTGTTGTGGTCAATCTTAACTTTCTTTGTTTTGCACTTAACGAGCAGAAGGCAGGGTATCAATGACAGAACTCTGGTGCGACGTTTGGACTGACATTGAGCCATCCAAAGCCTATTGTGCTGACAATGATCTTACATTTATTCCACCAGACATATTTAATACCTCTGTGGATAAAATGTAAGTAATTATCTCCTGTATAAAAAACTGTTGACATTGAAGTGTGAACAAACTTGAGTCCTATATACGAGAAAGTCCTATATACAAGAAACGTCTTCTTTTAGTTACCTTGCTGAAAACCCTTTCGATTGCAACTGTGGAATGGAATGGTTCCTCAAGAGACTTCATCTTAAGAATTTTCCACAAACTATTACAGATGTTAAAGAAATGATGTGTAAGACGCCTGCGAGACTGAAAGGCAAACGCATTTATCGTCTAAAAAGAAAGGATATATGTCTACCAGTGGATGAATGCAAGTTAAAAACTCATAAATGTCACAAGAGCGCGGACTGTATCGATCGTGAGAATGGATACACGTGTACCTGTCGTGATGGTTTCACTGGAGATGGAAAAAGGTGTGTTGGTAAGTCAATTACTCGGTTGTACCGAAATGTACCTTCATTCAGGCGTCGGCTAAACGAAATTTGGATTCAGGGAGTTGTAAACTAGGATCAGACCCACTCGGAACGAAGTCGAGTCACAGATTGCGCTACATCACTCATTACAAAATATAATCAAAAGAATTATATCGATAATTTTTCTTAAGATGTTTTCAGGATAATGTTTGGATAGTTTAGGCTTCCTCTTATAATATTCAACAGATTCTTTGAGGATGCATTGCTTCTACTTCAAAACAAAAGTGTCAAATTTGTTTTCAGAAATAGACGAGTGTGACTTTCCCCAATCATGTCCGGAAAATTCTGTTTGTCTGAATAGCATTGGGACATATTCGTGTACCTGTAACCAGGGGTATCAAATGAGATATTCAGTGTGTCAAGGTGAGAAAAATACCATGCATCAGTTATTCACTATATACTCGTGAAATGATCACAAATCATTTTCATTTTAAGATATCAATGAGTGTCACAAGTCGATATGTCAGAAGCATTCAAAATGTATCAACACTCCAGGAAGTTATCGCTGTGTTTGCGAAAAAGGATACTACAAGCAATGGGGTAAAAAATGTGTTAAAAGAGGTAAATTTCGTAAAATATTAGTACGATTTTTCTAGACTATATTTTAAAAGAAGAACTGCCAACCTCAAAGTATATTCAATGGTTTAAAATTCTTAAAATCGTCCAGATGTTGATGAATGCAAAACGATGAGGAAACCTTGCGACCCGATTGCTGATTGTGAGAATACTGTAGGATCATACAAATGTGTTTGTCCTGAAGGATATAGAAGCAGTGGTAGAAATTGCATTGGTTGGTATATAGTCATGTATTTGTTTTCATCTTGTAGCCAAAAATATTACTTGCAAAATGAATTGTCTTCTGGCGGGAATCAAAGGTTATTCAGCAAGTCCTCGACCATAATATATAACGGTACTTGAAAGTTTACAAGCATTGTAACTGTAGCTACCTTTCTTTTTTAGATATAGACGAATGTGAAAGTGCCGAGGATGACTGTCATCGTGATGCTGTGTGCCAAAACAATGCCGGCAGTTACTTGTGCTCCTGTAAATCTGGTTTTAAACAGTTGAAAGATGGACGACTCTGCTTGAGAGAAGAAGGCAAGCGTAATAGTACAGTGGTTAATCCTGTATTTTATTACAGTACTTCTTACACTAAAAAGACTGTTTTACGTTTTAGAAGATGAATCAAATGTGGTTCTGATAATTGTGGGGTCGTTTCTCTTTGTTCTGCTAGTTACTGCGTCGCTGGCATTTTATTTATACATGAGGTAATTGCCTTCATAGAAGAGTAAAATATAGTGACTCCTTCAAGCGGAGACCCTGAAGAAATCCTGTAACGTTTTGGAACATACAGAATTATCACAGCATAGCGTCCCTTTTCAGAAACACCTCGAAGCAAAGGGAGAATATCAAAGGAGGATTGCCAGTAAAAGAAAACCGGAAGACCAGAAACTGGCTATCGAACTTTATGTTTCCTAAATACAATATGAACAGGTTCCTATACCTCAGAGATTATGTCATAATGACATGCTTATCGCTTCTACCGTGGTGTAATTCCAACCTACAAATAACTCCAGCTTCCGTCATTTTTTTTACAGAATGCCGATGAATGTGTCAGTTTTAACTCTCTGGTCCGAGAGCGAAAGTGATGACGAGTGAGATGAGTTGTTTGATGAATTGTGTATCTTGAAATGGACGATGATTTGGGTGAAGATTTCACTGAATAAAGCAGTATCAGTTATATAAGTTGATCTGAAGAAAGCTGTTTTATTTTGCTTTTTTGGCCTTTAATAAAGATATTGGCAGAGAAATGTGGTGATTTTCTGTAGCTTAGCTAATCAGTGGATTAAGAAAGCGAATAAATGAATGTAACTATACTAGACAAGGCGATTACCTTGACAAAGATGAGTGTACATCAATGGGTACAAATGACAATGATATATTCAAATCCAGTTAACATACGACGGTCAGTTAAACACGAAGTAAACATGGCAACAACAGAATGCTTTTAAATGTGTCGTATATTTTTTTACCGATTTTGCCTTAGTTTTTCCATTTTTTGACATTTGAATGGATGATTTTGCATCAGGAAGGGTATGTGTACTGCACTATGTCTTAAAAACAACGATACTTCCTGAAGTTCCGCCTGTAAAATACTTCAAAATTCGCAGATTTTGATAGTTTGACATTGTATATATACAGGTTGCTAAAAAGGGAAGGAGAGCGAATTTGTCGTTTGAACCGGGTATTGAAGACGGATCAGATAACTTCAATGGCCAAGCTAGTGAACCAGTTGCCAACAGCACATCAGGACAGGTTTGTAAAGTGCTATTACAATAGTTGTTGGGCAGACTCACATAATTTTTGATAGAATTGATTACTGAATACTGATCGAGCTCGTACTTTTAATAGCAGTTTACCGAAAAACCGTCGGTGAAGAAGAAGGGTGGTTGGGCAAATGAAAGTCCAAAGGAGAAACGCAAAAGGTATAACCTCTTCTGATGAACATCAAAAGTGTTGTGTAAAGTCGTTTAAACATGGTTATACATATTGAAACTTTCTTATACAATCAAATTTTGTTTTTATTTTCAGTGCAGTCAAGAAGAAACAAAATGATTCAGATGTGACTACTATTGATGAGTAAGTAATAAGTTGATCCCATATATGATTCATCCCATTGAGAGAGTGGATATACCCAGTGGTGTAGCCAGCCCGACAATTTAGTCATGCCATGCTAATATCTTGGTGTTCATTGACTGTGAAAGCAATGAATTTCTGAAGAAATGAATAATGATAATAACATAAAATTTTCATAGCATGGCTAAATTGTCAGGCTGACTACACCACTATATATACTAGAGGGATGTACACCCTTCTTCCCCCCCTCCTTGCACCCTCAGTAAATCTACCCCTGATTAGACCATTGAAGATGTTTTTTTTTTGGTTTAGTGAAAGGTTAAGAAAAGACCACCAGGTGGTAGAGGAGAGTGATGGTTGGTATCAGTAATGAAAATCTTGGGAGTATTAGATTTTTGGATTATAACTATGTATTTTCTATTATTCTTCTCTGTTAGAGATTCCTGTCATTCCTGATCTTGATGATTTTCAAGAAGAAGATCTTGCAAACAAAATCGCTGCTCCACCAAGGTTGGTTTGTGATTTGTGAGACAGTGATATCCATCATATACCCAGCTTTATAGACGGAACTACATTTTGTGCTTGAATTTTCAGTGTCCAAGTAAATCGTGTCGCAACATACAAGGAGTTGGATAATGATTTTCAAAAGCACTTATACCTGCTGACTTTGGTATGAAAGTCTCAATAATTTCTCTTATAATGTCACTTAACAATGTGTTTCATTCCTTAACTGAAAATTTTGCTTTCTTTTACTAGGATGATGAAATTGATTTAAAGCTTTTGGGAAAGGTCTTAGCACCAGAATCAACGGTCTTTGAAGTAAGAACTTTAAAGCATGCAGTCCCTGAATATTTTTTCAATGCATTTACTAGGAATACGTATGCTTCATTTCATTTTAAAGGAGGACAAAGTATGGGATTGGGATAGACTCTTTACTGAAGTATCATCTGAATTGCAAACAGAATGGGAGACAAGAAAGACAAAGAATGAAAACAGACCTCAACCACCAGTGGAATAATACCATGTGTAAATACTGTGTAAATAGTAAATACTGTAATAAAGACAGTGAACTGGATGTAGCAAATGAAAAGAATTATTGTTGACTGTTGTGCTTTATCGTAAAGCAGGGAGGTGTAGCACCCAAGTTTTACTGATGATCACATGTAGTATAAGTATGTAGTATAAACAAGGTTCATGCTTCCAAATTCCAATAACAAAACCTTGAGGAAGTCTACCTTAGTGGAGTGTTTACCAAGCTGGCTGAACGCAATGCAATGTATATGAAAAATTCAAACAGCAACCATACAATGTTGCTGACGTGCAAAAAGGGTGTTGGCGTTTAGGGCCGCCTCCTCTCTCCCACGAAGTTTGTAAAGTTACCAACACTATAGTTCATCCATCCGGCATAGCCGATAAAGCATCGTGCAATGCAATATATCCATGCAGTATATTATATAGCTCAGTGTCTTCCAATATGGCCGCTGTGGAACCATAGACAGGAGTTTTTTGGCTTCATATTTTCGGCCAGAGGTAGTGTTCCAGTTTTCTTCAATATCCAGCTTTCAGCTGCAAGTATGTAAGACTTTCCTGGTATATTTTCATCGTCTGCTGTGTTTCATAGATAACAAATATGACGACAATCAGACCATTTACTTGTGAAGATCTATTTCACTTTGCTAATGTGTAAGTATATGAATATTATGATATGTGATAATGTAAAGACTCAGGTGTGTATATTAAATGTATATGTGATGTTGCTACTCTGAGTCACCAACCGGGCAAGCTGAAAGCCCGGTTGGTGATGCAGAGTAGCACCATCACATATACATTTAATCACCGTGATTTGATATGATATGTGTATGGTAGTATTAATGTCAGACAGTTTCACTCAAAATTTGGCATGCATTATAGTCTGTATTTACAATCAAGTGTTTTTGAGTGTAAGAGCCTGTTAGATCAGACTTGTGTGATAATTAAAGGTAACTTGCTAAATTAGCTACAATGCAATTATTTTATTCTGCTGTTTTTCAGAAATTTAGATCCACTCACTGAAACAGTATCCTTTATCGATACAAGGAACCAAGGCTGTATAAAATTACAGTTAATTTTCACATTTCTCTCTTAACCTTTGAAAGGTTGTTCCACAGATTCCTAGCACAATTTAAAGTTTAAACAAAAATATGACCATAATATATGACCTTAACTACTATTGATAGTATGGGATTCAGTTCTATCTTCAATATTTATCTCGATGGCCAGAGTACTTTCAAGTTGCAGAATCTCCCGATGGAAGAATAATGGGTTATAGTGAGTAACTCAATGCATGACCAGGATAGTTCTTTCTGTTTGAGGTCAGAAATTTCCCTGTTCTCCTATCAAAAAGTTTAGTTATTTATCGATTCTTTTTTATTTAGTCATGGGCAAGGCAGAAGGAAGTATAGAACAGGAACAATGGCATGGTCATGTGACAGCTGTTACAGTTTCTCCCGAGTTCAGGAAACTGGGACTAGCTGCGAAATTGATGACCAGTTTAGAGGAAATATCTGAAAGGTGGAAATTCAAATTAATGCCAGTTCATGAACACAATTTTTAGTGGTTGGATATACACAATGTAGTAATTAGATGTCTTCTTTCACTTTAGGAAAAAGTGTTTCTTTGTGGACTTGTTTGTTCGAGTATCTAACGAAGTTGCCGTGAAAATGTATGGTAATTTGGGTTACGTTCTTTATCGTCGAGTTCTGGATTATTACTCTGGTGATCCCGATGAAGATGCTTTTGGTGAGACTTGTGTTTTTGCATTGCTTTGTGAAGTCGTTTTGATGTCAATAAAAGATGCATGGGGGGGAGAGGAACCAGAGACATGATAGGGGGGAAGAACCAGTTTGCAAGGGGGAAACAAAATATCTATTAATACCTTGACTTGATTTTTAGACATGCGTAAAGCTCTATCACAGGATAAAGAGAAGAAGTCTATGATACCGTTAAACCATCCAGTACGTCCAGAGGATGTCTTAGAATAACCATATGACCAACCATCAAACATCAGGATACCAAAAAACACAATCTGATATATATCAATCGAAACTAAATATCAGATATTTGAAATGCAATTTGATGGTTGGTCTTTTAAAAACCTATAAACCTTTTTTAGCGAAGTGTACAATATTTGGCAATAGAAGTATTTTCTAAACGTGTGGTGACCTGGTCACTTTTTCTGTCCTTGTAAAGTAAAAAAACACACAAAAAACAGCTCTATTATGGAGAATGTTCCCCATAATTTTCCGCAAAAAAGATTGAAATCTTATACGTAATTCTCTACTCTTCGATAACTAGGAAAATATTTAATATTTCTTATCTCAAATATTGATATCGGGGTCTTGTCTGACATGACGTCTGGTAGACGCTATAATTATGATACAATCTACTTGTACAATAACGTTTGTAAGCCCCGTATAATTTTCTTTTGCCCTTTGGCTTTCTTCAGTAATAAAAATAATCTGTTTATTATACAATGCTGTCATAAATAGTGGCGCAGCTGGGAGATTTGAATTGTCAGAGCTGTTACAAATCAATTGAACATAATCCTTGTCATTTTAAGAATGCGTTTCCAACGTCGGTGTTGAATTTCAAATTCGTGTCAACAAATCCATTTTGGCAGATGTTAGCGAATTGTCTTGCTATGCAAGTGTCAATATTTTGTCATTTTCGGAGCACTTCGTTTGAAAAACATACAATTCAAGATCACAGACCATATTTGACCGAGTATGGCATTGTTGCTATCCCATGGTTTTTCTTGTTAGCTTAACCACTTTGTTTCGACAGAAGACAAAAGAAAAACTATTTAAATAGGTTAACGATCTGAAGACATTTGCATTGAACATTTGACATCTGCTATTGCTTTGAGGGTCTAAAAACAGTGGTATGTGGAAGCGTTTAAGATCCTGCTTTACCTGTGGGGGACGAGCAAGTAATCGGTATGTACCTTCAGGTATTTTATATTAAACTTGTCTTTATGATCTGAAATGTTGGGATCTTCTACCGTGAGCAATACGCGAATTTAAGTGAATACTTAGTGTGTTATGAGTTTGTATTCTCGTACTCACGTACTTCTGATAAGAAGATAGGGATGTCTGTATATGCACTAATTGCTTCCCTTTATGGTAAATGTTCACCAATGTATTGGTGCTTAATTCTAATTTATTACGGAGCGAGACGTACCATAAATCTACCACAAGTGCCCAACATTGTAGGCTTATGAGTAAGCAGTTCACCACATCACATGTAAGAGCAATGATGAGTGGCGAATATTAATAAAAACGTCTGTTAGCCAGCCATAATGCAATGAGAAAACATCAAGTCATTCGCAATTGGTACGAAATAATTGATGAATGGAAACAATTCTGAGGCTTCGTGCAACCTGATTGGCACTTTGACAAGAAAATAACAGCGCTAGAGTCATCTCAGATCAACCTATAAACGCTAAGGGCTATGTAGCTTCAAATTACGATTTTTTCTAGATTTCTAATCCGGATTAATTAAATTGGATTTCAAAATATTTCACAAGTCAATTAAATACTAGTCGTTTGTCTGTCCACAGGAATAGTCTATCATCTTCAGTTAATAGTTTTGGTCAGTTCACAGCAACGTCGTAACACAGCGAAAAATATCATATGGTCACCCTTACCATTACTTTAGTCTAATTTTTTGGACTTAAAATTGAATTTCTGAAGAAAACTGTGCTATAAATTGAATTGTAATTGAAACACAACATGTAGCAAAAAAGTTAATTGAAACAAGACGATGATTCGGTGGGGTGGACATTGTTGTAATTTCTTTTCTTTGGGATATTAACACTTAACAGTGGTGATTCAATTTTTCCCCAGTTAAATTTCAATCTACCAATAAAACTTTATTATCACCTTATTTCTGAATGAAATCTTGAATTACATGATCATAGTGGAACTCGCTTTGAGGAGAAAATTCGAGTTCAATCTTGCTAGACACGACCACTTATTTGGACAAGAACCATCGATATTTTAATGCAACATGTCGCAATGGTATTTTTTTAATTTGACTTCTATATTTGCCTCTTGTCTGTTAACTGAACTGTGTGCAAACCCAAAGCAAACATAGGTGTGAATTATTTTGATCACTGAATAAACACACGTTGTTTTTCAAACAATTCAGAGACAATTTTTATGCACACACTGACACAGTCATCATCTTTGTGCCTAGGTATCTCTTGGAAAAAAATGCCTGTTTCCTAAGATATTTCCGTGCACAAAGTTAACTTGAGTGTCTTTTTATTCACGTTTCACTACAGGATGGTAGAATTATGATTATTAAAAAATATAAGAGATTACAGAATTAATCGTCACCAAATATTTCATTTCTTTAATAGCAAACAGCTGGGGGTCAATGCTCAATACAAGGGAAGATCTTCCCAAAATATCAGGCGACAACCCGCAGTTTATATTGAGAAATATTACGCTCTAGCTCATTGTTGTTCATTTCTTGTCAAAATTATACTGTTTTCTTTGAGGGATTTTAAAATGTTTGGATTGCTGTCCTTTGGCAGTGTTTTGCTGTTTTTCGGAAGCTTATTGGTTGTATATTTTCGCTGGTTTAGAAGCGGTTCACCTGACAAATTAGCAAAGGTTTCTTCAAGCAGTGAGAGCGATGCACCTGAATCTCGACGTGAACAATATGGCAAGCAAGTGTCGGACAAGAATAAGACAAACATCGAAGGAAAAAGAAACGAAACGAACTCGTTAGGACACAAGAACGAAGGAGGGCAAGGCTTACAGAGTGATGAAAGCGAGGAAAATGTTACATTAAGACATCGTGTGTCTGCAAGAAAAGGTGAATCTGAAGGAGAAACAAAGGTAAATTTGCTTTCAAGTGAGTCCGTAAATAAAGCTGTTGAATCAGAAAATGAGAACAAAGCAGCGAGTAAAAATAATTTAAGCGAGGCTTTATCAGCCAGTAGATCGAGGGAATTAGACAAACAAGGATCTGAAACTGATATAAATACAAAAACAAATAATGTCGAAATTCTCGATAAATCGCCAGAGAGGAAAAGCATAGCTGGAACGAATGAAAGCGCTATAAACTGCAAGCAAAAACCTGGGGAATTTGTTGAAGAAGACCAAATACAAGGTCCTGCTTCAGACGGCGTAAAATTCGGCGACAATAGACAAGATGATGATGATGAAGCGAATATAAACAAAGCAAGCGACGTGTTATTAAATGAGTCTTTGATATCGGAGTCAAAACCTCTTCAAAAGGCTAAAAGGCTAGACGTTGTAGTTAAAGAGCCAGCATTGCAAGTGAAAGAGGTTATTCCTAGCGAATCTGCAGTAGAATTTCAGGCAGAAAATGAGAATTCTCTGGCAGGGCGTGAATTGATCGCAGGTGAATTTTGTGATGATTTGCATTCAGATGTGATTGCTATTGACTCTAGCCAGCCCTCAGGCACTGAAGTAATTGATCATTCTGGAGATGAAGAAGCCATTGTTGAGGAAATTAGAGCAGTTAATGATGGGATTAAGCATATTAATCTTTCTTCAGAGGAAAGTGTAGAAATCAACCATGTAAATGAGGTGTCACATAATGAAGAAAGTATATTGGACCCTCATGTTAATGATGTAAACACAGAGAATGTCATTGAGGAATTTTCACACCGGCTTTCAAAATGTATTATGGATGCTGTGTTGCAGGATGCACAGTTGCTTTTTAACCAATCAGAAGATGAGGGTGATGAAAGTCGTAACAGAGAGTCCATTTTGAAGTTTTCTGATATTCTCTCCGAGTCCATAATTAGATCTGTGTTAGATTATTCTAAGGTTGGGGAGGTGCATATTCCAGAGCATGATGAACCTGATCGCATGAGCCCTAGCGTTGCTGAGATCAACACAAACGAAAAGACATCTCATGATGTTCCATATGGATCATCACCCACCAATGAGGAAGAGGTCTATAGTGGGGATGAGGCAAATGATGAAAGCTGTTCAAGTAATTTGCATGAATATGCTAAAGCGTTATCACAACAGATTCTAACTGAGGTGTTGGACATGAATGGGGATAGGTCTCAGAGGGAAATGACTGATGTCTATACATCAAAACTAACAAAGAGTGTCCTGTCTAATGCGATCAATGGAGCAAAGTCACACATTGTTGAAAGTCAATCCTTGACTGACTCTGATGTAGGCATGGATAATGAAGCTATTGATTTCTACATTGCTGAAATTGTTGGGAATGCTGTTGAAAGTGCAATGTCAAGGATTGCAGAGGAGACTTCTAAGAATGCTATGCAGCAGAATGGGATTGAAGGGGACCATGACAGTATACAAGGTGAATACAGTGAGTGTCATGTTGAGAATAATATTGTTACAGAGGATCACTTGGGGACATGTAGGGACCAGGATGTAAGGGAACACAATGAGGATTCTGGAGGTTATGTGGTGAAAACAGAAGGTCCTTCAAGGGGATTGCAAAATGGTAAAGTAGACACTCCAGGTGTGAACATAGATCATTGCCAAAACAAGGCTGGGATAGCGAATGGTTTGGGCAATCAAGTGGTACAACAAAATGGCAAACTTCAAAGTAAATGGTTAAGTGAAGATGATTTGGATGAACTGTATAATGAAGATCTATCAGATGAAGACGAGACAGCTGGTGCTTCCACAGATACGGACCAGAATACTTCTGGTGATGTTGAGCCTGTCACAAGCGCAAATAATTTAACAACACCAAATAATGAGAAGCAATTCTGGAGGAAAAGTTTGATTGAAGACCTTGATGATGATATGGACTTTGAAGAGATTGAAACTCCTAGGAGTTCTTCATCCTCAAGTCCAACAAAATCTGCAAACCTAGAAGATTTTGTGGTTGATGGAAGTGCAGAAAGTGAAGATGATGAGGTTTTGGAAACCTCCTCTAACAATGTAAAAGTTCAAAAGCCAATTGCCAATGTGACAGAATCAAGTCGGTCTCGTTTGAGATCAGGTTGGTAGCAACTTCATTATATATATACTCATTTTTAGCTGCAGACTTAATATGTCAAAATGTGTTACATTTAAACCCTGAATTCAAGGCACTTTACTATGTGTAAATTTCCCCCCTTTTTCTATTTTAGTCGACACTACACCGGTTCTTGTTCTTGACAGCGGTTCTGCATTTCAGAAAGTTGGTTTTTCAGACCAAGCTTTGCCAAAGGAGATTGTTTCTTCTGTTGTTGGTACACCATTGAGATACTCCCAGGATATCTCTGGCATGGAATACAGTTCAAAACAAGGACTTATCTTTGGAGACAATGCAATGTCAAAAGCAGGAGTGTTGCATATCCGTAAGTTAACAGCATATACTTGAAATGCCCAATGGTTTGGACCAAAATTTCGCATTTTTCGTTCTTTAATACTTGATGCATTTCTACAATCTCTGTTGTTATCTCATTAACTGACACTACTCTTCCATTGATAAGTAAAATCATCTGGCATTAGACAGAGTAGAATACCATACTAAAGTAGGATGCAACTGGGTGCATTGCAAGGTAATTGGTTAATATGTGTAGGTATATATATATATAATATTATTGTGTATTTTTGAAGAATATCCACTGAAGTCTGACTTGGTTGAGCGATGGGCTGATGTAGAAGGACTATGGAATTATATTCTTGGTACTCTAATGTCCATTCAAGAGAATCCTGATTTTCCCATCCTGATTTCTCAACCTGGTTTAAACCCGAAGAAAAATGCAGAAAAAATAGCTGAAGTAAGTTAATCCCTTGTGAAATGCTATATATAATATTGAATAAAAATACACAGAATCTAGGTAGTTATGGAGAGAACAACAAATAGAATATCCTTGTAGGATATTGATGTGATATGTTTGTTGCAAGGGCTGATTTCTGACCAGGAAAAATAGCGTCTGAGTATAAATTAAACCGCAAAGTATTCCAATACAGATGTGATCCTTTTCTAGATTATGTTTGAGCATTTCCATATGCCGTCAATCTTCATTGCGGATCAACTGGCTCTTTCCTTGTTTTCAATGGGTTACACCTCTGGCCTGTCGTTTTCCTCAGGGTTTAAGAGTACCCAGGCGGGGGTGGTGTATGAGGGACATGTGTTGCCACACACGGTGAAACAGCTTGATATTGCTGGATATCAGTTGACAGAAAACTTGAAAAAACTCCTCATGTCCCTGCAAGGTTTTGGTTTTCGAAGCTCCTCGCAATGGCAGATTGTCGATGACATTAAAAAGAAACTGGGATTTTTCTCATTAGGTAACGTGAAACCTCTGGTAGTTCAGACACAAACCACGAGATCTTATTGTAGAATACTACCTACACTGGACCACCACGTTTGAGATATCTTTTTCAGGTAGTTCAGACACAAACCACGACATCTTATTGTAAAATACTACCTACACTGGACCACCACGTTTGAGATATCTTTTTCAGGTAGTTCAGACACATACCACGGAAGCTTATTGTAGAATACTACCTACACTGGACCACCACGTTTGAGATATCTTTCTCAGGTAGTTCAGACACAAACCACGACAGCTTATTGTAGAATACTACCTACACTGGACCACCACGTTTGAGATATCTTTTTCAGGTAGTTCAGACACAAACCACGACAGCTTATTGTAGAATACTACCTACACTGAACCAACACGTTTGAGATATCTTTTTCAGGTAGTTCAGACACAACCTACGACAGCTTATTGTAGAATATTACCTACACTAGATCTATATCACTAATACTACCTCAGCTTATTGTAGAATTCTATAACTAAACTAGACCACCATGTTTGAAATATCTTTCCTGAATATCTTTCTAACATCATCTTTGAGTGATTACCCAGAGATACTAATCATGATTGATACCAAACATTTCATTTTTGTGCAGATTTTGATGCTGACTCGAAACGTTACAAAACACAGGCTGATTTACAGACAACGTATGAACTACCGGATGGTCAAGTTATTGAAGTTGGCTTAGAAAGATTTGGCTGTGCGGAATCCTTGTTCAAACCTATGGAAGTTGGTCTCACGCAATCACCAGCCCACATGTTGATCAACGAAGCCATAAATAGGTAATTTTTAAGCTTTCTGTGTCGTCTCGTGCAGATTAGATATGGCAATATTCCATGCACCTGTAAACATAACAAGGTCTTGGACAGATGTTATGTCATTCCATAGTTGTGAATAATTTTATCTAAAAAATATTTCCCTCTTTTTGTAGTTGTGAACACGAGCTACAAGAGTTGTGTTACAAAGCGATGGGTGTTTCTGGGGGCACCACTCAAATGACGGGCTTTCTGCCGAGACTCGAACAAGAGCTTCGAAAAGTTGACAGACAATTTAAAAGCTTCACCGCTCCTGAGGAGAGAGGCCTCTCGACGTGGCTGGGAGGTGCTGTTGTAGCTTCTCTCCCGACTTTCAGAGAAATGGTCGTGAGCGTCGATGAATACGCCGAGTCAGGAGCGAGAGTTGTTCATTCAAAATGCTTTTAAATAATTAACGTATCATACTTAAATTTCGCCCAGAAAGAATACTGTTAAACCATATATTTATGCCTAAAATTTTCTATTAAACAAGTCCATAAATTATAAAGCATCGTATACATTAAACCAATTAACATTTGGCACAATGGACTATCACTATTCTAACGATCCGTCCATTCTTGGACCAGGCATAAAATTAATGTTCTTATAGTTTTGTTATAAAGACTAAAGTATATCTCCGTCTTCGTTATATAAAAAATTCACAATTTACAAAGCCGAATGTTCGTTAATATATATCTATACGATTGAATAGAATTTATTCCGTCTTTCATGCATAGATACATTACAATGCATATATACATTACAATGGAACGTAAATAAATAATATTACTAAGACTAAATAGATTGTAAATGAGGAAATATATGTTTAAAATACTTGCATTGACTATCGTAAAGAGATGTTTAATTCATAGTTTTAATTTTTTACACTAATGTATCCAAAACTGATTCATACATCTCTGGCAAACGTTGTAAATAAAGGCGTTTATGTTTCTCAACGCGGAATTACGTTTCCTACCCGATATCTGTGCGTGGTGTTTATCCTGGCTTTGTATTCTAAATATGGCTGGAGAAGAATGCTCCTGCAACTAAAGTGACTTTATTCTTTGATGGCGTTTGGTAAGCAAGCACATTGACAGAGATAACTTACCTGCTAATGTTTCAAGCAAACTCGAGAAAAAACTGTCATAAAAAGGTCTTGAAAGGTTGCTTGCGTGCTTGTACGAGACTGCTAATTTCACCTCGAATGAACTATCTGTAGAAAATTTATTAGACGGTTTCGTCAACTCGGTTTGGTCGAAAAATTAAAGCCGGGATTGCTCTTGAAAATTCTGTCAGCGCTTCGTAACATTTTTTGTCGGCAAGTTGATTTAATATAAATATAACCACGGGCAAAATTGCCGAAATTGGATTTACCATTCAAAGCCAACAATTGCGAATTGTTCAAAGTTCAAACCCTCTGATTTTACCATCACTGAGTGATGTAACAGAGTAGCTACTACTGGCTCAGAAAATTACCAACGCTTGTAGTCAATTACGGTATTCATCCTCTAAAAAGATTTGAATCATTGAAAAGTACTTTTGGAAGCCCTTAGACTCAAATATGGCAATCCACTCTAATCTAGAAGCTTCTTTCATTAAAAAGAAGTCGTTCAATAAATTCCTGAAATGCTCGGTGACACCTAAAATGAAAAATTCTCTGAGGGTAATTTTCATCTGATTATTAGGGGGTTGTACGGTAATTTACAGCGAGGGTATTCATGATGTTTTAAAAGGGGATATTTATTGTCTATTGTGAAGTTACAGCTGTGTTGTCTTGAAACTTGGAAACAACGACCACGTAGAGTGAACTGGTGGTCTGTCTTGCCCACGTTATCTCGCCTGCGCTTCACCAATTATCAGAATTCCTTGAATAAAGCAAGACAATTCCTAAATTTTCGCATAATGTCTTCCCATCTAGTTTCAAGGGGAACTTGTCCTGAAAACTCCCATTGCCTTTAATGACGTCAATAATGACGTCAAGCACGTACATTTCAATTGATAAATTTATTTATTTCAGTTGATAAAATCGTAAAAACTGTCTAATGTAATGCCTCTTTTTTATTTATCTCAGCGGTGGTTCAAAATTTAACAGAGGGAATCCATCTTCATTTGGGAAGATCTTGATCATGAGCCGAGTTCATTAGTGTCAAAAGGTAATCAATTTTAAGCGCACCTAAGTAGAAAAAACTGATTAATTGATAATGAAAATTTTCAACAATCGTCCCAAGTTACTTGAAAAAAGGTGCAGGATTCCTGTTTTTAAGGATACACCGGGCACAAGTGGCACCAGAGCCGCGCTAAGCACGACGGGAATATACTAATCAAGGGCAATTCATGTTGCCGCGTAATGGGTTCAATTTGCCGTTGTTTCTTGACTAATCGCTTTAGAAACGACTTTAGAAAGCGAAATGTCGCCTGAAAACTAGAGAATCTCTCAAGAACGCTCATCATTGATCCACGCTCGAGTCTAATTGAAGAATAAATGAGATCTGGTTGTTATACAACGTGTCTCTTCGCGTGAAGTGTACCCCTATCGAACCGATGGCGACAACTGTCAACAACAGCCCGTCTGGAGTTCAGGTTTTACATCTTTTTGCGTTTCTTTATTAGAAATATGTAATGTGGATTAGCGTTCAACGTCTTCTAGTGTAGGTTTAGTAAATTTAGGTTAGTTTGATGTAGTTTTTCAAGCGATTGTATTGTTTAGTTCCGGGAGAGGTTAGAGCTGAACAGACATGCCCTTGTAGTTGGGGCTTGCCACTCGCCAGCACTTTAAAAATCAACTGTAATTTCTCGATAAACTCTGCACAATCAAGCTCATCAGTCATAAGTGAAGAGTTATTTGCGGCCAACTTTCAAAACGATCGCTCTAAGAGTCTAAAAGAAAACGAAAATCATAATAGAAAATATGATTGCATCACATCTCTGAGTCACGCTGAAGTCAAAATACAAACTGGATGTTTTCGGATATCGTGAAAAAAAAGTAAAATTTGCCGTTTGTTTTTTAAACGTATTTAGATGTTTTAGCGTTAACCTGAAACTACAAATGTAATGTAATATGGTAAAAAGAAAATCATTATTTTTGTTAAAAATGATATATTTTTTACATTTTTTTTATTATAAAATCTAACTTCTTCATTTGCAAGTTTGCGTTTAACTCCCTTTTTCATTTCAAACGAGTCATAGGTATTTTTTAAGATTTACTCTAGATATTATTACAGCAACAAACTAGAATCAGTTTGTTTAATTTCACTTTCTCTTTCGGTTTTTATTAATTGTTGTTGAAATTTTAAAAGCCTGTTTTGGGTGCAAACATTGTTTTTCTAAGGATATTTTTGTGTTCTCAAAATTGAACAAACTTATGTTATGTAACCATTGTGCTGGTGTACAACGCCCACTTAGGATGGACAAACCAACCAGGAAACACTGTTTCCTGCCATTTTTCTTCCTGGTGAATAAGGAGGACTGATTTCCTAGCAATGTTTATTGATCACATAGACAGACTAAGAGCTTTTCTTCCTGAAAATATTCCCTGAAAATGAACAAAACATGTTTTCCACCTTTGAACAAAACAGGAAATTTAGTTTCCTGTTTGTATTATACAAGAATGGAAATGCTACCAAAGAGGGTGAAATAGGAAGTTTTAAATATGAAAATGCATAGAATGCAATGATGCTAAGAGGAATGCAAATTAGTTCTTAATGCAGTGCTTTTATTGCTAACCGGTATTCTATATCTGATAAAAATCTTGGCAGGTGCTTGCTTACCCTATTAGGCTGAAGTCTGCATCCATACCGGTTCCATATAATATATTTTTTAAGCATCTTATAGCCAATATTTGCAATTTAACATCACATGGCTTGACTATGTCAGAATTCTTTCGTTTTTTGGGTTAAAAAATGTCTGCCAGTTACCATCTAATTTAAGTCCTTAATTCACCTTCTTTGATGATCGCAGAGCTCTGGCATTTCTCCATAAAAAAGTGCAAGAGTATTTTCCTTCAGAGCATTAAAACTGTATATTTGAACTACTTTTAATGTTAACAACACACACTTCAAAATACACTTTCAGCAATTAGCAATTCAACATAGGTTGAATGTGATAAAACCAACAACCCTGCATTATTCTGAATGCACTTATACTCTCCTAATCTTTTGTGTGCCTTAAGGAAGTTCTAGCAATTCATTCTTGCAATGCGGCCATTCTTGAAACAAATCACGAGTTAAAAAACCGTGAAACATACATTTTTGTTTATTCATGTTTGGCTGATGCCCCTGTTTTCCATGCAAAATGTTTTATGACAGGTGCATTTGAGGACTTCCCTTAAAAAAATTGTTTTTCTGTGGCTGAAACCAGCCACAGAAAATTGCCTCTAAAATGTGCAAAATCACGAGCACTTGTGCCACACAAAAACGAGGCCACCTAGTCAATTGTAAATAAAAAGGAAATTGTGTTTAATTCCGTGCTGAAAAACTGTGCGAGCCTAAGCACCCAGAACAGTTGCTGTGTTATGTTTTCATGCTTGAGTCAATGTTTATACGATGTATATATATCGATTTTATTTTTTCGTGTGATGCAATGATGATGAGTGTGTCCTTGTCTGTTCCTTGTAAAAGCGATATTTCGAGCGCGCCGTCATGAATTCATCGCAAAATGAAACTCTTCACTTGAAATCTAGCAGCTGTGTGTGTTAACTACTGCATGCATGTCACAACCTACGTCAGAACTGGGTAAGATTGCGACAACGATCAGAATCTCTTCAAACGTGATCATTTCATCAGCGTGGGATCTAAATTCACTTGTCCTTTCTATAATTGAAGTTTTTTTTTCATTGGCCCACGTTGCGAAGATGCTGACCGCAGAACGATCTTTTAACACGTGGAAGGCTTGCGCCTTGAAAACCCTTCCGATCGCTGAAATACTTGCGATGATTAGCGGCAAATATTTGGGTAATAAGCTGGATTATCCCTGTCGCATGCTTGCTTGCGAAAATGTCTTTTTCCTTCCTGTTCGATTAAACCACTAGGAAATAATAAATTATTTATCTCGACCGACGGCGCCCGATGAGCAATTCCATGTTTGTAATAACACTATGGAACGCCTCCTCTTATTTTGACCCGAAACGAAAATAACTGTAAAACGAAACGAAAAACTCGGAACGAAAATATTTTTCAAACATCTGCTCAGTACTTTACAGAGTTCTTCTTCATAAAGCACTATTATTAAATTGCAGAATTTTTAAAAGGTTCTGTTAGTATTTTCAACACTATCTAACACTGTCTGGTATACACGGAAAATGTTCCAGATCTTCAATACCAAGGTTTTTTAAGACGTTGGCAAGCAATATTAAATTTGAAATATTTTTAATGTTTTTAGACAAGATTCACAAGACACTCGCGACCAACTCTATTGAAACGTGTGCAAGGAAACGATCTTTCAAAAGAGACAATGCACATGGATGGAGGCCAAGGAAATGGGAATGTTACTGTCTATATGAGACCGAGCCGTGAGCACGTGGACGGCGCGTGTGAGACACTGTCTTACCACGAACAGGTCGAGGGAACTCAGGGAACTCTTGTGGATAATGAAGGTGAAATGGTGATTAACGGTAAGGATGTGGGACATCGTATGGATAATGTAGGGACAGAAGAGGAAACGAAAGCAAGAAGCGGAAGACAATTAAAGACAATGGTAAACAGGCTCGCGCCATCGCCGGGGTTTGTAGACAAGAATTCCCTTCCTGCTGACCTAATGAATCGTCGTCGCGTGCGGCGGGTGGCAAGTATTAATGCTGCTGCGAAGGTTAATGTGTTGTTTGAACCGTCCAGCCCGCTTGCGGGTCGCTCTATTACTGACATCATGACACACTCAAAGAAAATGCATGGAGAGGACGAGTGTGATGAATTCAGCGATGAAGGTTATCCCGTGAAGCAAAGAGGTAGACCACGCCTTGCTAGTATCTCCACTAACGATTCCAATTTTCTAAGACGCCCTGAACTTCTCAGCGAAGCTGCGCATGAATTTATTGGAAATACGCATTACCATCCCGATGCGGAGAATTCGAAGAATTCTACTTCGTTGAAACGTTCCCAAGATGGCGCCGACTTGGAACTAGGCGGCGCAAAAAAGATGAAATTTGAGGCTGGGTTTATAAGACGAAATTTTGAACAAAACGGAGACTATAATAACACGATCATTACTGAAAGAAGATTTGTGAAAGGCAAAGAGGTTGTTGACGTCGGATTACAAGTAAAACTTCCCAAACTGAGGTTAGGAAATGGCGTCGAATCATCCATACAGTGTACATGTCGGTCAACGACACTTGTGGATATCCCTGTGAAAAGCTACGTGAGTACGTACGCTAACGGTACCCTAGTATCCATACCTATCACTAAGACACACCGTTTGACCCCACATGTCCCCGAGAAACCTTTGCCCGAGCTAACACAGGGCGATTTGGCTAATCGGAGTAAGCGTGTCGCGGGCTTGAACTCGCGCGCTATGCTGCAAGCGATACTTTCCGAAGAACGGCCGAAACCTCCCGTGCAAGATGTGTCGAAGACTGTGAAAAAACTGCAACAGAAGAAATCCTATTACGAACATGGATTAAGTAATACTGTGCCCAGTAAATTGAAAATCCCGAAGATCAACTTTGCCGCTACTTCTACGTCAAATTTTGGCGGCCGTAAGATGGTTAGCAAGACGCCTGGTTCCACCTGGTCAAAATCTAACCTGCCCTGTCATGATGGCCCCAAGGTAACCTTTGTATAATGTAGCTCTCAGTCTACTAGACACCCTTTTTTCTGTGTTAAAGTCAAAGTGATACAGTGATCTCTATGGAGTACTAGAGTATTGAGATTTAGATTATGTGCAAAATGATAGGAAAGAACTATTGATGAATTTATTGAATATTGATGATATATTTTATTTTCTAGAGAACAAATGGTTGGTACTATCTCGGAAAACCGATTATAAAGCCGTATTATTATGTAAGTTTTTAGGATTTCAGCTCATTGTTTCACCTTTTCTGTCTCTAGAATAACATGTGATCGTGATCCAAGTGATTTCAGTTCATTATTTCATCTCCTCTGTCTCTAGAATGACACAAAAGCGACACGAAAATATTACATCGGAATCAAGAGAAACGACGAGGTCATTTACGTTCGTGATTCGGTGCTGTTGAAGTCTGGACCGCGTAGAAAGGATCTGCCTTTTGTGGCCCGCGTCTCTGGATTCTGGGAGGAGGAGAATGGTGAGGAGTGATTCCTAGTGTTTCCATGTGAATGAAGCTTTTTACATGATCGCATTTTTCTCGTATCACTGCGCAGGTCCGCACGCAGGAGAGATGATGATGAGCGTGTTGTGGTATTATCGTCCAGAGCAAACTGAGATGGGAATGCAGCCTCATATTCATGGCGAGGTACGGTGCAGTGAAACTGTAGCTTCATTCGTAAAGATAGCACGATCTGTTAATGATGTACAATGTCAGCTCTCGATCAAAAAGAGTAAAGTGAAGAAACTCATTTCTTTCACCCAGTTTTCACAACGTATAGTTTCACTTGTTTTACGCTATCTCTGTCCTCGGATTTTTTTCATTTGGCAGTCGGATCATGTTAAAGCAATCATACTATCACACTTTCGAGGATAAAATTCGCCTTTTGACTTGGCTAATTTGAATGTCGTGCATGACCGTGAACCCAGCATAGTGTAAACAGGGCTTTTGTCGATTTTTGCAAGAATTTTCTTTTGTCGTTGTCTAGAACGAAATCCTGGCATCACGACACAAAGATGACAACAGCGTCGCTTGTATTGTGGACAAATGTTATGTTCTTAGTTATCCTGAATACTGCAGGTAAGTCTTGAAGGATTAATTTGAATACACACACATGCATGTCCGTCACTTTCTGACCACAATCCTCTGATCTATAAACAGACACAGAGCGGCGACAAAACGCTCACAAGATTCTCGCGTATCCTCTGTTACTCCTGTACCACCTGCTGAATCCACGCATACCACTAGGGAACGCATTCCATCCACGTGTGATCCCAAACTTGTGTTCTTCTGTCGCCAGATTTACGATTACAGAATGGGCAGAATCCTAAAAAATCCACTTTACGTTTGATTTGGTAATGGAGTATTGGCTGTTTGTTTGTGATTGCATGGTTCTTATTTTTTCAAAGTTCACATTTTTCCATGGATAAGAGTTTTGAAAACATTACTAAATCTTCGAGGGTGCCTATATAAAATATAGGGTAAAGGGTGGGAGGTGGGGGGGACAGACTATAGTGCTGCGTTGCTGTACATAAATACTTTGTTTTTGAAATTATCCGAAGTTCCAACGCCCAGGAACCAACGGTTTAGAGCCAGTAGAGGTGGATTAAAACTAGTTTTATTTAAACTATATTATGTAACCATGGCTTTGCAAGACAAAACAACAAAATGAGTGATAATGGATATTATTTATCAAACTATTTGCTATAGTAAATATATCTAAACTAGTGTAAATATTTATATAATTAAATGATATTTTGCACTGAAATAGTTGTTCCATGGACAACTTTCGTTGTACTGTGGTCATTGCTAATAGCAATGATTACGAATTTACGTATGTAGCAACCTTATTGGTTTATATGCATCTATTTGACACAAAGGAGCTTATCTCCAGTTTTGAATTATGTTTCCTTGTTAGGTGTTTTGAATGAACAAAAATAGACAATCTCCTAGAGGATTAATAATTACAGTAAAAAATTTATGCAGTATGTGGGTATGGTGTGTTTGTTCGCCCACACATCACGACTGACAAAGGACTAGTGGACAACCAACACCCTGGTGATTGCAAAAGAATTTACATCCCCAATTTTTTTCCACCTACGCCTAATCTCTCAAAACAGCATGTGCGGAACTGTAGTTATATAAATTTAATCCCGAGGGCAGGCAGCTGTTCATTTTTTTACACCGCAAAAAGGCATACCAAGTGCAAATCCTTACTTTGTCTTTGACATTAATTACCTTTTTCAACACGAAACGGACTTCCTTGAACATACATTGTGTTTGCTACGTGGAATTTCGTGTGACTTCACAAGCAAACATTTTGTTTGATTTCTGTTTACGGGGGTGGAATTTTAATTCTGACTTTAGGAATTTTTTGTTTGTGTTTTTGACCTGCTTTCGTCAATTTAAATATAAGCTCCTCCTCCACGAAATTTTGCATTTTAATCTGTCTGTCTTGAACACGCTAGTCGATACGTCTTGTTCAAATTTGGCTGTATTGTACAGGAAACATGGAAGGCAGTTCTTGTGTATGAGAAGCTAAAAGGGTTTTAAACGTTGAGGTAAGTTCAACCTTTTTGTGTCATGCAAGCGAACGACGTACGTGCTTTAAAAGCATAGAAAATGAAAGTGAGCACAAAGGTTACAAGCTGGCTTCAAGCAACCGGTATCTTGCTTTCCTATAACTTTTATTATTTGCATTCTTGTCATATCAAACGCGTATTTTCACCTGAGTGATTCTAAAAAGTGTTTAGATAATGTTTAGCACTTTGGATGAATATGTAAACACGTTCACAGGTGTAAAGAGCGAGTGTTCATTTTATACTGTAGATAGCGAATTATTCATGTTTCTCAGCATGGCTTTTTACCCTGCCAAATTTGATAGATTGCAGTGAATATTGTACATTCATCGAGGATAGTAAAAACTTCAAGGAATAAAGCTGGGAAAATGCGCAAGGGAGAAGTTACAAATTTAAAAACTCTTGTTACAAATTCCGAATTTCAACTGCTGTACTTTAATTGTTAATAATTAATAAACCATATAGAATTTTTTCGTCTCAGTTGTAATTTCCTGAACTTGGTTCGAGTGATTTTGTTTATGGGAAAGTGAAAACTTCAATGCTCTTTATGTTGTACGTATGTGTGACAAATTATACAGAGCAATTATAGTCTGAAGTCTGAACAATGCCTTAATCTTATCAACTGTAAAATGTGTTTTTCAACATATGTACGTTACCACTGTGTATCGAACTGTAAGTCTGTATTGTGATGTTGATTTAAAATCAATATTTACAATATTTAATGTTCAATCAATTGAACTTTCCTTCTACCATCTAGGATACAATTTGTCAACAAAGTACCATGAATATTCATTGTATGGTATTTTGTGGATCATATGATCATGAAGAATGCTTTCATTGCAAACTTCATTGAACTGCATTTTTCCAAAGCTGATAAAGACGTCAAGCTATGATAAATGAAAATACAAATTGTAATCTTGTTTATACATTGGAAGATGATATTTCAGGACAGGTTCTCAAGTCTAAAGGTAAGAGGCTGGTTTGCATTAATTATTAATGTTCTGTCATGGTTGATCGTAACTGGGTGGGTTAATTGGCTGATGAATAGACCAGTTGGTTTTGATTTTTCTACTGTCTAGTTGATTGAATAGTTAATCACTTAAATCCGGTAGTCCAGTTTGTGTGACATATTGTCATACAGTCCATTTGATTTTAATGCAATCATTTGGGTAGTTACTATGGTCAGTGACTTGATCTATAGTTGGTCTACCATCAGTTAGATAACTCCATTGGTTGGTCAATCAGAGATTCAAAGTAGAGCAATCAATTTAGGCAATATTCTTCTATTATATCAAGTGGTATTGTTTTCAAATTTATTCAGATGATGAAGAGACTAACTCTGGGTCGTCTTCTGTTGCTTTGTGGATCAAGTCGTTGAAGGAGAACAATGGTTCTTTTGACAACACAAACCAAGATTACCATGGTTATTCTGGTAAAAAAACTGATTCAAGTCTTCTTGTATTCACATGAGAAAAATGTCTGGAGAAGATTAATTAAAAGAATGGTTTTGCATTTTTCTTCTCAAAGGTTCATCAAGTGACCAAGATGACTTGCAGCTTGGTGAAGAGGCAAATGATGTTAGACGAAGATACAAATCTCCTACTTTAGGGTTTGTGTATTATTTTTAAAGGAACATGAGTTGCATGACTTTGAGTTGGGTTCAGATTTGACCACTACTGCTGCAGTGCTGCTAGCATTGGGGGAACAGGAACCAATCAAATGCATAATCTATCATATTGACCAATCACGGGCACAATAGATCAGCCAGAGGAAGAAACTTGGACCAATCACATGCGATAACTCTATCAGATTGGTCGACCAATCACAAGTGTAGGAGATCAGCAAGTGGTAGGGGTTATGGTAGTGGAAATCTGAACCTCGCTATTCAAGAAAACTGGCGAAAACCTTTCTTCCTTGCAATATTCGGTGTTTTGATTATTCCGTTCCAAAACATCGCCTAGCAGACGTGTAGAGTTTAATCCTCTCTACATGTGTGTTATCTAATTGCATTCACAATATTTATAGCATTACGAAATTAAACGAAGTCGGATTATATCAGAGGGATTATCTCTAATTCGGATTTTTGCTAAATTTACTCTTAGATTAGAAGCTGTTAGTGTTATTTTTCTCAACGTTCTTTCATGATAAACACACAAATACGCAAAGCTTAGTACATAAAACTTGTTTCTGTTATATCTATTAACGCATTTAGGGTACTCGTTAGATTTATCTTTGCGTCATTTTCGTCAATCATAATCATAAACGAAACTTCAATATCTGTTTGTGAAAATCGTAATTTTCGTTCAATTTTTCTTTCCAAAATATCGTCAGTTTTTTCACGATACTCTTGTAATGAAGAAACAGTCAACACTTCGAAAACACCAGCCAATTGTTATGACGTTGTAAACAAAAACTGCTTGATAATTAACATGTTTTAAATGAAATGTTTTTTTTCAGTCGAGACAGCGACTCTGACAGCAATCACAACAAGTGGTTTTCCAGGTCGTGTAAAAAAGCGTTTCTAACCAACCGATTATCGTATGATAGATCACTGGATAGTGATACTTCAGGATTCTCCTCTGTTACAAGGTATGTACCATCAATAGACTTCAGTTCTCTTTCATAGTTTTGCATAGAGTTCATCAGACATCGCTTGATTGCACCGGCGTATAATTTCAGCTCCAAGAAGTTCTTTTAACTCAGTTTAGTTTCTTCAGATAGTCGCGTTTATTAATTACGCCTGAGCGTTAGCTCATTAAGAACAGATATAAAAATAAACGACAAAGCACATTTAATAAACTCCGAGTTTTATATTTGAGCAACGCGACAGAAAACAAACGCAGTGATATTAAATTCATGCCAAACATTTGTTTTATCAAAACTCATCTCTGCTCTTTTTTCTCCAAGTGTTTCTAGCCTTTTAACGGCGAGAGAAAGCGACCCAGAAGATGTCCTGAGAGGAGCTGGTTTTCGAGGTCCTACCGTTCTTGATAAGATCCCAGATAGGTTTATTAATAGTGGAACTGTTTGTGACGGAGTTGACTCAGAACAATTTCTGTACAGCGTACAAGACGATCCCGACAGCGCCATGCCTGTAGTGAGTTTATAGGTTTCGTTCAAAGTTATAGCATTGACTGTTGTTGTATTTTTAATAAATATCGAAAAGGCATTATTCAAAAATTTCATCCATGCAGTATACGTCTGTTTACAAGGTAGTGTTAAGGTAGTGTTACTGTATTATACAAATGGAATGCTCGTGAGAATCCATTTAGGTTTTTCATGAAATGATACAGACAAGATTATGACTAAGTTGTATGGACCAGTTTTCAGTTCACGGACTGAAATGTCTGTTGTTGTTCAACTATTGTTACTCAACCATCTTTTTGTTCCTAGAATTCAGAAATACCCCCATGGGTGATGGCGAGATTTGATGAAATTCCAAGAAAATTTTGGAACCAGAAAGACGACTCCTTAGAATCCACCGAAAATGTTGGGTTGGGTCCACCTCTTATTAACGAACCCCCACCAGACGAAACAAGCGAAGACGCCCCTTCACGTTATCCCAAATCTTTCCCTTCAAAATTTGGCACGTATCTTGAACCCGTGACAGAGGAAGCCGAACTCTCATCCCAAGGTAGTTTCACGTTAAGTCCACTGAAAACTGCAAGTTTTGAGAGCTCGCGTTCTACTCTGAAAGCCAACAGTCAGGATGACCAAGAGAGCTTACAGAAAATACCATCCTTGTGTGATCTCTGGGGAACAACCGAAGACGATGGGGGAATAAGTTTTGAAGCAATGCGCAGTGAAGACCATGGAATATGCTCGGATAATGACGGGGACGAATTACCCGAGGTTCATTTACCTGAAGAGAATAAGATCCAGGAAACCATCCTAGGTTCGTTAGGGATCTATTTTATGACATCTATCATTTAGAGATTTAGAGGTGTCTACTAATATAAGTGAAGTCATTTAATTCTGAGTGGTGTTTTCATATCAGAGAGCATCTAATATTGTAACGTGAATGACGTAATTAACGATGTGTTTTGAACCTTGTAGGTTCTAATGAAGACTGGATCGACAAGAATCGAAATAACACTTCTGTTAGTCCATGGAGTTCAGTGCCTGTAATTGCTGATATCCAGGGTACAACAGCTGACGTTACTCCACCTATCGTTAGCGGTCCGTGGTCAGATGATTCATCGATCCCGGCTCTGTCATTTTATTTCAGTGAAAACGATGCACCTGCTTCGGAAAATCTTCGCGATTCGTCGCCAGATCCACTGGTTAAACAGGTTAAACAGGTTACAGGCAAATGCGAATCATCAAATGTCAACGATGAAAGTATCACTACTGGAAATCAGTCTTGTTTAACCATCCCAACAGTAACGGTTTCTGAACCCGTTGAAAAAACCCGAAAAATATCGACAGTCATTGCACCAGATATTGACAAATTACTACCGCCAAGCGACAAGGAGGGAAATACTCGAGTTAAAAGGGGGAAGAAAACGGAGGTTTCCTCTGCTAGAAGACAGCCGAAAGTTACTCAGTTTAATTTGTATAATTCTCAGAAATGGGCCTCAGTTAAAAACGTGTTACAACCCCAGATGCAATTTACTAGCGACAAGAATTGTAAAGCCATGCGAAGTGTTTCAATACGCGGCCGCAAAGCATCTGACAGCAAGGTGACGTTATCTGTAAGCCGATGTAAGGAAAGACAAGTCATGGTGCTTTGTAACAAAGATTTTCAACAAGTTCCGTGTTTCATCGATTTAGATGTTGAAACAAGAAAAACACGTTCAAAAACTAGTAAAGCAAGTTCGACGCCAGCCTCTAGAGGTTTAGAAACCAGTGAAACTGGTTGTCGCAAGCGGTCAGAAACACTTAAACGACAAGAAAGAGTTTCAACAACCCTACCAGCTCAACAAACCAACGAAGGACAGGAATATTCAGGAGAAGAAAGCGATGATTCTAAAACCAAGTATGGTGCTCGTTTGAATAATGGCATGAATATTGAGGTGAGTTGGGAATACGAGATTCATTGCCATTTCCTAAATTAGAGAGACCTGGAACTTGTGTGAAGACTGAGGAGGTACATTTATCGACGTCCGGAATCTACTAACATTCAAGTGTTTTTTTAACAGGAGGAACTTGATGGTCTACAAAATTCACTGAAAGGTGTAAAAATGTACAAGGCTGGAATTCATTTAATGCAATTGGCGTCTTCTGTGGAGACTGTCATGTGCTCTGAAAAACGACCTAAACGGTTTGTACCATGCAGTTACACGCTAAATGAGTGAGCAGGTTTTACGAGTACTACTGGTTATAGTTCTGGGGACTAGTTCTGGATTCTAGTTGTATAAAAGACTAGTTAACTTTTAACTACAGTTAAGGGCAAAATTGGTGTATTTCTGAGTTTACTAGGATTTAACTATGCGAAATTTAGTTGAAGAGTTTTATTCAACCGGGTCCCTGTCTGTTTGAAACTATTCTTCCCTAGAGAACCAAGGATTATCAACTATAATTCATATGATTTTTTGTTTTTGATAGATTGCAAGACCGTTCAAGCGAACGTCTACTCGACTCCATTCAAAAGGAGTTGAAACATTTGGAAGAATATATTTTACGATTTCAAAAACAATTGAAGGGAATTGTAAGTGAGATATTCAATGAGGAATCATACTGGATTTTTAAAACTAGCTGTGGATTCTAATCAGAAATTTTATTGAACAGAAAAAGGAAAGTGACAAGGACGAAAAAAGAGAAGAATCTCGTCGTCGGGAAAGCGACTTCTCGGATATTGTGAGTGATAGAAGCATTTTCATATTGATGTATACTTCATTCCCGGATTCTTAATTTTTCAATTTTTGCTCTGAGAATCGTTGCCTCTGAAGAAGATGCAATCAACGTTTTGCAAATCTTTTCATTCGTAGACGCGTCAGCTGCTTCACGAGCAACTCAAGTTGTTCAACTCCATTTCGAGCGCAGCAGTTTCCCCGTCATCCACGCCAAGTGAGTCACGTGATGGAAGTCTGTGCTCGGAAACCCCGGATGTATTACGTCACACTGACGTCATGAAACTTAGAAGAGAAATGCAACAATTACGACAGGACAGCCAAGATCAGAGTGCAACGGTGAGCAGCTCTTTTAGATATATTTTAGTGGCTTGATTGTCGTTCAAAATTGTTATTGCTGATAGGAAAACGAGTAATTTGAAAGAATTCTCCCATAAGCTTTCATTATATCCTGCTTTGTCTAACGCCAGACTATTTTACTCGTAGTGGCAACCTATTGCTGGTAGTATTAAATGCTGGTAGTAAAAACTTGCAGTGTCTCTTTGATTGGAAACCCGATTCACTGACGCAATGTTTTCTCGTGTTTTTTAGATGAAAGAGGAGATTTTGGGCGAGGTGAGAGCTGAAATTAGACAGTGTTTCAAAGAATTTTTTGAGACTAAATCCTAATGAAATTCGGTGAGAAAATATCATATCAAATTTACCAAAATATAATTATTTATGTCAATGAAATATTTAAAATGTACAGATTATTAATTGCACAAATTATGACAATAAATATATAAATATTTTGACCTGCATGAAATGTGATGGTATTTTTAAATTTCAATTGGCGATCATATACATTGAAATATATTAATCAAACATGCTTCAAAACTACACAGAATGGACTATAGTTTAGTGTTCAGTATTAATACTAGATAAATAATCGTTTTGTAACAACAAATACAGATTTTTACCAAGAGAATGCTTTAAATTAAACTGTTGGATCTGATTTGAGTTCGGACAATGGTATCTATTACGAAGGTTCATGATATCATTTAACGTCAACAAAGACACGTTTTTCTGACAGGAATTCATACAAGGTATGACTTTTTATTACAACAACAAATACAAAATATCCCAACACATAACTTTATGGTCTTTTAGAATATTTACATGCAGTACAAATAATAGTATTTCACTTTATAACAATTTATGTTCTGCCTTGATCTTGTCATTCAGGAAATTTCCCAAGGCAAAGACGGCGATAAAGTTCTTCACAAGTAAACTGTGAACAACGATGCAATTTCTTTATGTAGATTTGTATAACTTTTTTGTTCTTATAGTTCAAAGATATTTCTTGGACGGTAAATGGCAAAAATTTTCCTCAGGTATGTAAATAATTTTAAGCTATAATACAATTTTTATATCTATTTAATTATAAAAATTTGCAAGAGTAGGAACTAAGATTGTCATTGTCCATCGTCACGAGGCGTAGTTCTGAATAAAGTATTTGACTTTTTCCGTAAATCTCGCCTGTGCAGAAAAGTTTAAAGTTAAGATGGTAACCATGAAAGTACATTAAGTCTATCATGTACGCTTTCTAAAGAACGGGAACTACTCTTTTTCGTTTAAAAAGAGCAATGCTCTTTTTCGTTAGTTCGGAGAAATAAAATGCAAGGTGGCCGGACTGTGAGTGTTAGCGCTATTTTATATCGTTTGATTTAGGCAATGATGTAGTAATTCCACACATATCTCAGAGGTCTGTAAAACACGAGAGAGATTCATCCAGCTCACCTGACTGTTTCTATACTGGTCAGCAGCTTCTGTGTTTAATGCATCATCAAAATCTAGTAAATCCTGTCAGATAATATTTGTTTGAAGTGATTACCTTTCATTTCTCAAAGACTAACCATATTTCAATAGTTTTTATCACTATAGCTGGTTGTATTAACTTACTGTGAATAGAGAATTGATTCCCCAAATTAGATCCTGAAAAGACATAAAAATCTTCCTCAGTGAAAACTGAAGAATATATTCCAACATTAGTGAATCATACTCTAGAATACCTTTAGCTTCCTTGTAGGAGCCCAACCTGATCCATCTATTGTGTGTTCTCTTAACAAACTAAAAGAAAGAAGTTGTTTTATATTTATAACAAAGCAGTCCATGATAATGTAGTTGTGAACATTGGATCAATTAAAGTTAACAATAATCCCCACTGTACAAAACACACTGGATAGGAATCTACCTTAAGCATATTTGACCTCGTTCATTTATATTTGGGTGCCATATTCGTGTTGAACAGCTGGCTAGTGGTGGCTTTAAATATTGAAAAAGAATTTGGATGAAATTAACTATAGTAGTAGTTGCACTAAAGTTGATACACCAACAGTTCAACATCTATGGCAGTATGGCAAACAGAAAAAGTATTAGTTATCATGTCATCAAATGTTTCTGCTTGAAAGAACATGACTTACTTTTATGTTATACTCATCTGGAACACTGATGTGAAAGTGGAATGTCCCACCTGACCAGAATCCCTCCTCTACGAAAATGTTTGATCAATTTAGGGAATTAAGGCACTAATTTTGTGCAATATGGTTATTAACCTACAGCATGGTATAAATCTTATATACCTGGTTTAATTGTCAAATCAAATTCTTTTAAAATATCATGATCTTTAAAATCTACTTGACAGGTATCTAGATTATAAAGCAGAATAAAGGTAATAGTCCCAATTGAGCCATCCAACATTATTTTGAACTATCTCAATTACTTTGGGTTATGTGGTTAACCAGACATAATATAGTGCATGTCACACTTGAAACTATAAAGAATGTTTTTTTTTCTTAAGCTTAAGGGAGGGCCTTAAACTTATCCAGAATTGAGCTCATTTTTTCTGCTGGTTGGTAGGGTGTCTATTATTGCATTCACAAAAGAAGCATCTTTGTTGTATGAAAACAAGATGTGTGTGGAAACAGACCTGGTAAATTTTCCATCATTTCTGGCACCTCTGAAATACAAACCACAAACACTTGTTTAACAAATCCTAAATATGTTGATTTCATTTGTTAACGGGACAACAGATGATAAACAACGTGAGAAAGTTAACAATTAACAATGTTCTTAGTATTATTGAGAGTTTTAAAGCTGAATTATGTTATCCTTTATTTACTTGCCATTATTATTGCATATAAAACTATTAGATAGACAGGGTTAACTTAATATTTTTTTGCCTTCTGCCAGTGACAACGGATATGAAAAACAACATATGTTCGTAATGTTCCATTGACGAGTGGGTACCTTTTGTCAACAAAATATCTCGTACGGAGCGAAGTTTTGATGTCTTCTCCTTTTTCTTATCTTTTTCTTCGCGTATCTTCTTTGATAATGTGATCATGGTTAAACTTTTTACCCAAACATCAAATCTTTTATAAACAGGAAATAATTTTTTTCGATAACACACTCTGTTCTTTTGCCATATTTTTGTTTATGTTTGGAGATGAGCCTGCGCTCTCTAATCAATACATTTTTGTCCCCCCCTGTTTACATTCCAATTCCTAATAATCCAGGGGGAGAGAACTTTACCCGCGAAATCTCGGGAGAAGTGCCGATGAACCGTGTCCATTCATTTTCTAAAAACATGTGGAAAATAGCAATTTTGGCAAAAAAGAAATATATATAAAGTGACTTTTGGAAGAATTTTTTACTGTTGTATACTATTTTTGATATTAAAAGGTGCGGTTTAACTATAACAATGTGTTTTATGAGAAGTCTTTATAAATGACGTCATCTTTCACTCCCAAATGTTTATTTTTTTATTGTAGCAATAAAAATTGAGTGTTCCAAACTTATTAATTCATTATGCTGCATTCAGTTGAATCATCTCGCAAAAATAACGTAGTTATTGGTAGTTTCTTAGTGAATGTTTAAAAGTTAAATGGTATTTGAATGGTGACAGTTATGTGTCTGATTGATTTGATCTGGGTGGATTGTGGCTAGGTAGATTAACAAGAGATGCTTGCTCATTTGATGTAGAACCAATTAAACTGTAGTTCTTTGTCAAGTGAAATTATTTGCTCTTAGTTTTTGAATGAAATATTGGAGTTAAATATAGGTAATAAGATCTCCATTTGTACCTACGGTGTAGCTCAAATCATTCTTGGACTTATTTCTTGTGGGTATTTAGTTGTAGCTTTCATTTGGTCTCAACTGTTTCTGAAATAGCTGCTACCTCATTCATTCATTCATTGAATTGTGTGTAGGATAGCTTTCAAACTGACAAGATAAATATTCAGCTAAATATTCTGTTGAAACACCAAATATTTGTTGTTTAGGAATCATTAATTTTTTTTAATCATGAATGATGAAGATGGAATAAGAGATGACTTGAAAGGGAACCCTTTTGTGGCTCTCTTTCCTTCCATGTCTCAAGCAATGCAATATGCCACACAACTTAACAGTATTGACATGACACAAGAGACATTGAGAGGTTCTCAGGATGGAAGCAAAGATGATACAGGGATGGAACAGGAGAAAGATGATAATGATGAAGAGGCATTTGATACAAAAAGAATTGTTAATAATTTGTTGCAGAGAATATTTTTAGTATCTTTTCAAGAATGTAAGTTGTTTATTGTGTGTTTTAAAGGGGTATCCTTAGCAAGGAATTCTGATTAGAGAGGTGTGTCTGTTAGAGTAGTGTTTTTATTGGAGAAATGTTTGTCATAGAATGGTGTCATGTATTAAAGAATGAACTAAAGAATGTAGGTACCTGGTTATGAAAGATGTGCCTAAATATTAAAGACATATGGAGTATCAAATGTGGTATAACAACTGCCTAAAATAGACAAAACACTTCTTGACGTTTTGACCTGAGGGCCTTCATTTAGAGAGTTAGTAATGCTGAGTTGTTTGAAGACACTGCCATGCTGCTCCATGGTTATATTGGAACATATGGAGTATTATTACATTCTTTAAACTATGTATATTGCAATAATGTGGCAGTTAAACACTTTGCACTGTCTTAGGTAATGCTAAAGATTATGGTTGTATGTGCACTTGTAGATCAGGAAGAGGATGGTTTGGATAGAGAATTTGGTGGAATACCGACCTCATATGTGTACCTCCCGGCCACAGAATCAGACCCTGAAAGTCAATTTCTTAACTGGGTTGATATGGATGAGGTGAGTGTTAGCAAAATATATTCAACTATCAATAGGTCTGCCTGAGAGTGGTCTGTGATGGAGGAAATTTTCAGTGTTAACCTTTGATACAGGAATACAGCATGTGGTTAAACCAATCAAATTTTTGTGAATAGTAATGTATAGCAGCACGTCCTTGTTGGCATGATCCAATATTCTTTAAACTCTCAATCGCGCACGCGCTGATTCAACCAACGAATTAAGCGCGTGCGATTTTCTTTTTAATTAAGCGCGTGCTTTAATTAGCGCGATTGATTGCGTCGCAATTGTGTAACGTCGATTAACACGTCACAATACTAATTAGACTAATTAACATAGTCACAATCACCGCATGTGCTCATTTGGTGAAGATTTTTAAAGTTGGAGGGTTCTTGAACCAAGCAAAAACACTTTTATTATCGTGCGAGAGTTTAAATGAGATTTTGCCATAGAAATAATATCTATTATTTCTATGGATTTGGCTCATCAGAAAGCAATATAAAGCTAACTCTCTTACAACTTGACCTGCTGGAGGGGTGCCGTTGTTTTATCGACGGACTCGGATATACAATACAAGTGGTCATATATAAGTGGTCGGATATAAAATACAAGTGGTCTTTCTAAAAATTGATGATTTTAGTTATATAGCTATAGACGTAACCTTTATAAAGGGTGGAAAGTTTAGAATTTATTGAAACGTTTTCACAGGTTCTTCTGAAAAGGTTAATGATGGAGAAACCAGGCGATAATGTTCTGGAAGCTGTCGGCTGCAAAGACACTCCAAAATTTTTGTTGGATTCCAACCCAGCGGAGAAGAGAATGATCCATTACTTGCTGGGATGTTACCACAGGAAGTTACAAGAAGATAAGAAATGGAAGGTTGGTTATCTTCTGTGTGAAAAGTGGTACCAGCAGTGGTACCAGCCAAGATCTGTGCTGTTAAGATCTCATAGATCAACTTATTTATTATTCTGTTTCGCAGGATAAATACGATCTGCTTGCCTATTACCTAAAGCAATGTGAAGAACTGATCGTCTCTTACACGCGGTGAGCTCTATCAATTTGACTAAAACAATAACAACTACCACCACCAGAAGTTTGATAAGGTTTCTTCTCTTGATGATACAAACCATTCTTGTTGTTCTTTTCAGAATGTGTCTTTCGCAACCGGAGCTTTTTCCTAACAAGAACCCTCATCATGACTTTTCTGAGTTACTCTTAACCATGTCCCAAGGTATGTTGGAAATGATGTGCGTTTAACATGCTTCGTGAGGAGCTAATTCCCGGTTGCATTTCTTTCTTCGTAAAATAGATGAGGAATTCAAGGGGTTGTGGAATCTTGTCTTGAAAGATCCACTGTCAAGCGATGAAATGGTAGGAAATTGACTATATGTTAACATAACATGGTTAGTGCATGTGGAAAATGGAAAAGACCTAATCTTTGCAGGGTTTACCCAAAGAATTGAATTGTTGTTTTCACATTGAGTGGAATGAAGAGGACAAATGTTGTGGCCAAGAAATTGATGATTAGTGTTTTGAATTAGGTCGTTATGTTCTCGCCTGTTGTCAACCGTGTGTCTGAGAAGATCAAGACAACTGAAATGGTTTTGATGCAACCTGACGCCGCTCCAATATTGAACGTTCTTCATATGTTTTCACAGAATAAAGACATAGCACAGGTACACTGTCTGTGGTTAAATCAGGATCTATAGAGAATACTGAGAGTTTTGATGGGATAATTACGAGTATAAGAGTATAGCACAGTGTCTTATGGACATTCCTCATATGGGAATTCTTTTGAGCACACGCAAGAGTTAATGTCGATTTTTATAAACACCCTCGCTTGCAAAGTCTCGTCAACTCTCTTAGAAAGTTTCGTATTTCTAGGTTCTTGTGAAGTCTTCATTATGGCTGCCATCCAGTCCAGTCACGATTGGAGCCTTTTCTGGGTTGTATGGTCTCCCAGTCATGGGAGCAAGCTATGAGCAAACCACCATCTTGGGGCGGTTTTTAGGCCTTTCTAGTGTTTCTAGGAACCCACAGAACTCAGAGGTAAGTATTCTTATGGTCAAATTATAAACAGGCAAATTCAACGAGAGGGAATTGATTGTGTTTCGTGTCTTGATATCTAGGGATTCTTCCTGAAGCCGTCAAGACAAAGTCAGAGTGAAATGGAAGCCATTACTGCTAGTCTACGACAGTATATTAAGTTCAATTGTGATCAAATGACTCAGGTATAGGAATGTGAGGGTGATGATACTCATGGAGACGTCTTGTTTAAAGTCATAACGGAATATGTCCATATATATTATAGATTTGCAAGAATTTACTTAAAATGTCACCGGCCACAAAACATGCCCTTCTTCATTGGATCGCCTCTTGTTTGCATTCAAATGATAATAGAAGGAAGGTAGGCTGTCATACAAATACTCTCAACCTGATTTCAATTTTTCAGTTTACATATTCTCTCGAGTTTCAAGTCATATATTGCTCAGTACGAACCCTCCTTCCCAATTTCAGATGAGCAGTAATCAAGCAACCTTGGCTAGTAATGGATTCTTTTTAAACTTGGGTAACATCCTCCTTGCACTCTGTCAACCATTTCTGGATCCACACTCTTCGAAACTAACAAAAATTGATCCACGTTATTGTATCGCTATGGTAACGGTGGACACGATGGCGCAAGAGGAAACCACGGTTCATTTGCGTGGATTACAAGCTGAGACCAAACTCTGTGTTCGTGAATCTGAAGGTAGCAATATCATTCAAGCAGTAACGACTGCTCTCTAATACAAAAGCTGACTGGACGTTACGCCAGTACTAAAATTCTTATGATGTAAACTCAGGGCACCCTTCGCTATCGTCGACAGTCGATTAAGATTGAAATGTACAACTCTGTTACGTTCTGCCTCGCCTGCATTCCCCCGCATTTTAAGCTAGGCTTTGTTTTGTTTTATTTTAGAGGTTGATTCACAAACGAGTCCAGCATTTGGTTTCACAACTGAATTATTTTTCATCACGCATCGCTGTCTTCAATTGGGTAGGTTAAATTCAGAGAAACCTCGATCTTCCAGCTTCAATTTTTATCGTCAATTGAGACTAACCGTATAGAAACTGCATGTGCTACAAAACCCAGACAATGCGTGTGATTTCATTCTGTGCAGGTTTACAAGTGACTTGTGATTACTATGAGAAACTCATGAAAGAATTAAATAAGGTTTGTTTTGAAAGAAAGGACCTGGCTATTTGATACTTATCCGTTGATTTCTTGCAGTGCTGTTAGTATAAAGAAAGTTATGTCGTGCAACGTATAAAATCTTTCAAATTCTTTCAGATTCAAGATGTTTACAATGCATCACGTCGTCAGGTCGTAGACCACGATATTACGGAGAGAATTCGAGAGGAGTTTGAAAAAGGAATTGCAACGCAGCTTTCTTTGAAGGTAAACGAGTTTCATTCTGTAGTAACACTGGATCAATAAGAGATGATCCTTACCGAACCTCTAGGAAGAACAGTTTAGAACTGATAGAGCTATCCAGTATAAATAAAGTTAGTTTAATTTAGGTTTCCTCCTGTAGTAACACTGGATCAATAAGAGATGATCCTTACTGGACCTCTAGGTGGAACAGTTTAAAACTGATAGAGCTATCCAGTATAAATAAAGTTAGTTTGGTTTAGGTTTCCTCCTGTAGTAACACTGGATCAATAAGAGATGATCCTTACTGGACCTCTAGGAACAACAGTTTAGAACTGATAGAGTTTTTGGGTAAAGAACGTTAGTTGAATTTTTTCCTATAGTAACACGACTAAATCATAAACAGATTATCCACACTGATTAATTTCGAGTTATTAAATAACGAATATTTTTCATGAAATAGTGTCATCTACTTATGCCCTCTTTGGTCGAAACAGCTCTAAAGTTTTATATTGCAACGGCTTCTTGGTTAGTCCAGATTCTTATAGCTCAGGAGGATCTTGATAACATGTCTATTGGTAATCCCTCGTTAGCCACGCAACACGAGGTTAGTTAAGAAACCAGGACACGGTGTGTATCTGTTGAATTCATGGAATCAAATCTTGGAATTCCAGATTCTCGTTTCAAAGTCGGATTTACAACATCCGATTGTATATCATTTAATATTGTGTCACTTTCTTAGACTGCCGTAGGTTTTCAATATATTCCAGAATTTGTTGTGGAGAATATGGTCGATTTTATTATATTTTTACGGTAAGCAACTGCCGTCTTGCAAGTTGGAAATTGAGAGGTTGCAAGAGCCAAAAACCAAGGCTCATCCAATGACTTTAACTCTCCGTATTCCTGATCTCGTTGCAAGTTATGTATTTTCTGTACACATGTATTTCTAGTCATTTTAACGAAGCTACTTTGGAAACAGGCGGTGAAGATTTAAAGTATTTGCTTGATTTCTGTGCTATTTTTATCAGGTATATAGCTTTGCCTTCCCTTATTGACTCGATTTGAATACAAACTAACTGAGAAACCTTGAACAGAGGAAATATACGATGATGGAGAAAAATTAATGTCCATTCATCAGTACATCGAACCGTTTCTTTTCTCGTTTAAACAATAAGTACTGCACTTCTAAGTTAACATTTCATATAACCAACTCAGCAAACCCCGTGCTATCAAGAATCCACATTTGAGAGCGAAGATAACAGACGCACTGGAAGCCTTACTACCGGTTAGAAAGCAAGAATTAGCGTCGATGGATGGAAATATTATAGCCACGGTAAAGTCCTTGTAGTGCATGTACTGTCTTAAATTCGCTCACAATTGAAATCAATCACTCGAGTCTCAAAATCCTGGTTCATTTTCTATAGCATTACAGACAACAAGTGTTTCAGACAAGTGAACTAGCAGCTAACCATCTTGGTCCTGCTTTACTCTCGATATTCTGTGATATTGAGAAAGGGGATTATTTTGAACAGAAATTTGGTTAGTATACATTCACCATGTGCCTGTATGTTTACACTGTAGGTTTTATTGGCTCGAGTACTTCATGGTCATTCGCTGTCTCGTATTTCTACTTCAAGGTTATCGCCATCATATGTACTCCGTGTTGGAATTTATCTGGGATATTCCTCAGTACAAAAAAAGCATTGTGGATTTCAGCAAAGAGGTGAATATTTCTGAAAAAAATAGTGTTGTGCAGTCCAACTTCGCAAACCAAAGGCTGAAGAGCGAAACTCTGGCTTGCTAAGTTTAGTTCGGTTTAGTCCTGAACTCAGTTCAGCACTGTTCAATCCATCAGAATACACTAAGGGCAACTCAGCCGGCGCCCTAATTCACCTGAGTTCATGTCTATTGTTATTTTACTATCTGTCTAGGCGGATGAAATTGATCATGATAGTTCAGGCGAGCCGCCAATATTTCTTCGTTTCATCAATCTTCTTGTCAACGATGCGACTTTCTTGCTAGACGAAGCTTTGTCGGTGCGTTTTGATGCATTTTCTGTCTAGCTTTTGCCAAGTATAATCTATTGAACAGCTAAAAACGTTCATGTGTATTCTGATCTCAGTATCTCAGTGCAGTCAAGACACTACAAGACGAACGCGACAAAGGAGATTGGGAAAAACTCGAATCACCCAATGCCAAAAAGGAAGTAAGTTTACTAAAGGTTCATTATATGCATTTTGCATACAACTTCGTGTCATTGAGTGACTGGATGCTATGGCTAGATAATACTTTACAACTGTTGTATTTTCTCTCGTAATTCCCCTTGATTTCTCAGGCGAAATGCGCTCGCGAAAAGAACATGGACCAAACGAAAGCAGCCGACATTTGTTATTATTTCATTGTAGTTCTTTGAATTGAATGTTTCATATTTTTTTTCATTTTGAATTTGAATATTTTATTGTACTTCATAGAAGGAACGTGAGCTTGAAAGCTCTAAAGCAATGGCTCGTTGGCACAATATTTTAGCCAACGAAACTGTAAAAACCCTCTCCTATCTCACGGTGGAAATCAAAAGGTATGCAGTATATATGCTCGTGTTTATTTCAAATGGCCATACAACTCGCATTAGACTCCTATTCTAAGTTAATGAGGTTGTACTAAATATTATCTCGTGGGTTATTGAGCTCACTCGTCAGGTAGTCTCATCGCGGAACATTTTCGAGAAAGGCTGGAAAAATCCTCAAGTTCATATCCATAAAACATTTGACAGAAAGTTGACCTTGCTGACCTCATTAAATCTTCAATATTCGTTTGCAATTTGACACTTTGAATTAATTTAACGAGTCACTGGTTCCTTTATTTGCGCATGCGTGTGATAACAAAAGCGTTTATCCAAGTGTCCCGTAATCCGTAGGACGTGGTTTGTTGTATAAATATTGAACGTCGGCTTCACAACAACAACAAACTCTGGTTTTCCTTCATACCACGTATAAATCTTTCGCCTTTTACTAAAGATTTCCGTGGAGGAGAACAACAGAATGAGTCTATAGACTAATTTTTCGTCACCCTGCCTAACGGCGGGGTATTTAACAAAAAAAGCAAATAAACTCGTAGAAAAAGTTTGACCGGTACTAAACGAGCGTCTGTTGAATACTACGAGGTTTGTTTTTCGTCTAGCCCATTCCGAAGCTCCGCCATGGTTGCAAGAATTGCTGGAATGTTAAATTATTTTCTTGTACGTCTGGTCGCTAAGAACCAAATGAAAGCATTCAAGGTATATGATTCCTGGCTTTAAATTAAACTGATGTTTCCAGAAACGTCTTCACTTTTGATTCGTTCCTTCAAAACACCAGGAAAATTCTTGTCGTTTTGACGTTCTCTTCTTGTTGAAGGTTAAAAATTTCGACGAACTTCACTTCAAACCACAACAGCTTGTGTTTGACATCGCGTCAATCTACTTGAACCTTGCCAAGGGTGATGTGGATGAAGTATTTTGCAAAGCAGTCGGTGCAGATGATCGCTCTTATTCGAAATCTCTGTTTCACGAGGCTGAACGAGTGTTAAGGTGAGGCATTTAGCTTCAACTATGAAGCAGAATTTAAGTAGGGTTTGTATTGGTCCTTGCAATCGTTGTTAAAAGATTACGCCATCTTGGACAAACAAAGTGTTAGAATGAAACTACTCGATAATTTTTCTCCGATTTCCTTCAGACAAATCCGGACAGACGTTAAAATAATTGAGAACTGGCATTCTCTTGGTGAAAAAATACACGGCCTAGTGGAAGCACAGCAAGAAATTGATGATTATCTTCCGGAGGTTGGTTTTTGTTCTCTTTTTGGGACGCCAGGAGGAAACCTATGCTAAACTAGACTAAATAGCTCTATTTACTTCAGGTCTTGTCCTGTATCGATTCTGTGTTATTACAGAAGAAATCTAAACTGAAAAGGTCCATCTCTTGTTTATCCAGTGTTACTACAGGAGACCTAAATCATAAACTGGCCTCTTTACTTCTAAACCAGTAATGATCGTTAACTCTTTCGTTTTTCTCAGGCACCAGAAGAATTCTTGGATGCGATCATGTTCTCCATGATGACAGATCCCGTGAGGTTACCCTCTGGGAATATCGTGGACAAAGCTGTCATTATGAGACATATTCTCAGGTATAAAACAAATTACCTTTAAAAACGTTCTGTAGTCATTGTGAGAATCTCATAATATCAAAGTGGAGATCTCTTCGCTGATTTTCGTATGTTTCATTGCATCATCTTCAGTGACCCAATGGATCCATTCAACAGAGCCCCTTTAACAGTGGATATGCTCGAACCAGTTCCCGAACTGAAAGAAAGGATTCAACAATGGCTGCAGGAAACAAAGAGGAAAAAAGGCAAGCATGATAACGAGGACACGTAGACTTAGTTTCACGTGAATGAGCATGCAGATAGCACTCTGTCTTAGTGGAATAGCACGCGCTTCCAGGCGGGGAAAGCGTGTTTGCAATGAGATATCAATTCCACTCTTGAATTAGTGCGTTGCCAAAGAAAACTGCTCTTAGGAGAATAAGTAGAAAGGCCTGTGTCCCAGGCCTTAACGATGTGATGATTGGATCAAATTGCTTACCAAGTATATGATAAGGTCATGTGTTTGTTTTCCTTTGAAACAAGCGTTGGTCATGATTAAGCATGATTTGCTATCTCTAATCCTCATTGCAATTCTACACGTCTTTGCATTCATTTCATACTATAGCCAGAGCATGTGGTAGTAATTCAAACATGTTTCATCATGCACCTGGTTGCTCTGAGCAAACTTTAGGCAAAACTAAAGAATGACCATACTTATACTTTGGAAGCACATAAAGATTAGCGCAAATAATCGGTTATTGTATCAGCAAATATTGCTTGATACTAATTTACTATTGCAGGTTGATAACGTGATATAAAAATACATGTAGTTCTCCTTTCATTGAGAACATAACCTATGAGATGAATTCCTGCTTTCCATTATTTCGCAGGCTCAGCCTCGCCCCAGAGCCCTGTGTGTATACCTTGCATAACTCACATACTTCGTCATATATTTATAGTAACGTTACACAATCCAATATTCTCCCACAGAGCGGCAATTACTCAGCCTGTCTGGCCACTATAACTTTCAAGAGTTTTATTTACATGGGTTTACAAACAGAAACAATTACTTATCAAGGGGGGAGGGGAGGGGCAGCCAAACTGTCTGAAAAAGGCGTACAATCACTTATACAAAAGATTTCTAATACTATATTTTATAATTCAGCTAGCATTTTAGTTCTCTTTAGGTAGCCAGACTGGCATGCCATAGCAAACAAGGATCGATACTTAATAAACAAACGAGAGTCCGTTGTGTACATAAATAACCCCGCATAGCGACGAGTTAATCCCTCTTCGTCGCTGATTCAGTCTGCGAATATAGTCTATCTTTGAGGATTGTCTGTTCTTCAAAAACAAACTATTGTATGAAGAATATTAATTTTGAGTTGAAGTGGGCAACAGTAGTGCGGTCAATTTTCATATTTGCCCTAGTTTGCGAACTCGTGACAGTTAGTTTGATTCGGCATTAGGAACAGACAATATATCATACATGAAATATTGTATCGCTTGTGGGTATCTACTCTCATACTTGAATAATTGTAACTACAATCACTGAATGCCCTGATAAATCTCTTGCTAACCTCTGGAATATTAAACACCTTGTATGCTTATACATACAAGCAGTTTTAGGCTTTGTTTTGACAAACAGAAGGAATTTTATTTACCATAGTCACATCAAATCATGTTTGAACAAGCTTACGATGATTATTGGCTTAAACATCGTTTGTCAATAGTGAGCATTCAGCGTTATACATCTAGTCTGCGAGAAACCAGTTTCTCTCGGAACAGATTATTTTGCTTTTAACGCTTGTAATTGCTTTCAACTGCGTTGAAATCTATGGCCAGCCTGAGATGGAAAGACAGGCGTCGTAGGGGATGGAAATCTCGTAAGGCATTGAGCTTGGTGCCGAACGCTAGGCAAAGAACCACGTCCAACGTATTTTCAATGTTTGACAAAAAACAAATCTGCGAACTCAGTGAAGTATTCAACTTCATCGATCAAGATTGTGATGGATTTATAGACAAGGATGATCTATTTGAAACACTGCTCGCGTTTGGAGAAGATGAAAGAACAGAGGAAGATTTGGAACATATGATCAGGGAAGCGCCATCGTATATCAATCTCACTCTCATATAAATTGAACGGGACAGGACCCGGACGAGATTTTTGAAAGTGCGTCCGTTGTTTGATGCAGAGGGGACTGGTCGGATTCATGTGGAAACGTTGAGGAAACTTCTTACAGAAACTGGAGACAAGTAAGCATTTTTCATTTCATATTTTTCCGTTGAACAGCATGCGCAAACACTGCTTGGTATTCTCCATTTGTTCATGCGAGATCTCGCTTTTTCGCACGTTTAAACAAATGGAACATGGTGTCAAATGTAAAGACTTAGAGGTCGACGATTTGCCAATCTGAAATCGTTCTGTCTCGCAGAGACAATATCTGTGTGCTAGTATGCTGTGTTTGAATTTCTTTTGTGCGATATGATGTCATGTTGTTTCTGTTTAACTTGTTTTGTTGTGTTGAGAACAGACTGAATAGATCATTTGATCATTCATTCCATTGATCCGGCATTCGTGCGTGACTCGATGCTTCTTCCCTGTATTAAACGGCGTAAGTTTAGCAAACGAACAATATATACATATATATGTGATAGTCTCCTGCACTAGGGTAGCACAGTTAATCCATGCATATATAATCTGGTGAAATCTCTGGTCAGTTTTTGAACATGTCTAATAGTACCTATCTATCCGGCAATCTCCATCAGAACCCTGGTAATTATCAATGCCCTCATTAAACTGATTATCATAGGTTTACAGAAGACGAGATGACCTCGATGCTACAGAATGCGAAACTGGATGCTGATGGTTATTTTGATTACGTGGATTTTATCAAGGTTATCAAATTTGGAACAGCCGAATGATTGATGATGAAACAACACCAGGGGCACTATTAGCCTATCTAGCAGCCAACACTGACGCTTGGCCGTGTGATTGAAGTCATAATTGCGATCTAATCATGTAGCCAATCTTGTCTCCAAAACAAGAATGCCTAACTACCACACATTTCTTATAAACTACGAACAGTTGTGACCGAAACTCTCCAATGCATAGAAGCAAAGCGCGCGTTAGTTGATCAGGTTTTATGATCTAACACCATACAGATCGACTGGCATACATGATACATCACTATCACACACTGATGTCTGATGTATCACAGAATAATCTATGGTTGATGTAAGAATGTTGCAAATTTTGCTATCAATATCAGCTTGACAGAGTCACAGAGAGCGATACGTTCATTGATATTCGGATTACATTACATCCCAAGATAGGTGTAGAGACATGACATTACTGTTCGAAACCTACTGTAGATTTTAATATCGTATATTTATCCAATTGACCTAATTTAATTAATGAAATGAAACTCCTATTTTATTTATATCATTTAAAACTATGTCCTACAGAGCATGCATTTACAGAAATGGTAATTCCGTAAGCAGTAGATGTATATTAAATCGATTTCGGCTTTTTTTCGTGTAACAGATATCGTCTTTTTTGTTCAAAAATTGCTAACGTTTCATGAAACAAGTGTTCATCAGCACAGAGTTGCGCAGCCGACGGTATGTGGAAAAGTTTTTTGGTTATCCTTACTCGACGTAACCGTCAACGTGCAGCTGCTGGACAGTATTTCGTCGCAGAACATCAAAGAACAATGATAATTTCCATATAAGGAATGGTGCGTGATACAGGCGTAGGTGTGGTGTTGTGTTGACCACAGACTCAACTGTCTTACCAGACGTATTGCAACCATCAAGCGTCGTTTACAAACCCTAACATCACATCACAAAGCTCTCAGCGATGGCAAGCAAACGCACAGGCAAGAAGGTTACGAAAAAGCGCGGACAGCGAGCGACGTCGAACATTTTCGCGATGTTTGACCAGGCTCAAATCCAGGAGTTCAAGGAAGCGTTCAACATGATCGACCAAAATCGAGACGGTTTCATAGACGCTGAAGATCTCAAAGACATGTTTGCGTCGCTTGGAAAAGAGCCGGATGACAAGCTAGTGGACAGCATGATGGGGGAAGCGCCTGGTCCAATGAATTTCACAATGTTTTTGACTTTATTTGGAGAGAAGTTGAACGGTACGGACCCCGAAGATGTTATACGAAACGCTTTTGGTTGCTTTGACGAAGAAGGAGATGGGAAATTGCACGAAGATCGTTTAAAACGATTACTTATGACTATGGGAGACAGGTTAGTTATGAAAATTTCATGTTATATTGCTAAGATATTAAACAAATTTAGTTTCGTTATGCACTGTTACACTGCAGATATTGTGGCTAGAGACGAAAGTAATGTACCTATTTTCAACCCGTATTCATTTTGAACAACTTCAGTTCATCGACGGGGTTTCCAGAACTGGAATGCAAAGGATATAATGACAGTTCTATGCAGTGCTAACATATTTTAGATCGTATTCATCAATCCTGGCAAAATCAATAAAACCAAATAACATTCCAATGTTGACATTGACGCACACTTTGGCCTAATTTGCAACATAATCGAACACATACGCAAATCAGTTTTATTATAATCTACAAATCGCGGGTGATAAATAGCCTTTTGTATGCATTTTGGTTTTTATATACATAACCCCTCTGTTGTTCTTTCCCTATGTGGTTATCTGGGCAAAAAATCTGAACAGAAGTAATCAAAATGATGAACAGAATTTCTGTTGCATCGCTTAGGCTCGATCCGGCATACTTGGATAACGGGTATCATATTACCTAACGTGATCCACTTCACTGTACTTTGAAAGTTTCTGCTGCTTGTAGTTCGTTATGTTGAAAAGCAACGTGAATTTGCATAGTTTTGAGTTGCCTTCTCAGCAGACTCCTGTGATGATCTGCATTGTTTAAAATGGTTAGCCAGTCTGCTCTAACCTTTAACTGGCTTGTCAAAGCTTTGACAGAAACAGGAGGAATGCACTGAGAATTTTTTCAGCTGTGTTTATTAATATGGCATGTGGGGTTTAATTAAATGGTTTTATTTGTATAAACCAGTAGGAAATTTGACATGGCTATTTTTGGGCATTATTTGAATAGAATTATCACAGATTTGGGGATACTGACCTCTGTAATCTCAGTGCTGATGGGAAAAAAATGGGCCACAATTGTCCTAAAATTCTCCTTAATTGGTTTGCATTTATGTTCATTATCAATTGGGTTTGTTTTAAGACGGTCAATATAAAGCAATTGTTAGTACCTTCTGAAATATGAACTGTCTCAATGAATCAATATTTATGTTTGGTAAATTCTAATAAGCTGCTGATGAAATGCACTTGTGGCAATCTTCTGTGAAAATATTTGTTAAATTGTGTGGCTTGGCATAACTGTACTGGATTGTTCTTTGTTTCTTTTAGGATGAGTTATGAAGAAGTTGAAATGATGTACCGTGGAGCGCCAATTGACTCAAGAGGAAACTTCGACTATATTGCTTTCACAAAAGTGCTAAAACATGGTACAAAGGATGAATAAATACGGACTAGCACACATTTTGTAAAAGAACCAAATATAGTAATATAAATCAATTGCTAATATATTTCAATATGACTTTTTCTTATTTTTCCACTGGCTGTTTTGTATAGCATTAGACCACTTTAGCATATTCTTCGGCAAATATTCTAAGAGCAATTGGCTTTGTAAAATTTCCTATAAATAATGTTATACATTGCGAACATTGTTCTAGTGCTCTTACATAGGTGTGTAGTATATTTTTGAGTGAAAATACATTTCTTTGCATGTGTGTGGTATTTGTGTTTGTGGACTTGTCTGAAGATAGTACCATAGTAGTTTCATCACTGTTCATAGTTGACAACCATCAACCAGTCTGGTCATTCTCACAGTCCGCGTGTCACTAGCTAAGTCACAAACAAGAAATAACTTAGGGATGTGGGATGTAGGGGCACTCATAGTAGTCGGTTATGGGTGAATTTACTTTGTGACATCTCACCCTGTTGCAACCACCTAAGATGACCGTCCACTTTACATGTAACATAGTCCATGGAAAGAGAACTTGGCATTGGTTAGTTCCAAAAAATATAATTTATAAAATATATTATGCCAGTGGTATCAAATTGATAATTTTCTTAAAATTTATTTTTAATTAATTTTATAATTATGCGGATTGCATAAATTATCAGTATAAACAAGATGGAGCCAAATTTTGACTGGCCATGGCATTACAAGTTTCCTCCATTTTTCACGTAAGTTTTGAACATTTTATACAATGAAATAGTATTTATTTTACAAGGACCATAAACCTTGCATATATCTTCTCTCTTTCATAGAATCCAACAAAATTCAGACACAAAAGCTCGTCAATTAGACCTGTGGTGTAATCTGGTATTGACATATTATAAACACAAAAAGTTGTATGTTTTCGATGTAAATGAAGCTCAGAATAGTCCGTTGTTTTTTAATAAAGAGATAAATAGTATCCTTTTTGCATGTTTTTTAATATTAGTGTGCATCACTGCACAGTTTTGTAGAACTTGCATTTATAAATTATTATAATATAAGTTGTTACTTGTTGTACAAATAGTACATATTCGTAGTGTGGTGCACCAATGTGTTCTTTATGAGTCCAAACCAGTCAAAACTGTACCAGTCTGATGTCAGTTCACATTGGCATGTTTCCTAGTTCTGTATTTTTCCCAAAAATGCAAGGCTATGACAAAAATAGACGGTTATCTGGACCACCATATAGATCTGACCAGTCTATGATGGTGTAATTAATTATGATGGTGTATGTAACTTAGTATAAACATGTAAGATGTTGATTGAATTTGGTGCATTCGAAATTTAACTTAATCAACTGATCAGGGAAATTACCAATTGAAGGAATAAACTTGGTCTTAGAAACTCTTCGGAAAAGAGGTTAGATTGATCCGATACCTATGATTTTAATTGTGCTAATATGGTCTTTTTTCAAACTACCTTGTTCTAATATGGTCTTTTTTCAAGCTGGCTTTTAAACAAGCTACCGTTCTGATTTCTGTTGATCCTGTTCTCTTAGAACCAAACTTATATACATATGCCTTTCATATTGATATACTGTACATTAGATTGATCCCTGAATTATTTTCCAGGTAATTTAGAATGGCAAGACAAGAAGGCTGAGAGAGGTTATATTATGTGGAGGAAGCCAGAAGAATGGGGATCACTTATATATCAGTGGGTATGAACAGAATTATCACAAGGCTACCTGAGCTACCAGGATTCCATTACCCACTTTTGAATTTGAACTTCCAGATAAAGGATAATGCAATGACTGGAACAGTCTGTACCTTATTTGAACTACAACATGGAGATGATACAAAAAATCAAGGTAAGAATTGCTGTAATTTGCACACAGTAATCTAGGAGCTTTATCTTCTTATGAACAGTACTTTAAGTTGAAAAATTCATGGCCTTTCCATCTTTTTTAATAGAATTTCATGATATTGATATGTGGATGTTAAAAAGAGCACTGCAAACGCTTGAGGTAAAAAATAAAGCTCAGATTTTTGAAGGACCAACGCCTGGTGATGACAGTGGCTTGGGAGTGAAATTCTTCTCCTGATTTCTCATTTCAAATGTGAGTAATTTCAACTTTGTAGAGAACTAATGAATAATCAAATGAGGTACATATGAATTGGTCTATATATTTATGATACCATTAGTTAAGAAATGCCTCTATTTCCATAAGTGTACTGCTTTGCAGCTTTTGCCTTCAAGTTATTCAGTGTTAGTGATTAGAATTTTCTTTTTATTATTGTTAAATACCCCGCCGTTAGGCAGGGTGACGAAAAATTAGTCTATAGACTCATTCTGTTGTTCTCCTCCACGGAAATCTTTAGTAAAAGGCGAAAGATTTATACGTGGTATGAAGGAAAACCAGAGTTTGTTGCTGTTATGAAAAAAACTTTCCGTTTATGAGCAGCAGCCAATGTCTACCGGCATGCGGTGCACGCGATCTCTCGTCTAAGCGCCGTATCACGCATGTGCAGATATTTTATAAATTATTTCAATATTTTCCATTTCATGATCGTTGTATTATAAATATTACTATTTTTAGGAGAACTATCTACATTGTCATTTATTTTTTACACAGCTCAATAGTGAATAAATCCAATAGTCGGAACAATTTAATATATCGCCTCATCGCGCCTAAGGTAATCCGCAATCAGACCTTCCACTCAAAATCCGGAAAACTCGTTAAGTGTTTCCTGAATTACCTTACACGGGGAGATTTTGACATTCTCAAAACCTATAAGCACATAAAAGTAGAAGTTTCGTCTGTAATAATTTTGCTTGTTCTGTCCACTGATTCTGTCCTATGCTCAGCCATATACGAGTAATGATAAAATATTGTCTATGCGCACGATTGTTACGATTACTAGTCTGACTTAGCGTGAGAACATTGATAGCGTTCGCGAGTATCATTTCCGTGTTCACCGCGCATTCCGTTCGACGTTTGCGTCCTTCAACAGAAGCACTCTGAAAATTGATTGAATCTTTCTCAGTTTCTCTGACACCAGGCTGTAGCCTATATTGGTGTTTCCATTGTTGAAAGTAAATGCGTGACGTTTGGTGTAACATCGAGTTCTTCATTTAGTTTTGCCAGAATGTGGGTATAGAGAGGATACTCTGTCTTCTTTAATACTTTATACTGTACAGTGTTCAAGCCGTCTGTATACATACGTTTTGCAGCTGTTTTTAACAGAATGTATCTAAAATAAGAGTGGTAAAAATTTGACAGTAAGTGGTGGTTACTAGGGATGGTATCACCCCCTCTTCTCTCTGGTGTAGGCCAAACTGGACACCTCAGAGTTGTTGAGTTGGTAGCTTACCTGTTCCCACCAGGTTTGTCACGAAAATGGTGCTCTTTGAGCATTATGTAGCGACCAACATCTGAACGAGGTCGGGTTAGACTGTACCCAGCTGCTCGTATTCTAAAATAAAATGAACATTGCTATTGTTCAATAATAGTTTCATTTCATTTGCCCAGGCTTATCTGCATGAGAAAGAGTGATTGTAGATTAAAATGTAATTCTGTGTATTATCCAGTGTACTTTCAAACAGTTTATTCAAAGTAGGTGAATAATGATTTTTTTGTTTTAGTGAAAAGTCAACTGGACTCTAAACAATCCTTCGTGAACAAGCAGACAACGAACAAGCCTGTCGTTATCAAAGATGCATAGTTAGTGAAATAGCCAACCAGTTCTATTTGGTTTGTGATTTTCTTGGAGACATTCGTAGTGTATGTATAAAAGGAGGCAAACATTTCAAAATTTTTGCAGCCCTTTTTGTTGATGACAGTCACAGCCCAATCTCATCATAAAAGCATATCAAATAATATCTCATGATAGTGAGTCCTGTGCTTTTCATATTGCCTTGAATTTGTATGGAGATTGTGTTAGCTCAATAATCTGCTATCAATCTGCTATCTTTCAAAACTAGTGTGTATGTTATTGCCAGGGTTCTTACCTCTGATAAGCATCATCATCTTCCGCACCCCACCCCCAGTAAAGATTTGAATATCCATTCATCTTCTCAAAATGTTCCCTGGTAAATGCACCAACACCGCCAAAATATCGCTTGTATGGCCATCTGGTAGATGAGAAATGATTTCAGGTGTTAAACAATGATACAGGAATAATATCTTCATTATCCCAGCATTACCTTCTATTGAAGCGATCTACGGAGACGCCCAGTAATTTAGGACTTTCAGGACATCCATAATCATTTCGGTCATTTTCCAAGATGTGATCAACATCATGAAACACAAAGCAGCGGAAATTTGAGATTTTGAGAGCTTCCAAGAACCCAATATTAATTAAAGTTGCACGGTTGAAACTGTAGTTGCCTGCCTGGAGATACAATGGCAGTGAGAATTTTGGCATTGCTCATTTTTGCATCACAGTCCAAACTATTGGTTCTTAGTCAATGCACAAACCTGTTCAACCACAATGATCCTATAGTCATGCATCTGTCTTTGCATGATTGGATGCATATGTCTCAGAAATATTCGTAGGTGTTCTGAGCGGTTCCGATAAGGAACTATGATAGCAAGCTGGAATGACAGGAACAAACAGGAACCACAATGCTGTTATTTCACAAATGACAAATCATGTACAAAGAGTAAGGGGTCTAGTGTATAATTGTGCTGTTTTTCAAGAAGAAAGGTCACTTAGGTAATCATTACTTTTTCGTATTTATAAATTAACTAAGTTTCCATAAACTAATGAATTTCTGCAAGAATGGTATGTTTGCAATGCATTGAATGATCTACCTTATTCTTAGCAATGCAACCTCTTGGCTTGAATGCTCCTCCTTTCTTTACAAATCCTCCAAAATCAACAGACAGTTGTTCTATGACTTCTTGCATCCGAGGAACACTCTTATTATAATATACTGGTCCAACTGAAAACAGTTAAATATTTTTAGCACCAGCATAATCTAATTATGACAGGGATGTGACTATTTGCAGCTTTCATAATGGATATGTCATAACGTCAAAGGATGCTTTTGTCTTTGATAGTATTGCTAAAGTTGTGATACCCTTATTTTTGTGCCAATTACATTGTCTATTTACAGTGTAATTATTAGATGTTTTCTTACCTAACAAGTAAGGTTTACAGAACATTGGTTGGGTGGGAGCTGCAACTGTAGTTGTTGAAATGGTTGTGGGGTTTTTAAGGTGCACTTTAGGTGTTTCTTTATTGGTGGGTGGTTGGGGTTTGCTTGGGGTATTTGAAGCCAGTACAATTCGGTTAATCTGACCATGATTGTGACCACTGAACTTTGCAACTGGGTGTTCGACAGAATTTTGAGCTAATTTGAAATGCACATTATAAGCATACAAACTGTTTTCATGCGTGGCAAATAGATTAGTTTCCTAACTAGAGTGCAGGGAAATAATATCAGAGATATTGTGCAAGATACTAATGTAAAGGATTCATTTGATGAAAGGTGTACAGGTAACACAAATACAGATATTTTATTGTAGTAGATGAGGACAGGAATGAACAATGTTGTATCCACACGAAACTTGGTTGCTAACAAACCACAACAACTTGTTGAATCATCGAAATATGTACAGAAATGTACAAGTAATTTGGACATATTCATTTGGTAATTACATGCGATACAATATTTCTACTTTTCTACTATTCCAAATATTCCATTGCTGAGTTTCTGACACGAACAATTCACAACGTTATTGCAACATGAATTGCATAAAGTTGTTCCATGTTCACGAGAAACTGAGTGAGTTTTTCAAAGGTAAACAAACAATTACTTTCACCTCGCATCTCAACGAATTTATAAACTTTGCATACCTTTTGAAGTCGTCGCATAGTACGGCAAATACATACAAACTAAGACTACAAAAGCAAATAGCAATAACCAAACAAATAATATTCTCTTACGAGACATGATCATTTTGTGCAGTATATAGAGAAAGCCCTTGATTTTAAACCCATATCTTTGGCAGACATTTTTTACTCAGCCTAATTAGCATAATTTCCTGTTGTGGGTTAAATATTAACTTGGGTCGTGAATATTAAATTTTGTCCATTTGACAATTTATTGACATCGTTTTTAAGCGAATTTCTGACATTTTTCAAGTTTTTATTGCTGTGCATTCTAATCCCGTTCAATGTGAACAGCAGCTAAATCTTTATGGTAAAAAACAGGCAGGTTATGTGGAGGGTGATGTAGGACAGGGGTTGTGTTTCACCTGGTGTTTCACCATGTTGGGAATCATTAGAAACGATTTGGTACTTTGACCTCAACCGAAAGTACCTTGATAATATGACAGGTGTATATAATTCCTATACACAGTAAACCTCAATAAGTGCAATCTTTGATGGTCACACAGGGGTTACTACTAGCGTAATATACGGTTGAATGGTTCTGTAGTTTTTACACATAGATGCAAGACAAACGCATTTTTTTGTATCAGACCACCAACAGTACATGTTATGACTTGCCCATTTCGGAAATTACTCATATTTCGTCACTCATTCGTAATCAATGATCTGATCAGAACTATTGAAAAGTCTCACAAAGTCACATGAATAAATTCATGTTTGCCAAAGACTAAGGAGGTGATATCACTTCTATACAGTGCGCTATAGTGCGCTATTACTCTGAAGAGTGAAGGTTGGTGTGATTGAGTCTATATATCAGAAGGTATCTAAAAAACTTGACATCCGCATACAAGAATACAATGTGAACATAATCTATATCCATCGGGATCATCTGATTGGAATTTCAACAACAAAGAGAAGGAATATATTTACGGAAGAATGTTGTGTTCTTTCTGTTGTAATTACTGGCCGGGAGATATTCTGTAAAAGGCTGCCAAGAACTTTAACGTGAGAACATTGAAGTATATTCTCGAGGATTAGCATAACAGGAATACTGAGACAAAACATAGTCAAAAATACTTTCACGGCTGAGAACCGGGGGAATAACCTGAACAAGCGCGTCAAATTACAGCGGCCACGAAGAAAGGCCAAATTCCTCATGAACTAAGATTCATTATGGATTTTGACACAGATAAAACAGATAATTACGAATTATTTATGGACAAAGAACCCGAAATTACTTTTAAAAGTCAGGAAGTTCTTTTGCCTCATGACTCAGACAAAGATCTCTTTCACAACAGGAAATGTTGGAGAATTTTGTTTTGCATTCGCGTAGCCTCAGGAAATAAACTACGACCGAGTGTTAATAAAGTCTGGAAGCCTGTTTTTCTGGTACTAGAAGAAAACAGCCTGAAATTCCACGCACAAGATTTTGAATCTTCACCGCCGTTTAAAATCATCAGTCTAACTTGGTTTTACTCCTTCCGTGTTCCGATGAAAACTCAATTAAATGAAGATGGTTTCCTGTTCACGACAGTGTTAATCAACTCATTGCACAGCAGACGTTCAGCGATAAAAAGATTCCGTGGTTTTTGGAAAAAAGTCAAGATTGGCTGCGCAAATTATAACACGTTATTGGATCTAGTAGAAACTGTCCAAAAATGTGTCGCCAGTTTTCCAGCTTTCCGACCGGCAGGTATTTTTCATAAGACGGAAAAGATGTTGGTACGGGTTGAAGATTTTCACGAAGTTACTCAGCCGGAGAAACACAGCGTTTCCAAAGCGATAAATCAGGAACGGCACACCGAGAAACGAGTAAGAATCATGCTTAATGTCCTTGTATCAGCAAGTCCTGATTGCTTTGTGGAAGTTAAGCGTACAGAAAGTTTTTCAAGAAGAATTACAACGGACGATATTTGTTTTCATAAATGTGTAAAAAGTCGTTCTCTTAACGAGAAGAGAGTTGTTGCTTGGTTTTCGCCGCTAGATGATTGTTGGTTTGAGCTGATGTCTTGGAAGGCGTTTTGTACAAAGCCTTGTCCGCTGCGTTGTGAAGTCACAATTGCAGTTTGTGATTCTTGTTCCGTCGCCATTCTTGCTCGTGTGTTTACTAGTTCAACACGTTTGGAACTCACAACAGCAAGTAATATCACGTTAAGGTAAGATATCAGTTATTGAGTACCATTACTTTCTCCTGAGTTCTGAACATGCCGATTTTGCTAATATTTACACTCAAAAGGGACCTTCACCGGAGGAAGACAATACCCAACACTTGAAAAAGCCCTGGAGCGGGCTGGGTGAGCTGATTTGGCAAAACAATAAATTATTATCAAATCAATCTTTTAGGTTCTACATCCCTTCAGAATGGCTGGAAACAGAGGGAAAGCGTTCAGTTCAAACCATACAACATTGTACCAACGTTACAAAAGGCAACGTTTCTTACAATTCCAGCGTCGAGACGATGCTGTGGTCTATTCCTAAACTTTCTTTCAACCCTTGCCGGAACTTCCACCTTACAGGCAAACCTTTGGCTCAACTAAGCACTCGGCTTGAAGCGCCGTCTGGCAGTAACACGCAAGAAATAACCAAATTCCCTGCAGAAATGGATTTCAATGCTGAAGGAAACGCACGGTCGTCTGAAGTTAGAATTGCAAGCATGAAATTGGGCGTGAAATCATTTGGAAAGTTTAAAACTTCCTATTCTTCTTTATATCGTATTAAAATTCCTGTAAGCATTGAAGAAACTGTCAATGATAGAGACGGCTGATATTGTAAATTGTTATTGTATAACTTTAGTGGCCCCAAATAAGGGCCACTGTACTCAGCGATCGATATGTTTTTACTTTGTGAATGAATCAGTCTACAAATAAAGAAAAAAATATATAAATTGCAACAAGATCTTACACTTCACAGACACGAGAGTCACGTGAGTATGATCATGTGATATCTGGCACTGTTCATCGTTCGAAGCAATCGACTAACTATGGGACTACTTCATGTAACATCTTTTTAAGTCTGTTCGCCATATTGGAAATTCTCGTTTATACGGACTATCGACATTTTATGTTGTAAAACGTTCAACTTTCACACTTGAATCATGGAAATCGGTACAGAAATTAGCCAAAAGATAAAAGTAAGTTCACTTGAGTACTTCAAAATTCTGTTAAACGTGGTATTTATGCAACGAGTGTCTATTTTCGAGTATTTTCACATTTTCATCTGTGCTTTCATTCACAAACATAACAAAAGCATTGATAGTACTACGGCAGTTCAAACCTACATTTGATAAATGTTCTTTTATTCTCTGCAGACCGCAATCAAGACCAAACTTGTAGAGTTTGGCTCGTATGTAGGTAAGTTCTATCACTATCTGAGTCATCTGACAATCGTAGATATCAATCTGAAATTTTAATAACAGTATGTCTGGGTTTTATACTTTTATACGTAATGGAACAGATAAACATCTTGTAATTTTAAGATGACGAGCTTCCCGACTATATAATGGTGATGATTGCAAACAAGAGAAGTCAAATGCAAATGATTGAAGATTTAAATCTGTTTCTTGGGGACAACAGTAAACATTTTTGTGAATGGTTAGTTTTTTACCAGATTTTTATTTGAATTGTGTGATAGAGTACCTGCATTTTATATTTGAATTGAGATTGGAATATTTTTTTTTTGAGGCTGCATGATTTACTGTCAAAGTTGCAAGAAGTAACAGAAGGTGCATTTGAAGTTAAAGTTCCATTGAAGAGGAAATCAACAGAGATGAAACCTGCGGCTAACCCAGAAGAGAATGAAGCTTTGAAAATATCAAAAATATCTCGAAAACCGAGTCCCATCAGGGTAAAATGTGATACAGATGATGAAAAAAATGGGGAATTGTCACATGAGAGTGAAGGTTATTATGCATGTCATTGATTTCAGGATAAAAAGGTTGCTGTATAGTTATCAGCTGATTAGTTCATTACCTGCTCTTTATCTCCTACTAATGTTTTTAACTTCATTAGAAAAAAAGAACACTGAAAAACGAGGAAGATCTAATCAACGACAGGACGAGAGACATTCACATGCCATGCAAAGTACAATTACTATTCAAAAGAGGTATGGAATAATTTTGAATTGAATATTTACACTTGTAGATAGCTCCTGGAATCCCACAACTAACTCTTTTTATTTTGAAGACCAAGTCTCCCGCCATCAAAGCAAGCAAATCCTATGTTACTAAAGAAAGCAATGCAAGAAGCTAAGGTGTCTACAGATTGTGGCGAATATAACCCTGAAGTACCTTCAACAGAATTGCCAGCAGTTTCTGATGCGGAAACAAAAAGACAAAAACGAGCACAACTTCTTGAAGAGCACAAAAAACTCGAAAGATTGAAGTCGCAACAGGAAGACGAAAATATGGTAATTAGTGGTTGATATGTCACGTTTGGTAGAAAAAAAACTTCAAGATTTGTTTTCACTATTAGGAGGAGCCTGTGCTTGAGTTACAAGTTGCTCAAGATGATGATCTTTTCAAGACAGAGGAACCTGCAGTTGCCATTAAAGATCGCAGGATAGTGGTTGAGAAGACACCAGAACGTGAGAACAAACTGGAAAAGGAAAAGAAGGAAAAGAGTAGGAAAGAAAGGAAAAGTGAGAAAAGGAGAATGGAAGAGAATGAACAAGAACAGTCTGGTTCTGGTAGTAGTGATGTTGATGAGAAAAATGAAAAAGTGAAGGAGAGAAATGTCAAGTCTAAGTATGTGGGATTTATGTTTGTTTTGTGTTTGGAGGTAATTGAGGGATGTTCAGAGGTGTGTAATTCACAATCATATATTGATTGCACCCTTGTGTTTGTTTGTTCCAGAGAGAAACGGAAGAAACCAAGATTTATCGTCACACTGGAAGGTGTTGGCAGCAAGTTTGAGGAGAAATATGAGAAAGAACATTCAAAAAGGAAGCGGAGACGCAAGGGCAGCCAGAAAGAGGAGGTCAAACAGGAGATAAATAGAGAAGTACCTGTGATGCCAGTCTTTCCCCAGTTGATCCATGGTGTCCATCAAGTACCTGGGGTGATCCCAGCTCACCTCAATCATCCTCTTATACCATCAATAGCACAAACAATTCACATGCCACCACCACAAACAACAATGGTCACAGCACCTCATATGCCACTGGAAAGAGACATCCAACAAGGTATCCAGTCACCATCCAAACTTGTATATTATATACCACTGTTGACACTAGAAAACATCTGCAAAATGTTCCTTGATTATTCTTTAGTCAATGAATATGAGGAATTTGATGAAACTGATAAAGAAAAGGGAGAGTGCCGGTTTTGGCCCCAATGTAAAAACGGCAATGATTGTCCATTTTATCATCCTGACGTGACATGCAAGTAAGTTCTGTTTTTCTGCAATCTTTGGTGATGTTCAAATGAACTGCTAAACTAATTTATTGCTGTTGGGTGTTTGGATAAAAGCATAATAGACTTGTCAAGCACCATTTTCTAGACGGAACCTAAATGAATAAAAAGTTTGTATTTCACTTGCATTTTTTCTTAAAATGATGAATCCAAAAGCTATGATGAAACTTAATCATATCAATTATTACTAGGCATTTTCCCAACTGTCGATATGGTAGTGACTGTAGCTACGTTCATCCACCATGCAAGTTTGGTTCAAGGTTTGTACTAACACCATCTTTTTCCTAACGTATCTTGCCCTTTCCAGTTACCTTCACTCAGATATGAAAAACCTCAACAGGTGGAAATATTTATGTATGGTTTATTTACAGATGTACATCCACTTCATGCAAATTTTCACATGACGAGACAACAGTCACAAGCCCCTCAGGTATGTAATTGTATCAATTACAATCCATTATAATGTTCTCTCGCGCTTCATGTTCACTATAACCTGGTAAACGTCTTAGTAATCAGGCCTAATCTATGATAAACTCTGCCGTTTTGTGTAGAAAATGAGACTACAGTTTGTCGATATCATCCCTTTTGTACGAGGAACAACTGCCCGTTCTTGCATCCTGTTGATAAGGTATGTTACCGCCAAAAAACACTTTGAGATTTTCCCCAAACATAGAGCAGTGGTCGCAAAATATTAATAGATAGTTCATCCCTGATCCCCACATATTTGTAGTGATATTATGGATTTTTTCTTTCCCTATAGCCTTGTCGCTTCGGGAAGAATTGTACTCGACCTGGCTGCGTTTTCAAGCATGCCACTCCGCCATCACGTGAACAGTTAAAGTGGGTCGCACCAGCGCCAGCCAAGGTTCATGTCAGGTATACGGATAACATAATCATGGTATTTTGTCAGAAAACTGATATCGTACAACTGAACATGAATCATTCTGTTTTTAGCGAAAGACAATTTGCAGTAAATGAGACGAAAACAACTGCTTTACCGGTGCAATGATGTGCAAAAATGTCTGGGGTATGAAGGTACCCTTTTATGATATGTGAATATGTGAAACAATAAATTTTATTGTGTTTTTATCTTTCGTTTGAATCATTATTATAAACAGCCTGTGAAAGGGTGTTTACGTCACACCATTATCGAACCAATTCCAATTTCCCTTCAAGACCATAAACCGTGAAACAGTATTGGACATGGCTTAGCCAAAAAAAGTCGGTTCTCGTCTTTTCGTATTTTTCAGCAAATTTGCTGTGTGTTGAATGAGACATTGCATTAAACAAGAAAAATAATATAAAGAAAAGAATGTTTTTATCTATTTAGTTTAAGCACATGGTTATAATGAACTAATACAAATAATTTAAATATGAAATTGTTTTTAAAGATTATCAAAACAAAAGCTCCACACGTTATAATGCAGTTCCTGTCTACGATTGGTGATGTTCATGTCAAAATAACCGCGCGGATGTTGAAAAGATTATAACAATATCTCACTTTATTATTCTGTCATTTTTAAGCGCAATTGTTTGATAAAAGTTTTATACTTTTATAACGGTTTAAAGATCTTCAATATATCTTTTGGGTCCTGAGAATTCTTTGTAGGAGATGGTTCCATCGCTGTCTTTATCTTCTTCAAGGAATATTTCACGAATGATGTGAGAATGACTTTTCTCACCAGGACCATCGGGATAGTTCTGTTTCTTCAAATATCTTGCAACCTGGAAAGACAGATGGAATTAGGTAAAGTTTCGAGTTCGTTCGATCGAAACAGAATTCGATTTGTAAACTGGAGATTTTATCGCCAGAAACGTTTATTGGTTTGTAATACTACAAGCGAAAAGCTTTGTTAACCAACCTCCTCGTTCGATAACATATTATCACCGTTCGTATCAATCAGCGTGAAGGTATCTGAGACCATTTCTTTGTCGGTGAACGTGTCTTTGATTTGCAGCAGTTCCACAAAGAACTCGATGGTAGATTTTGGTGGGACCTTGTCACCAACCGGCCAGTTACCGTACGCGACGTGCGAAGGAACAACCAGCTGACGAATCTCACCGGCACACATGCCCAAAAGTCCCAAATCCCAACCAGTGATGACCTGTCCTTCCCCTAATGTGAACTCGAAAGGTTTCTTGCTAAAAGAAAGAAGATTTTAGGAGTAAGTTTTAAGAAGGATTCCTCTTAACTACTCGAGATGAAGTTTCCCAATTCTCTTCAATGAAAATTGTCCAAATGATACGGACTGAAATGATTCTATTTGGCCTTTTTCTGCAGGTATGACTCTTGGGATTTTCTGCAGGTATAACTCTTGAAAACGCAAACTTTACACTAACAGTTTTCAACTGATATTAACGAACGCATACCTGGTAGGAACATAGCTTGATCCATCAACAAACGTGCCGTTATACTTCACAGCAATATGGTCACCTCGTTTTGTAACACGCTTGCAGTTTTTGGGTTTATGAACGAGACCAACTCCGAATCCCCTCTCTTGATATTCCCCGGCGTTACAGGATGAAACTAATATAAAACAAACCAAAAGACTTCTCAAAAGCTCCATCCTTGTTACGCTGGCTTGAAGCTGTTCAACAGCGAGAATTTCTGATATTCTGACTGCGTCTTGATTACAACGTGAACTACTATAGCAAGTGACATTGAGAAAGGAAAACTCGGTCGTTTTATGCGTAAAAACGCCACGTCCAGGCGGTTGACGTGGGCAAAAACGCGTTGTTCCACGGTCGGGAATTCATTTTTGCGAACCGCTTTTGGTTCACCGTGACAACCGCGCGTGACAATGAAATGAATTGTGTGAGTGAAACCTTTTCAAAAGCAATTCTGTTGGCCTATAGAAATGACACGTGTTCGCGACGCAATTTGCTGCTAGTCATGAAAAAATGAAGAAGACGACTTCAAGACTTTGAGACAGTTGCCTTTATTTCACAAATAGGTATATAGTTATCCCATATCTCAAGACTAGACCTAGGCTTGAAATCTGGCTACCATTATGGGAATAGTTGCCTCATAATTTTAGCCCAACGTGTGGGCCTAATCCGGGAATTGAGCCAAAAACCTAATCCTAAATCAGTGAACTATCTTTAATCTCCCTAAATCAGGATTAATCAGGATTAATAAATGTAGTTTCCAGGCTAGGACTAGTGTAACTCGGCCAGTATGGACGACGACAGTGAACTCAGTGAAGAAGAAAATACGGATCTTTTAGGCAAAAAAGATAGAGGAAATAAAGCAAAAATAACCAACTATCGTCGCTTAATAATTGGGGGAGTTGTTCTTGTCTTTGTTGATCTTCTTTGGGTCGGCTCTGCTGAACTGTCTGATGTAAGTAATTGAAGTGATTGAACATTCAATTCTTACTCCTGAAATCCAGGAAAATGATCTATTCGATGCCAAAGTTTTATTTTTCTACTCTTTGTAGTTTATATTTCACAATGAAGGCTTTGACAAGCCGTTTTTTACTACATATTTCAAGACTACAGCGTTTGTTTTGTATCTTCCTTTGGTGTGGATAAAGTCTTTCTGTCAAAAACATCGTGCAAATGCTGGTAAAACGACTCTCAATAGTTCAGAAACATTATTCCAAGTAAATTCAGTATGTATATATTTTATATTATATTTTATACATTCTATAATTCTATATGTAACTGTGTTGCTGTAATTAGATTAGAAGAGGGAAAATCAGTTAATCCCTAAATATAATCCATAATCTAATCCTTTAGGGTTTGGTGTTAGGTACAGGTCAGGTTTAGGATTAAAGTTAAGGTTAGGTTAGATTAAACTTAAAATTACTGCAGATATTCATTACAGATGTTCTGACCAGTTATAGACACAACGTTTTGTCTAATTACCTGCTTGGTCCTAATGAAGTGAGTTATCTCATCTGAAACTGTTTCAATTTGCAGGAAACTATCGATAATAAAAATGATGACATTTATTGCGAGCGATCTCAATATTTACGCACTGAAAGTGAGTTCAGTTGTATTTTTCATTTTTTCTTCAAACCAGCAATATTTGTATAAACCCTGTAGGTAACAAGAAATCTGTCAAATTTTTACAGATCATACAGATTTTGTCCCTGTTCAGAAGTTGGCAATTGTAAAAGTGATGAAAATTGCGTTGATATTTTGCATTTTGGTAATACATCTAACAACATTCTGGTGTTTGTCTAGTGATTAGCTTGACGTATACATTTTAATAGTGTAATGTTTTTAACTATTTCAGTGGTTCTTAGCGACTCTTTCCTACCAAGAAGCCTTGGCTCTAACGTCACCTGCTGCTGTGAATATTTTGTCCTCCTCATCTGGTATGAATTGATACTTTGATACAGTTTCAGTACTACTTGAAAACAATGTAAATTGCTATCTCGATCAGTCCAAAAAAGGACATTCACATTGATATAACCAGGGAGCTGCATGGCAGCGTCTTCAAACAACTTATTGTGTTCACTTCATTTTAGGTTTATTTACATTGATCCTAGCTGCAATTTTCCAAAGTTCTCAAAACGATAGATTCTCGTATTCCAAGTTGATAGCTGTCTTTATGAGGTAAATCTAATTATTATTTCTGGTGAACTTGCTCAGTCAGTTATGTATGTTTTTATTCCCAATTATTTTTATTTTAGTATTACCGGTATAGTACTTGTTACATTTTCTGATTCCACGCAAACCAAAGGTGGTGTCAATTATGGTGCCTTTTTCTCATTGGGTGGTGCTATATTGTAAGTGTAAAGCATAACCAATCACATATCAAATTGTAAAACATTTGCAAACACTGAAACACAAATCTCATATGAACTGTGTACAGACTCGGTGTCAGTCATTTATTTAATATCTTTGCAATATCTCAGGTATTCATGTTATCTTGTGCTATTGAAAGTCAAAGTACCAAATGAAAGTCAAATAGATATTGCTACATTCTTTGGTATGTGTTTACTACTGTTGTGCTGCTGTATGATGTGATTGCCTTTGATAAAAATATAAATATAATTATATCTAGAAAAAAGGGCTTATTCTCTCTCATTTTACTGTAAATGAATGATCAACAATAACTATTGATCTGGATTATTTATTGATTATGCAAATGATAGCACAATTATAAAATTATCTGTGATAAATATTTTTCAATTTAGGTTTTGTTGGGCTATTCAATATTCTGTTTTTATGGCCAGGATTTTGGATTCTGCACGTAACAAATATTGAGAAATTTGAGTTACCACAAGATTGGCAAGTGTGGTGTTCTCTCGCTGTAAATGCAATCTTTGGAACTGTGCTGTCAGAGTATTTATGGCTGTGGTATGTAAGCTCTGCCCTTTTGTACAACATTAAAGTTGCTTGTTTGCCTATCAGGCAAGCAAGAAAGCAGGCAGCCTATTTACCCAAAATTCCTGGCCAATGTGAGTATTTTTTATTTAGGGGATGTTATTTGACTTCGTCTCTCTCCGCTACCTTGGCACTTGGGATGGTTATGCCTTTGACAATGTTGACTGATATCCTACGAGGAAGGGTAAGCATTGTATAGGGAACTGGTTAAATATTTTAATCAGACCTGTATGCCTGGGGCACAGTGATGTGTGAATATGTGATTTTATTGTAAAACAATTCCCCAGTACAGTGAGAGACATCTGCCCCCTTGCTTTTGTGTTGTGTACAGCCCTAATTTTAAGACATATATTAAGTCTTTCATAGATGTATTCCCAATCTTTCATTCTTAGATACAGCTTTCATTCATGTTTGTTGCTGGCTCAATTCCTGTGTTTCTTGCATTCTTTATGATCACATATTTATGTCACTATGAAGGCTGGGATCCTGTTAGAACCGCATTTTTCTCAATCTACCATTGCTGCAAGCAACAGGCTATACAACCATCATAATGGTTTGAACATGATGCATATATGGAATTTGTAAATAGAGTTGACAATATTTTTGATATCATTTTTTTCAACATAAATGGACATTGCACTAGGGGAAATAATTAGCAATTTAGTGAATATAAATTTATTTATTAACATAAGACAAATAATAAAAATGAGTTAGAATAACAATTGTTACTTTTAAAATCAATTTCATTTGTTAAATGTTTGAGTCACGTGATTGATCAGATATAATCATCCAGTCAAGTCAACTCTGCAAGCAGATCAGTTGGTCACTGAGCTGTTTGCAGAATTGGATTGATCAAACTATTTCATGAATACAAGATGAAGTCTAGGTAAAGAGATCACTCATTGTGTTCATTCTGTTGAAATGTCAATTTTCACAAGTGAATGGATTTAAACCATCTGAAGAATGGCTTTGACTGTAAAAGAGGCAGACTCCAGGCCAGAGGCGTCTGAAACTAAAACTGTACGAAATGGCCAACACCATGATAAAGCTTCTGCAAATATAAATGAAGTTAAAACGTCGAGATCTGAGAGTTTTTGCAAAGGGCTTGCTGTCGTAATTGTTATGATAGCTTTTGTCTATCACTTGCTACGTGGCGCCCAAGAGGGTAAGCTTTCTTAATACTTCGTAATTATTAATACTTATTATTACATAATACTCTAATACTTATTAAACACACACCACTTTTCCGCGTTGTCGATCTGTCTCTGTAGAGGGAGTCGTTACTATTTAGCAGAGAAAGGGTAGAAGTTGTAGTACTTGATTTGCTGCTCATAAACATTGCATATCATTCTATTAGGGAGTGACAGCTGCACACGTCTTTTGACCAAGGGAGAATGGAAATCGAACGAAATGTGGCAACCTTTTGGTTGCATGATTCATCAATATCACAGAAAGTAATATAAGTTTGTCATACATCACAGAATGCATGCTTTGGTGCATCTTAATTGTTCTCTAGCCGGCTTAATTGCCTGACTTTCATTTTTCTGTTTCTCTTAGAAAGATCAAGACGTGCTTGAAAAACAGGCCACTGGCCTTGATTGGTGATTCCAGAATAAGAGATGTGTATTATTTGTTGCTCCATGAACTGGGTGGCACAGATGACAGAGCTAAGAAAAAACGGGTACAGTGATGATATTTTCATTCAATGCATTGAGTCTGGGTGTGTGAGGAGAGGGGAGAAGTGATGTGATTGTGTGGGGAGAGGGGGGAAGTGAATATGGGTGTGCAGGAAAGGAGAGGAGAAAAACTCTGGTATTCCACCATTTAGTATCATTGACTGCATCCATCCATATATGTTCCATTTATAGATGCTATCGGATATAATTTTATATATCGAATATGAGTACTCATTTTATACTGTATAAGTGAATAATCTTCTTTTTATAATTATACTATAGCATTATAATTTGTCATATACTGGCCCGGACAATGTCTCTATAGTAAGTTTTTGTAAATATATTAAAATTGACATATTTTGTTAATTATGAAAAGCTTCATGTAATATTTACATAAAACTTTTGTCTAACCGAGTCTTCGAAATGATGAGTTTTGTTTCATTATTCAGAATTTCTTTTGGATGCCAGAAGTCAATTCATCTATGGAAAACTTATTCAAACATTGGCTGAAGGTACATATTTGCAAGTCTTTTGAACAAGAATTACAACTCAGCTGTTTTAAAGATGCTTTAACCTACCTATTTCTTTTATAGCATTCAGTTGGTCGACCAAGTTTTATTGTTGCTGGTGCTTTATTGGTAATTCAGAAGATCTATGTCTTCAAATCTGAACTAATTTTTCATTATCAAGTTCACAACTAACTTCATATTTTATCTTTTTATACAGTGGACATTAAAGAAAGACAAACACCTCTTGGATGAATATAAAAGTTTGTTTAAAAATATTCTCACAACATATATATATACTGTATATTATATAATAAGTTGTTGTCCCCAATGCATATATAATATTCAGTCCTTAGTGCAAAAGCAAACCTGAGAAAGCATTTCCTCCTAACAATTTCAATAATCATGTATTTTGTAGTGAACTTTACCAGAGTCAAAGACGTCATGAATTCACTTGGAACTGTTAATGATGGCGAGTTTGAGAAAATGTTGAAAGCATCCAAGGCTTTGAAAATTAAAGTGAACACAGATGAATTTCCTAAATCTCCTGTGATTGTTTGGAAATTGCAAGGTGCAAATGAAAGTTGCAGTTCAATGAAGTTTTGGTACCAATAATGATGGTGATAATGCTTCCGATATATTGTAATTATTTGCCTTAATTTCTCCAGAACCTGTTGATGAGTTACAATTGAATGCAGCAAGAAGATCTATCACAGTTGAAAAGATCAATATCTTTAACAATATGGCTGAAATTGCTTTGTAAGTAGGATTTATAATTAACCAGCTATACTTTGTCTCGATTTGAGAATCATCAAGGCTTCTGTTATCAAGGTATAACACATCTGTAAAGGTCTTCAAACCAGGAATGCTAGTCAAGAAAGAAGAACCCTCTTCAACAATAGATGGCATGCATTATATAAATGAGGTTGTACAATGGGTTAGTATTGTTGAGTGTGTATCAGTTTGATTCTAGGAATTTTGTACTTGCTAAAAATATGATCAGGGTATTGTTAAATGCATATTTTATACCTTTTCATGCCCAGGAACTGGACATTTTGTTAAATCGTTTTTGTAATGCATACATCAGACCAGTGGATGCCACATGCTGTGTACCCAGAGAACACACAACGCAACTTCAGTATAATTCTTTTGCCGTCTTTGTAGCTTGGTTAGTAATCTCCTAATGAAATATTTTAAATGATATCTGTCAAACAACAGCATTGCCACCATATTCTTCAATTGAATCCTCTTTGATCCTATCTTATTCTTCCAGCACCTTGTTATTTCTTGTCATGTTCTGTTGCCGAAATTGTCGTTCATCCCAAGTGACACAAAATGATGTTGAAAGCAATGGAAACCAACAGAAATCAACTTGTCAATGGTTTTGGTCAGAAAGAACGTACTGCGTCCTTAAAGCGATGGCCAAATTAACTTTAATCATGGCGTATTTCTTTGTTTGTGACAGGTACTGTACAGCTAGTGCACATTCAAAAAACCAACATCAATATATACTTTTCAAATATGTGGCTATATTTAGTGTGCATATACCAGATGCTGAAATAAAGTTTATTCCTGCTAAAGGAACTTCCAGTTTAACTCTTCCAAACAATGTGCGGTTTTTTTGAGAACTCCTCCTCGATTATGCGAGACGGGCCTTACAGTTGTTTTCTTACATACCTTTTCAATCTTAGAACGAGTATTTTCATGAAGGAACATAAACAATATAGCAACGAAGTCGTAGCGATCACGTTGGTCATCTTTCTTCTTCTTGGTGCCTACACTTGGTCGTCAGTGAAACAGGTGAGCGCTTGTGTCATATGTTCATTTCCCGATGAATAATATAGCTACTGTATGATGACTGTAGTACACATTTACAGTGTTACGAATATTCATCGGCTCTCCACATTTAGATTGCGTTTTTGAATCGTGACCAATCGGATGAATGGAAAGGCTGGGCGCAGTTGATGATTCTTCTGTATCATTATATCGGGGCCAGTAAGGTAGTTGCTTTTCAACTTGAATGATATCTTTGGTTGAAGAATTAACTATATACATGTAGGTACGTCATATGTACGAAATGATGAGGAAAGAGTGTCAACTATGACGGTCCTCCGACGGGAATCAAACCTACGACTTTGCGACGTCGGTACAATGCTCTTACAGTGCTCTTGCCGCTGAGCTTCAGTGGTAGTTGACTGTATCATTCTTTGTCTTATAATTATATCTTCGTATTTCAAGGTTCTGCCATTCTACGTGTTTATTCGTCTGCTGGTGGCATCCTATCTCTTCATGTCGGCCTACGGTCATTTCACGTACTTCTGGAAAAAAGGCGATTTTAGTTTATACAGAGTTTGCCAGGTAATGAATTGTTCATAATGTGATTGAAAAGCAGAGCTCCTAATATACAAGTTCCTTTATGTACCTCATCTTCAATGTGGTTTAAAGCGTCAGATTCTAACATCATTATCCTCTCGATTCAGGTCGTTGTTCGTATAAACATCTTCGTCGTTGTCCTTTGTCTTATCATGGGACGTCCCTATCAATTTTATTATTTTGTTCCTTTGGTTACGTTCTGGTTTTTTGTTCTGTACGTAGTCCTCTTGTTCTATCCTTCCGTTACTGCTAAACTAGTGGAAGGTAAGTTGCTGCTCCAAAACTTCCGAAGTTCAGAACTGATATTAGAACGAGATGATTTTTTCCAGACGGGAAGAATATCTATTTAGTATGTAAGCCAGTTTCCTCCTGTAGTAACACTGGATTAATAGGAGGCGATCCTTACTGTACCTCTAGGAAGAGGAGTTTAAAACTGCTAAATCTTTATATTATACAGTTATTTTATTTAGTGCAAGTTAAAAGTGTAAAAGTACAGTCCAACTTTAACAAATCAGTGCTCTTCTCGTTTAGATGATCCAAAGTACTTAACATGGATAGCTGTGAAGCTTCTTTTTATGTTTACTACAACGTATTTAGTTTGGAAATCACCGGTGAGATTTCTGCTTTTCCCGTTCTTATGATTGCCATCTTATTATAAATCATCGGATTTTGAAAGATCGTTGAAGTGGCGTTATTTTATGCCAGGTTATATGCCGATGGATATTCTCTCAGTGGGCCATCAAAGAACTGTTTGTTGATCAACAAGATAACGTCAGAGAATGGATATTTCGAACAAATTTAGATCGTTATGTAAGTTGTTTGACATTTGAAATATATTTCATCATTTCATTTTATCATCCATTCATGAAGTTAATGCAGTTATTTCTATCCGATTTTTCAGATGGTCACGTATGGCATGTTTTTTGCCGTGATTTATCAACTATCACGTAGTCATGGCATCATCGAAGACAACAACACCAAGAGATTGTTTCCACGAGCCGTCTCCTACCTTGTCAACTTTATGTGCTTCATGACAATCATGGTACGTGCAGTCACAGAATTCGTCACCCAGCAAGTACCGTGAAAATTGCGCATTTTTAATATTGGCAGGGAGGGGGGGTTGCTTGATTTGCTTCTATTTACGGTACTTGTTGAGTGACGGATCATGACGAATAGAAATAGGTATTCATTTTGCAGTATTTAATCGATCATATCTTTTGCTATTCTGTATGAAACCAGTCGAAATTTTTTTCTCGGTACATATAGGGTTACTCTATACAAGCTTATGGCTGCCGTGACAAGGTTCAGTGTAACGCCGTTCATTCTGTTGTCTCGTTTCTACCAGTAAGTAACAACTATTTGATAAACTCTAAAGGGTGGTTTACACGATGATGGAAGTAATTCTTCTTATTGTCTTCTCGTAGATAACGGCGTTTCTTTTGTTGCGTAATGTCAGCGGTTTTATGCGTTCACATTTCAGTACGTTTTATGCTTGGGTGGGGAAGATATCCTTGGAGGTAGGAATTGCGGTCGTCTCTGGACCAGATATCTCTCATAACCAGCTTGGATTTCACCTTTGGTGTTATGTCTCTACTTTCATTTAGTTGTTCGTTGGGCAGTACCATATCTGGTTAGCGAACGACACGAAGGGTGTTCTGGTCCTTATTCCTGAGCAGCCTTTGTTGAACTTGCTCGTTACCACGTTTGTCTTCGTCTGTGCCTGTCACGAGGTGAACAAAATAACAGTCGTGCTGTCTGAGGCGCTGGTTGCGAAAGACGTGCGGGTTATGTTAAGAAGACTCGTAATATTTATTATTATGTTATTTATAATTTGGTGGCATAAAACTCACCACGATAAAGGCAAAATTCGTTGATGTGTGTTGATACCGTGGGTAAAGATCTCTGCAGACCTCTGGGATTTGTGATGCATATTCTTCTTTTGATAGATGTGAAGAAGTGGACACCTGTTTTTAGATAGCGTAGTTCATATAAGAGTATCTATCAATGTGGGCGTTTATAACTAACTTCAGTAACTTGCTCATTCGCATCTGTCAAAGGAGGAAAATAATGCCTGAAATGTACGACGTAAACCCAGATGGTTTGATTTCTGCCGGTGGATCCAAGTTGCATTTTCTGCCATTTCTGCCTTCGTAATTGTATAATCTTTCGATGTTGTAATCGCAAGTAATTTAAGGTATTGCAAAATCAAAATAATCCTAAAAGCTCTAAATCTAAATCTTAAAAAAATGTAAATATATTTATTTTTAGCCAACTAATTACAATTATATTGTACCAAACGGTACCAATTTTACCAATTTTAGCCATATATTAGAAGCATTTTGTAATATTTCCATTACAGAATTTTCACGACATTTCCATCGCACCCACTGCCTTCACCTCACCCAACCTTTTTCACCCAAGGATTTTTCCCCAAAGGATTTTTACCCAGTGGTTGCACCCCACCCACTAAAGTTCCTACTCCATGTTATATAGAGAGCTTAACGGGAAATCACGGGAAATAGAATCAAGGGGGCCAAAGTGGAAGCACTAGGGCCAAGATGGCGGGTGATTTAAAAGAAAGTTACTTTGGATTTTGATATTATTTTGTCTATTTCTCCTCAAAATGTTCATTGAAACGATCGATAAACTCGTCTCGGAATTCCAGCAACGTCTAGGCACGACGACTAGCATACCGTGGGGCTGGTTTTTCACTAAATTAGTGACGCTTTTATCCCGTTATCCAACTGGAGTCACGAAAGCTATCATGTTATCCGAGTTGGAGTGTTCGTGGAGAAAGATCGAGAAACTACAAGCGAAGGGAGGAATGAATTCTGCTGATAGTTTACGGTCAATTGTTTTATCAAGGCATCTTTCACCTCAAGCAGTTTTTGAAGTATTTTTAAAAGAAGTTAAAAATGTCGAGGCAACTCAAACACGTGTCGCGGTGTTGATGGAACACGAGACGTCTTCTGAACACAGCTTTACAATGGAGATGTACCTTCATCAGAAGTTGTATGGTGAAGTTGAGCAGATAATGGCCAATGGTTATAAGCTGAGGTTTACTGGGTGTCGGCTTTTTGATGGCCGTAGGAACAAGTCTTTAAAATTGTTACCATCTGAAAGTTTTGTTGTTCTGGTAAATGATGGTGCCATTCACAATTTTACCACATTAGAAGGTGAAGCACATTTGCACTAAATAACTCCTAACATAAGATTGTTCTTACCACTATCATTACCCCCTAAACTATCCACCTCAAAGCCCTCCCTCCCTCTACCTTATACCCCTCTCACCCTCCTTAACAATCCCCACATTAAATCGCCAATGTTAATGGTAGGTTTGAAATTTTTCTTTCTAGGACTTGATGAGATGATTGATTCGCAATATATCAACAGCATTATCAAAGTCAAGGTGTCTGAGATCTCCATGAAAAAATCCATCCATTGTCAGAATGGCCATACTGCAAACAGGATAACGGTTCTTGTTAGCGATGATATTGGTATACAAGCAAAGTTAAACCTTTGGGAAGAATATTTGGTTATGGCAAAGCTTTTTGAAGCAGGAGACACCCTGTTTATGAAACAGTGCTTTCTCTTACCAGACAAGTCAGAGTGTTTCACGTTAGAATTTGGTCCAGAGACTATAATTTTCTGCCAACCATTAACCCACGAACAGGAAATATTGCCGAGCCAGAGGGATGGTTCAAAAGTGTTTTATGTGTCAAAGGATAACAGAGGAATGTTGGACTTCTCTATGTATCCAGAACGACTGAGTATTTCAGAGATCAATCAGAACATGAGCAACATTACATTGACCGGACAAGTTGTGTCTGTGGGTGTTAGGAAATTGCTCAGAAGAGAAGGAGTTGATATGGTGCAGTATGAACTAGGCATAAAAGATGAGTCTGGAATATGTAAGGTAGTTGTTGTTGAACCGTATAAAGTTGGAGCAATGGTATATTGTGGACAGTTTGTTCACATGAAAAATCTTCAAGTTTCTGGTAGGTTTTAGCTTCATCATCACATATTTGATGCATTAATGTATTGAGTGGTATTACCAGTGCATATGAGATATTTTACTAAATTCATCAGGTGAATATAGTATTGGTGTGGTGCTTGATCTCAACACTGATAATGGTGGACTCTGGAATCTTAGCTCTCTGCAAGGATGGCTGGCAACATCCCCACTATGTACCATATCATCACTGGCCTCTCTGGATCTAGATGGTTCACCATTTGTTCTTAAAGGGATGATCTCTGACATACAGCCCAGAGATGGAAAGAAACAGGTCGTACGCATCCATTGTTCTTGCCAAGGTCAGGTTGATCATAATCCAGATGGACAATCCATTTGTGATAACTGTCAGACTAAAGGAATGGCAGAGATATCTCGGGATAATAAAGCTATACAGGTATGCATGAAGGAGACAACTCTATATACATATTGTTTCCCAAAACTGTGCAATGTCTTATTATTTCTAGTTGTTCAATCTTGATGGTTTTTGGTGCTGGCAATACAATCTTTGCATCACTATCATGGATTTTGAGCATCGTCAAGTGCAAGCAACCATTACAAATGATGTTGGCGAGAAACTGCTCCAGTTAACCCCCAGTCAGCTGCTAGCCCTGGGTGGCGATGGACAGCGCAGGGTATTTGAGTGCACATTAGGCCAGGAATGTCTTTATGGATTCACAAGCTTCAAAGGAAAATTGTTAGTTAGCGCTGTTAATCATGTTTAAATTCAATTGAATTTCTCTGTATGCAAGTGTGATTTGAGTGGACCTTTGAACGTCTCAGCAGTGTTCATTGGCGGTGCAAATGACTGTATGTTCTGAGCCAGTTGTTGTTGAATATGATCAGTCAGCAGTTATTCATAAATATTACTGTTTAGCGCACAAGACAAAGTTATAAGTTTCCTAGAAGTATGATAGATTTTTTGCAAATTTTGCTCTTTCCTTGACAAGATGCGAGCAATAATTCAACGTGTTAAGCGGGCGAGTGTAACAGGTACGCCAGAAAATCTGACATTGTTCATTTATAATAAAATATCTAATAGGTATAATATCTGACCAGTTCGTAATATGTCACGTTCTTATTATAATTTTGTAGTCGATGGCGAGTTGATCAGTTCAATCAAAGAAGGCCTGTGTGTGCTGGTTGGAATAGGTGTAAATGATACTAAAAAGGACATTGAGTATTTGTTAGTTCTTCCTTTTTGTTTAGACTACAAGTCTAACATGCCCCATGCATAAGTCTGTTTGTATATAATAGTATATAATACCATTTACCAGATAAATTCTTTAGAGGCTATTTTCACTTTGTGTTTCCACTATATGGAATTTACTATGTAAAGCAATACACCTTTCAATCTGATAAAAATGCCCCAAATGAAAAATGCCACCTTGCTGGTGGAAACTAGCTCAACCCATTTATTCTCAAAATCAACCTTAGAGCAAATAAAATCCTGAAGTTCAGGCTGTTTGGGGAAGAGGACAGAAGATGGCGGAAAAGTGTCATGGATCTAAATTATGAAGTGCTTTGCGTCAGTCAGGTAAATATAACCGTACACATGTTCAAATGATATAACATGTTCTATTTTTCATTTCTAATGTTTTTAGTCTAATTCTTTCATTTTTTTTTCATTCCAGTTCACCTTGATGTGTGTGTTAAAAGGAAATAAGCCTGATTTCCACAAGGCAATGGAAAATGAGAAATCCCAACAATTTTACGAAGAATTTCTGGCAGAATTAAAAACAAGATACCAACCAGAGAAGATTAAAGGTTTGCTTAAAAGATATGTCAGCTTGAGACTGGTATTCATTGATCAAAACCTTGGTAAATTATCACTGTTTAGATGGAAAGTTTGCAGCATATATGCAAGTGGAAATACAAAATGATGGCCCAGTTACAATTCAAATTGATTCACCAACCACTAAAAATGAGGTAAAGGTAAAAATTTATCCACAAGGAATGAATGTGAAAAGGAAATTAGCATTTGGGCAATGATTCCAAGAAGTATTGCATTTTCCAGGTACTGACTGGAGACACAGAAGGGAAATCAGCTGCCAAGTCAGAAGACAATTAAGTGTTACAGAAATATTCAGTAATTGTGTTCCTGAGGGTTGCATGTGCACATGTTCAATAGATTACTGTAAGTTAAGTCAAGGTGGAAATCATCATTTTGCTATCATATGAATAACGGATTTTGAAAGAGTGTAAGAGGATACGAAAGAACTACCTGCAAAAAGGCTCATTTTGCAGAATTATTTATAATTACACACAACATAAGCAATGTTTTCTTGTGATTTTACAATAATTAAAAATATTATATTATAATGTATCTATCGTGTTTCGTGGAAAGAACACGACCTCTCCGGAGGTGATAGGTTACGATATCCTGACATCTGAAGACCTTGGATTATAAATTGTAACATGAGACATAAACTGATGTAATAAACTGCCTAAAATCCAAGCCAGGTGAATGTATACGGGGAATAAACTACACTTACTACAACGTTACTGATAGCAGATTCTAACGTAACTTATAGTGTATAATGTATAGCTTAAATTTTGTGCCGTAAAATTGTCGGAATATTGAATATTGGACACCCGCTATGGATACACACGTGCCAATTAACCGGCATTTCATTATTATCGGGATTTATTTACACACAGTTGTGACTGTATACCATTTAATAACCATGCATAATGCTCGTCACGTGACACGTTTCACCAGTAACACGCGTGTTCGCTATTGTCGCGAAACTTTGCCACAGGCGACCCGTACGCTTCTCACTGCTGTGTTTTACTGCGGCCATTGTGTGAGCTTTTTAAATCGTAAAAAACTGTGCGAAAATCATGAAATAACTCGGGGATCTTTCGTGAAGTCATGGCAGACAAATCCAAGTCCATAATGAAGAAACCGGACGGCATTAAGAGCGAGCCGATGGACATAGACGAACTCCAGTCGAATGAAAGCGACGGTGAAACTGGTGAGCTCGCAAGTTGTGACCAATTTTAAACGGCTAGTCATTTAGCTACTAATCAAGCTTGAATGTTTCTGTATCTTTACAGAGCATGGGATGAGAGTTGGCGAGGAATATCAAGCTGTTGTACCAGATATTATTACAGGCAAGTGCATCTTTTTATTCAACTGTTTGAATTCTCTTCCGAGTTTTGGGATCGGAATCGTCCGTTGCCCAGAGAGGAATTTCCCTAAAATCGCTTGCGATCGTAGTTTATTCAAACCTTGCTCACAATTGGGGTGTTCCTGACTGTGAATGTTGGTGCCAAGACTAAATTTCGTTTGTACTTAGAGATTGGGTGAAATGAATATTTGATATTTCAAGATAGCAATTCATTAACTGGGATCAATTAATTATTAATGCCAAATGTAGATGTATGTTAAGTTTTTTTTATATTGAATATAAGTTATTAGTCCTACGTTCCTTAAAAAAAAGTTTAAATTCACGCAATATTTACAAAGGAAAAAATCGATTCTTATTTTGATAAATGTTTTTGTGCTTGGGTGACCTGTAACATATTTTCCATATGACCTGTGTATGGTAACTGGAGCAACAATGTCAAATTACCACCTGTTACCATAATTTGTTTCTTATAATATATGCTGCTGTACCAATGGTTATGACCATTGCTCTACCATTAAGATATTAGGTACAGCATATTTTACTTAGTGCAACATTATTATTTTTCCAAACCAATTTTAGATAAAGACAAGTATGAACCTTCTCATAAAGCACTGTTAGTTTGGTCTCCAAATGCAAACATAACTGATCAAAAATGTAAGTTTGTCTCATGTATTTAAGTATGATTTTTAACCTGGATTGGATTTTTAATTCTGAAGTATTCATTGCTGAATTTTCCCCTAGTGGATGAATATCTACAAAGAGCTAAGGACAAACATGGTTATAATATGGAACAGGTAAAGACAAGATCTCCAATCCATTGTGTAAATACAGACCTCAGTGTTGGGCATATTAATGATAAAAAATTCAACCATTATTGAATTCCCTTTGTCTTGGTTTAGGCTCTGGGGATGCTGTTTTGGCACAAACATAATATTGATCGATCACTTACAGACTTGGCCAACTTCACACCTTTTCCAGGTGCATATGCAAATAACATTATCAGCAGTTTAAACAGACCCTTAAATAGTGGTTCTAGTTAAAGATTTTTGACAGTTGCAAATCAGCCATCAAAATAAAGCCTTGTTTCCCTCATCTTATATATTACTGACAACTTACCCACTCTTTCATAGATGAATGGAGCATGGAAGATAAAGTCCTGTTTGAGCAAGCTTTCAATTCACATGGAAAGTCTTTTAAGAAACTTCAACAAAGTGTAAGCGATACTGAAATGAACTAATGGCTAGATGTATTAGGCCAAGCTATAAATTGAAATGTGGTATTTCCAGCTAGATGATCAACTTTATTATCAATGCATTTTCAGCTTCAAGACAAGCCAATCAGTAGTTTGGTAAAGTTTTATTATTCATGGAAAAAAACAAGAAGTAGGACAAGTTTAATTGATCGGCAAGCAAAACGAGTCGCCCTTCAACGCGATCAGAGGTACAAGATATATTTGCTTTTTTAGGCAAAATTTCAAAGATATTTGTCACAAATATTCATCTCAAATATTTATCACATGTATTAATTTCAGTGATAATGAAAGTGATAAATCTGACACTAGTGACAGTGATTTTGAACCTGAAAAAGAGGTAAGCTTTTCTCACTTGTTGTATTTTGTAAATTATATCAAATAGTACTGTTTAAATGTGAAGTTTAGAACTATATGAAACAATTTTTTCTTTAGGGACGTTCAAATGGAGGCATAAAGAGAAGCCTACCTGGAAAACAGGTTAGTAAAAACTGGATTTCATTATTTAAATGGGTGAAGAAATTGTGTTTTAATTCACCAAAAGGCATTTCGGTCTTGTCATTTTTCACGTTTCTATGAACCATTCCTTTTGATAGAACCATCCACCACCACAAATTGTCCCAGCAAGTCTTTGTTCAAACTGTGGTACCCAGGGAGGTCAGATGCACGCCACTACCAAAGGAATGCTTTGTAATGCTTGTTATCAGTTCTGGAGGTATTCATATTTGGCAATAATATTCTCAGATTTTTGTTAAGACATGATATTTTCTCTAACTCTTGTGGTTAATATGACGTTAGACTGAGGGTTGTCTAGAAAATCATTCCCGGTTCTTTTTACTATGATTGTAACTGAAAGATATTTCTTTTCCAGGAGAACAGGAATTATGAGGTCAAGATCATCTAATCATGCAAAGAGTGACAGCCACAACGCAAGATCTCAAGGAAAGGGAAAGAGGAAACCACCAAAGGGTATGACAATCACTCAGGAGTCACTGTTGGTTGTCAGCGGTCTACATAGTAACGCACACTTGCGACCTTTGGACATGGATATTATCAACCTGAAACGTCACATACAAAGCAACAAACAGGGTATTAGTCAGGATAGATTCGACTTGCAGGCTGGTATCAATAATGTACGGGGTCTGGAGGTAAGAATCATTGTGTGCTAAATTAAGGTAAAATTCCTCCACTGATGTGCTATATGATGTGCTTTTTTTCTCATGTCAGCCAAATTTAAAGAATAATGCAAGATGGAGCAATGAAGAACTGACCTTAGCTGTTCAATGTAAGTTTCAGTTTTCTGTGCGACCACTGCTCTCGAATTTGCTATTTGCAAGAAATTCTAGGTCTGAAAGAGAAACATTCTCGTTTACAGCTGTTCGCCGTTATGGGAAAGACTTCCAAGCGATGGCAGATGTCTTACAGAACAAGACTGTTAGTCAGTGTCGTAATTTCTTTGTGAATCACCGTAAACGTTACGATCTTGAACGAATCCTGGAGGAGTATGAAGCTGAGCAAGGAATAGTCAGAACAGATAAGAAAGATGGTGATCAGGTTCCCTCGCCAGACTCCGGTGGTTCGTCTGTACCATCACCTGGGACAGCGCAAGGTTGGTGGTTTGTCAGTAACTCTTACATCATCTTGCCAGTCCTAAAGCTAAGTTTTTTTTTCTGTAGGTAATCCCCCACCATTGACAAAACCCAGTCCAGTTTCAACTCAGGCAATGTTTACCAATCCTGTGCCATATCGAAATAATGTACCAAGCACTGGTCTCTCAGTTCCACCACCACCACTCATCAAACCTACACCAATGAATTACCCAGTCCAGGTAAGTTTCACAGGAAAAAGTCATTGAACATTTTTTATTGAATCTGTAAAGTGTTCAGTTATACACACCATGCTTGTATACTGCATTAACATTTTTTGTCTATCCCCTAGGTTCGACTTCCCACTGGAGTCACATCCCCACCGCCACAGTTGATAACCCAGGACTCTCCATACGGTCCTCCACACACTGGTGCCACCCCGCCACTACGACCGACCAAAGTTTAAAGTTTTGATTGGAAAAAAACACTTTTGATATAATCGATTTTTTGATAATCATTGGGAAACATTCGGATAAAAATAATGTCAATATTTATTTCAAAATAATATGTGATGGAAGCATATAGCTTCTTATATCAACCCCCAAGATATTCTATAAACCATTCAAATACATCCTGCCCCACCTATCCTGCAGCAAGAGGAGACATTAAACTAATGTAATTAAACCCACTTCATGCACCTTCCATTTTACAACAAGTCTGCAAAGATAGGAAACTCCCCCTTGCCCCATAGGAGGGGTCGGTATAGTGTTGGGCAAAAAAATATTTGAGCTCCCTGTGGTTGGAATTTCAATTTTTTTTGAAACTGTCAGATGGAAATATAGACAATCAATTTGATAAGCTCTGTTGGTATGATCCTGTGAATGTTGCCATTAATTAAAGATGCCAGACAATATATGTCCATCCTAGTATTGACTGTTGTATTTGTAAAGATACAATGAGGGGTGCTGAGTGAGCACAGAGAAAAAACCCTGGGTACGAGGTTGTAAAGAGAGCGGGCATATTTCATTGGTGACTTGCAAAAAGCGTGTTGATTGCTCCACATCTACCTCACCCCAAGTTTCCAACTAACCGTGCAGGTTGGGGTGGCAGCCAGGTCCCTCACCTGGCTCACCAATTACCTTGAGTAAAGGGAGGGCATTTGATAAAAAATACGGAAGGAGGGATTTGCAAAACGAGCTGCAAATCTGCTTTGGAAATTAGAATAACTGTATGTAGAATATTGGTTCTTAGACCTTAGTAAAAAATATATAGACGAAGTCAATTCAAAAAGAAAATGTCGTTTAAACAAGTGGAAGCACGGCATGGTTTCCTGCATTTGAATTTCTATCTGAATCAGTTTGGCTGATATTTTGTATAAAAAAGTGATTTTCTTTCTTCAAAACCCTCTGCTAATCGAGCAATGGACTTATGTATACTGTGGCTTCATCGTACACAACACGTCATTGAAATCTTCAAACATTTGGTAAGATTTTTCCATTATTGTTATTACTGTTATAGTGTTTATTATGCTGTTTACATTCTATCGATAATATTGATTATTGCAGAGCTAATCAATCGATAACAGTGCATAGAATTATAGAGAGTTTACTCATACAAATACTAATTGAAGACTTTAAACACTGACAAAAACTGTACAAATGATTACAGTCAAAGTCATTGATTGTATTCTGTATGTTGATGATCAAAATTAATAATTATTAATTATTGATGGTTCTTTAGTGACGTTGATTTGGGCAAGTTGATTTATTCGGAGATTTTCCAAAAAAAAATTTTCATTATGGAATGTCCTCGTTTAGAAGACTTAGCAAAAGATAAACTTGTAAGCATTAGCAATGATGCTAGTGTTTGCACTGCACAATTCTCAGAAGAAAATAACTTTGTCGCAAATGAAACATACGGAAATGGGGATTGCCATAATGATATTCCTGAATCTGGCAACATGACAGAAATAACGGATGAGCAATCTAATTTAAAATGTGACGTTTTTGAGATAGAACTATCAGAGACATACAACTTGATAGAGCAACAAGCAGACATACAATCCATTTCTAAGTTGTATGAATGTGACGTTTGTCAAATGAAATTCCCTGCTGCTAGTAAACTGACAAGACATAGACGAAAACATTTTGGTGAGAAATCCTTTGAATGCAGTGTCTGTCAGAGAAAATTCTCTGACCCAAGTAACTTGGCAAGACATATGAAAATGCATACTGGAGACAAACCTCATGCATGTGATACCTGTGATAAGAGTTTCATATTTTTAAGCGACTTAGTCAGGCATAAAAGAACTCATACTGGAGAGAAACCTTACGATTGTGAAGTTTGCCACAAGAAATATTCAACAATTAGTAACCTGAATATCCATAAGCGGTCTCACACTGGCGAGAAACCTTATGAATGCGATGTTTGCCACAAGAGATTCTCTCGATCAAACTGTTTAACTGCACACAAAAATACACATATTGTAGACAAAAGTTATGAATGCGATGTTTGCAAGAAGAAATTCTCAACAAGTAAGAACCTAAGTGCCCATAAAACCGCCCACGCTACCAGTAAGCCTTACGAATGCAATATTTGCAAGAAACAGTTTTTAAGGTCATACCGATTAGCTGCACATAAAAGAACACATAGTGGTGAAAAACCTCATGATTGTAATGTTTGTGGCAAAAGATTCGCAGAAATTAGCAACTTGAACGCGCATAAGAAAACCCACACTGGGGATCAACCTTTTGAATGTGATATTTGCAAGAAACGATTTTCACGTTCACACCTGGTTGAAAGACATAAGAGGTCATCGCACAATGCAAGGAAACCGTACGAGTGTGATATTTGCAAAAAACGATACAAAAATAAAAAACCCCGATGAAGCAACACAGAAGGTATCATTTGTGCATGACATGCGGACGAGACAATGTCGGGGAACTGGATGACACAAATGAACCAGAACAACCTCACATTACCTGTGATGTTCATCAGTGCAATAGACAGTTTGACAGTGTGAACAAATTATTACAGCACAAGGCTCGTGAACACGGGATACCTTATAAATGCAGTGTTTGTAGGCAGTTAGAGACGACAGAACCAAATGAAGTTAGTTTTATCTGTTCTCTGTGCGCTGTTGCCTTTGTTTCATTAAAAGAACTCGAAGATCATGTTGAAAATCATAATAAGCAACGATCAGAACTTCAAGAAAAATCATGATGCGTTGTACCAAAGAATTCATAAGGACCTGATAAGTTAAGAATGTTTTCCAAGTCAAGGTGTACAGAATAAATATTGCACTAATATACTGTGTCTGATATATTTATTAAAGATGTCTCGTGTCTCTTTTGACTTGTAATTGCTGGAGGTTAATGACAGATCTCGGTCGGATTAATCATGCACGTGTTTTTAAAATATCATTAACACCGAATGGGGTTTATTGCTACAAATATATACCCAGAAATCAGTAACACTATGCCAGATATATATATATAATCGTCTTTACTGCGAACTTGCGTGTTGGCAGAGAGTAGCATTGACTATCATACGGTATTTTTACACGGGTTGTTGCAACAGGCATAAGTGTCAGATGCTGGGATACCTTACACCTGCACAATTTGCGAGAAAGTAGACGCATTTAGAACGTGCTGGGTTTTTGCAAATATTTTTCAGCTACGTGCACGGAAATTGCGAATATCTATGAAATAATAATAAGCATTAATAACAGCATTTCTTCTTGTGAATGGCAGATTATCTGTCTTTTTGAGTGAACTTTATCAAATGAAATGAAAACTGAACCGTGCACGAGCTATGAGATTCGATAGAGTTTCTAGAAACCTTTCTAAAATATTTAACGAGATATATTTCCCAATTTCAACCTGTTGATGTATGAAGGAAGCGTGTCGTGTTTGCATTTCATAAAATGCCGACAAAAGTCGAGTTTCTTGAGTCAGTTTGGAAGTGCAAGACGCCGTGCTTGAGGAGTTAATAAAAAACTCAGGTATAATTAAGCTGCTTCAAGTGCGCAGCTGCTGTTAGCACTGACTGCATTCATGATTAAAAACAAACTTTATTATCTGCAGCTTAGAAAATGTCCAACTACGTCGACTCTTTTCTATGTCAAATAATTCCCAAGAATCATGGAATGGAATCGAGGGGGTTTGTGTCTGAATTGTCTGGCAGCCTAACTGCGAAATGAGTATTTAAAAAATTGCTGAATAACAGTTAATGGTTAGTGCGTTTATTTAACCGGCCTCTTATGTGGCAATTTGTGATGGGAATGTTTCGCCTAATTTAGCTGATGGACCATCTCGAGTTCTCATCATTCGCAAACCGCGCATAACTGAAAATATCAATCGATATAACATCAAGTGTTTATATTATTTATTCTGCTTGTCGAAACGTACATATATATTTAATGGTTACACGTGTCATATACGCTAAAGTCTATAACTATATATTTCGTTTCCATATGTATAGTACACTGCTACAGTTTGTCTGTTTTTATGCAGTGCAAACGTTTTCAAAACAATTGCCGACCGAACAACAGTTGCAATTATCACATTTCCTCCTGGCAGCCTTTTCTTTTTTCGTCATCTCAAAAGGATATGCCTCTTCTTTATTTGTCATCTTAAATGGATATGGTTTTTCTTGCGCACTCTTGCTGTCCATACCCCTCTCGTACCACGGCCATGTTGGTTTACCAGAACACACGTTTACCAGAACGCACAGCATCATCACCAATACAATCATAGATCTCTTCATGACAAACTATCTTCTTACCAATCCTTGTACTGTCTTCAGCTAGCCTGCGCTGTGCTATATATATTCGTAGTACGGTTTAACATCAACTCTAGTTTATTTGATCTTTAGAAACACTCTTATATATGATACCTTGCGATAAACTTCCAGATTTTAATACGTTTTGTGTACAGATCTGTCTGCATTTGAAGACTTAAATTCCCTTGTCATTTGCTCGAGAAAAATATTGATTAAGTTGTGGCATCAGTTTTGCCTTCTCAGCCGGTTTAAGCTGATTTTGCCTGTAAGCTGATTCGTTCTCTGGAAGAATGGTTATAGGGGAAATACGATCGGAAGAAAGACTGAAAAAAGGCTTTAATTTTATCTATCAACCAAAAATATATCTGGTAACTGATTTTATTGGAAAGAACAATGGTTTCTTATCTCGAAAATTGTGGTTAATTTTTGCCATGCAATTAACTTTTTCGCCCATGCAAAAGCGCTTGCATATTGAGGCGGGAAAAAAGTAATTATTGACTTTAGATTTCGAACGTCTTCCTAATATACACACAGCGGCATTTTAGAAGCTTTCTGCACACGTTACTTAAACAAATATTTGCAGCTCAGCTCAGCTCAAAAGAGGCCGACCACGCAGGCCAAGATATGCTGTGAAGATCCCTCATGACAAGAAACGAGACGATCAATACGTATTAGAGGGAGTATTAGGGCCGAGTATATGTACATAGTTTACTAGTGTTGTAATAAAGTGTTGCAAATTTTCGTGAGACCTTTGGCAGTTTATCATTCGAATACCTACGCCAATTTGACGTAGGAGAGTAATCATCTCTAGATTATCTATGAGAAATATCGGTATTTTCCTGTGCAATTGGGTTTATGCATTTGTTAAATGGGATGTTGAACAGCGAAATATTAGAAACATTAAAAAAATCCAACCGCTTAAAAACAAGCTTTAAGAGGATAACGATGCCCTCTCACCTATCTCGTGTCATTAACCTGTAATATTCGCCGGTTACGAATTCTAAGAATCTAAGGGTGTCGAAGTATTTGATTCTAATCTAGTGTGAATGATCTCTTTTTTTCACTTTGACATTTATTAACATCCGTTTCATCGTGTCGTAATAAGTTTCCGTGCAATCGCAGTATATGCTAATTGTTTGGCAGCATACGATGTTAAAATACATAATCATCTTATGCGTCGCGCTGGTGTTCTTTGAGGATCGTATACTTTCATTAGCTGATAATATTTGTGGTGTAGAGCGTAACTGTAGTCAACATAATGAATGTAAAACAACAGCAACGTATTGTTGTAACAAGCAAGGACAGGATTATAGAAACGGTTATTGTTGTTCGTCTTGTATTGGACAGAGCTGTCTGATTGATGAAGATTGTGGACGTAACGAGTGTTGCCATGATAGAAAGTGTGTGAGATGCTCCAGCCTTCGTTGTTCTTCAAACTTAGTCTGTGGCTTGGGCTATTGTTGTAAAGCGGGTTCACGTAATAGCCGGTGTTTTCCCAATGGTTGTGTGGGTCACGAATGCGATTCAAGTGAGGACTGTGGGGCGATGAACGAGTGTTGTAGGAATAAAAAGTGCGTGGAATGTTTTAGTTCAACTTGTAAAGATGACGCCGGGTGTCGGTTTGGACATCATTGCTGCAGGGAAGCTAGAACTCCAATTTGCAGTCGAAGTTGTATTAGAGAATTTTGTATCTCAAATGAGGAATGCGCTGGCAATGGGACTTGTTGCATTGAAAATAAGTGTACCACTGATGGTTGTCCGTGTGGATCAAATTCTGACTGTGCTCATGAAAGATACTGTTGTACGGGTGATCCAAACCCTGCTTGTAGCATACATTGCATTGGAAAGCAATGTTCTTCAGATAGTGATTGTGGCAGGCTAGAAGAAATATGCACTTGTCCAAACAGTGATTGTATAAACACCACTAAATATACAAACCCAAGAAGCTCTCAGCTACCTTCCGCAAAATGTTTTAAGAAAAATGGTTGTTCTTCTCACGGTGAATGTAAAGTATTTGGGACGGGTTATTACTGTTGCAAGGAGGAAGATTCTTCTCAACAAAATTGCAGTTCAAATTGCCTCAACAAGTTTTGTAATAGGGACAGTGATTGTGGAGGGTCGGGTGAGTGTTGCAATTCTCGTAGCAAATGCATGAAATGTCATTTTCCTTTGTGGGTTACAGGATTTATCATCGTGGGTTTAGTCATATTTCTGAATGTCGTTGGCTGTGCAATAATATATTATTTCAAGTTAAGACGGCGAAGAATGGAGAGCTTGCAGTCCAGAGAAGGTGGAACGGAGTTGCAACTTTTACAAAACAATTCAAATGGATTGCAAAACAGCGTTGGTTATTCGTTGGTTGATAATAGCATGATACCATCGCTTGGTAATTCGCCTTCCCAGAGACAGCAATTACGGTCTATGCCATCACCATGTACAGAAATAGACAATGAAAATAGTGTTTTACAATCCAATATTTCTAGTGCAGATAATGAAGGGGATGAAACGGTACCATTGAATAACCTCCCCCCATCCTATCCTAGTGTTATCCCATCCTACCCCCCGCCATCTTATCAAGAACTATTCGCGAGCTCGTAATTATGAAAACGTATAATCATGGAATCACTTAGGCTGGTCACAAAACAAACAACAACAACCTTTAATCTTGCAATGATTTCTAGCTTTGCTTCTGTAAAAAGTTACATGCCTACACAATACACAATAATTTATTAATACCAGTTCTCTGATGATTAATGTATTGATTCATTTGTAATAAAGGATTGCTATCATCACTGTTTGTCTCTTTCCATAAAATGACTCAGAATATGTCAAAATATAGTTTAGAATAACTTATAATCATCATTACCACTAGCTGGTGCTTGTTCTTCTAAATTAGTGACTGTTATTACTTATGCCTCTCGTTATTATTGCAAATGATTGACATTCTTTATGAGCAAACGTTACCAACGCGTAAATGGCAGTAACATAACGACTCACGGCTTATAATTTCCTGTTGATGCCTTTGAAGTTTTGTCAATTTAAACTAGAAGCGTGTATTTATTAACCAATTTCAACTTGTTGATAAACGAAGGAAGCGTTTCGAGTTAGCACTTTATTACTAGTAAAACGCCGAAAGTCTATAAGCTCTTGTGATTTTAATCACTTCAGAAATGCAAGACGCCGTGAGGGGTTGATAAAAAACCCAGGCAATTTAGCTGTTTCAAGTGCACGGCTGCTGTTAACGTTAGAACTTACTGCATTCATGATTAAAAAAAACTTTATTTTTAGCGGACGATAATAGGAAAATGTTTATCGAAGGTAATATGAAAACGTATATAAAAGTTTGAATCCGTTAAAATTTTAGCTTCTGAACATGTTATTTTCGAATACACCGTGTTAATACAAACTGTTATTATATTTCCATATTGTTTGTAGTTTCAATATTTCTCCAGAATTGAAGAAAATTAAACTAACTTTGTGCGTGTTGATTATCGACTGTTCACACATTAAATGGGGCTGGAAAAAAATGGAAATAAACGATAAACGAAGTGTGCATCGCTGCTATTGTGACAAGTCAAATGTAGAATGGTTGTAGTTCAATGGGTTTGTTGTAAATAGCTGCCAGTTGAGGGTTTATACGACGAACCGCATTATAATAAACTATTGAAAGTTATGATGAAGAATATTTTGGATCTAATAAGAGCAGGGGGGGAGATAGCAAGTTAAAGTTGGGGGCTCAAACTTTCAAGGGCATTATTTCACACAAAAAACGCGACACCCTTAAAATTTATTTCTAATGGCACAACAGTCGATCTAAAATTGAAGGTATCCCCAATGGCTAACCTGCAGTGAAACATTTGGAATATTTCAATGCAACATTGCAAACATTTCCTCGTAACGTTCTTTGCGATTTTAAGTCGGACTTCGGAAGGCTGCGGCCTGTTCAAATTCAAATATCATTACGACAATGTAGACCCATCGTTGAATTTATGTTATTTTATTCTTCTTGTTGAATCAGCCTGTCATCTAATTGTTATACACATGCATGTTATATACCATATTACACATAATAGAAGTAATTTTTAAGCGTTAATTCTAGTGGATTGCCCGGCGAAGTTCGTTCATTTTTAATACATACAAATATTTGCATAACATCTACTAGTAGGACAACAGTCACAACTGTTGCATGTCTTCTTCACTTGCTCTGGTTTTTCATTCAACTCAAATCGTTTTTCTGGCGCTCTGTTCTCGTTGCCCATGCCCCTGTCACGAAGCCACTCCTGCCATGATGGCTTACCATAGCACACATTCCATACGCACAATATAACGACCAAGCAAAGCATAGATCTCTTCCAGTTAGCCATGACCCAATTTACGAGCTAATTTACTGTGTGTTCGCAGTATATACTTCAACATCAACTGTTGCTTATTTGAACCTCTGCATGGCTCTTTTATATAATAGGTCGGGACACACCTTTTAGACTTTGTTTTGGGTTAAAAACGTCTGCCAATTATATGTTTTAAGAGTCGCGGGAACACATAAAGATCCCGCTAAAGAACGTTTTATAAGCAGCGATATTTACTTTGCACTTCAAAACGTAATTTCCCCGTCATTTTCAGGAGAAAGCCGTAACAGGCGTAATTAAGTAGCGTCATTTTAACTAGTTCAGTTTAAGCCGATATTACATCGCGTCCTAGGACCTTGTCTGAATTATATGCAACTGAAATTTCATTGCATGGTTTAGAGAAGTGCGATAGACACTTTGTTAGTTGTAATTTCACTTTTGCCCATAGCTAATAAAAATCATTCTAATATTTATACAAGCAGCCAAAATCAGCATTCAGGATACAAAATATTTATTGCAGAAGTTAAATTATGATAAATTATTATAAATGTGCTATTTACCAAGAATGACCGTGCTAATATTTGATAATAATATTCAATATAAGTTCAATAAATTGAATTTTTGTCCCTTTTTGATTACAGAAGATATATAATTAATAAGTAATATATGATTTTAGCATTGAATGCACTCTTGTTCGATTTTTAACCATTATTTATTGTAATTTTTCATGCTCATTTAGTCTTAGCTTTCATTCTGTATTGTTTTTTATCTCGCTTTGAGATGAATCGATGCTTTCAAGAATTTTGAAAAACTCCTTCCAGCCGTAGTAATTGCATTCAATGATCATGGTTGTCAGACTTGTTGGATGACGGGTTTCAGATTTTCTTGTTTCTACCAGAGCTTCAATGTAATCATTCTTCTTCGACTCAGTCCAAACGTTGTAAATCGGGGTCGGAAAAGGTTGTATAGGACAATACGTAACTACAAAGTAATCTGCATAATCTACCATTGCCGTCACCAAATGGATGCAAGTCCAAAAGCTCAAACAACAACCAGCTACAAATCTTGAACATGTTATAAACACGGGCATTTGGATCTTCTTCTTCTTTCACACAGTATGTTATCAAATCGTTGTGTCTGTCCAGCAATGTTTGAGTGCTTTTCTCCATATCTTCTGGATTCTGGTACTCATATAATTCTCCATCAAACTCTGTAATACGCCTGGCTTGACTGTATCTACCAGGCTCGGTTGCATTGTTGGGTAATTCAATATCTTTCATGACCAATTTGTGTGCTGTCGTTACAAAAATCGAAGGTAACAACCCATGCACTTTCTCGACATCTTCGCTATCTTCGACTTTCTTCACTTCGTCCAAAAGGAACTGGTAAGCTTCTCGTAAGTTCAAAGTTTCTATTCCTTTGATATCGGTTGGTCGCTCTGAGGTATTGTTAGCCTCGAAGCAAGATTCAATCTCTTCTTTAGTGTCGTATCCATGCTCTTCCTCGTTGTTCACATAATAGATAAAATCTATTAAAGATTTGTGAAGGACCTTGTCTAGCGTTTCCTTGTTAGTAGATTTCTTATACTCGCTCCAGCGATTTTGGTATTTTACGATACTTTCAATCATTTCTTTCACGGAAGGAACCTCTGCTCCCTTTGTACGCCATTTCGGCGACTCGTCACCATCAAAATCAATTAAACTCGCGACTGTGGACATTATAGGACTTTAGTCTACAAAATTTATTAAATTGCTTAGTTGGATTATTCATAGTTGGACTTGTTATTCTGGTGGCAATAATTGTGATTCAAGTTGACAATAATTTGGATTCGAATAAACTGGAGGAGAAAACTGTGCTAAACTATATTCCAATGACATTGGAGTTTCCATTGTAAATATTTCTCTGGTACACGGCGATGTTTGGAACTTGTCGTTCCTTATAGTATGAATATTTTTCGAATTGAGCGTCCTGTCTTTTAATACGTAGCAGGTACTTAAGCGAATATTCAGAATATCCCATCCAGATACGTTTTTTTCATTATTCGAAGTATTTTCAACGGGAAAAACATTGTTTTGCATGCGTCAACAAAATATGCTTTGCTATGCCTATGATTTTAAAATACTTGAAAGGCTTTTGATTCCAGGCGAGTATCCAAGACAAAGAGCCTAATCTAGAAACAAAAGAAGTGCGATCTTACCTGCTGCGCTACCTTGTGATGCGACAATTCTTGAAAAATGCCAGAAAAACAAAAATCTCGTCTGGCTTCAAGTTAAATTTCCGCGAACAAGATTTATATATCATTCTAAATCCTGACTAAACATTCGCATTATTTAAAAACACCTGCAGCGTATGATAAGACAGGGATATTGATTCGAAAGTTTATAGATTATATGAAATACGTTTTAACCTGATGAAATTTGAAGTATTAATACGCAGTTATATAGCTTATTGATTGATGTTGGTAATACGTTTCCTCGTTATACCGACCTTAATACTAACGCCAATACCAAGCGAAAAACAACCAATGCGACAAACCTGTGACTGAGTAGGCATATAGTCAGCTCAAATAAACTCCCACGCGAAATCCTCGCGCCTGTATTCCGACAGGGGTTTGGACATGAGTTTAAAAGAGGGTCGCGTTTCACTTTAAAAAGCCTCAATTTAGTGTACAAAACATTAAAGAGTTACATCTCATCCTCGTCCCCAGGGCCTAGCTCCGTTGCTCTCCACATAGGAGAGCAACGGAGCTAGGCCCTGGGGACGAGGATGAGTTACATCTTTGAGAAAATTTCCCGACTTCAAGAAGTCTTGGATTTTCATCATTTTCTCGGTAACGTGAATAAAATTAAATTGTATTTTCGTAATATTCCTTTTAACGCTAGGAGTTATTTAGCACGTTACATGAACTGTGATTTGAAGTGAACTGCCCGTAGTGCCATGGCTTTTGCTGTGAGCATGTCATTGCCTCGCGCAGCGGACGAGTATCGGGAAAGTAAACAAATTAGTTTACGAACTTCATCAGTATTGACTGTGCAACCTCTAATTAATTTGCGGTTCCTTTGTAGACAAAAAAACAATTTGTTTTAAAGTAACGGTCTTTTAGGTAAAGAAAAGAGAGAAATATCCTGTCATAGCTCACGATTCACCCTTCCCTTTAGATCAAACACAATCTCAAAAGTCGATTCTGCATATAGTATTTTTATTGATGAATAAACTTTTTTGCATGATGATTATATATGTAGTTTGAAATATAATCATTTTGAATATTTTATCTTTGGATCGCGAACTTCATCTAAGTAGGTTTTTCTCAAAAGCTACCTTTTTCATCTATTTGTTTCTTGAAACAGTTATTCCTCGGTGAAACACTGGTCCAAAATTACTTTAAGAGTCGCGGTGCTACGACAAAACGCTTTGAGATTCATACTTAAGACTAATTTAACGCATTTGTGATTAAGAGTGACGTGAACGCAATATTTTACGTACCTGCGGCTGTAGTTTGTAGTAAATTGGGAAGATTTAGGTGCATGTGCTTTGCCGTTTACTTACATCATTGCCGTGTGCAAGACCATCTTTTTTTGCTAGAAATTGGCGTGTCTTGTTGAATAGAATTGATTGGTTCGAACTAAAAATTTTTTAGGGAGTTTAAAGAAGTTTTGCTTTAAATATGATGCTTTGATATGCTTAAAGAATTGCCTATAATTGATCTCATGAATGATGCCAAGACAGGGGACTTGATAAGTACAAAGCCGTGCGCGTTTGGAGTGACTCGGTGTGATTTCAAATCATCATTTATAAGGTGCACTTTTTAAACAATCATTGACATTGTTATAATCTGCTTTCCACTGGCTTTGAAATATCTATCTTTCTTCACACAGAGCATCTTTTTATTTAAAGCTGAATTCAACTGAATTAGCGAGAAAGTTCGAAAAATTAAAATGGTCCACAAGAATTTTTCGATTTTCTTAATAATTTATACCGCGTTGCACCTCCCGCACTCCGTTTTCACGGCTAAATTGATTAGACCACACTGCGGTATCCAAGAATAACTCCATCCATATAAAAACGAGCTTGTCGACAATGCTTGGCTAATATTCATGCCGCAGAGTGTGTATGTATTGTTGGTTAAAATCAGCGAATAATTTTCCATCGTGCTTTAACCTTTCTCAATAATTAATCAAGGACAGAATGTTAGAAGAAAACATTTTAGTCGTGATGGCGTCGCACGTCAAAAGCTCCGTAAAAAGAGTTCGCAACCTCAGGCTGGTTTTGATCTATTTGTTCATTTGTGTGAACCAAAGTAAGTAAAATCAACTCTAAAACATCTTTAACTTAGTGAAGGCACGTAATCAGAAAGATAGCGTGCTGTAATCGCTAGAACATTTATTAAAACGGTTAACTTTTGACGAGATTACTTTGTGGGTCCATGAAGGAGTTTGATTTTATGAAATCCTGTCCTCGCATTCAGGCAAAACTGTCTGGGTTTTCGTGTGTAATGAGCATTCATTAGCAGAATTTAGCAGCAAATGTTTGAGAAATGCTCTAGGTATATCGTTTGAGACAGTAATGTCAAAGTTGAGAATATGATGGGGCGGGGAATGTCGGTAGTTGGCAGCGCTTGTTTGCCCACAAATTAAGTAGCTTCAGAATACTCATTTGTTGAACCTTTATTAAAACTTTCCGATAAATAACACGCGAGGACAGAAGAAACATATTAGTCTTCATACTCTCCGCAAATAGATTTTTAGGTTAATTTTTAAAACCATACGATGACGAAATTTCAAATTGTGCTGACGACCTTCCTGTGTGAAGGATGACTCCCGCATGCTGAGCTGTTAGTGGGATACCTCTCAAGGTTCACTATACTGAGTTCATCAGACCTACACTAATAGCTTCCTACATAGCTCTTGACATGTTTAATCGTTAATGAAAACCCGTTCTCTCGAATCGCAAAGTGTTTTTGACTGTATAATCGCACTTCGTCTTATCCGATGGCCAGATAAGAGATATGTGTTTTCCCCAAACCGAACATTGTAATTCTAAAACAGATAAAGAGAGGATTAATTTAATTTAGACCTTTGCTTTGTGTTCGGCGAGTTATTAAAAGCCCTTGATAATTTTCTAGTCAGTTATTCACAGGGGTTTTTTATTAAACTTGGCGAGCTATTGAAAATTAATTTCGACCATAACAGGGATAATAAGACGGCATAGTGAGCTTTTCGTTCAAGGTGCTTACACTAATAAAGGTGGTTTATGGCTTTTTGAAATGAAATTCGATGTAGTTTGGCTATTATGTGCGTTGAAGACAAGTACATAGGTAAACTTTTTGGAAAAAGATAGCTCTCAACTTCTTAGCAAAACATGCAGATGAACGAAGTCGAAGGAATTGAATTTTTTTCATTAAATATATTTAAGTGGTAATAAATACAGTTATTGTTGAAAGAAAAACAACTGTTCATTATACTTTATACAACGATTACAGTGAAACCAATTCGGTACGTTGATTTCTCCCTCATTTTCAAACTTAAGGTTCACCTTAGGACTACCCTTAATCATGATTCTATTCGTGAAATTTGAGTTGAAATTTTCTTAAAATTGTCGTTGAAATATGGCATGAAAATCATGCAAGCAACCTATGCATATATACTCTCGAAACACCCTCGCCGTGACTCAAACGTTGGGGCAAACTTCTTTAATAATAATGAAGACCTATTTAGACCTTAATTCCCATGAAAATTGTTTTTTTCAAAGATTCTCAAAAACATTTTTCGCCTTTTTACATTCACAAAGGCAACTAATATTCGATTGTATATCTGAATAATATGCTGTTTAATTCATATTGTGGGTCAATTAGCTTCGCAATTCTCAGTGAGCTGTGTCAAAATGCCACACAAAGGAAGCTTTTAGCCTGTACCATGCATGTACTTAAATATAGCACAAAGAAAGATGAGACCACTTCTACACCAAAGATACAAAAATGCCGGCACAACTCTCAAAGCTCACTCATTCTATTTAAGTGCAACATCAGTAGAAATTGTGTTTTGACTGATCAATAAGAGAGTCTTTTCCCAATAAATAATTCAATCTAAAACATTTAAAATCAAGCTTTGCCTCTTGTAAAAAAAGCGTCATGGAACCGCTACAAGCGACCGTATTTTTACAGTTTCTGAAGTGCATGGAACAACACGAAAGCACTGGAATTTTACTCAGAAAAACTATTTGGTATTTCATAATTGTTTCATAAAAATACTTAACGGCGACAATGTGACGTTTGTGCATTTTCATCTACTTGAAATGCTAAATTATCGACTGACATAGTAGGGAGGAGAAAATTCTGGTCTCCACATGCAACATCCATTATGAAAGATATACACTGTGTCACTAACATTACACTCACAGTACTATAAACCAGTCGAACAAAAGTGTTTCTTTATAAACTAAATAAATATAAACTCGTTTCTCTATAATTCGTTACGATGAATCTTTGAACCAGTTTTTTGTTGACCAAATTTGAAGAAAATTTATCCGAACAGCAAGGAAATGGTTGTGACAAAACATTAACTTATATTTCTTGAATTGTCTTATATTATTAACAGCCTACGACATCCGTGCTTGAGGTAGGTTTTTTAAGGAAACAGCCATGCATAAGTCCAAAAAAAAACTATATAATTTTTCCCATGAAAATCCAAGGAGCTAACTGCTCATCCCTGCTGGCAAGATTATGTTTTGCCATAACTAAAGTTCGACTTTTTCAGGCGAGAGCTGTGATGTCTATAATTCCGTGTATAAAACTGCTGATCATTATTGGCCGTTGAAGAACATCTCAGCCGGCAACATAAGCTTGGATTCAGTTAGTCGAAGTTTTGCGCATGCGAAGATTGAGAATGGTGCAAAGTTGAACAATACGAAGCTTTTTGGTCCAGCTCTACTGTTAGACGGCGAAGATGATTGGATAGACCTAGGTTTGTATACGATTACTATTATAGACTGGAAGAGTGGAAGGCTATATCTTGCAACATTGCTGATACATGCAAGCGGTTTCCATCCCTAAAGTTTCTCATCTATAATATCATATTGGGAGGTTTTCATTTGTTACTCGCATGCGTTTTGAAGGCTTGAACAAACTTATGGAAGGTCTGAACAAACTTTAATTTGTGAAACAGCCTGCATGGCTAAAACTATGACAAACTGAGTATATCGCTATACTCGCTAGACATCTCGTTTTCCCTTTCATCTTAGGAATCTTGGATTCTGATTGCACGAACAGTCCGTCAGAATGTACTGACGGCTTCACCATCTCTTTCTGGTTATATTACGTCCGTGGTGAGTTTCTTCTCAGCACTGGTGAATATAACAGAGGTGATACAGGACCTGGAGTCATGTTTACCGTTCGCGATAAGTTATTCGTTATTGAGGTCTCCACGTTGTCACATACCTGGAAGATTACATCAAAACTTATTGCTAAAAATTGGGTGCACGTGACTTTCCATTGGAGCACAAACGAAGGTAACGTGCTATATTTTATTTGTTCCATTGATTCATGTCTTGCTACCAAATGATAATTCTGTTTCATTATTTTAGGAATTCATTTGTTTCTCAACGGCAGCGCTGCGCAACAAAAGGTTTTTCAAAAGGAGAAAGTTTCCTTTCCAAAACCAGGAAGTGGTCTTGGCTGGAAGCTGGGGCGACCAAACATGGTCGCAAAGTTGTCAGAATTTGGTCAAATTGGCATCGCACATCTCGCTAAGTGGAAAGGAGAGCTCACGGCTGATGAAATAAAAGCAGCGCTTTGTGAAACTATTTTGAAGGAGAAAAAAGAGATGGTTGAAAGAGAGCTAAAGTTGATGGAAAAAGCCCAGACAACTGGTAAGTTTTATGATAGATAAATTGTATATATATATATGAATCCATTAGAAGATACTTTCCTTATTTTGGTTTAGTTAAACCAGGGAAAACAGACAGACTCAAACCATCGAAAGATGCAAGGTCCACGGCCTCGCTGCTCTCAAGTTATCCTGTGAAACTGTGGGCAGTCATTTTAGCCTTGTGCACGATTCTTTGGCTTTTCTGAAAGTTGTATTTTAAATAATTTATCCATAACGCACTCTTTAACGTAGTTAAACTGTACTTAACTCTAAAACAGCTCGAAGTCCAGACTAACTCGTTCGACTGGCTTAGATATAATCCTTCGCATGAAGCTCCTTGCTTAGTGAAAAAAGAAACGGAAGAAATGGCTGAATCTGTATCATATATCTGGTCGGCCAAGCTTGTAAACTTCCTGGTAATAAATATTAATGTAAATAACAATAATTATAAACTAAGTTGTATCTGTTATAACTAGACTGAAAGTATAAATCGAGTATAAATAAGGTTTAAATGATTTCTGTGCATGCTGTGATAGAATTGAAATAAATTATTGATGAACCATTGGCAATTTTAATGAATATTTTGCGCATTTTACACGCACTCGCGTTTCATTGAAAGCGACCTGGTGGCGAGAGCAGCTGTTGCTAAGCAACCGTTATCATGGTGGACGAAAATATAAGAAAATGGCAAAATAAGTAAATTTGAGTGAAAAAAACAAGAAAATATCAAACTAAGAAAACTTTAATCCTTGCATTACTGGTAAGGGAAACTTACTCATGTTATAATATCTATGAATCTGAGCGTATTTTAAATATAAGCAAGGAATGAGGCTTGCAAAATATATTGTTTATATGAAGGCTGGTTGATGCAAAATCAAGCTGATATGGAAGAGAATCAAGAAGTTGTTTTAACTGCTCGTCGAACTGAGTCTATTGATGCTCCTGCGATAGAAAAATTGATCACCAGCGCCACATTTGAACTGTTTGGACGAGTTGATATCGTACGCGTAATGTATGTTATTATTTTCTTTGTATTCTCCGTAAAATTTTATTTATTATTTAAAGAAACTCATAAACTAAATTTTGAATAAAAGCTTAGCTATTTTTGTTGATTCATTTCAGTGAGAAGGCGAACCTAGCCGTTAGTTTAGTGAGTTCAGAAGACGAGGTTGTTGCTAGTGGCGCATTTTTCGATTATCCAAATCTTTCCGTGGACCAGGCAAAATGGGAGAAATTATTTCAAGAAAGTTTCGAGTCTGTCAAGGCGACTGTAAGTTAAGAATTACGGAGAATTTATATTTTTTCCACTATTTACAACAATGCAATCAATGTACTGTTGACTTTTATCACTCAAATATGGACAACTGTGGATTTAAAACTCTTTTTGTTTCAGCCTTTAAACTCATTGTTCCTGAACTTTTTCACATCAAAACCTGACTATGTACAGGGTTGTGCCTCAGAGATTTTAAGGTAAATATCTTATTTCTACTATAGAATATTGTTCAATTTGCAAGCATTCTTTTATTGTACTGTACAGTACATTTGACCTTATATAATATTGCATATTTTATTCATAGGACAGTGTTTAATACTGCACCCTACATTGAATATATTTTCCTTGTTATTCCACCAAGTGCTCAAAAAGGTAAGATCTATGAATTTTTGATAAAAAGGTAATAAGAGATTATTTCATTAGAGTGTAGTATAGATCCCTAAGTCTTTCAGATTTGCACCAACCATGGTGGTGCCCGATCCAAGGCTTAATTCCCTCGATCCCAACTGCTTCCAGCTTTCTTCCCTCTGGATAGAACTTCCCACCATATGTTCAAGAATGTATTTTATCCTAATATTTAGTCTTCATGTATGTACCATGTTTTTCAGACCAACCATTAGAGAAGTTGTTCAATGTTGTCAAATGTAATGAAAATTTCAACAAGGAGGAACTCAATGGCACTGTTTATGTCTGCCATAGATTTGAACATTCGCCAAAGCTGCATATGAGAGCAGCAACGTAAGTATATTTACCTGTCACCTTTCACCTGCAGAATGTGGAAGAGATATCTCCCACTAATCTATTAATTGTGTTTCCTATTTTAGTGTTGAGGATCATGATGACCTCATTCCTATATTTGATGAACAAAGTGAAACTTTAATCAATTCATATGGTATGAGCTTTAGCCATACAAAAAATTATTTATTACCACAGTAACAATTGGGAACATCTTCAAACCTAAGTTTGTGTGCAGAGTGCGAGGCTAAAATTGTTTATGAATGCATAAATCATAATTCTACTGTGTCCATAATCCTTGGATGTAATGGATTTCATTTTAGGGGATTTCTTTCTCAATGATCTCATTGAAGCTGAAGATGATGAGAACAAGTGTCTAGTGGCAGACGTAAGCAGAGATATATTGTATTCATGGCTGTCCAGCCAGTAGCAATGAAATATGTACTCATTTTGGTAGTATGCAATGAAAATATATAAATTGCAATGAAATGACATATTTCTCTTCCAGGTGAATGGAACAGCTGTTGGTTTTATGAGTATAAGCACAAATGTCAATGTGCAATTGTTGAGTGAATATTTTGACCTCTCTCCTTTCAATGATCTCAGAAAGCAATCATCCCTGGCATCTGGTGACAGTAATTCAAGTAAGCTGTTTTTGGAGTGAAATATTTATAGAAATAGTGCTTGAAAGACAAGGTATATATGTGTGGGTGATTGGTGTGATGCACACAGTGCTTTAGTATGGAGGTGCTATATGGTACAGTGTTTGAGGTAGTTATGTAGTTGTTGTAATTGATATTTTCCTCAATGGAGTTGTTTGCACTCAAATGGTTTTCTTTCAGGCCAAGAGAAAGCCAGTGTGTTTTGCGTTGAACTTTTCTGTATTGATGAAAAATACGAAGCCAGGTAAACTAGCTGATGAATTCGGTTGATTCTGGTGCTAATATTTAGGTCATAAACACAATTCTGGCCTGTACGTCAAACCCAGCTTCCCTGTTGAACGTATTCCAATACATTTTAGGTCGATGGATTTTCTTCCTGCTGCGTTTAAACTTTTCCCGGTGAGTAGATGATGAAGAATATCACCCATTAATCATCCAAAGTTATGTCCAACTGTTGCAGCAGTGAGATTGGAATGAAACTAAAACACAAACGTCTATGTTTCTTGCTAGGATAAAGATTACTGTGTCATCACGATGCCGCACATCGTTAACGAGTTTCCGTTGGTTCACGAATTTACGGTAAAGTTTGAATCTCGTGGATTTGATCAAGACCACCAACTGGTACCACAAGAAAAAGAAGACAGCTTGGGAGGTGGTTAACTGAACTTTAATTTCTTTCTTACAGAGGGTCACACCTAAAGTTGATGCAACGATTTCTCACGAACTCTACGTATTTCATCGCTGGGGTCTTCTTCGGTATGTCCTGGATTGCTTTTAGTTCGTTTGCGAGAGAAGTTACATCCTCATCGCTGCATGAGTTTGTTTTTCTTCCAGGACCATCAGCGTCAGGCCAGCAGTGTCTGACGATCTCACTGGGATAGAAAACATTGTTAAAGATGTTTCAGGTTCTGATTACATACTGAGGTGATTATATCTTGGTATATTACTCTGAATTCTCAAATATCGTGTCCAAATATCGTATCCAAATATCGTGTGCAAATATCGTGTGCAAATATCGTGTGCATTATACATAATATGAGTCCTTTTTTTACCTCCAATGCAGGGACATTGTACAGTACAACACAGCTCGCCGAGACAAGGTAAGTAGGAATCATTGCTCCTTGCGAGATTTTGTGTCTTTGTGAAGAAGTTTTAAGTAATCTTGTTCGCATGCCTTGCAGGATGGCCAGAAACTTCAGGTCTTCGTTGCAGAATGTACGAATCAAGTCATTGGCGTGGCTGTGTTACGTCAAGAAGAGGTATTTCAACGCCATCGTTGAATCAAACGGCTCAAAAGTTCTGCCATTTGATGTAATTTTGCATGCATATTAAGTTAACTTGGATCCTTGTTTATTTCTTCAGGACATTGAATTCATTCGCGCTCATTATGCTGTGGAGGATTTTATTTATTATAATTACCATCAACGAGAAGAACACTCTCATCTCTATCACTTCACTCTCAACCCGATCTTTCGTCATTATACCAGGCATTTCCTAAAGGTTTGTACTATATTTTTAATATTCCCAGCCTGGGCGCTGAGCTGGTCGATTACTGAGCGTTAAACACGACCCCAACATTCGCTTGTATTCCCCTGTCCAATCTAACCGTCTCCTGTAACTCATAATATACGTATCTTGGATGCCGTGAACCCTCCCTCACTTAACCTCACTCCAATACGAAGCCTCTCTAACGCGCGCCTACCACACCTATCCTCACTCTAATACGCACACTCCAACCTTAGTATACTTTCCGAAGTGCCTCCACTCTAATACTTCGTCTCTCTCTCTAACTCACACCCTCCACACCCACCCCTCTTTCTAACTATGCACAATCTTTCACCACTTCCTCATATCACGTCATATTCCCTCTCTCTAACATCCTCTCTAATCTGCCCCTAATCTTATGCAATTGTTTAGGAAGTGCTTCGGTTATCTCACACGTCGTGTCTGTATTACGCCTTGTATCCAAAAAATGTGAGACCCAGCCTGTCGGTAAGCATCACTTCACATTTAACAATTGTACAATAAGCTTCAATGGTCGGGTATCCACTGACAACCATCATCGCTATCAGAAATTTCCATCACCTTCTGTATTCTATTCCGCTTTTTCCTCCAACACAGACTAACTTTACTTTAGGGCACGAAGTTATACTCCGTCATCTCATGTCTCAGTGATCTCGTCCCTGTGAGGTACAGTAGTAACTTTTGTAACACTTGATCTGTAACTATTGTCAAGACCTGCAAGCCATATCTTCATTTTTATCTTCAGAGGACGTCGTCAGATTATTTACCAACAAGACGTTCTTGGCATCAATGCTCCGTCTGAGAAAGTTTTGAAGAAAGAGGTGATTTTATAGTCGATTTGATGAAATTAGGTTTCAGAATATCGTCTTCCTCTTCTCACAGGAAATGATGTCTCTTAACTTCGTTTCAGGAGTACTATGCTTTGTACCATCTAAACAGAAAGTTAACGTTAGAACCAAAGGTAAAAATTGTGAAGTTTGTGCTGCTGACTGTTGTGTAAGAAATCCACCTCGCGTTCAGCCCTATCAGAATAGCTCATGTGTATTTATATGACAGGTGGTAATAAACGCAAGAATAGTTGTTGTTGGCGCCTCAGATACTGGCATTTCCTTCTTGGAAAGATTCTGTTTCTGGTAAGAAATGCTCTCCCATCTCTGAAGTTTTTGTTAAATATTTTCCTGGTCAGTTTTTTTTCTCACTTTTGCATGTCAATTTACCATCGTGATGATTCAATTTTTTTCTTACAGTCCACATCTTCACTTCAAAAACATTTCTCTCATATCACCACAAGGTCTTCCAACCGACGTGGGTAGCAATGGCGATGAGATGAGACCAAGCAGGTGCGAGATTTCGTTGTTTTTCTTCTCTCCAGCAGTCGTTGAAAGTCGCGGTGAAATGGTCTTCTTTTTCTTTTCTCTAGTTGTTGTTATACCCGAGAGAACCACGCTCATATGTCGCTTAAAACTTGGATTAGCGTAGTTGAAGACAAGATGGTGGGAATTGATAGGTAGAGATTTATAATAATTTTTTATTGATCACGCCTTGCCCTTGTTCAAAGGAAAACAAGCGTTGCATGAGAGTTGACTTTGCATTACCACGGTTTCATAGTCCCCAAACACGAGCCAGTTTCGCAAATAGACTTCCATTCTCGTTTGATCTTCAACTTGTGCGTCATGATTTCCAGGGTACACAAAGTGATCAGTACGTTAGACGGACACCAAGTACCCTACTACTTACCTTACGGTGTTGTGTTGTGGTGAGCAGTACCAGATCGCCATTCCGAGTGGCGCTGATGTCAATACTCTGGTGACAACAGCTGAGGTTCCTCGCAGTCGGGATCAGGTGTATCGCGGCACATTGCCTGATAATGTCTTCACCATTAACTCACATCAAGATGTTCAAACCATATTACAGTGGATGGAAACCTCTTTCGCCCGCGATGAAGGTACGTTTATATTAACTAGATCCATCCTACTTTCTCTCGTGTTAACAAGTTTTGAAAATCCAGTCTTTACAACCTTAAAGTGTATTGAAAATTCAAAGCTTTCTGACATCACAAGTTTGCAAACAATTTTCGCTGCGATTTCCTTTTTTTGATGGATGTGAAAGAGCGTACAGTTAGCGATGCTCTGATGTATAAGTGCTTTTATTAGTACATCCCTAACTTATCCACTCGTTAACATATATCAGAAGAACATTGTCATGGTTGACCTTAAATCGCAGCAAGTGTAAACACATGCGTGCACTACCTCATGTAATCCATACTCTGTTTTAGGTAAAGCTGTCATTTATGGTGCGTCACTCTCATCTCACACCTTCATCCAATGTGCTCTGACTTGTGGAATACCTGGAACACGTCTCGTTATGGTCCAACCACCATTCAGTCTTCCGTCATCTTTTAATAATCCCGATATTGAGAGAGTTGTGGAGACGTCGCTACAGGACGCAGGTATTTGTGGATCCTGTGGAAATAAATGAAGAAATATTCCTTCGAGATCTTTTCGAGGTTCATTTCTCTTCTTCTTCACCTCAAGGTGTCGTTTTATACAAGAACTACACGCTTGCAAGATGGAATCATCAGGAAGGATCAAATTTATTGAATAATGCTTCGTTTACCTCCAGCAATAAACCACTAATGCTTGAATGTCAGGTACTAATAACCAACAGAGAAGATTGCCTCGAGATCTCTCCTGTCCACTAGTCGTTCCTGAGCGAAAACTATTCTCACTTTGAGATCGTTGGTTAATTCTATGTTTAGTAAATCCTAAATATACAGATAATCCTTGAGATTAGGTTGGGATTAGAACCAGATTTAGGGTCCACCGTAATCAACCATGAACCTATTCTAAGACTTTGTCCCTAATCCTAACCTAATCTGAAGGATTTAATGCGTGTACTTAGAATTTACTGAGCATAGATTAATAACCGATTCGCTGGTGTAAGGCTTTTTCGAGAGTCACGGATTTCTCTCCCTAATTCATTTAACCAATATATAGAGCCGTTTTTCTTACTCTAAAAACTAAAGACGCTTTGAAGAAGGCCTCCATTGATTTCGTATTGCTTCGTGTAGGCATTTTTCTGCTTTCAAGATGAAAAGGTTGATTACGAAGCTTACAAAGGTTCGTGGCAATTCTCATGTACGAGTCAAGATTTAACTTAGTAGTCCACTATTGACTGTAAACAACTAATTCCCTTTAGCGATCAACGACAGTTGTTTGGTGTATGATGGAAAACTCGTGGTGGACAAGGAATTTCTGACAAATGATCCAGCAATACGCGCTGCTGGTCCGCTTACAAAATTCGCAAGACGTTATCATTCTGAGTCGTGGTTAGTCCTTATCATCTCATTCTAAGAAAGCCGCTTTATTAGACTCTACATTATTAGACTTATATGGTTCATAAATAGTTCATATCCTATAGTTCATATATCTCAGGAGATTCTGAAATTAATATATTTCGCATTGTTTTTGTTGTCGTGTAGGACTCATGCAAATTTTAACTCAAAAGAAGTTGGAAAATTGGTAGGTAACTAACATGTTTTCCAGCTCGTTTTAAATTTCGTGAATGTCTGTTTGGTTGATGTCACTTGTCAGTTGTCATATCGTCTTCTTCTTCACAGCTTGCTGAGTCAATGATGCCTCTCTTCGATCCAACTCTTCAGTCATCGACAATAACCAAGGATAACGAAGCCAGTCTTGTTCCAGTTTTTAAAGAACCAAAGATATTTTCTGCAATTTTGCCAGGTAAATAAAGATCGTGTGCTCTTTACACCTCTTAATACCTTGCTACTTAAAACATTTTTTATCTTTTTAAGGAGGCTTTCATTACCTTCAGGTTGGTAAACCGACGTTAAACATTCACCTTGATTCGCTAATGGCTCAACCAGATTATGTAAGTAACACAGTTACACTCTGCAGAGTTAAATATATCTTCGGGGAAAAACCCAGTAACAGTGCACTAGTGTCAGTTCTTCTTCAAGGTGCTAATGTATGTCGTCGAATTAATAAAGACAACTAATATACTCTTTTATGAAATAAAATCTAGGGTAATGTCCTCACAACTGGTGCCCCTGGGGATGAAGAAAAGGGATATTTCAGACTTCATATAAATCAATATAACAGCATTGAAACGATAACGTGTCTGTGTAAACAAGTAAGACTCTGCAATTCATCCTAACTACAGTACAACTCTATCAAATATTCATAAAGTTTATGTCTTCCAGAAAATCGATGTTGGTAACCTTATCTGCCTGTACGGCATTCATGAACGATATCTCAATAATTTGTGTCAACGTTATAGCGAAGGTCTTATTACAGATTTTTATAGGTACGTGCATTTATATCTTCCTTGTAGACATAAGCTCTATACCTTGTTTAATCTACAGCTTATGAAGAGTATTTCATATTTATTTACAGTTACTTCAAGGAAAGTTGGTGTGTGGCAATGTTCCATGATCGCTTCAAAGATTTGCGAGCAGAAATACGCGAGATTCTTTCTAGTGTAAAGGTCAGTTTTGAATATACGAAACTCTTAACTTCTGTCATTGGACCAAAGGGTGTTTTTGTGTGGACTGACGAGAAGGTGATTCTTACAGTCGTACGTAATGTTTTATTTATCATAGGGTCATGATTTGGAAACTATGAAAGATAAAGTCAAGAAACTAATTGATGAAGATTTGGAGGTGAGTTTAGTATCCCTTTTACGAAGAAGATGGATTCGAATGGTGGATTGTGGAAGGATTGATGTTAAACGTATTGTCTTTTTCTCCTTAATATAGTTATCGCCTGCAGATCGCGACAGTCTGGCACGAAGTTACATGAAATCGCCAGCGAAAACGGAGATTGAAAAAACATTATTGAACTTCATCACTTACAACTCCGCTCACCTGCCAATGTATGCGAAACCAGAAATGGTGTGATGTGTTTACCTCAGTTCTAGAAATCAATATTGTAAATTGTGTACAAATTAAGAACGATGTATTTTACGAGAATTCCTAAGATTTTGTCTGTCACGACAGTCACCGCATAGGAAGACATTGCGTATGTGTTTAGACTTGAGTTGTCCGGGTTTGGTTTCCTCACAGACGCAGGATGGAGAAACGGCGAGAATGATGAAGGAAAGTTATTAAGTAGCCTGCTCGCAGACTGAATTAGGGGGCCGGAAATTAAACGGGGAATTTTCCCCGTTTAATTTCCGGCCCCCTAATTCAGTCTGCGAGCAGGCTAGTTATTAAGGTGTTATTTGATCAAATAGGACCATCATACCATATCTACCATAAGAATGAATCAATGAAAACAAATCTATTCTCGGCTCTATTCTTGCTCCACCTCCTATTGAACTGAAGCGAATCGGTTGTGGAAAGACGACCTGTCTGATCTCTCATCTGGAAGGCTGGAACATTTGGTTGGATAAGGTTGAAAGATGATGTGGATTTTGCACTAGAATATCAACTGTTGAGAATATCTTCCTTGGCTCCATAATGTCGTGTGCATGGTCCCGTTAAGGGGTACTTGTGATATTCTGACGAAACAAAGGGCTATTGGGAAATACTAATGCCATAATGCACGCGTTCACATGTGCACACTCCCCTTGGGAAAATCCCCGCACGTGTTTTGAAAGGTATTTACCCAAGCTTCATACAAATCACCTCAGGAAAAATACGATTTCTAGTGCATACACGTATACACTTTCTTTACATTAAGAAAATTTCGATTTAGAAACTCTAATGCGTCGTTCTAACGAGCTAGAAAAACGTAATTTGCAACATTAATTACGGTCCCATTGTTCTGCGGGACTGGAACTTCCCAAGGGGACTGTAAAATTTCCAAACTCGCCGTGCATTGTGGGCATGGTTTTTCCCGTAAATGAACTTTGAAACCTGCAGGGAAAAGTATAAACATAGAGAGCAGTGTAGAGGAAGGTCCATTCTCCCGTAACTGTCCACGACTCCGTTGTAGCAGTCACAGTAATGCAGTGGACATTAGAAGCTGAGGACGGCCCTCGCCGAGTGAATCATGCTGCGGTTTCTGTACAGGATCGATATGTCTTTAGTTTTGGAGGATTTTATTCTGGAGACGAGTACTCAAGCTTGGAAAAAATGGACGTTCATATCTTCGATCTTGGTGAGTACCTAATGTTTTTATTTTTACTTGTTGTTTACCTAATTGATACATATTCTACAAATTTGTCGAATAAAATTAGTCGCAAGTTTATAAGTTAGTCAGCAGTGTTACATATTTGTTAAATATTTGTTACATATTTGTTACATATTTGTTACATATTTGACTTAATTATTGCTATTTTATCATTTTCTGCAGACTTGCTGAAATGGACCAAATTAAAAACTCCCACCATTGAGGATGATGATTATGACTTTGTACCATTTATGAGATATGGTCATACAGCATCTGTGATTGGTGACAAGATTTATATATTTGGTGGTTGCAATAATCGATATGTAGCTTGCAACACATTGTTTTGTTTTGATACAAGTAAGTTGTGACCCATTGGCAGTGCCATTGCTTCTTTGAAGCTCATTATTAAGCTGACATCTCTGAGATATATAGCATCTTCAGTATATTTCTTTGTCTTCCATTTACCTAGCTAATAACCCCCTCTGATAATCAACTATTTTGCCCCTTTATTCCCGAATTTCATACTCATTGTGTATCATTTTCAAACAGCTACATTCAGATGGTCAACTCCGGAGGTTAGTGGTAGCATCCCCCCTGCATGCGATGGTCATTCAGCCTGTGTTATTGGTGAGAAGATTTATCTCTTTGGAGGATTTGAAGAAAGGGTAAGATATTGAAACCAGTTTTTCGTGATGTTTAGGTAACACTTATTACAACGACGTCCATTACCACCAAGGAATGAGGCCCGAGAATGGAAGGCTGCATTCACACTAACAATATAACACTGATTACAACTTCTTTGAGAAAGAAGGCTGATGTATCAGAATTCATGTGCAGTCATGCAGTATGTTCCAGTTGATTAGAAGTAAATATAATTTAACAATGACGGATTGCATTGAAGTTGTAATGAGAAGGATGTGACACTTCATAGCAATACAAGCTACAACATGTTGGCGGATAATTGTATTGGATATCAACTCAGATATATATATACTCTCAGACATGCTAATTAATGATGCTATTCATTGACAATGACATATATATGTCATTCAAGCATACAAGAACTGCAACTATTGATCCTGATATTCAATACTTGATGTGAAAATCTTAATCTCCTGAAATCTTTGTGGTGGCTATGAGCCTATGGTATCATTAATTGATGTTAAAATGCAATCCTCATGATTGGATGTGATACTATGAGATGGAAACGAAGAATCCTAATTTAATTAACATGAATTCAAGCCGCAAAGATGTATTGGTCAATGATATGATGTATAGTAATTAATCTGAGAAGAAGATATTCTCAGTCATTGCAATATCTCGCATTGAATGGACACATTACATAATTGATGGAGAATGTTAAAAGTGAAAATGCAAGACTTCAAATTGTAGTTATAGATAGATTCAATATCAGAAGTTCTTTCAGATCGAGATCATTTATGACACAGAAATTCATTGCCTTAGAAAGCCTCTTTTCCTCTCTCTTATTCCTATCCTAATTTCTCCGGTTTTCCAATTTTCAGGGAGGATACCATCTTCAGGTACGGGTTGTTTGTTGCAAGATAACACCATCTTAATTGCAATTCTCCAAGTTTTATTGGACCGGTCACCTCGTCAGCTACCTTGTTCATCAGCGTGATACTAAAGAGATCAAACTGATTGCGGAATTATGGGATCACGCCTAAAACTACATATTTTACTATTGGCTTACAAATAATTTATTTTTTTAGTCGGAATGTTTCTCGAAAGATGTGTACGTTCTGGATGTAAAGACAATGAAATGGACACACCCTCATGTTTTCGTAAGTAATGTTGATTAAGTACAAATATTTTTAAGGTAACTCTTCAGTCCTATCATCAGCAAAGTGCTTCAGTCTTCGCCAACTATTCGTTTGCATAGTTCAGAATGAACCGTCTGTTTTCAGGGCGAACCAGCAAGCTGGCGAGATTTTCACACTGCAACCGCTGTTGGAAAATACATGTACATCTTCGGCGGGCGAGGTATGATGAAGATATAACCTGTGTAATGAATTGTTTACTGCATGAGACAGAGTTCTCATGGGAAGTGATATGTTATAGCCTAATATAGCCTTATATAGGAGGTTTAACCTTTAGGTAACGGCTAAATGATATTTTGTTATATCTTGATACAGGAGATGTACTTGGTGAAATTCATTCAAATCAGGAAATATATGATAATCAAATAATCGTGTTTGACACAGGTATAATATAGCCCTGATATTTCATCGTATTATCATCGTTTTCATCTAATAATTCTTGGCTGCTTTTTGTAGAAACATACACTTGGCAATGGCTTGTAACAAAAGGATTGTCACCCATAGGACGTCGGAGTCATACTGCTGGTAAGACAAGTAATCCTTCCAGTATAACATCCGCGATGGCAAAACTGGATTCTAATCTTCTGCTTACTCTTACATTTGCCTTGTACCCGTGTCGAAATTTGCTTTAACGAATGTTTGCTCATTTGGGGCTAGTTTTACCTTTCATATCAAGAGCCACCATTCAAGATGAAACCTGGTTTCGTACAATCACTTGGGCACTGTTCGTTTTTAGATGAAGATGTAAACGGTATCTCTACTTATCATTTTAGTGTCGTATGGCCGCTGTATTTATATATTTGGTGGTTATAATGGCTTGGAACAACAACATTATGGTGATATACTTAAATTTGACACAGGTAGTGGATCATGATTTGCGTTTGAGAAGTACGAAGGTCGAAGAACTTCAAATGACTGATTTTCATTTGCATAGATGCAAGACAATGGAGCAAAGTTGTCGTTCCCGGCAAATATCCTTGTCCACGAAGAAGACACTGTTGTTGTTTGGTTGGAGGAAAAGCTGTCATCTTTGGTGGATCAAGGTACGGAACCTTCAACCGGCTATGATATGGCAGACATTTGTGGTTGTATTCAGGACAGAGTATATCTATATAGAAGGACTTATTACTTTGTTTTAACAGAAGTAGTTTCAGTGTCCCGAGATCATGGAAACTCTTTAAATTTTTCTCTTCAATTTTTAGTCCGTTTCATGGGCAAGGCGCCCAAGGCGAAGAGGAGAACAGTCTTCAAGATCATAATGATTTATATGTTCTAGATCTCAGTGAGTGCAAAACTGATCGGTTTTACATTTATAAGTTGTTGTTTGGTAAAAACCCTAACGAAATATATTTTCTTCCAGATCCAACTCTAAAGATGTTATGTAAACTCGCTGTTGTTAAATACAAGTTATACAACGAGCTTCTTCCTCGTATGCTGAAGTGAGTATTTGGACGAACAGTCGTCACTTTGTAGCTTTAAAATGTAGGCTTGCTTCAGGGCTCTGTTTTAAGGAAGAGTGGTGAAAGTGGGATTGTTAGTTCATTTGCTATTCCTTTGTTCCCTCTTGTGCTTTGACAGATTTTTTAGTTCTTTACCTAAAGATAGTAACCTATTTTTCTTGTGCAACAGACGTGAATTGGCCGTCATGTTTCCAAAGACATCCACTGGTCGCATACACAGCCCGACATTACTATCGCAAGGTTAGATGAATCAGGGTTTCATAAGAATTCGCGTCAATCTCGTTCAGGAGCCGTGCTCTTCATTCTCCGTCGTACAGCGCCCGTTTTTCAAATCGACACTCGACAGGGCGATTTTATCCAGGGAAAAGAGAAGATACATAAATTTATAATATTTTTATAAATCGCCAGATTTCTTACATACACGCTGGCTCGTGTTGTTCGAAAATAGTCGAGAAGGAGTTTTTGTTGCGTTTTATTAAGCTCTAAATTATATTGGTTGTACTATATGAAACTATATTAAATAGATAATTTTTTACCTATGAATTATAAATGAAGTTATATTTCTAAATAAAGATTCCTGGGGCAGCTGTGTTGGAATTTGTAATTTATTCACTGGTAATTCATGCTCGATACCGAACTTGATACCGGACCAGTCTGGAATCGAGGCCTTTTCCGCCGAATATCTTCGGCGGATCAAAATCTTTAATCTACTTACGCCGGCGGATATATTTTTGGGCAATTGCTTCGTTGTGTGTAACTGGCGTAAGATCAATATTAGTTGGCGGAGTTGGCGGGGAAAAAAATTCTATCAGTAACTCTTTCAATGCCTGATTTCTGATGTTATTAGTTATTACTTCATTTACTTGTGGAATAGGATTGGCCCGTTGGTCGTTGCGTCCTCGTTCCTGCCCTCGGCCTCGCGCCTAGGTTCGTTGGAAAACTTCTATCAAATTCGCTACTCGTAGTTGCGAGTGATCTGGCTTGATCAGTTGCAAGCTGCCAGTGGCTTATAATTCGATGCGAGCTGCGAAAAGTACTGTGCAGTGCAAACATGTTACCATTTTAAGTTTAAAATTTAGAATACAAGTCAAAGTTAACTTTTAAGCTCTGAGAAGGCCGTTTCCGACGATCTAGAGGACTGAAATTTCAAAAATTTTTGCTCGGCGCCAACCATGGTGGCGCCTCGCGTAGTTTACCATGTCTTTATGTCGTAAGTATGCCTTTTTCGCGTGGCAAATGCGAGCGAGGCTAATTAAGGGCGCGAGATGTATCCTGTTATTACAGTGTAGCTGCGAGTGGAAGCAAGTCTTCCAACCTAACTCGCCGCCTACTGGCGTAACGAAATTGCCGCACCCTGACGGAATGGCGGACAAGGATTTTGAGTGGGCCGTAAAACTTCGGCGGATGAATATTGCCGATTCCAGACTGGATACCGGAGTTTTTGCAGAGATTTATGCTGCGTTTTATCGAGTTTTTACGCTGCAACGCGGCTAAAGATACCGTTTTATTCGACGCAAAACATTAACCACTGTATTGGAAATCTTTTGGCTTCAAAAAAGAGGTATTCTCGCCGTAAAAGGAGGTATTCTCGACAGTAATTCGCGTACGTACCTAGTGCATTTTACGGCTGACCTTTGGTGCACGTTCAAACGCATTCATGCTTGAAAAAACAACGATATTTCTGTACTTGGTATGCATTGTACATACAGACCACTTGACGAAGGAGACGGTCAGGGATTGGGCCTCGAAAGTCGAGGATTATTTAGTAGAATTAGCCAAGGAAGGGCTGCGTACAAAGGAATTACAGAGACTTTACGACGAAGCGAGCTATGTTGCTGAGCAGAGGGATGGCAAAAGAACGGTCGAAGCCGTCAAAGAAAAGCTTGGAGGTTATTTTTCAAAGAAGGAGAAAGCAGCAAAGGTATGTTCAAGGCGAGTTGTATTAGCGTCGCTTTTATACGAAGCGGTGTATTCATTTGTGGCGTGGCGAAGCTTGGTTAAACTGCATGTTGTTTTTTTTACTTTTAAAATAATAATAATGGCAATTGCGAGATATTGCAATTGTTTTGTTTTTAAATGACCCGATAATACGATAGCGAGTTGATTTATTTAAAAGGACGTAGCTTGTATTGCTAGGTAAATGGTAAATGCAAGATACGTCCTTTTGACACGCTAGTCACGAGCTCCGAGATCATCTGCACTTGCCTTTTGGCTGCATGTATTGATTTTACCTGCAAAATTCTTTCTTACAATGCTAATTTCTAGTCTAAAACACTTTTTAACTGCAAAGTACTGTATTCTCATGAAAAAGTACCGTACATTTCATGACATTCCCCTGTGTGACAGTGTGATTGTGAGGGAAGGATACATTAATGGGGTGTGACAATTGCAAAACCAGCGCTTGAATGACCATTTGATATGTCATGACAGAACTGAAATAAAATACTGCTTGTGTTTATCTACCGATGAAACCCAACTATTAAAGACTTAAAATCATTACATGTAGTGATCCCTAAGAATGTTACAGTGCAATATACTATATTGAAAAAGCAATATTCACATAGGTTTTGGAAAGGTGCCTTGCACAGTTCTTTAAGCTGCTTTGCACCTTGTGTTAGATGCAAAATGTTCCTCGATAAATGTCCCTAATAAAGACAATAATAATAATAAAACTGCAAGCTACATTTCATATCTAATAAAAGACTTGCAATTGTAGACATTGGCTGCAGAGACTGCAAAGCTCATTGCATCTGTAAACAAGACTGTCTTGGAAGATATCAAGTCAGTCCGAGACCTGCCCAGTGATGTATATTCTGATGCAGACTTGCAAAATTACAATCCAGTTATTTCACCAAAATATAACACGTATGTATGAATGATTTGAACTGCATCTTTAAGATTAACTCCCAGTCTGAATGTATTTTTCTACAAATAATAAGGAATTTGAGGGCAAAATTTTTTTCTGTTCAGTTTATTTAAACAAACGATAAGCTTGAAGCAGAGTTCAGTGAAGATCTCTGACCAAACGCCTAGAGACAATGCTGAAGTTATCAAAACAATTGCCTGGAGTTCAGGGTTGGACAAGATTTTTGTTCAGAATTTAGGCAATGATTCTGATCTCAGGTAATCAAGAGTACTTGTGATGCATCTGATTGCCAGAATTTTATACCATCAATACATAAACCTTTCTCAAAATGATGTAAATATGAGTCCTGAAAGGCTTTTGTGATATTGTCTATTTTGGACAGTTGTTATTGCACCTTTGATGCAAAGTTGTTTGAAGATGTTGCCAGAATGCCCCTTGGTTATATGCCATTCAATATCAAACTGAATCGTTCCTCCATCTTCTCTCAGATGGCAGTATTTTGGCTCAAACAACGGTTTATACCGTATGTATCCCGGACGAGAATGGCAGACAAATTTTGCAGGGTTTTACGAAGACTATGACCCCCGGGTGCGACCATGGTACATAGCAGCCACTTCTGGACCAAAGGACGTGGTCATTGTGTTAGACTGTAGCCATTCAATGTCTGGAAAGAAATTTAATATGGCCAAGTCTATTGCAATCACTGTTCTCAATACCTTGACAAAACAAGATTATGTAAATGTGATCTGTGGTCGAGAACCATACTATGATGAAGTGGGAAAGTAAGTTTTTTGTTTGCTTTTTTTAACCTGGGTTAGACAGGTCAGATTCATGGCAGAGTTGATCGTGAGTGAACTGCCTAACATTTCTTTAACACCTTTCAAGGTTTATTCACGAAGATGTTCAAACAAATGTCCTAAGCTGTCAGCAAAATCGTCTTGTACCTGCTTCAACATCACATAGAAAAGATCTTATAGCTAAAATCAAGGAGTTAAAAGCTGCTGGAGCAACTAAATTAAAGTGAGTGTGTTTCTACTTTCTATGCAATATTCAATTCCATTATGTTATTGGTAGATACCACACATTTTTAACTCATAAATTTGGTTTTGATTTCTTAGAAATGCTTTTGAAAAATCTTTCGACCTGCTGACAGGTAACACAGGAACCAGATGCCAGTCATTCATAATCTTCATCACAGATGGTCAGGACACAGACGGAGACAAAGTACGTTGTGAAAAAGGATACTATACTCGAAGTGGTTATGTCCCAGGGAAAAAGTGCCAGTATGATTGGGACGTAGTTTGGGACAATGTGAAATTATGGAATACACGTGGGGTAAGATAATTTACAATAACACAAGTTGTATCTATGCCTGATATCCAACGAGTTTAAGCTGAGTTTCTATCAGCCATATAGCATCCATAGCACCATCCTACCATGGGATAATATTTTGAGGCTTAGAGCCATGACTGTATTAAAAACTACAAAGTTTTACAAAAAGGTACATATTTTGTATTCATGCAGTGTTTTAGATTAAAAAGAAAACTATTTTTCCAATGTTTTCAATAGACACGAATATTTTCATATCTTGTGGTGGATGATGGAGAAGAGTTTCCTGGGAAACTAGCATGTGATAATCGAGGATTTATGAAGAAGATTGTTGAAAGTACAAACCTCATCAGTCAAATGCAGGATTACTATGATTTCCTCACAGCTAATACTCAGTCTACAGCAAACATCACTTGGAGTCCACCGTACCTAGATGCTCTAGGATTGGGATTGATGGTAACTGCCGCCATACCAGTTGTCACTAACAGGTATATCATGTAATACTAGTCAATTCTTTTGTTACTCTATAGTTGTCCTTTACTTGTCCTTTAGTTGTCCTTTTGGTTGTCCTTTTTGTTGTCCTTTTAGTTGTCCTTTAGTTGTCCTTGTCATTTCATTTTATGGAAGAACACTCGAAGAAGTACTAATCAGGGAAAGTTATTTATTAACACAGTATTCTCGATTTTTAGAACACTTGGTGTGATTGGCATCGATGTTACCTTGGAAGAAATTGAAAATATTTTGACTCGCTACACCTGGGGCTCGGCGTATGCATTTCTCATCAATAATGAAGGAGAGACAATCTTTCACCCTTTGTTACGACCTAGTACACAGGTGAGCCTCACACCGGCTGCAGGAAAAATACTGATGAAGATGCAGTTGGATTCATTGCTACTGTATATAGAATACTGTCTTGATCAACTGCAAATCAATCTGAATAACTGGTTTTCATGATTAACTTGATTCAATAACAGGTCTTCATGCATGAGTAACGTGATTATTGTTGCTGTTTTTCTAGTTGGTGGATGATCCAATATTTGTTGATATCAAGGAATTAGAGAAACCGGGTGGAGATGGAATGAAAGATTTTACTCAAGTGATTAAAGAAATGAAGGAGGGAAAAACGGGATCAAAACGAATAGAAAACGCCGACAGAGCGCTTCCCAAAGGAGACTTCCAGGATGGCCTTAAATATATCAAAACGCCAGTCACATACTTCTATACTGGGGTGCCAGACTCCAGTTATTCCTTTGCGTTCAGTTTCACCGACTCAGATCTGAAGTATAGACGACCTGATAGGCCTGGTCAGGCTGTCGGAAGTTTGCCGAAGAATTTTTATGGATACATGAGGTCATATAATGATAGTTATGTACGCAAG